CCCGTGGGTGGGTGGGGGATTCAAGAGAACGAGAAGAGATAGAAAGAGACACACTAGAATTGCTCTACTGCAGCAAGATGGTGATGGTTGGTAGCTTCCTCATCGTGCATAGTGGATCCGCTAGCACCAGGAGTATTACTATTATCGATAAGGATACCATGTTAATGAGGCTCAGACATGATAAAACAAGACACCATTATAGAAAAACCCAGATGGATGACTCTTACCATACCGCGACAGGTGTCGTATACTTGTGACCATTGCTATGTCGAGAGCTGTGAAGTATCCAGTCATGGCACAAAGCTTGATCAGGTGTCATGCGTCTCTCGGGATCCCATTGCAAACATCGTTCAACGAAATCCAAAAAGCGTGGGTCTGTACAACGTAAAACTTGTGCCAGTGTTTTTGTGCCTGGTCGTCGTTTCTTGCCTCTTGAATTGGGTATAATGCGAGGATTGCCGCTTGAATCTTTGAAAAATACAAAAGGTTAGCTATTAGATAGATATCTTCATGCCCTATTCAACCTTACCAAAGAATAACTTTCGGCGTGAGCTTTGCTCAATGAGATATCGGCTAGGCACTCCCAATATTTCCATGATGCATGCCAGTTGTTCATGTTCATTTTCTCCTGGGAAGATGGGTAGACCTAAACAATACCTCCTTATTAGGACCCGCTATCGTGATTGCATATCCCCAAGTTATCCCCTTTGTCTTACCAGTGCATAACTCGGCGAGAATGCATCCGAGACTCCACATGTCGATAGCCATATTGTACGACATGCCTGTAACAAAAAGCATCATGAGGATCCCACTACTCCGAATACTGTGATCTAGATCCCTTTGCAATAACCTACCTAGAATGACTTCGGGTGATCGGTAGAATCGGCTTTGGATATATGTGTATACTATTCAAAGTTATGATTAATGGGTGTGGTCAAGGAAAAAATGTCATGGCAGCATTACCTCGATCCGTTTCCAAGCAACTGCTACCAAAGTCAATGACCTTGATCGTGCTCCTTGATGGATGCTTGAGAAGGATATTCTAATCATAACGATGGATTTTTAGCATCTTGTGAATGACACATGCATAGTGAAAAGCACTTACTTCTGGTTTAAGATCACAATGAATAACACCATGCTCGTATAAAAGACATAGAGACTGCAATATTTGTACAGTGAATCTAATACATGTATGCGATGAATAATCCAATGCATGGTTGCATGATTTGTGATATACACTTACCTCTTGATCAGACTCAGGTTGAAGCCTTTATAATTGTTGGCTTTGATGAACTCGTAGAGATTGATACTCAAACATTCGCAAGCAATACAAAGATGATTTCGGAAAACAAAGTAGTCGGTCATGCGCACGTTATGATGTTGATCCTCAGGATCCTAGGTTGAGTAAAGAGGGATGAGTGAAAAGAAGGATGATGGCAGCTTGTCAAGTACTTTACCCAATCAACGAGGTTTTGAAGAATCTTGATTTCGGTCTGTGCCTGAGCATGGAAACGCTTTTTGTTGCGGATCAACTTGATAGCCATCGTATCACCCGTCTTATGGTCGAAGCATTTCACCACTTGACCAAATGATCCACGACCCAATACATCAATGACTTCGTATCGATACGCCAAATGATCCTGTAGCACAATGTTGTAATCACCTCGCTCATCATCGTATCCATAATTTTGCTCTGGGTGCTCTGGGGTCGCTGGGTTCTTATGTGCATGATGGCCGACAAAATAAACTTCACCATATTGTTGGATTTCCATGCGTTCATACAAGGACAAATATTTGGAATAGCACTTGATGGCCGTTGTAGGGCTCTTTGGAGCACGTAATCCACTACTTGATAAATCCCACGCATAAGGGTCACTGCCAGGGGATGATGGTGTAGTAGTAGTTGCCGTGTCATCCATCATGTCGTGTTGTTGTTGTTGAGCTCGTAATGCAGAGGGTCGACGTTCAGTACGTATCATTGAATATTGCATGTCCGATGCATAGCTGTCTTTGATGGCTGCATTCTCGGTATGTTGTCGTACCATGGCTTGAAGACGTTCTTGAAGACTCATTGCACGATGTCGTTCTATTCACAATATCAATATCCATATGCTGTTGTATAAGAGATGCATTACTTACGGATGCCAACTTCCTTGTCAACCACTGATTCATATTCCATCGTGCTGGATGTCACTGAACTCTTTCGACTACTTGGTCCACTTGTACCATACAATGATGTTGCTCGTGTTGTAGACGGTGCCACAGTACCACCTATGCTGTTGGTACTAATTTTCCTTGTTCGAGCAGGACCCAACGAAGGAGACACATCATCACCATAGCTCTTGTTGCTTGTGAGCGATAACTTGCGTGTATTTGTAGCGCTAGGACGTCTTGTATTGAGAGGTCGTGCACGTGGGGATGCGGCGGCAGATGAGATACCAGCATTGTTGTTCGTTGCAGTGGCAGCTTCTCTGGGAGATGATGGTGCAATACGTGGTGTCTTGATGGATGAACGACGTTCGTTGGATATCCCCAAATGACTCTTTCTCGTCGTTGTCGTTGTGGCATTCTCCTTGTTGGTTGCATCTTCCTCACCGCTGTTGTCATTGGGAGTAGTTGTGCTACGTTGTGATGACCTTGATGCAGATGCTCTTGTTGTGGCAATGGGTGTCGTACCAGTAGTAAGCTTCGGCATGTTGACATGAATCGGCTCCATTTTCATAGGTGGCAAGTTCAATGTATGTATAGGAGGTGGACTAGCAAGATTACCAGGTAATGTCTAAATGATAAAAGTGAATATCAATGCCTATATAAAGGATACAAAGTTGAATGCTTACCTTGCCACGTCGTCGACCTGTTGTTGTTGTTGATCCATTACTAGAGGCAATTGGTTTCCTTGTTGCCTGACGCCGAGCGATAAATGATTCTTGATCAGCCTGCGTTTTGGTTCGCCATGCAAGAGCAGCATTGAGAGAAGGATCAGTGGGCACACCTTCTTTTAATGATTCTGTACGAGACATTCTCCTTGCACGACGCACACCAAGATTTGAATCATCCATAGCCACAATTGATTTCTTCCGAGTACGCGTTGAATTGGTTGCTTCACTTGTTGCTGGTGTGCCACGACTCATGCGTCGTCGTGGTTTATTATCTTCTGCAGGTGTTTCTTGTCGTCGTGATGCAGCACTACTTGTTCTACTATTGGCAATAACAGAACGTCGCTTTGTAGCAAGCATGACCAAAGATTCTTCACGTGTATTGTCATCTCCTCCACGAGTAGCCGCTGCTGCTGGTGATGTTGGCGTATTGAGACGTGCAGCTGATGTAGTTGATTTTCTACGTCCGTGCTCATCCTTGAGAGCTGTGCGTAGAATAGATCCACTCGAAAGTGTGCGGCGTCTAGGCTCAGCTCTTGATGCCACAGCAGCTGATTTTGGTGATCCCACCACATTCTTTTCCAAATCACGTATGCGTTCTTTTCCCAAACTCAGTCGACGTTTGACATCAGTGATCACTTCTGCACGATTATTGGATGATGCTGCCTTTGTGGTAGAAGCACGTCTTGTGGTGATGGCTGCATCCAAAGTTGGCTTCCTTGCATCCATCCCATGAGTGGTGGCAGCATGTGATCCTCCTTTTTCGGAATGTAAGCCGAATTCTTGTCGTGCAAGTCGACGTTCCACGACAAGAGAATCCCGTAAATGATCGGCCAACCGAAATGCATCCGATGAAGAGCCGCATGCTTTGACGTCTGTGTCACTTGTTGCAGCCAAGCGTCTGGTTGTTTTGTTTGCATCGGCTTCTTCGGTTCCATGTCCGAGCTTCCTTGCGGAGGATGATACAAAGCGTGTGTTGGTGCCACCACCACCACCACTTGTTGCTATTGGCTGAGCTCGAGGTGATGATGCTGCTGATGCTGCTGCTGCTGCTGTTGACGTACGACGACGGCTGCTGTTGATGCTCTCAGTTGACTTTTTCGTTTGTAAAGCGCGCACACGAGGTGATTCAGGATTGTTGCTATTGCCTGTTGTAGTTGCCATGGCACGTATCCTTGGTGATGATGATGATGATTCATCCGTGGTGGCTGCTTTGGTTGATCTACGACGTATCCTGAGATTCAAAGAGTTGGCAGGGATGCTGCTGGTATTTGTTGCATTGGTGGTATTGGTACTTTTGCGACGTTGTATGGGTGTTATAGATGACTTTACAGATGCTGCTGTTGTTGTTGATGGAATAGGATCATCATTGTCGACTTGAGCAAAGGCTTCAAAGATACCATCCCTACTCATGCCAGCATCATTCTGGATACTTTGTCTCAATTCCTTGATGCTCTTGCGTGTATTGAGCTGAGTCTCATCAGCACCAGTGGGTCGTGCTCGTGATCTGCTACTGGCAGTCGATTTTGTGTAGCGACCATCCCCTAGCATTTTGACTCCTCCTCTTCTATCACTGCTGCTAATAATTGATTGATGTAGTGGCGGATCGTGTTGTTGGTGGTGACGATGAATGACATGTCCTTGTTGCTTCTCTATCCACGGCTCGGCAATGTAATGGCCAGAAACAGTAGTCGACGATGACATGGAACAACCAATAGCTATATACAACCCTCCTTTTAGTTCATGATCTCAATAGCATACATTCATTCTATTCACTCACGTTTTCCAATAAAGTTGATAATGCACCGAGTGTTGGACCGAGGCTATAGAGAGCTGCTTGCGAGACAAAGAGGACTATGCAGAACAAAGACACCAGATCTTAATACTCAAGATGACAATGGGATGCCCTTCAAGGGTCCACATGGGAGTTGTTACGTACATTGCTATCGTTTATCGACCAATCAAGTGGATGACTATGCTGTTGGTCGTAGAGCCGGTGTGTGTGCGTGTGTGTGGTGCCTGTTGCTGTGAATGAATGCGTGTTGACGGGTGATGAAAGAAAGAGTGGGAACAAGGAAAGCAAGGAGAGAAAGTATAAAAAGAAGATACAAGAGAAACTGAACAAAGAAAGAGGAAAAGCTCTCTCGGGTATAATAAGCGCGGTAAACGGTCGATAGCAGTATAGCAAAGGAAAACGCAAGGAGCATCTACATCACGTTGTGAACCAAAAGCAGCTACCATCCAACTTTAAACCCAGATACAGCTCTTGGTGTATCCCCCCCCCTCTCTCTCTCATTTTACTTGTGTGGTGGTGTGCACAGGTAACGCGCGCACCTAATCCCCCCTTTCCATATGTGCACACACGAGTGAAATATCTGTCACATTTATTTATCTCAACATGGGTTACATGAATAAAAGGTTATAAAACAGGATGATGATCCTGTTGTTATTACTACTACTAGCTGCATTATCTGCTACATAAAAGGTTGTAGTAGTTGCTGCGTACATACATACATTATTACACACAATGAAGGGTTCTTTGTTTATCAATTACCAATGAATCTTTGTGAAAGAAAGAAAGAAGAAAGCTGCATAAAGCACAAAGCTGGTGACCTTGCGGCACAAATCACGGGTACTTGAATAGGGGGATGGGTTGCCATATACCATGCCAATTTAATATCTGCAAGGCAAATAACTTTATAGGAGTAACCTTAGCTATAAATTCGTTGTCCTTTTTCGACTTTAGAAATACCATTACGTCCATGATACGCGTAAACAACCTATCCATTGACCGTGCACCACCCATCAAGCTTGGCATGCAAGTGGGACACATGCATGATAGATTGCATAGAAGATGTGATGATCGGCATTGGCTAGTATAGCAATAATAATGAAATGCGGCATATACAAATCTCACTGCTTCCTCTTGTGTGCCAATGCGATCGAGACTTTCATAATAACAACCAGCTGCACATACATCAGATGCAGCATAAGGAGAAAAGAGGGTGTTGAATGGTAATTCCTCATCATCACACCTCATCTATTCCACCTTGTCAATTGCATTTACATCATGTCAAAGTTGCTTTGTCTCTTATACAGCGCGAGTTTTAGATTAGCACAAGGATGTCGATTGCTTTTTGAGATAACATGGCTAGCAGCTAATAGTACATCATGATTGGCCAAAAGCACTCTTTTTTAAAGTTCTCGCGAAAAAACGTTGGATGCTAATAAAAATCTTGCCGTAACCAGCTCTCAACTCATGTATCTCTTCATGTCTTTTAGGCCCAGCAATAGCATAAGATAGACGTGTGTGCTTTACGGTGTAATACGTACCCTCGATCATGGATGCTACAGTAGCGCAACAGTCACAATGCGTTCCCAGAATCATAATGAGTGGGGCTTCGTGATGGTGTTATCCCGTTCTTTGGTTCATTGACGTGATTGTACTTTAGGAATTTGATCGAGTGATGAATGAAAGGGAAAGTGCAAACAGCACAACCGTTATCCAAAGCACCATCTTGGTCATGTGGGGCGGCTCATTGTTATTAGCTGCTGTAAAAGTAATGAGCTAATTGTTCAGGAACCCATCTCAGGCTTCAGATGATATCAATCCATGGGGGAAGGGAACAATGAGCACGATGATTGAATCAAGCTGCTATTGTCTTTGAGGAATGTTGTCCCTTGCATGTATCTCTCTCCATACAAGTGTACGATCATGGTTGCACAATGATGCTAACAATTTTTACAGCCAAGGGCTTGTGTTACATGGGACCTTTCTATGGGCGGGTTTTCGTATTAAGGGTGGAAAGAGGATATATCGAATGATCTACGTAGACCCTAATGCCAATCACGCGATATGAGAGCAAATAAAACTTGAATCGATATTGGATGATCGTTGATCTTTTATTTGTTTCTTTCTCTTTTTTATATGCAAACAGCTAATATGGACAAGGATGGATCCTGTAAACGATAAACGAGTGAGCTTGCAGTGTGAATAAACTCTTGTTGCCGTGTAACAATCGCAATAGACTAAAAATGAATCAATGATGAATTACAGTTGAACAATCTGCCCACCACAACAACGACGGCTCACGCTGTGTGCTTTTCTCTCACCTCTCTTTCCGTTCCTTTTACCTTTACACGACGACAGCGAAGACAACGTTCAATGGCCGATCTGCGCATCTCCCAAGTGCTTCCAACAGTGAAATGTTCAGACTGCAATCAACCAGTGCACGTCCGGCATCTTGCAGATCACGTTTGCGCAACAGCTCCACCCCTTCCTTCATTTCCACCACAACCACCTCCACCACAACCAATGACAACGACATCGTCGCCTTCTCCTATAAAGATTGATACATGTGAGTGGCCCATTTGTATCATTAGCATGAGTGGGATAGCTTATATGGAAAATCACCTTAGCCCCTGCAACAGTACGGCCTACAAAGAATCATCATCACACCAAGAGCAGTGTATCCCCTACCAGTGGTAAGTACTATGTGCATAATAGTGATTGATGGAAAGGGGTTTGGTGTGTGCTATATGCGGGGAAGTGGGTAGCAACGGAAAAACGCGCCCAAACGCACACTAAACTGAACCCTTATATTCGTTAGGCTCAAAGTTTAATTTCCAGTTTTGGACCGGCAAGGCAAGAGATACTTTACGTAGTGCAACGCAGAGTCGTAAAGGAAGCCATCCACGACAACAATCACCACCTCCACAACCACCATCCAGTATTGGATCACCAGGACCAGCTCCCTATGAACATGCAATCACTACAGGAGGTTACCAAGGCTACCATGGAAAGGTTGGATATGGAATATATATACCCTGGATACAAGGAGTAATACATGCTTACCCAATGATTACATAGACATCAACCGCCAAGACAATCCAATTCCAAGACAGGTAAACGATTCAACATCATCGGCTTCCATCCATATCTCATGCCTCTTTGTTATTAGACAATGGCATAGCAACGACTCTGATGAGTTTTTGGTATCACCTATTCTTGATTTTACACCTCCTTTTGCCCAGTCGTCGTTTGAACGTAAAAACAGCACATCACCTGCACCACCAGCATCGATATTAAATCAGCAAAGAACAACAAAACCCATGGCATCCCAATCAACATCCAGTGATGAAATGTCACCACAAACACCTCGCTTAGGACGACATCCTTTGGATGCGCTTGATTATGATTTATTCAATAAGCGACCCACGGCAGCAGCAACAACAATCAACCATCATCATCATCATCAATGTACACGTTGTAGACGAGATGTGGCGAATGACGGTATCCGAATGGGCCAGGAGGTAAATGCAACCCTCATCTCTCTCTAAGATGACGATCTCTCATATGCATATGTGTTATGTGTATGTAGATGTACCATGTTCAATGCTTTTCGTGTTTCACATGTCGTAGTCGATTGGATCCTCGTTTGCCACCCCATGAATACCAAGGCCGCATTTACTGTGAAACTGATTACAACATGATGGTCAGGCGACGTATCATTTGTGCTGCATGGTAAATTGTTATGATCCATACGCATATTCCTTTACCGTTATTAAAGCGTAAAATCCACACACACATGTAGTGAACAACCCATTGGACCTCATGTGCGTCCCACGCTTGCTCTTGGCCAATACTATCATCCCGAACACATCCGATGCTTTCATTGCAATAAGCCCATCAATCCTGAAATGACTGGTATCGTCGAACGTAAGGGAAAACTGTTTTGTCGTCCCGATTTCAACAAGTTGTACTTGCCAAAATGCCGAGGATGTGGCCGTGCCGTGGAAAAAGAAGCTGTGTCATCGGCTGATGGTAAACTCAAGGGGAAATGGCACAAACACTGCTTCCGTTGTCATGTAAGTTATCAGCTTTCTCATATCAAGCATGGTGTATGCATGTATTCATCGCCTCTTTATGTATAGGAATGCCAAGAACCCTTTCCTGATAACACCTTTTACATTTACAACAACGCGCCTTATTGTCGTCGAGATTACCACAAGATGAACCGCTCTCTTTGCAAAGGATGTGATGAACCTGTTGAAGGACGATGTGCACAAACCGTGGAGGGGTGGCGTTTTCATCCACAATGTTTCACGTGTTGCATTTGTCGATGCCTGATCACTGACGTCTATTACATGACCGACAACCTCATCTTTTGTCCACAGGATAAGCAATTTAGATCCGAAAAACGACACACTTTCTTCCAGCAACTATGAAGGCATCTTCCATATTGTGTATACTCCTCCTCCTCCTTGTCACCCTTCTTTATCACCTTCCACGCACGCACTCTTTTTAGCTTTTATCACCATCATCCTCCGCCCCCGCACTGTAGATAGAATTCTATTATTACGTAGTTGTGTATTGTTTATAATGTAAGATCATCACCGTCAACAACATTGTAGATCCTTTTAAAGGAAACATTTATCATGGGGGGTTTCCCTTTTACAGGCAATGATGCTTTTCCCCTTCTCGTTGTGCCAGAAATCAGCCATATCTTATTTGAATAGGATGAAAGTTGAATATAACAATGGGGAAAGCAAATGTGAGGAAGGACCTATATAATACAGTGTGCAATATGGGGAAGGATAATTTTGTGTGTCAAGGGTAAAAAGAGAGAGGAGAGAGAGAGAGAGAGAAAGAGACGCCGAGGAGGAAAAGGGGAGGGAAATCGTAATCTTGTTGCTAGTGTGAAAGTGGGGAATGGGATATATATAAAAGATATTAGGAGCATGGAATGATCAGCAAAGAAAATGATAACATGTGGTGCATGATTAATCCACACGCACAGCAGAAGGATGATGTGCCTCTTCAACGATATCAGCAAGTGGGGGTGCACCGTTATTGGAATGAGCGGATAATGTGCGTGTAAGCAAGCTAGTGCGTTGTGGAGGACTCGATGAAGGAGACGCATGCGAAGATGATGATGAACCAGCATCCGTTGTCATTGTAGGATGTTGAAGATGAGGCCGATCATCAAGTGAAGTAAAATCTTCTTCGCTGTTATCCTCATCACTATCATCCCGACGCCAAAAGTTGGAATAGGAAATGGGTATAATGGCTGATGCTCGTTGTCGTTGTTTTCTTAAGGCCGTGCTGTTGTTGTTGTTGCTGCTTTGATGGCTGGTAGGGATATGGGCACTTTTTCGTTTCTCTGATGAGAATGCCATTTTGAGCTTGTCCACCAAGTTGTTGGCGCTTAATCTTCGTTCAGAGTATCTTCGGGTATTATTACCAGTGGTGTTGTTGGTTGTAGTATTGGAGGGTTGATCAACATTCATGTTGCCATGTTGATGGCTATGTTGAGCGTGCTCGTCAAAGACAAAAGTAGAACGACGTTCAACAGGGGAAGCAGCACCATCATCTTGTTCTTCCTCCTCCTCATCCTCATCATCATCATGATGCTCCTCATCTTGTATATCTATATGACCCAATCTATGTGAGTGACATCTCCCTTTTCAATATCCACATTGATCCTTCTTTACCTTGGCTTGTTTGATTTGAGGATATAATAGCCAAGGGGTAGTGATCTCCTGATGAGCCTTGGATGTCGGGGTTGTAAGGAGTGGTAGTGTTTGGTTGCACGTCATGGTGTGAGTCAGGTGGTGATTGTGCTGCGGGTGGGTCGTCATCCATAGACGTCGTCATTTGAGACATGGATCGGACACAATCTTGTGCAGACGATGCTGCAGGTAAGGCGGGCTGCTGCTGCTGCTGTCCTTCATCATCACTTGCAGCAACTTGATTTGTTTTAGGCTTAAGCCCATATTTTTCCATTACTTCCTCAGCCTCAACAGCAACGCTTGCTTCCAAATCAGAATACGTGCGACAAATTGGGCATTGAAATCCTGGATAGCTTTCTAGTAGAGGGCGTATACACTTGAAGTGGTAGCTGTGTGAGCATGGAGCAACGAAAAGGGCCTGCAAAGGAGCAAGAGCATAGAGGCAAATACAGCATTCTTCAATGTTATCGGCATCGTGTTGCTCTTGATGAGCCTCGCATGATGATGCTGATTTGATGTTGGCCACCTGTTGTTGTTGTTGAGATGCAGCAGCAATGCCCGATTCAGCTGCAATCCCACTGCTGTTTGCCATAATCGAACGTAAATTGTTAAATGCCGACATGGAATAAGCACCGTTGGCTTGTTGGGGTGGTGTTCGATTGAGCTCAAAACGCATTTTGACGGCACGATACATTTCTTCTAGACCACCTTGATAATCCACACCAAGTTGAACAATATCACCATCATGGACTTGGGTGGCACGGCTTTCTTGGTTGGCGGTGCTGAGTCGTACATGGTTGAGAAAAGTGCCCGATGATGATTTGGTGTCTCTTAGATAGAGCTAAAGAGAGGGAGAAGCATGACAATGCACATTCATGTCAGCCCGTGTAACCAAAAGAACACTCACATGCCCCCTGACATATATGGGTTCCATGATTCACACACACACACCACTTTACCTTGCCATCAAGATCCACCCAAATCTCACAATGCGTTCGAGAAACCACTTTGCTCTTGAATGAAATATGGTTGGCCGTCACCGATCGATCCGTAAATCTTCCAATTTTGACAACGGTGCCAGCTTTGATTTCACGATCAACGACATCAAAGATCAAACTACGTCGCGGATTTTCGATACTTGGAACAATACGCACATGAACGGATACGTTGTTTGTGGATGATGAAGAAGATGATGCTGCAGGCGACATGGATGTGCTTGTGGTGTCTGTGCGTGGTGAAGTGGGTGGTTGTTGTGTTGATGTCCTCGAAAAGCGACGACCAAGAAGAGCCGATGCGCCCTGAGACAAGTTAAGAGAGCGACGAAAAGTGGAGGAGGATGGTGATGATGGTGTAGTGCTCTCTGTAGGTGGAGTGTGGTCAGCGTATTGTGAAGTCATCGCCAAACATATAAAATCAGCCATCGGTTCTTTTTTTTTCTGCTTGAAGCTAAGGTAAAAAGGAAAAGAAAAATGCTGTTGACAAGGGAAAGAGAGGAAATGGACAATACGTAAATGACGGAGTCAGGACCTTTTAAAGGATGTGTGTTGGTGAGTGGTGTGAGTATGATGGGTCACACAAAAAAGGCTACAACGCCTGCAGTTGGATTCGGGGGGTGGATTGGATCACAGCGGGCATCAATGAGAAAGCGAGCTGTACTTGATGCTGGCCACACAAAGGAGATAATAATGATGAGGGGTTCACCACCACCATCACCACCACCACGAACCACTACTATTCTTTCCTTTTGATTATGCTCAGCACCTGGCAGGATAATATAAATCTAGTATGCTGAGTACTTTTTATTTTGACGCAAACGATGATTGAGCACACCCATTATCGTACGTACGCGTGCGTGCCCTACTTTTTTTTTAGGTGAATGCGTACATGAGACAATTCTTGTGTTTCAGAACCTGATCAGGTTTGTATATTGTGATACGGGGCCATCGCCCAATGAACGCACGGTTCCCAACAACTTTACTTGGATGATGCTGCTGCTGTTGTCTCTAATGTTCTCGATGGCTCTTTTCAACTTGCAAAGGATGAACAATAAAGTAGACATGTCTCCCCTTTGACACTTTTTCGCTCACTCTCAATAACCGAGATGCCTCCTACAGCCCCACACGTCTCCTTACTCCTAATCATGTATGTGAGCATCAAATACAAAGGCTTTATTCTGTATTCCCCAATGCCACCTGTCATTGTTAACAAAGAAATTTAATGCTCCTTTTAGTTTTATGCCTTGTATGTGCATGTGTTATCGCTCACACGCTGTCGCCCTTTTCTTTGTGCACCAAAATAAAGCAACTGCGGTCATGCTTGCGCCTCATCCGATATCATCATCTTCACACATTCATCTCGCATTTGTTGTTATGTGATGCTATTTTCTGCAACAATGAGCCATGTAGTTGTTTTTTAGCAGTGGAAGTGACGATCATGATGAAATGACTATAAGCATAATAATGGTCAGCCGACTTTTGTAACAAAAGAAATCGGGTGGATCCCCCACCAAAGGCATCAGCTGGAAGCGTAATAAAAAAAGGGGACGATGATAGCTTGTACATGTCATTCCACACACACATACAATACATTGCTGCCATCATTCAGCTAACAGGTGTTATTGCCGTGACACCTACTTGTGCAAAAGAAGGTTGGGATCATTCACACGCATGCGCCTTTTTGCTATACTTGAACAAGAGGATTGTAATCCGCGTCTCCGATTTGCAGCTGCAGGCATCATGCATATGTGCGTATGTGTGTCAACATTCGGTTGCAGGTTTTGAGTGAGTGGATGGGTGTGTATCAAAGGAGTAATAATGATAGCAGCCACAACCAACAACCCGTTCGGCGACGATCTTTTTGTATCAGCTGATCGTGTACGTATGTATGTAGGTATATCAACCACACCCTTTGAAGCATGTAACAGGTGATTGGTGGTTGTGGTTGTGGTGATAGGAGGAGTTAAGGCACATGAAACCCAAACGCTGGTGTTTACAGCGTCATTATGCACAAGGTGAAAAAAAGGCGGGCATCGTTTGTGTAGCATTGAATGTGGTTGGTTGTAATTTTTAGCATCCAGTCGTCATTATATTTTGATAAGCTTTGAAATGATTGCCATTTATTACTGGTACAAAGAGGGGAACAATGAGTGTGTATCGAAATAGGTAAAAAGTCTTGGCACGCCTCTCCACCATGGATGGGTACTATACAAAATGTGTTTGCGTGTGTGTCGTCATGGTGATTGGATAGTCAATAACACGTTGATTCTAGCCATCATTGGCAAATAAGCATCCCAAAATGCAGCTAAGAAGGGTGGCTGTATGGCCATACGTGGTCTATTCGCCACGAGTTTTTGGGGGCGTTGTGGATGATGTTGGCAATAATGCGTCAAGTGCAAGCTTATACGTAATACTCTTCTTTTTCTACGCATCCCTTACAGGCAAAACCCCCTCATTAACCCCCTTTTTCCTTTCCTTTTATCTCATTCATCCTCTCTCGATATACCTTCCTTTTCCTTTTTCCCATGGCAATGCATAGCTCGACATACAAATAATCCTGCGGAAATACTACCATGCATTCGGCCACTTTTTTATCAACACCTGCACCCTACAATGTCTCCATTCCAGCCATCAGCATCAACGATTGGTACCCTGTGTGCTCTCCACCGTCAACTTTTGTATGTGGGTGATAGTGTTGTTGGTGGTGTAACCCATTCGTTTTCAAAAAGAGGTGTCCTGCTGACGGTCGTATATCTTTTTTCTTTCCTTTTTCAACTTTACGTCCTAGCGCGATCAACGGTTGCGTCATTCGAGTCGATCTGCCATTATGGCCAATGCTCAAGACGAGGTCCATGGCAAGAAATCACCGCGGATCATGGTCTCGGAAGTAGTAGACGAGCCGGATAAAAAGTTAGATGCAGGTGCAAATGCTTTCGTCACACGACCTGCATCGATGCAGCATCATCAGCATCATCCTCACCAAGAGCAGCAGCAACAAACCACTTTTGCCACGACACCACCTTCTTCCTCCTCTTCCTCCTCTTTCTTTTCTCCACCTTGTTTACTTTCACCCAACAACAACAACAACAATCCCGAATACGATCATTCATCATCAACAACACGTCGATATCCTATTGAAGATCCAGCATCATTACCTCCTTTACCTCCTCAAGCCCTTTTATCTCATTCTACTTTTTCCCCCGACACCGAAGACGCCGACGATAAGGACGAGTCAAACATGCATTTACGTTCTATTCGACCACTGCATAATGACTCTGTGCCTGGATTCACTCCTCTGGATACTGGTGCAAGTAGTCCTTTCATCAAAGCTATACGCAAAGCACAAAAGAAGCGACGAGGAAGTGTGGGAGAAGGAACATTACGCCGTCAAAAAGCAATATCAGCACCTGTTGAACCACGTTTAACAAAGTCATCCACCCATGCCCAACAACGTCGTCATCGCCCTATTTCCAATATCACAACCACATCATCCCCTTTACGGACGCATCAAGAAGAGGATGATAGCAATGATCATTGGGATCCACACATTGATGCCTTTGAAGTCTTGCGGGCCAAGATCACGGGGATCACGAGGACAATGCAAGAGTTTCACGTTCAAGAGCTTTTTTATGACGAGCTAACCGAACGTAACAACAATCGGCAAAGACACCATACCATTGCAACTACAACCACCTATCAGCGTCGCATGAGCACGTCAGCTGAGTCTCCATGCGATCCTACCCCTAACCACCTGCTGATGGACAAATCACAGTCGCACACCAATCGTCATCGAAGGATCCGTTCGCATGGTTCAGCTGCTGACTTTGACAGCACAACAAATGCCATCAATTCACCACCGCCTCCTCCACCCGCTCCAACAGCCGATGAGACTCGCTATCATGAAAACAATGATCCTTGGAGTCATCTACGCACCGATGAGGATTTCGAACACGATCTAAGACACAAATCAACCACCTTTTCCGATGATGATGAGTTGGATTTGATCAACAATCGTAACAACGACGACTACAACTACGATGATGATGATGATCTCACAATATCACCTCCCATGGCTCCAACAAGTCCTAATTTAACAGCTTTATTTCTCACCACAAATTCCCTCATCAATTCACGCCTTGACGAGTTATCAGAAACGGCATCGATTGCATCTTCATGTGGTGGTGGTGATGATATCAATCAATCCTCATCCAATGAATGGCGATTACAGTTTTTGGATTTAGTATCAGCATGTATCACTCAATCAGAGGAATTGGAGTCGTTATCAACCGAGTTACTTGGAACAGAACGTCGTGTACGTGAATTACTAGTGATCAACGGCACCGTCAATGAGCAGTATCACGAACGTGAAAAGGCGTATGAGGAGCGTATTCGAGAATGCGAAGAAGTGGCCAAGCAACAGCTCATCATGATTGATACTTTGGAGGAACTTATGGCGGATATCGACATGAAGCTTACCCACCACTTGGATCACAATGACTATGAACATGATGCTGATAGTGGAATTGAAGATGATACCGATCGCAGTGTTGAAGAGGATGAACAAAGATGGGATTTCAAACGCGCTGTAGCTGATATTCTTGGTGTCGAGACCCAGGGCGATTTGGTACACAAGATGCGATGGGAAGTTGGCATGTTTGTGGGCGGCGGTGTTGGCACCGGTCATGTCATCCATTCATTTGAAGGCCAGTTGCGTGGTATTGAAATGATGATTGCTGGGTCTGGTACCACAGTAGAAGATTCCCCTTTACGGATATCACAACAAGATCAAATCGATGAGGTAAGTGTCATCATCATCTTTTGCCGTTAATGATTTTCATTAACATGAGGGAAAAAACAGACGACGCATATCTCTCGTAGTTTACCACGTAACAAGTTCCATCATCACCATTACATGTTGCACATCTCGGCCCGCGACCGCAAAACACGGTTCCGGATGATCCCACAGGCTCATTGGGTACCTGATCAGATGGCCTCTCACTGTCAATTTACCAGCAAGCGACCCTGCTCCGTCAAGTTTAGCCTCTTTCAACGGCGACATCATTGTAGAAAGTACGTGGATCATTTATGGAATGTCAATGAATGGTTTATTTATGGATGCCTATTTGTAGATGTGGAATCGTTGTCTGCCAACGCCACAGTGGTAATCGCCTTCCATTGTTTGCAAAGTCCTCTGCGCCACCACAATGGTCCCGTGTGTGCGACAAGTGCTTTTGTAACCTTATCATGACCGGCGATGAGTGATTTCCACCTCCTCCCCCCTCCACCTCATTTATCGTTTCTCCTACATTCCATCCGCTGATCCTCCTCCTCCTCCTCACAATCTCCTTTGATCCGTTTTTATGCTGTCCTATACATGTTTACTAGAATCAGCAGATTATACCATTTAGTTGTAAATACTACTATTAGTTTCTTGTCCTCACAATTGTATAAAAGATCCGTTTTGATGAACAAGGCATATTCGATCTGGCATTTTTTTATATATTGTAAAGAAATGGAGCTGGGGGAGATGTATATGTGTAAAGTGAAATGGTAAAGGGGGGTGTGTGTGTGTGTGTGGCTGTATACATTGTGCTTGAGTGTGTGAGTGTGTGATTGTGTGTGCGTGTAATGACCATGAAGAAAAAGTGCGTGCGTGAGTGTCGTGATTGTTTTTTACATTAGATGTGTGCGTGTGTATGTGTGTGTGTGTGTGATGTGGTACGTGAAAGGAAAAAAAAGAGTTGATTTGCGTATATACTAAGCTGTAAATGAGAAAAAGAAACGTGTGTGCAATTAAATAAGAGTGAAAGTAGATTAGAGGTCTCCATCCAAATCCATGGCACGGCCTATGCCCAACTTGTCGTGTACTGATGGATCGCCTACAGCTGACACCTCGACGTTTCCATTGCCTCGCTCGAATTCATAAACCATTGTCAGCAAAGGCGATGATGATGTTGTCGAGTCACCATGATTAGGGGCTAGCATCGAAGCAGTGGTTGGATCCCATGATGGATCAAGGCAAGCGGAGCCATACTTGGTTTCCACATCCTCAAACACCTACATACGTGTGATCATGATGTTAGATACAGGGCATTGTTGATTGAGTAGAGGTTGTATATGCAATTACCTGAACAATACACAAGTTTTGGATGGCAATGTCGATTTCTTCCCAGCTATTCAATGATCGAATGCCCTTCATGAAAGGATCAAAGAATTGATTGACGTAGACAAAGCTGTAGATGAACTTGTCATTGTTGATCCACAAGGCCTGTTGGATTTCTTTGGATTCAAGCACCACCGAACCAAAAGAGTAGACTGTTGTAGTGCATTCAATCGTTCTACGTTCACGAGACTCGAAGAAGCAATTGGTGTTGAACATAAAATCAGGGATGTTGAGGTTGACGTCGAGCTTTGCCTTGGCCAAGAGCACCAAGCTGTTGCTACAGTGTGACAAGTTGATGGATGGGCATTGGGATGGTAGCTTTTCCAATACAGGAAGGCAATTGGGATAGCAATGTTCCAGGAGAGCGAGATTGTGCGTAACGGTGTTTGCAGTATCATAAGGAAGGGCGTATTCGAGGAACAAGCAAAGGTAATTTGGCCATAAAGGGAAAGCGGCAGGTTTCTTGGCAGCGTCCTCCATTAATAGCGGATCAAAATCCATGGCAATATGCAAATTGTCATCTCCAAATAATGGCTCAATCATGCTGTAATCATTGGGTCCTTGATGAAGAGCGTTCAATGGGTGATGATGTTGTTGTTGCTGTTGTTGTTGACTCATCATACCAGCACCGTGATGAACAGCTGCAGTGCCATTCAACATGTCAAACATGAAATCAGGTGAACAACTGCTGATGGATGAATCATCGCTCGATCGAATAGAAGGTGCACTGCTACAAGATACGGCACATGTACCATTCGTTGATCGTCGTGAAGGTGGCACTTGTCGTTGCTGTCGTTGCTCTTGTTGCTTGGATGTAACGGAAGCACCAGTGGCGGCGGCGGCAGCGGCGGCGGCTGTTTCTGATTTCGAAGCACGTTCATCTGTACCTGGCGAATCGGTCAAGAGCTGCATAACTATAAAAGACGCATTGTCCAATTAAATGGCTGCTCTGAAACATGAAGGGTATGCAAGGGCACTTACAGTGAGGATCACTTTTACGGGTGTTCTTGAGCACTTGAATATGCGACGAGACTTGTTTACGTGTCCTAATCTTGCCAGTTCTTCGTAGAATGAAGTCCGAGATCAACTCATTACGACCTGTGATGGGGTGTGTGTGTGTGAGAGAGAGAGAGAGAGAGAAAGGAAGAAGAGATCAAAGCAACAAGGCAAGGGTGTCATTACCACAAGGCTTTCCATTGACGAGGATCTTGCGTCGACCAAGTTTAGGAATAGTCTCAAGAGCTAGTTTTGTGAGCGTGCGTTAATAAAGTGAGAAAAAAGGAACAATGGAAAGATGAATGCAAACAATGTTTACCTTCCACAAAGGCAGCTTCCACATCGGGTGGCCACACCTGCTACAAAATAGAAAGGTCAGGACATCTTTGTTTACATAAACATGCGTGATGAATATTAAGACGCACCTCTTCTTTTTCCTTGCCCTGTGCAGCTACTGCATTAGTTGTTGTTGTTGTTGTGTTGGAGTTATGGGTGGTATTGGTATTATTGTTGGTAATGGCTGCTGCTGCTGCTGCTGCGGCAGCAAGTGCTGCAGTGGTATTATTATTATTGCCATGATGTTCCTTATTCTTTTGATGATGATGCTGTTGATGATGATGGTAGTTCCTGGAACGTTTGTTGTTCTTTTGTTGTGAATCGTTATTATCAGCATTATCGTCTACCACACAATTTAAGCTCAAAGCGGCTGCAACGGAAGGTGGTGGTGCTGAAGTGGGAAGTGCAGCGATCGACGAAAGGATGTCGCTGTCCTGCAGTGCATCCTTTTCAAAAAAGAAATCTTGTGTGCAAGCAAGCATGATGATGAGTCAGGATAACAACGACGATGCAAGTGAAAGAAAAAGAGAAAAAGGGAAGAAGAAGAAAATGAGTGTGTGGAGATTGGAACAAGAAAGAGAAAGAGAAAAGATAATGATGACAAGACGACAAACAAGACTGGAATAATATGGCAAAATATAGGTGCAGGGGCCAATCTTACTCAACAAGATAAAAAAGAGCGCGGGCTCGCACATTTTACGCACGCACGCACATACACTCGCTGATGCAAAAACACACACACTGTGGCCCTAATACAAGGATAGTGTGCCTATAATACAACCGGGAACAATATGTATGTGTTTGCACATCTCACTCGTGACACACTCGCTCATTTTCACCTATATCCTCCTCATTTCATTACTACTCCCTTTACACGTTTTCTTCTTTTCTTATCCTTTTACAAACATCTCATCGTTTTCCCCCCTTGCTCCTTTGATTCTATGGCTCGTGTGGCCTTTTCTTTTCATCTCTTCCGTCCACTATCATAGATAATCTTTGGTTATTTGAATCACAGCTGCTCTGCTGTATATTGAACAAGTGTAAAAGTGTATATATATATGTATGTGAGTGCGCATCTATGGTTGTCCCCCCCCACCTTGGAACCAAAAGTCAAAGTCCAAATTATGATTCCAAATGATAAGCAATTGCTTGCATCAAAAGGAAGAGTGATGTATGCTTTTTTTACATCCGCACGGTCCATCCAAGGTCATATTGCCTTGTTGACACGCACATATTCTTTCTTGTTCTTCCTCTCTCTCCACGCGCTCCCCTGTTGTTCACCCCTTGCTTTGTCCCAAAAGTATACACACTGGCCGATTCCGATGGGCTTGGCTTGGATTGGGGGGTCATGTTTTTCCATTTATGCAACACCCCGTTGACATATTAATTCATTGAATGCAGGGAGAAGGAGAAAACTGGTACTTGGTACACACACACAATGTACAAGTTTTCAATAAGCTACTCGTGAATCATGGTTTCCCGATGTCTCTTTCTGGATAGATACAATGGATGTGGCAATCATCCCCTCCCTCATCAACAATCCTGCTGGTGCTATGTATTCAAAGCCTAACAAGGGATGTGTGTGTATGGGTGGTGGTGGTGGTGTTTATTTTGAGACCGCATCCGCACAGTCTTTCAATCTCGCATCAAATTCACCAACAAGGCAACTGCATGAACAGGTTAACATTGCGTTTTCAACCAACGAAAACCAAAGAAGTTTGAGCTCAAGATCCTATACGTATGTTGCTTTTGAGAGGTCATCATCATTTTGCTCAAGGACATGGTGTTCACATGTAGGTTTTTTTAATAACGTCTCCATGGCAATGCCATGGCAATGTGTACCTTGAGAAACATATCCAAGAGCCAAATGCACTTTTCCCCCATTCTCCCCTTGCTTCACGTGAGATGGTTAATACTAATACCATATTTAGCGGTGAGGCCCATGATATGGCATTCATGGTAAATAATGGCTTTATAGATGCCATCTCGATCGATCAAAAGCGTTAAAACAAGGGGTGTGTGAGTGAGGGGAAGCACCTTACGGAGCGAGGGTGAGTTGATGAATAGCACTTTGTGCACACAGTAACTTACACAAGTTGACATGTTCATTTTGTGGCTCTCCTTGTTGCATTTGTCCAAATTTGTAACGAGCTTTGCGGGCATGTGTGTGCGACAACCATGAGCAAGTGTACGGATCATTCATTAATGATGTCGTTTTTTATCCACCTCCATAATCTTATTAAATCGATAATGATCATCACCCTCGTCGTCAGTACGGCGATGTATCTAAGTCGATCTTGCTACTTTCCTAATGCTCCAACAAAAGCTAACATCTCCAATCCTTTTCGTGACGATGCTGATTCCTCGGGATCGATATCATGCACACGTTGTTGGTATCACATTCCATCCCCGTGCATGTGACACAATGAAGCATCTTGCCGAGCAAACACCAATTTGGTATATGGTTGTGAAAAGCACAGTATCAAAAAATGGATCCACCTCACCTATTATGTATCAATGATGCTAATAAAGCAGCTGCTAAGTAATGTCCACAAGTGCCGGTGCTGTGCCTGATCTGCAATTACATGCACGCATGAGCATTGCTTGTGCTACAACTTGAGCGGAACAAGATTCCGCTTTCAAAGTGGGGTTGTTTTCTGTAGAGCCTTTTTTGTGTCACAGGCACATCATTGTTGTTCTTTTATGCATGTTATTATAAATATACATCGCAGAGGATTCCACCATCACGGAGTGATCGTTCACTCATTCCGAATCCACCTTAATAGTACGATGGCTTGCACGCAGAGAGGTTAAAGTCTATCCTTGGCTCAAACGTCACGGGCAAAAAGTGTCGCGTGATGAGCGCATAATATTGATGTCACGCTTAAACTCTAGCGGCGTGATTAAGGTATAGGTGCGTGTATCATGACTTCACCACCCCGATTGTGTATGCAACACCAATGAATCTTATCGGCAGCTATTATATACCCCCAACAAAATCAATCACTTTGGCTCATGGCAAAACATGAAATTAAGCAGCATGATGATTTGAGCACCAGCTTATTAAGATGCGTTTCAGCATTAGCTGTTGTAGGTTTTTTTTGTAGCCTCATCTTCAATTACTATTGCATGCTTAGAACGCCTCATTATGCAATCCACAAGGAGCGTATACTATACAAGTGCACGTGTATTGTATTGGAGCAACAGCTACTCCTGGTGGTCCAAGTAAGTCACTAACCATCATACGGGCATATCCAAGATGACCGATTTTCACCATAAGACGTTGAAAACGTCGATGCCATCATGATGCTCAATAGCCTAATCACACTTCTCACCGGCAAAATGTGGATTGATTCGAGGAAAAGCAAGCATCACCCTTCTGCTGAAATAGCTGTATTAGCCGATCTTCGATCGCCAAGAGCGGAGGACTCAGCGATGCATCCAATGTGATTTAGGTTTTCGGATTATGGAGAGAAAAGGCAGTTGTTGTGAAAGTGCATTAGCATCGTTGCGACATGATAGGTGGTGGGAGGAAAAAGGTGTTTATCAACGTCATGCAACACTAGGACGTATGCGGCTGGGTTAAAAAAGCTTTCCAATTTCCTGGAAGTAGCGGTCGGCAATTCTCCCAAAAGATCATCTGGGTTGGGTAATTGAGCGGCGATAGTCATAGCGTTGTTCCGCTTTACAGCATTTTGATAATTGTGTGTGATGGTGTCTTTCTAATCCCAAGAGGATCAAAGCCTGTTGTAATATGACACACGCAATGATACGCCATCTCGAAGGAGAATAAGGCATGTTGTAATACAAACTATGACTTAGGGCTGATGACGTGCATGGGTCATCTGTATACGCTAATCGAAATGGCGAGAAGATACTATGACCTAAAAAGCACCTTGGAGCATTAGAGTGTGCTACAATGCATGTACGTGTGGGGCACAACAGAGTGGATGTAATACAGCCTACCAAAAAGGAGCAATAAACAATGCAATTGGTTATCCGACCCCGAAAAGAAAACGGAAGAAGAATCTTCAATCATATAGACGAGTCGCAAACGGCAATTGCTTTTATGCTTCTCACACGATTTCGATATAGAGATGGATAATGATCAGCCGAAAGGGTTCTAATTGGTGCTGATTAGACATTCTTCCCTGTGGCGTCGTTTTTCGAATAACAAATAGCTGCAGCCTATCACCCCCGTGCATGCGTAACTTGATCTAGGCCAACACGTATCATATTCTTTGTTCAAAGAATAGCGTTGTAGATGGGGAGTGTGTATGTGGGTAAGATGTTTATTATAATGAAGTCGTTGATATCATTGTTGCCATGACAACGTATTCCGCATTGGGCCTTTCGATCGCATTCCTTACTTTTACCCTCTTCAGCTGAGTAGTGCACTAGTCCTTTCTCGTATATTTCCATAACAGCTCACTCTACCCAAGCCATCGGTTCTACGTCACTCTTCTGGAAGGTGCATTTCAGCCTTGCTCCTTGCTTCCCAACTTGCGCGTAACCAAAGGGTCTACCTCATTTCGGCTCATTCCTTGTCATCACTACCAGTGTCCTCACGTACACATCCGTTGTAAAGGCTACTTGTCGACTTCCATCTGGTACGATATTCCTTAACTTTATTCACATGTGCTTGCACGTACTTCTTTGATACGACCGCTCACGCTACTACTAGCCTTCCAACCCATCTTTCATAGCAAGGAATCTCTCAACTTCCATTATCAGATAGCATACAGACGCACCCATCTATACTGTAGGTATATCTTTCTTGTGATATCATATGTGGAAATACGTGTTTCGTTGCAAGCCGGTTTTTATACGCCATCATGCTCGTGTTTCCAGGTCCATACCGTATACCCGTTTTTTGACAGTATTACGCTGCGGAAAGCCCGATCCATTATTGGTGTTGAACGACAGCAAAGTTTGATGCGCGTATGAGCAAGTCATCGAGAAGATCAAGCTTGGGGAGCGAAGCCAGCTTTGTCAGTGGGGATGATGGCCAACAAGATGGAAATAATTCCGAGTGTCAGTACGTGGTATCTTTTTTTGTTGTTTTATGGGGGGTTAAGGGCATGGCAAGGTATAGCATGGCATTAACTAAGTCTTCCATAGAGCGTCGCAACATAGCAATAGTAGAGAGGAGAACAATCACCCAGCTATACCAGTAACAAAATCGCATGCTGCATTTGTGAGCAAGCTATACAAGTAAGTGGATATGGGTATGCGTTGATGGTTGAAACGTTGAGACTGATCCGTGCATTTTGTCATTTCAATATGGCTCGTTTTATCTTTTTTAAAGCATGGTGGAGGATTCTGAGATTCAACATCTTATTTCGTGGTCAGGCAACGGCGAGTTATTCCGAGTCTATAATCCCACCACATTTTCCAGAAATGTTCTCCCCCAGTATTTCAAGCATAATAATTGGCAGAGCTTTGTACGTCAACTCAATAGTAAGTCGTAAAACGATGGGACATTGGATTTGGATCTTTGAGGATGGAGGATGTCTATATGCATAAAAGATGGAAGGAAAGGAGAGAGAGAGAAAGAGAGAGAGAGAGGGAAGGATGAACAAATGGGGCAAAGTACAAGAGCAATATTTGTTAGTGAATATGAGCTAAACTCTAATCCTCCTTGTACGCCCCTAGTGTATGGTTTCAATAAGGTCAACGACATGATACATTCGAATCTTAAGAATGAGAATCAAACATGGGAATTTCGGCATCCACATTTTCGCCAAGGCTGTATTGATGATTTGAGAAACATTAAGCGTAAGAGTGTTCGATCCCTTCGTGCCACTGCTCCCCTACCACCATCATCTGCCATGGATCAAGATAACAAGGCTGACATGTATCACCGTGAATACAACATGATTGAGGATCGCTTGAATTACATAACACGAGGACACAATGCCATGCAAGAAGAGTTCTCATCCTTACGATTTGTGGTGGCACGTCAACAAGAGGTGAGTGGGTGCACTGCTCACTCTTGTTATAGTAGTGGTAGCAGCATGAGCATTGTAAAAGTACAAATAATAATGCATTTGCTAGATTATTGAAGAGCTGGTCTCTCTTCTCGAAAACGTTAACCGGCCTCTATCAACACCTGATCCCCAATCTTCTTCCTGTAAGCTCAAAACAAAGGCCCCTGTTACAGAAAAATTGCATTATACATGTGTAACCAACACAAACTTCTATATTCTAAAAGTTACTCCGAATCCAATGATGTCTTCCAAGTATGCAGATTTGCGTAAAAGTAAGTGTGTGTATGCAATGGCAGGTGGAAAGAGGCATTGACCAAAGCAAGGATCGCCTTTCGAGCAGAAATTGCAGCCATCCAAACACAGCTTCAGACTTTGTATGATCATCCACAACAATCCCATATGCTTCCAATGATGGATTCGATACAACAGCAGCAGCAACATCCGCCACCACCACCACCACCAACATCATCTACTACAAGCGTATCACCCGATGGTCGAGATAGCTATCCTACTCTTAAAATGGTAGCCATGAACAATGAACCTGTCGATCCATCACCCAACTCTGCCAGCTTACGAATTCCTTCGGTTGGTTCCACACCCAATCCCATCACCATGGTTTCCCCTCCTATGCAACGCAATTCAGGAAGCTGTCCTCCAAATAGCATGGGTAAGAAACAATGAATCATGTTTATTGATGAAATTACTCATTCACGACATATAAAAGAACCAAGTTTAGAAGGACGCAGTAAATCCGCCATCATGGGCTTGGGAAAAGAATCGTATTTATTGAATCCAGCCGATGACGAATTGGATCCAGGTACGTTATTTATGGAGGAAGGCATACCAAAAAAGTCTCATGCATGACGCTCTGCTGTAGATACGAAACGGCGGCGATCAAGCCCACCTTGAAAGTATATGCTTTATTACCCATCAGTTCTCCTCTTCTATGTAAAAGCTATAACGTATACCAAAGATTTGGTTCATTTCCGAGGTAGAAGTTGAATATATTTCGATGATACATAAGTGTACTATGGAAAAGGGTATAATATTTATCGTTTTGAACTATGTAACGTGTCGTCATTGTTGCATCTCATTTCCAATCCCATACTTCCTTGAGCCACATTGCAAGCTCTTGCTCGGATCCACCCTTACAGTCCTTGATAAACGTATGTTCTAACATATCCATGGGCCCAGGCCTTTCTTCTGGATTCTTGATCAAGCTGCATAAGGTCCCATATGAGATACTTTTCGCAACATCCAAACCTAGCCACCACCTTACATACCATTGAGCAACAAATTCCCTACAGGCTTCCGAGCGATTCGAGTCGAGTGTTGGTAAAGGTTGATTAACGATGATATCGAGCAACTCAAAAGGGGCAAGCCGAGTTTGACCGGGAGGTGGTAATGCAGGTCGATTTTGAGCGACTTCAATAATTGTCAATCCCAACGACCAGATATCCGATTTCATAGAGTATTTGGATCCTTGAATGCGTTCTGGCTACATATGAAAAATCACATCACATGAGTGTCAATGCACGTGTAATGATATACCTCATCCAAATTCACTTACTGCCATATAGTATTGTGCTCCAAGAAACGTATCTGCAAGCGAATTGATAAGCTCTCCGGATACCCCAAGGTCGCATAGCTTGATTTCTCCTTTCCTTGTCATCAACACATTGGATGGCTTGATGTCTTGTAGCCATAAAGGATGTTAGTTCATTTAGCTTGGAACACGTCATGCGTATACATACCTCTGTGAATCACACTTTTTGATTGAAGATATACGAGCCCTTTGCATATCTATATATGTGGTGTGTATGTGAATTAACAACATGATCATCCTCGAAAAATGGTACCGGGTGATTTACCGATTCGGCTAACCGGGCAAGCACTGTTTCACCAATGACGCCATGTAGTTCATGTGCCCTTTTGTAGATATCCTCAAAGCTACCACCTTCGCAGTATTCCATACATATCACGACGCTGTCATTGATGTCATCCATGAAGGCACCATAGAACGATACAATATGAGGAGATTCACAAATCTTGAGGATGGAAAGCTCACGAATGATTTGACGTCGTTGTTGTGGTTCTGCTGATTCAATGGTGATCACCTAAAACTCCATTACGATAAGGAAGTTGATTCATGCAAATACAACCATTCAATGCTACGTACCTTCTTCGCCATAATTCGTCCCGTTGGCTGATGTTTCACTTTCCATACAACACCAGCATTACCAGAACCAAGTCTTTGTACTTGCTGTAAATCGTCAGCTCTCAAGTCGTCAAGCCGATGTTCGGAAGCATGGCCATCTACAATGCGAGCTAGGTCTTGACGCCATGTGTCATTCGAATTGCTGCTGCCGCCACCACCACCTTCTGCTGAATCGGAGGTGCTGCTGCTACTGCTATGACTGGTGCAGCCAAGGTCAAGTCGTAACTTTGTGGGATTGCGTCGGCCAATTTGCGCCATGTCAAGGAACAAAGAAAGGACGAGAGGATTCGGAGAGTAAGAAGAAAAGGGAAATGGTCAAAAGAGGACTGATTGCAAAGCGTAGTTTGTGCAACCATTATGCAAACCATCTCCACTGTTACCACGGGCGTATTCTGTATAAAGTAAGCTTGTATTGCTGCGGATCCCAATCCAACCATGGCTTATGCGAACCTTGTAACAGCAACTTGGATCCTCTTACGCTTGTGGATGTTTCAACTGAGATGACGTGCTTTTACTGCGAAGGACCTTCCCATATCAAGAAAGTGATTGGGTGCACAGACGGAAATGGTAATCGCTGTGGTGGTGCAATAGGATGTAAAGGTTCATGACTTTTCATTTGCTTTGGCACAGGCACATCACCTCGTTGCTGTCAAGACCATTCTTATCATAAGGGAGCTAGCAATCGTATCGAGCAACAGTCCATGGTGACCTAGATGCTGCGTGCAATGTAAGTAAACAGGTCCACATTGCTACCATCTCCTTGTCCTTGCTACTAAAGAGAAATCTATACAACTAGTGTGCCTACCACCATCCAAAACGACGTTGTCTACTTGCCGTTGGAAATCCCAATTAGGAGATTATGATCGATTGACTCAAGGCATCACCTGCACATACAAGTATCTCTATTTACTCAGCTTACGTATGTATGATCAATGAAAGAAGAAGTAGTTTTCTTGATAATAAAAGGGATACTGCTTGTTGAAATCACCATGATACTACCATGGCATTGACGTATGAATATGACACTATGGAGCCATTCTCATCCTAAAAGTAGTAGACAACATATGCTTCTTTTCCATTGTGGTCCGTGGTGATTAATTTTATTCCAGCAATTGACAAAGCCAGGGGCTTGTACTCGCATTAAGGGGCTATGTGGATGTTACTACGCGCTCATTATGCACTTTGATGTACGTAGACCGCCCACCCCTGTGTTGGAAAAGATTTCACAGGAAACGAAAGGCAGGGACAATAAAACAGGAATCTCAACCTTGCCACTTAAAAGTGATGCATATGCTAATTAACACCTTATTCTTTTCCTTCTCGATTCTTTCACGCATTCCATGTATCTCTTAGCTCTCTCCTTGAAGAATATCTATGCATTAGCGTGATAACAGTAGTCGAGTTGCGTTTCCATTTTCGAAAATGCCCTTATGATGAAGATATTATCCGCTCACATTGACCGCATCACGATTAATTTAGACCAATTGATTGTTCATGATGATGTTGCGCTTTGTGTATTATGCATTCTGCCCTATCTTTTTGTGGGTGCATTACGTTACGTGGGACTAGTTTACTCGATCACAGATCCACGTACTCCTATGTTTGTCAACCAAAGAGAGGAAGCTTACCAGTACAAGATGCGTGCATGGCTGATCATAAGATCATGCAAGGTAACCCAGAGAAATGTTCAACAAGGAGGAGAAAGAAGAGGAGGTCACCGTGCGACTTCCTTGCGAACACGTAATCCGATGCGTCTCCCTTCTTTACTAGCTGCATTTGATGTTTGAAAATAAGCGAACGCACATCATCCATTGTTTGTGATGTTATGATGCAGTTTGACGTGTCATTTGATTGTAAATGTTTATAGAACACAAGGAGCGAGATGAGAAAAAAGAGTGTGTGTGTTCACGAGAATCAGTGCATTGTGCGTGGTAATGGAACTCATACAATTGCCTAGGTCGAATATGATTCGTTATGTAGTGAGCAGCCTTGCAGATATTCATCGTCCGTTTCTCACCGTGCTTGATTGCACTCTCTCCTCCTCCCCCTTTACATGATGGATAGTCCTACCCCGTGCCTGCTAGTCGTTCACACAAAATGTAACAAAGGATCCATGAGAAACAAAAGGCACCAAGGAGATAGGGATAACCTAGCACATGGGTTGCTATGTAGAAGGGTGCACAAATGAATAGGCCAGAAAGCAAGCTTTTGACGAGGTTCTATGTAACAAATCTTATTAGTACTTGCTTCAAAAGGGAAACTTTTTTATTCAGTAGATCTCAGGATGAGACATTTGGTGGGTTGTCATCTTTCTCTCTTCTTCCTTTGTCATCATCTTTTCCTTCTTTCTTATTGAAGCACTTTTTTGAAGCACATTTTCTCCTCATGGATGCTCAAACATCATCTCCATTGTCATCCTCTTCTGTTGATACCATGACACACTTTTCAGAAAATGACATGTCAACTGAAGATCTCTTGCTACAATATTTACAACAGCACTACAGCGATGTACCTGCTGCTGGACCTCCATCACCGATGTCTGACAGTGCCTCGTATTCTCAGCCTGGTTTATGCAGGACCCCATTTGATCTTCCTTCAGTATTGGATACTCCACACAATGTGCAGCTTAATCTCAGCAGCTATTCGGATCTTCAAGCAGCACTTGTGGGTATCAGCTATCAACAAACGGTACAAGCATTTGACCCATTTGGGATGTTGCAAACAACACCAGGATTGCATATGCTTGAAACCCCACAAGATGATACCACACGAGACGGCAAGTGGACGACCGATGAAGAAACAATGCATGTACAAAGCACAGAGCTCAGCGTGCCGTCATCTATTCGGCTGAATGTTGAAAGCTCCCATATGCTTGATAGTTTAATGAGCAAGGCGGTGACGCATTGGTGCTGTATCGGATTCAAAGTAGCACCCATCAGCTTGGACATGATACTTGATTGGCACAAGGCACCACCTGCTATTGTTTATTGTGTCGCATCTATCAGCCTGGTGACATTTATGGATCACAAAGCCGGCCAAGCATTTATCAAACAAGCCGCCATGGTCTTTTACGAACAAGCACGACATAAGATGGATGATGTTTTTTTGGATGACATGCATCCAAGTGTCATACAAGCTTATTTTTGCCTTAGTTACACGTCCAACTTGCTAAGATTGTACGAGCAACAACGTACTTGGAGTGGTCTAGCATCAATTGCATTGCAACAACATGCCAAGGATATCGTAGATGGCCGACCTGTGGATCGTCTCACAATGATGTGCTGGTTGCGATGGTACTACGTTGACGCGTGGATGTGTTTAACAAGAAATCGCGAATGTTTGCTGAACGATGACACGCCTTTGGGACGTATCTCAATGCTAAGTGAAGACGTCGAGCATCCAGAATTTCGAGAATTGTATCGGTTTGCATCATTGACACGATACATGCGTATGTACATTCGTGCCATACGTTCAGGCAAAATGTTTGCCGATGGTGTAGGTGGACGACAGCCGTCAGCATTGTATCACAACATTACACAACAGCTCAAGCACTGGTATGCAAGCACTCGTCGCACCAACGATTACATCGTAGATGAGAGCAACAGTGGTGAAGTACATTTCCACTTGTGCTACCACGCGGTGCGGCTTATCATATTGTTCCAATTCTTGCATCCAACACTTGGTGCCCCACAAGATATCCTTATCGACTGCCTTGAGACCAACTTAGCTTTGTTACAAGCCCTACGCCATCTTAAGCACAAAGGGTGTGACCAAAGCACTTACCATCACATGTTCTTTGCCATCCACAATACTGCAAAACGTATTTACAGCTACTCTGGTGCCGAACAACTCAAATCGCTAAGTGAAGAGCAATTGCGCATGAATCTTTTATTACTCCGTGGCACTCAAGCATACATCAATGATGTCTTCAAGATGCGTCTTTATGCTGAAAAAATCGAGGAGCAATTTCGAGACTTGAGGATTTCTGAAGCGACCGATTTATCATCATTTTCGACAGGGACATTACAACCTGCACTTGCTAACTATGCTCCTACTACGGGACTTGGCCCACGCATCTTTGTATTCCGTCAGCAGAACACCACACGACGAAGTCGTCCGAACAAGGCATCCAAAAAGTTAAAAGCATCATCACCACCATCATCGTCAACCTGTTCACCTTATGCCAGACAATCCAAATATGCAAAAACAATTACTACGACTGGTGGAGGCAGTAGCAGCAGCAGGAATCAACATTCAAGCACCAGTAGTACTGCCGACTCGGCGATTCAACATCAACAACAACTACCAGCCCAAATAGTATAAGCACCCACTCTTTTTCTTTTCATTGTTTTATCTTTATTCCTTCTTTTTAGTATCCTACGCCATTGTCAATAATCCGCCATTATCATGTTTCTATCCTATGTATGCAATAAAATCTAGTGTTGTGTGGAGCCCTTCCAAAGATGATGGATATTCCCAATGTTTGTATGCTGGTTGTAGCACCGCGCGCGTGAAACGGAGCTTCTTCTTGCACTCGTCTTTCCACTTTCTTTTTCTCGACAATAAGCGTATGGATCTATCGCGTGATGATCGCATGTCGTCGCCACCACCCATGCAGAAACAACAGCAGGACCAACGACAACCCAATAATAGACCGGTTTCAGCAGACAATGGCTTGAATGAACGGAGACGATCGGATTCGCACATTTTCGGTACTGCTCCCATGCCAGAAGAACGAGCACAACCAGGTCGTCGACGCCCTTCACAACTCTCCTCTGCACCTGCACCTCGTTCGCAAAAGGAATTTCCATTGGGGTCACTTGCATGGCATCAGAAACAGCAACAACAACGACAACGGCCTGTGAGCCTTCGATACCAACATGCGGTAGCAGCATCGCCTACAAAGTCAACATCGTCGCAACAAATGCAAGAAGACACCTTTTACAGCTCGCTTCAGATTCGATTGCATCACTCGGTGGGAAGTATGAGTATCAGTCCATCATGTCGAGATATTGTTCTTGCTGGGTAAGAATGGATTGCATGATTTATGCTTCTTGCATTGACATGCTTTATAGGCGTCAAGGTTTATTGATCATCGACTTGGAAAATCCATGGCTGTTGCCAAGGTTACTACCGCACATGTCAAAATGGGAGGTGGCGGATGTTCAGTGGAGTCCATACGTTGCGAGAGAATCATGGGTAGCATCCACGGTAAGAAAAACCTAAATTACATAGGCCGCAACTCTTTCATGATATTGACCTTGTTCATGTAGTCGAATCAAAAACTCTTGGTGTGGAACCTGAATTATGCTGGATCACATGCGATTGAAAACGTGCTACATGCTCATTCACGAGCCATCTCGGATATCAATTGGTCACCCCATCACCCCGACATGCTCGCTACCTGCTCGGTGGACACCTACGTACATATATGGGATTTGCGATGTGCAGGAAATGATCTACGACCAGCAAATTCTTTTACTTCATGGAATGGTAAGGGATCAAGGATGGATAGAAGAGTAAATGCAACGTTTGCTCAATTGCTTATTTGACTATAGCTGCGACGACCCAAGTCAAGTATAACAGAAAGAGCGAGTATCTATTGGCATCTGCTCATGATAAGGACGTCAAGATTTGGGATATTCGGGTAAGAATGGATGATTGATTTTTCATGCATGATTCGGCATTTTGACATCATTTATGCAGAAAGGAGCTGTCCCTGTTACTACTATCTCAGCGCACACAAAGAAAATCTACGGCATTGATTGGAGCAGACAAAACGATCACGACATTGTTACTTGTAGTTTGGATCAATTAGTCAAGGTACATGGTTTCATTCTTCATGTGGTATACATGTTTGGTACTAAGCTAAGCAAACTTCTAGTTTTGGAATATCCATGAACCAGAAAAGGAAGAAGAAGCAATAATGACCAGCTCACCAGTATGGCGTGCAAGAAACGCTCCCTTTGGAAATGGTGTCTTGACCATGCCGCAGCGAACAGAGACAACATTGTATCTGTACAATCGTGATACGCCAACTAGACCAGTGCATGCATTTGAAGGTCACACCGATACTGTGAAAGAATTCGTATGGAGATGGAAGGGAGGCAATGGAACTGAAGGTGGTAAGTTTAAGAGATCAAGGTCTATATCAATGGCTAATTCCTTGCAATAATGGCATAGATGATCGAGAATTCCAGCTTGTTACATGGTCAAAGGATCAATATTTGCGATTGTGGCCGATTACAGAGGATATTTTAAGAGTGAGTGGATTTGGGTATGGGGATTGAGATTAGCAAAAGTTCTAACCACTTTTTCAAAGTCTGTGGGACATGAGCCAAGCAAGAAAAAGACCGTGTATCGCGTACCATCCACGGCTGTGAGTAAAGATGGCACCGTGCATTCGAGATCTTTTCAAAAAGAGCCTGATGAAGATGAGACTGAGAGTGGGCAATCGGTTATCACGGCATCTGTCAATCCTTTACGTATCGAAGCTTCAACAAGTGAACCCTCTTCTTCAGCTATGACCTTGTTTCGTTCAGGGAAGAATGCTTCTGGAACAGTGGGAATTCCCGGTGGCTATGACGCCATGTCTCATGCCTATCGTGAGCAAAAGTATACCATCAATCCTCTCTTGTGGATGCAAAATGTCAAAAGCGTGGGCCCACCTACCGAGCTACGACGTGCTGCTACTACGGAGAGTACATATCAAACGGTCGCTGAAGAGATGTCAACAGTGCTCAACAAATACGTCAGTGCTGGTGTCAAGACCGAAAAGGTAAGGATGGGGAATTAGGAGACATTCATTGTTGCTGATACATGATAAATTTAGATTAATGGTGCATCTCGCACGTGTACTATTACACTTCATGGTCCTTGGTCAGATACCGGTAGCGCATTCTTACGCATCACCATTCGTTTCAGCCCACAATACCCAGACAACAGCCCACCTGAATTTGATATCCAAAAGAACAGCATGATGTCCATCTATTATCGAGCTCACATGTCACAAGATCTCAATACGCTTGCATCGAGTTATACATCACAAAAGCGTTGGTGTCTTGAGGCATGTATCCGCTATCTTCTTGGTGAACCTACTCAAGAAGAAGAACTTGGTCTTGGTGGTGGCACTGGTACATCTGAGAGCACCCCTCTTAGCTTAGGTGGTGGCATGTCTCTTACGAGTGGCGCACAATCAGCTGGAAGCTATATGAGCACGTGGAATGGGTCCAACAATGGGGCTGATAATGGTGATTCGGATGATGAGATATTCGCAGGCACACCCTTTATCGGTGGAGGAAGCGGTGGCTATGGTACTGCAGGGAAGCGTGTCAGCTTACAGAGCGAACGGGGTATCGTTGTGGACATGTCCTCGAAGCAAAGTGCGGATGAAAAAGTACCTTTCCCTCGTCTTTGTGGTGGTGTCTTTTCAGGAAATGGTAAGCAAATATGGTAAAAGTGGGTCCCTTTTCTCATGATAGTTTTGCTATCATAGGTCATCTTGTATGCTTTTTCTCCACTTTACGTGTTCGTGATCCAAAGAGGAATCAAGAGAATAGCAACAAAGCCAAGCGACAGGAAGAGGATGATGCAAGTGCTACCAACACAGCCTATTTTGAGAATACTTACAGCGACTTTTACAAGCATCCTCGCACTTATGAGCAATTTGAAGAATACAAGGAAATTGCAGCCATGTCACGGCAGGGAAGGAATGCTACAGTACTTGTCGGTGGTTCTGGTGGTGCTTTTGGCGAATACGCGTACGACGATGATCCTGATGATATTGATGATGGTTTAACAATGCCGTCATTGTACTTTAATAAGCCTGATGTAAGTCTATTTTTGTTTGGTGGATGGTTGTGATTATATATGGAACGTTTATTCATTGACGCAATGTTAGAACCTTACGTTGGGCAGCTCAATATCGAATGCTGATAGCATGTTGTATCGAAACATCAAGACGGATCGTATCACTTACAATGTGGTATTGGCGGATATGAATGAAATCATGCCCTACAGCTCGCAACTTGCAAGAGAGTATACGTAAGTATGAGTGCATGTTGAATACAATATGCTGGTTTTATTCATCATTCATGTCATTATAGTCTTTCCATCAAAGATCCTGTTGGGGCATGTACGCACAATGCTATGATATGTCGGGCACACAATCGCCTGGATCTATCAAAGATTTGGTATTTGGCATCCGAGATCATGCGTGAATGTATCCCCGTTGAGAATGAACGAGAGTGGTCGTCCGAGCCCATGGAAGATCCACATTGGCAAAACGGCGTTGATCTATCCGAATTATATGCCATCTTGTACAACGAAAAGAGAGCCAAAATCACTGCCATCAAAAAGCGTCGAGTCCGTTGGGGATTACATCCATTGGGAAGGAAGCTCATTGATAAATTGTAAGTACTTTTCTTGGTATTGGAGATGAATCATCCTCTTATATGGATCTTTTTGGTATAGATTGGATCATTTTATCAAGATGGGTGATGTGCAAACAGCCGCTATGCTTTCGTGTATTTTCCATGATGGTCAAGACGGCCAAAGCAAAGGAACACAAAACAATCCACATAAGGTAGGATGAATATGAAGCGCGCTTGTTGAATTCTTTGCTTACGGGAAAGGATAGATGTTGTATGGCAGTCAAGATGTGCAAAGTAAAGAAGATTTACGGCCGATACGAGCTCAAGCCTTAGTGAGATCGGGATCAGGACCAGTGTCAACCAGCGTAGGCTCTCCTGATCGTACGGCGAATACCAATCAAATGAGCTCATCGTATGGAGGCCGTGGCGTCAACTTTTTATCTTACTTCTGGGATTCGGATCGACACACTCCACCTGGTGAAAAACAAAGCGAACTTGGCAACCAACAACAAACGAGCATGAGCCCATCTACCAGCAAACGTCCTGGATACCCTTTCACTACCGTCAACATTACCCCTCAAAAATTGCCTAGCAACACTGCACCAGGTGTACGCACCAGCAATCCTAGCTCACCACACAATGGGGCGTTTACAGCTGCCATAACAAATACGCATGCAGTGGTCTCTGACAAGGAAGGAAAATTGGTACAAAGCAGCGATATGACCATTGAATTCACCAACCTTGAGACGTTTGATGGAGAAAAGGCGCTTTCCTACAACAATGATGTATCTCTTTTGAACCCACAGAGGGCAGCTCAGCTGGATGTGCTTCGACTCAATTACGCGGATATGCTTTATCGATGGGGCTTGCTTGAACAGCGTGCCGAGATACTCAAGTTCTTAAGTCGACAAACATCAATCGAATACCAATCAACACCACCCGAGCAAAACATGCAAGTGCAAATTCGTTGTTATATGTGTGGATCCGAAGTATCTGCACGTGATCGTATTTGTTATACGTGTCGCAAGAGTCGCAGTCAAATCCGATGCAGCGTGTGTCATGTGCTGGTCAAGGGCATGGTCAACTTTTGTAGCAAGTGCGGTCATGGTGGACATAGCGTACATATCAAGGAGTGGTTTTCACAACAAACTGTGTGCCCTACAGGCTGTGGTTGCATTTGCTTGATTGACGGATAGTCTCCCCCACCTTTTCTTCCTTTACGAGACCTCATTGTAAATAGCCAATTGTATATTTCTTAATCAATACTATATATTGTGTACACAGTAGACAATCAACTTATTATTTGGAGTAGAACAAAGAGATAAAAACAATGAAAGATGTTGCTTGTGATTTCAATCAGGATACTCTTAAGGAAGTCTACCCTTCAATTTCAATCTCCACCTGTGGCAAGGTGGCATTAGCGGGCGGGTCGCCTGGGCCTTGAAACGACTTTACTCTATAGCAACCCATCATGGCACTCGGTCTCGGCCAACTCTTTTATGCGATCCTTTTATTCATCAACGCCATTGCTGTTTTGAGCGAAGAACGCTTTCTTGCACGAAGTAAGGTCTGCACGCATTTCATCATTGGCAGCTTGCTGATCACTCTTTGTAGTCGGTTGGAGTGCACAAGTAGCTGATCCCGGCTTTGGTATGGAACACACACAGTCAGTCAAGTACAAGATTGTCAACTTAATATCAGCTGTACGAACGCTAATGAGGAGTAAGTGTGTTGCGTTGATACGGTGATATGGGGTAGGGGGGATTTGGGAGACGCGTTGCTACGACGTTGCCTAACACGTTTTGCATAGTTCCTTTAATTGCTATCAACATCGTTGTTATTATATACGAGTTGCTGCTTGGATAATACCCCCTCCACTCACCATATTATTCTATCACATCACATTACACCACACGACATTACACCTATTCATCCGCTCTTTGACAAATATACTTCCCCCTTCAACGCGTGGAATTATTGACGTGGCACGATTCTGGTGGAGGAATTTCGATCATGAACAAATGACGAGGTGGATGGATGGATACATGAGGGGTCTATATGGATGGCGGGTGTACAAGATGGTTTATTGCAGAAAAGAAGGCATGAGTTTAATACATTCAAAGGGCTCTCTTGCACAATGATTCAGCATGATTGTTATACTTGAGTCTGTCAGCCAATTGGGTCTTGGAAGTGGGATTGAGGATGGCTAGTCTGATAGGAATTTGGGACTACATAAGCACATGCCCCTAGGGTCGTCGTCAATGAAAAACTTGAGGCGTCAGCTTTCTCGCACAGCTTGACGATCTTTGGGTCAATTAATTTTGACAAGTTTTTCGAATCAGGAAGGTTGTCAAATCGATACTTCTTCATATTCGTCTTATGTGAGTCCTGTAGAGACTCTATGGCTTCCACGGTGTCCTTGATACGAAGTCTGAGATCCCAAAAAAAATCGACCATATCCAAGCATGTCAATTTCAATGGTTGATGACGAACAAGGCATTGTGCATTTGCCGACTCGATCCATGGAAAACGCAACATCGTGCTCTGCCGAAAAGCTCCATAACCTGATGGAAGTATCTTCTTCAGGAACAAAAAGCGTTACTCATGCATCATACTATCGCTTGTGTAATGACCTACCATGTATGTATAAAGTAAATATTTACTGCCGACAATGCTTTGAATTATCCATAATTATGGGCGTCGGCTAGTGATTTGATCATCGAAATCACTCCAAACGTGTGCCTGTATCATTATCATAATCCATGATCGCAAGCTTTGCAGCAAGGAATATGGTAACAGTGTTCAGAGTTGTCACCACAGTGAGGTCCGCGTATTCCTTACGCATGTATTTATGTCACCTAAAAAGGAGTCCCAAAATTCCTATCAGACTAGGCATCCTTATCATAAATAAATGATAGTATACCTACCACAAAGCTCCATCAAGGAGCACAGCCAAATGTCATTAGGTACCAATGAGCACTTGATGTGAGTTACATAGATGAATACATGGTAGCCTCATTTTGGGAATCACATAATAAAGACTATCCTTGAGACCCACCAAAGGCCATTGATGATGAATACAAATAGAAGGAAGAAAGGGCGTATGATAATGTTGCTTACAACAGCCTTGTTTATATGTGAATGGGCGTGAGAATTGTTGTCATGATTGATCAAACTGATAAAGTGGTCAAGCATCTTGGAGTGATGGAAAATCAACCTGCCGCTTGAAGATGATGTTGTGTAGGTGACATCAAGTATGTTCAATCTCAAGTATCATTATATAAACATGTGATCTGTACAGGATGCTTTATTGCAGAAAAGGATGTTTCAAAAGTTCAGGGATGGTTTTACGATGCTTGGGTTCCCGTTCAAGGCATGATTTTAACACGTCCAAAAGACTCTCTTGCACAATGACATCAGGATGGTTATCATACTTGAGTGTGTCCGAGAATTTGATCTTGAAAGCGGGATTGAGGATGGCTTGCATTTTGGATAGCTGTTGTGTAAAGGCATGAAAAGGTGGAGACCCATACACCATTTGGTATAGAATGCAGCCAAGCGACCACACATCACTCGGTCGACCATGCTAAAAATGTATTAGTGTCAAGCATGTATCATAGCAACAAAGCATTACCTTGATAATCAAGTTGCCATCTTGGTCTGTTCCCCTCAAAGTTTCCGGTGACATGTAATTGAGTGTACCCAGCTACAATGAAGATCCAAAATGAGCCATCAAAGAGAAAAAAGAGCCAGCCATGCATACCTGATTTTCTCGTTGAATGTTGGTGGTATCGTTGGAAATAGCTTTCGCTATACCAAAATCAATCAGCTTCAACGTGTCATGGACGAGGATGAAATTGGCAGGCTTGAGATCGGAATGCACGATTTTGAGTTGATGTATAGCAGCCACAGCCTCCAACATCTAGATTTACTACGTATCAACCAAGGGATCATTTCCTCAAAGCAGTGCAACTTACCTGCTGCCAATAGTACCGCAAAAAGTGATAATTTAGAGGTTGACCCTTGCGCTTCGCCAGCAAATGCGCAAAATCAATCGACCCTAGTTCAAGCACCTATATATGAATGTGTCGGTTAATCTCTCCCTCATCCAACATATCCTTGTACCCAACCTTACCATGTAGATAGTCTGCTCTGAATGTCTGATTTCATGCTGATATAGGCATACGATGCGATCATTCCTGTTGAGTTTGCGAAGTAGCCGGATCTCATCTTTATATCCATCCGTGACCGATTTGTCGACATTGTTGATTTTGACGCATTTGATAGCGAACTTGCATTCACGTTTTTGTGACACCACTTCAAAGACTTCGCTTGATCCACCCGTGCCAATTTTCCCCAACACAATGTAACGTTCATCTTGTATCTATCATATACACCTGTCAGCCCCATGCTTCGTGACTCCTTCATATCTATACTTGCCCTGATTTCTGATCCAATGGTGGGTGCACTTGTGTTGCCTTTTTGTACATGTATAGGTGCTCGTAGTGGCAATGGTGGTGGTGGGTAATTCTCCTTGTTGCTCTCCTTGCTATCCTTGACGTCAAATGGGCGCTTAAATATATCATCGTCATCATCATGCTCCTCTTCTAATGCATAGAAAATGGTTACATATAGCCTATATTGCACATGGGTCAACTTACCATCGTCACTGGAAGTAGGAGAAGGAGGACGAGGACGTACAGTGTACGCATTTTCCTTTCTGGACGTGGGGGTGATATGCAAAGGTGATGGTGCGCCATTAACTTGAGCAGGAGCAGGTTTCCAAAATGAATGCGATAGAGAAGGTTGATTAGGCTCCTGATCTTGCTTCCAGTGGACATGTCGCCTTGTTGGGATATCCTATATCACAATAACCGCGATTAGCATACACAGCCATATACCATAAAAAAGAATGACCTACAGGAACACCGTTCTTCACAAGATCTTGCATCGTTTTCTTCGCCGTCGCCTGGTCGACCTCGTATCCCTTGTCAACAGATTTAGTTTTTGGATGCTTATGCCTTCTTCGGGTCAAACATTACCATATGTGATCTTGGACTGATTGTATCATTTTTTGGTGATCGCTTTTGACGTTTAACTGAAGTCGATGTCGAAAATTCTGATCGATCATGCCAAGAGTGGTTGGATGGTAGTGCTGAATAAGAAGAGAACGTTTCTATATCGAAGACATTTAATATTCAAGGCTTCAAACCATCTTTCATTATACCTTCACGTGACTTTGTTGGGCTGTGCTCGCTTGGTGAATCGCTTTTGGCTAGACAATGACAATGAGAAAACCGATATGACCATTTTTATCCCATATGATGGTACCTTTGAATGGTGATAATGATCGTGATGATAATGATAATGAAGATGAATTAGGGGAATCATGTGTGTCTAAAGGTATACAAGGCGTCATTATCACTTGTATATGTTCAAAAGGGAGAGGTAACCGTACCTGAAGAAATTGAATGGCGTGTTGCGGATAAGGGACGTTGTGGATCAGAGCTTCGGATAACAAATGGTGTTGATTGACTATACCCCTTTGTTAGAAGAAAGAAGACAAGCTACATTGCCAACCAATTCACCTTGTAACTGATATATGCCGTCTTCCTCGAATTTGCGTTGAATCGTTTGACTGTAATACATCGTCTTGGTTACCACTTTGGTGTTTCATATAAGATACAGGGATAACACATACGTTGTTGCTACCATGCGATGTATTGGTTGTAGATCCGGTCGTCAAGTTGTTCTTTTTAGCTGTGAGACTCTGGATACAGCTGCGTTAGATTCACGTCAACATCGATAACGAGGACAGTGATGGACTACCTGGAAATGGCGGTATTTGTTGAGAACATGGTCAAGTACACCACTACTTTCAAATTGATAGTCGTCCGAATCAGAGTCTGATAACGAGTCAGCTTTGTATAGTGAGTGTTCGTCAGATTCGTTCATGCTGTCCGCTGCATTGTTGTGTCAATGGATCAGCAAGGCCTGTGCGTGTATGAGAGAAGAGTCGAATGGGCTGAAAGTGAAGTTGATCTCGAACAAAATAGTTGGGAAGCGCGTGAAGTGAAGAGACGCGCCTGTATCCTTTTCCCGCTTACCCCATTTTTCTCCTCCCTTTCAGCACAACCACCTCATCTATTACACGACGTCTGTGCTGCTCAATATTAGTTGCACTCTACCCCCACCCCCACATACAACAATAAGAAGAAGAATCATCCAAGGAGCTGGTGATGGGGATATTGCATAGGGTATCCATGGCAACTACATGTATGTATTATGTATTGGCCCACCAAATATGAGAAAGGAAGTAGGATAATACGCACGTTTATGCACAACATCCCATCCACAGCAGCCTGTCATGAATAACATCCCCTGTGACACACAAATCCACTGCACCCACGATATGCGTTAAAGAAGAGTTGCTGCTGCTGCATGATGGCTTCGATTGCTCATATGCATTTACATGTTTACCATTGTTGTAAAAGTGATAGGATCCAATACACATGCGTAATAAAGGAAAGCTGTATGAAAGGAGAAAGATGTTAGTAGTCGGTATATCCCAGGGATGATGATGATGATGTGCAAATGCTGTCAATATGACAAATGAAAAGAGCTCAATGCTGGAAAAAAGGAGAAGATGCTTATTGATGCGGTCTAAGCAGCTTGGATACATGGAGGAGGCTTGTTTTCGGCAATGCACACATAGCCACTTTCCACAAAAGAATACTTTTGACCGAAGACTACATGTGCACAAGGTAGACTTTCTCCTTTACTTTGATTGTTGTCTTGTGATACACACGCTCTCGTACAAAGCAATGTGGGTACACAGATACATAGTGTAATTGACAGGTGGCTAGCCATCATATTGCATCACCACTCTGCTACCGTTGCATACGATACCAGCGAGCTCCTCTAATGTTACACATGCAGGAGGATACCGTACATTTGAGGAAAGCTGGCTTTCTCGCACATAACAACGAATATGGGCAAAACAGGGTATACTCTTAATGCTTGGATGTTGGCGCATTCACTACATGAAAAATTGCCATCATCATCGTTAGGATATGTGGGACCATTGATAAACTTGTAGCATTTCCGAATGAAAGAGGGAGGTATGTGCGTTTTCGTTGTGTCACACAATGGTGTCACTGTTGGCATTATTGGCATTGTTTGCATTGAGCGTGACACAAACGATACCACGCCATGTTAAATGGTCACGTACGCCTATCGATGATCGGCAATAGGGAATGACAACAACACGATACATTTACGTGTTCAGTATACAACCTTTATTGAAATTGATTTATGCATTGCTGAATAATGGTGACGACGACAACAATGCAAGAGTGCTCTTGGGGGAAGTTTTGTGCTACAAACAACGCATTAGAGCAACCCTGATGATAAGGCTACAATATCACTGTATAATCAAATCACTTCAAACACTCAAGGAGGTATGGGGTTAAAAGCATATGTATGCGCGTGTAAGAGCGTTTGTGACACAACGGAAGATCGCATCCTTTGATTGTTGCTGTAGGCAACCCTCCCCCAACAGGTTTTATACCCTTAAGGCAGCAGCACTGATGATAATGGGGCATCTTTCAACCTTCAGTATGTGATGCAGAAACTTTCCATATGGCTGCCCGTTGCATGCTGCAGGATCTCTTTCTCGTGCAAACAATTCATTTCGCATGCATTTTGAGAGAGTGCAATATAGGAGATACAACTAGATCGTGTGTTGTCGTGCTTCCGACGCGTGCTGCAAATTGAACACAAGCAGCCAAATGAGTTTTTGAGCAGCAAACACAGCAAAGGAGACCCTGTACCACACTTGATTTTAAAGTTGGTCATATGTGAGCATATGTTATACATCAATGGATGATTGTGCCATATGGGATGATAATTTCTTTATGAACTTCCATCACTCGATTCATACACAAATGCAACATGCATGGTGGTGCAAGCAGTAAAAATTGTTCACACGCACTCAGAGCTTGTGATTAAGTATCATGGATGTATACTGCTGAAGACGACACATAATAATGTAGGTGTTGTGTGTTGTGCATAACGCATGTACATGTGCTCGTCGATGACAGGCAGATTCACGATCGGCGAGCATATCACAATTCTCTCAGTATGTGTGTATTTCTATACAGCAAGTGAATGCGTATCTACGTTACTCACACACACGCCCCTGATACTCCTTCCACACAGCTACATACAGAGTCCAGGATCTGGAACGTCCAAAATGGACCATTCTCTCTTTCCTCCCTATCATCACCATGTCCATTTTCCGCCATGCGATTACTCCCCCAGGCAAATAATGAAATGACAGCTGTCCACATGTGATCCCATGACACAGGGTTCAAATGCTTTGATGACGAGGATGATGCGATACGTTGCATTGAAAAGCATCAAAGTGGATTTTGTGTGGAGAGAGAGGGTCCTCTTGGCAATCTATTTTTGGGGGAGCCGTGTGATGTGAGAAGCAATTGGAATGCACGTCAAAGATTTCAACTCTAATTCTTTGGCAGTGAGTGACATTGTGGTGGGTGGCAAGAAGAAATCACTACACAAACCACCAACATGACCTTTGCAATCTCATAGTGCCCTCGCTTTCTCCCAAATTAAACCCACACTTCCGATCACACACCCCCCATCCTCACCTATCATCTATCGTATCCCCCCCTCACTATTTGCATGTCCGGAAACAACCAAGGTGAGTGCGTGGATCACCTCCCCAATTTGTACATCCCCCATTTATCTTCCACATATATAAAAGAACGTCCTAACTATCCCTTTTCATTTGACTCGATAATCCTTGTCTCTCTTTTTTTCCTTAATCATGGGTGGCAAAAAACGAAGTGCATCTGGTATTAAACTTGCTCCACCATTGCATCACGCCATCATTGTTGGCGAGAAGCACACCGACCACAAGACGTGCTTCACTATCCAAGTCTTCCCACAACAATCCGATCTTCGCTTTGTACATGGTAACCTCGTCTCATCGAAACGAACACCAACACGCCATCCATACACAATTACTCGCAAATACGACGACTTTGTCCAATTTTGTCAACAGCTGCATGATTCTTTTCCTGCATCAGAGCGTTCCATTACCAACCTTACCAGCCGCGCTGGTACGCGGTTGCTTCAAAGCCACACGTACGATGTTGCTATTGCACTTCCAAAGCTCAACACTAAGCGATTGAATTTACTACACAACAAAAGACAAGTGCAACTTCAACGTCGCATTGAACTCGACAAATTCATGGAAGCATTGTTTCGGCTTCCTGCATCCATATCGCAATCCTTGGTGGTACTTGAATTTTTTGGACAACAAAAGGGAGACACGGCAGAGCAAGTGCTTCGACATCAACAACAACAAAAGCAGCATCGCACCATTAGTGGTGGTGAGCCATCACGATTGACTCGATCACAATCATCAAATGTCGAAGATCAAGGCGCATTTGGTTCAGCTCTACGCAAGTCAGCATCACATCCTGAGTTGGTTCAAGATAATATGGATCCACTTGTACATCCATTGGACATGCCAACCTCGCCCGTTATTCAAGAAGAGTCAACATCACCATTATGGAAACGTTTTCGTAACCGTAATGTACGACCACCAACATCAGCAGCAGTGCCACCACCACCACCACCTGCACCTGCACCACAATCAACAACATCCTCGTCAAGCTTGACAAGTTTGTGTAGCCAAGCTGCAAGCATGATTATGCCTTGGGCTGGTCGTCCACAACAACACCCACTCTCTTCACAACAACATATGCGACGTGTATCACCACCCAATGCAGCATTACCATCACCTGCAAGGCCATTGCCTTCCTTGTCAACACCAGTGCCACGTCCACCTATGCAACAGCAACAACAGCAACATCCTCGTCGACCACGTAAAAAGTCTTCTGGATCAGCAAGCTGTTCATATCACTACTGCTCACATGCACCAACACCACCTTTGCCGATTCCTCAGCGTACTACAGCAGCAGCAGCTGGCATGGTGACCAGCAGTAGCATCGTTAGCAGCACATCTACAAGCTCCAGTTACAGCCATGATAGCCAAAGCACACGTGCTACCAGCGTTGCACCAAGTCCAAGCACATCGCCCACTTTACGCATGATAAAGTTTAAGATTGTCTACGACGTTGACAATATTATTGTCATTCAAGTGCCTCGCTCAGTAACCTTGACGGAATTACGATCTCGTATTATGCAAAAGTTCTCTGACCCAGATATCAAATTGCCAAGTGATTTCACGTTGCTATTCAATGATACACGATCGTCGGCTTCATCCAACACGAGTGCTGCTTCTTCCATGTCCGTTTCCAGTGGTACCGCCACCATGATCGACAAGGAGGATGATCTACGCACTGCCATGGGATCCATGTGGGTGCGTCTTGACAAGGTCACCCTTCGTTGCATTGCATAAATCTTCTTATCCATACCCCATCCTCGTACTTCTTCATTCATTTCATTTCTTTAATCCCTTACCATTCGTTGTTTCCACATCTCCTCCCCTACTTGTGTACATAGCTTCATCATCTCCACACACCATTCTTTGATCTATATGAAAAAAGGGACCAAGTCCCGTGCACACACACATACCTCATTACCACCCCACAAAACATCACTCCTTTTGATTGTGGACCCTGCATTCCCTGAAAATCCTTTTTTTGTTCATAGCTTTTTTCATCATTCCAGTCATTCATCTATGTAAAGATCTGTAAAAAGAAAAACAATGATATCTCTTTATTTGGGGCCTAGAGCCCATCCTATTCAATTTGTTGTTATCTACGTGTTGATAGCTTGGTGTTGTACAGTTTTTCAAATTCCTCCTTGCGCATACCCATTCGTTTGCGAATGGTTTTATTGAACTCGCTACGTCGTTTTTGGACCCTGACACCGCTCATACCAGGCTGGATTTCATCCTCATCAAAATATCCGAATTGGCCCGTGTGATTGCGAATCTCGTAGCCATTGACAAAGTCACGCGCTGCAATGGAGGTGCTGCCTTCCGCCTTAATATGCGTAATTGCCACAGGGTTGCCATCCGCACAACAAATATGCAATGCCTTCTCCTTTGGGCAATACACAAATGTACCTGGTGTAACGGCTTCCATGTCATAAATGGGTGAATCCTTGGGTAGATACATGTTGAGAAGTTGCATTGTGATGTGTCTTTGCTTGATCTTCTTGGATGGTTTGATGCGTGTAAATGTAAAGACGGTCCGCAAAGGATACTATCATCATCGTACCATTAGCTCTTTCTCTCCTTTCATATGTCCTCTTTGTTTACCTGTTCTCCAATAGCACGATGCAATTGTTCCACTTGCCATGATTCCATATCTTCAAAATCAATCTCACTCCACTCCTTCTTGATCTTGGGCGCCGTGGTCACTTGAGCCAAATCCTGTCTAGTAGCATTTGCCTGAAATAGGAAGTTATTACATTGAGCTTGACCATACCACAGATATCACATACCTTGCATTTATCGAAATTGTGCAATGTATCCACCAACAATCGACTGCCCATATCACCAAGTTTCTCCTTCAGCTCACCATACCTGGGTGCAATGATTCCATTCAAATTCTAGAGATCTGTGTTAGACATCATCTTCATTTCTCCAGAGATAGAAAGTAATACCATCTTTTTCTGTGCCAGAATCCTTCCAGCATCGAATGCTTTATCATCCAATTCCTGAATAGTGACACCTGTCTCATCATCGCCTGCGAGGATGGTGTGCTGAATAGGTGCTGCACCACGATACTTGGGAAGAAGGGAAGGATGCACGTTTAAGGCACCATGCTTGAATCCGTGAATGATAGGTGCCGGCACAAAGTAACCAAAGGATACCACCACACCCAAATCATATCCTCGATCCGTAGGTAGCTACACACGTCTCGTCAATATCATCCCTTCAATTCCTTTTGCTCTTTGTATATGTACCTCCCACCCTTCCAATGATTTAGCATTAGGTGGTGTGTGATGCACGGGAATACCATAAAGTTCAGCAAGGCCTTTGGTTGGACCTGACGAAAACAAACACAATGAACATCCATTTGTATCCACTCATTCATTTGGACGTACTCGGTGTGATATCCTTCAATTTGCGCCCTGTTCGCCGATCCGGTGGACATATGAGCTCGATACTTTCAATGCATGAGTTGGGTTTCCCTAGCAACAACCATGAGCAACCCTCCCATACGCGTCTCAACCACAATATCTCGTGTACCTTTTTCGACAATAAGAGACTTCAAGTGCTTGACTGCAAAATCGTCAGTGCCAAAGAATGCAATGCGGAACTTATTGTTGGAGGAGCTGTCATTAGAGCTTGAAGTTGACGATGCATAACAGCGTGTAACGAGGATTCTCGACGATCTAGGGATCTAGCATCAGAGAGGTTAGTGGGTGCAAAACTTGTTGAGCGATGAAGTATACTCACCAAAGACGATCGCGCTAATGGTCGAGAACAAGTGTACCAGGCAGCAGTAAGAAACATTTTGGAAGCAACCCACAAGACAACGTTGGGATTTCTGTTGTCGGCGCTTAGGACATGCCTGCCATCCACACCCAGGCACACACACCACACACATACAACGCCAGCTATTATCACCTTAGTATCTTCACCATTGTCTACATTTACCATCGATACAATTGTCTCTATATTTACATAGCATTTCCTTTGCGTAGAATGTATAAAGACCCTTTAAGCCAAAATCAATTGATGATGCATGTCCTTGATGGGTGATAACACATGAGCTTTTCCAATACCACAAAACGTGTCACAAGCATTAACACTACATCACTACAGAAAGCTATTACATAAAGTGGAACATAGATACAAACATGAATGCAAGATTAGATTGCATTTACTCAAGGCTCATTGCTTGTGCGAAGGGTGCTCAATTTACCCCTGACAACCCTTTCTTCGTTGCTTATCTTTGTACTTGACTAGCTTCGGGATGCGATTACAAATACAATACATTCTTCTTGGAAAGCCGAGGTATAGCAACCATGGGCTTGCACCAGTAAGCTTGCACATTTCAGTGTTCATTTGTGCAAAGTAAAACGACGCCGCTGTTGGAAAGGAGGAGTTGTAAAGGTGATCTGGGTGATGGTATGTGCATAGAAGACTTTCCTAAAAGATGTAAGAAGCCATGTGCAAAATGATATTTTTGGGGATGGTATTGGTCGATCTGGCGTATACAATGCATAAGAAAGAGCAGCAACACAGCATCTGGTATACACGCCATTATTCCTATTACTGTAAAACCGGAGTCCGTTATCATCTTGGAAAAAGGGGTAAGCAGTTAAAATGCATCCTCCCTTGTGTATTGAGCTATTTCTTCCTCCTACTTTCTCTCTAATCACCTATCCTTTTGATAATGAAGTTCTCAACAACGGCAGTATTGACAGTGGCTGCATGCGTTACCATGTGCAATCATCTTGCGGCAGCAAAACCTATGCCAGCATCCACCAGTGACAACAACAACACCAAGTGTCAAAGTCTTGACGATCCTCGTTCGAAGCATTTGTGCGATGATTACTGCAAGAATAATGGCATTGGCCATTCAAATGTGGTGCAATGCGGAAAGTACAAAGGCATTTGTAAATGTGATGGGTACAAGCCTATCCAACCAGGTAATACATAACATTCTTTTGCGGCCATCACGATTACGTTCAGCTAACTAAGATGTGATCCTTTTATTCATTATAGAATGGAAGGAAGATAAATAAATAGATCAAATATATGATAATTCGTCAATATAAAGGACTAGAACAGGGTTGCTCGCTTCACTTGTCAACATGCGGTTTCTCGTTCGATGGCTTAACACTACCTAAGTAGTAATGGTCTTACAATAAGCTTACATGTTTACGCAACCACATTACATATGTATATATTGATGGGCCACTCACCCTGAAACTCAGTGGACAGATCGCTTCACTTTTTCTCTCAAGGTCATCCCACTCCTCCTTATGGTACCACAAAAGCCATATACTCTTGTATGATCGATAACCGAACCACCTTATTATTGCATCTTCGAAGCAATGGTATGTAATCCACAAGCTAGCAACGTCCAACAAGCGTGTAATAAATAAACAATGCTTTATTTCATCTAGCTATCTTGCTACATTGCCACCATCGTCGTCTTCGTCCTCCGTCATCATTCGTACTCGTAGTCGTCACCAGTCGTCAATCTCATCCGTCACACCAACATCCAAAAATACACAAGTTGAAAAGAATGGGATCTTGCAGGCTTCCTTTTGAATCTCGTTGTCGTTATCATTGTCGTTGTTGCAAATGTGGTGATCATTATTGTAATCGTCATTGTTGCGAAACGTGGTAATCATCGTAATTGTCATTGTTGTGGATGTGGTAATCATCGTTATCGTCGTCTCTATAAATAAAAAGCAGCCAAGTTAGACCATCTGATACTGGAATGATGATGATTTGGTATACCGTTAGGCGATCCTCTCTAAGGAAGAAAGTAAATCAGAAGGAATTCACAAACCAAATCACCACCATACGAGCAATGTCGGGCGATCCCTTGTTCTTGAGAAGGCACTGCACGAATCACGCAAGGCCAGTTCTATCCATGGCAAGGAAGGACATCACTTACGTAGAGTCCAGGCTCATAGTTGTCCTCATTCATCCTCTCCAAAGAAAGAATGATCCCCAATCCTTCCCATCATTTCACACCTCATGAAAAGAAATCCTCAAGGGAAAGAACGAGCCTATCACGAGAAGAGCGTGTTGGTTCAACACATTCACGGCCGAGCCATTGCAAATCCCCTTTTACCTCAACGCGGTGACCATGCTCTTCCAACAACCCATCGTCATCGACCCATCAACTCAAACGCAGGCCTATAGAGCCCTGGACGCGTGCCAAGAAGCTTTTCCAGCACACTTGGCTTGTGCAGAGCGACGCAGCGGCCACTTGATACAGGCTGGGACTTGAACCCAAAGAGATGATGATGATGATCCCCCAAGTTGCATTGCCTGACCAAAGAAACCTATTGAATTCATTATTAGCACACACACAATAAACACCATTTTCATTGTTTGTTTCATTGTACTTGCGTTTTCCATATACACAAAGACCCGTTGTTGTTGGTTACTGGAAACCGAAAACCATGGTATAGAATAGTTGAGCCGAAACAAAACGCCAAACCAGCCAACGTCTTGAAACCAAACCTGCCCTCTATACAAGCTGTCGCGTCAATGGAACCAATTCGACTGCAACATTGGACTCTGAATGTACCTGTTGGCACCAAGCGTAGAGCGGGAATAGCAACGAAACAAAGAAGAGGAAGCAACAATATCGCCATGGCAACCACGCTCCATTCCTCAGCCCTTGGACACGCTCACTCCCTGAGAATGCATGTTCAATGCCTCACAGCCAACAAGAGCACTCTTTTATAATACATTACCTTGATCGGGATGTTGTGAATGGGGTAAAAGCAGAGGAGGAAGAAAAAGTAAGAGAAGCTATGTCTCAAGTCGTGGAGCTGCTGTCCCCAATTTAAATCCCACACTGCCCTTACACTGAGGCTACTCAATTACACCACACACACCCATCCACCCACATACCCACCCATCCCCTATCACTTTAGTCAGCTATAAAAGCCTTACATGTGAATTTATATGATTAATGGATGCTCCCTTGGACTTTACAATGAATGATCCGGATACATACGTCGCGTACAAAAAGAGCTCTGTACTCATGTATCCATTATCTCAGCTTGACCATTATGCTTGAAGCTATCTTTCTGAACACTTGGATCGTACTTTACACTCTTTCCACGACAGCTACAAACATCCTCTTTTGTGCAACCTGTCAACCATGCATTTTTGACACGGCACTACAGTGCTACCTCACGTTCAGCCATTCACCTCTGTCCCATATCGAATTATCTTCCTCATTGGAGTGATTTGTTACCCCTCAATACCAGGTTCCAAAGTCGATGGGGGGGGGTTTTTGACGTCGTTTCCCTTTTTTTGGGGCTGACATCTCGTAATCCTGAGATTGGCTACTACGAACTTCATATTTTCAGACAAGGTGCTTTCAGGCACGGCAATCAATTTCGCCCTCATAAAGACTCCACGTTTCATTGTGTAATTTTGAGATATGGGTTCCTTTATCTTTCCGCTATGAGTTGTAAGCGTGATGAAGGGTGATCGTTATGTGAAAAGTGGTCTTTATTCATTGTTAAGCATTTGAACTGTATTGGAAGCGTGTAACAATGCTGAGAGGTTGAAATAAAGGAAACGAGATCCTATCAGCAGCAAGGTAATTTTCGTTTTGAATGATGATAACATAGAAGATCGCGATGGAAAATGGGAAGGGCTAGGTATAAATAGAAAATGGGCAAGCACAACAGAGCAAAGCCAACGATACAGTAAAAATGCCTTCACGCATATCAATGCAACATCTCGGAATTAATTTCTTGTGGCGATCGTTGGCTGGGTTGGGTTGGCTCCTCTTTCCTTTGCATATGAAGCACCCACGATCCGATGATCCTGACGACGAGGAACGTTATAAGCGTTCGTGCAAATTGCGAAAGCAACTAGGCCCAGAATTCCTTTCTACTCGTGCTGGTCCAGGTAGGAAAGAAAAGAACGAGATTGACAACAGCTGTACGACTGCGGATTGCTAATGCAAACCATCGAAAAAACAACAACCAGGTGGTGCCAAGTTGACCTACATTGAAGGAAGAAATGCCATTGAGCTTGCGAATGAGGTGTTCGGCTATGATGGATGGTCGTCAGAAGTGCGCAATCAACATGTGGACTATGTAGGTGTTATTTTATGCGATAGGACCATATCAGTTTCACTGATCAGGTATTTGTTTCCAGTGCGAAGTGGATGAGCATGGTCGATACCAAGTAGGCGTATCAGCTATTGTACGTGTTACTCTGAAGGAAGGCAATTTTCACGAGGTATGCTATAGCCATCAATGAATGTGTGGGCGTAGGTGTTAATGGATGATGGTAGGATTGTGGATATGGTTTCTCAGAAGGGGTGAGACAAAAAGGTGCATCACTTGAAAAGGCAAGTACTATTACATACAATATTCTCCACCATCATGCTCATTATGTGATATACAAAATAGGCACGGAAAGAAGCCTGTACCGATGCTCTTAAGCGATCCTTGCGAATGTTTGGAAATGCGATGGGTAACTGTATTTACGACAAGACGTATTTATCAAATATCGGACGCATGAGAGCCACAGCAGTAAGTCATCGTATCAAGTACTCAAGAGGACGACATGATCATTAAGCATAACCAATGTAGCCACCCTTCAAACCATCCGAGCTATACCGTGATCCGCGATGTATTCAAGCGCCACCTTCTGCATCTATCTCCACCGAGATGCCTGCTCACCAACCCACACATCAACCTCCAAAACCCGAATCAAAACCTTCGAATAAACCACCCACCACAATACAGCAATCGAAGCCGACAGCACGTCCTCCAACCTCAACTCCAACTCCAAACAAGACAACACTTCCTCCAACTTCAACCCCAACTCCAAACAAAACAACACGTCCATCAACTTCAACCCCAAAGTTACCATTGACAACACAACAAACAACAGCTACCCCAACACCAAGGAAGCAGCCGTTCTTTTCACGCCCTGTTACAACTCCACAACTCCAACCATCATCAACAAGACGCGAGAGAACCCCTTCCCCAATCATTTCCAATGATGATGACGACGACGAGCCTCCTATTGTCAGTCCCGTGCCTCCAAATCAGCAACTGTTTATGCGAGATGAGAGTTTCGCTAGTGGTAAGCCTTTTTTTGTTATTCAGCATGTTAGAGGTGACTAATAGCTATTTGAAGCGGATGACTCCTTCTTTGCTGAGTTCATGGATCAAAACGAAAACCGTATCATTGAGGAGCACATCATCAAAAAGTAAGCGTGAAATGGGCCATCTAAAAGAGGATCATTCACTGATCATTCCTTGCTTTCATGCTATCAGCTCTCCTGTCAATCGCAGACCCAAAATGTAAGTAGAAATGGCATCGTGTATTTTTGGTCTTACAACTCATGTGCTGTAATGTAGGCCTGATGGCTCCGAATTCAGCCCACTCAACAAGAAGTAGCTGTTTCCAATCCATTCATTAGCGCATCACATGTATACATATACCACAATATCATGAATGAATAGCATAAAACATTACATAACAATCGATTAGCTTGCATGTGAACGGTTTTGCATTACCTGGAAGGAGCTGATGTAGGATAAGTTTGATGATAGTGAGTGGGTGGATTTTATGTATAGCAACCTCCCCATTCCTCTAACTGCTCATGACCCGGTACATAGATCACACCTAACACCCTTTACACTTGTTGCTTCACCTTCCCCGTACACATTTTAGAGTCGCTCTCATGCTTTAACCATTGATAGACAAGACCTGTTTATTGCTCTGATTGTTGTCGTTGACACAGCTTTTAAACTACATGTACTAGCGATGGAATAAGCACCTTGGGACTATTTCGTTTTTCTACTGAAATGCATAATGATAGAAATAAGAATCTGGATGAAGCTTAAGAGGGACATGGACCAAAAAAAAGTGAACCATACCATAGCTTGGGGATCTTTGTGCTGGGAATGGTATCGTTGGCAACCGTGTGGGCCTGTAGTAGAGTTTTTGCCACGGTATTTATGATGAGGAATGGCCATGGATATGGCGAGGAAAAGAGGAAGCAGCATCGTAATGGATTTCATTTTTCTCATATTGCTCTATGTGGACAAGTGTTTTGATCATATGCTAACAACCAATCTCAAGTGCTTTATATACCTAAGGAGATCTCCGAAATGACCACATTTTACACAATGAAAACATGCACCATTGTTTACACCCGGGGGTTTGCATACTGCTAAAATCATGGAATTTCTTTATTCGTAAAACCTTATGACTGAGCGGTTGATGTTGTCAACATCACATTTTGTGTAACGGCCTAGTACCCTCAATTTGGGGATCAGATAATAAAGACTATCCTTGAGACTTACCAGAGACCGTTGACGATGACATACAAGTAGAAAGAACGGGTGTATGATGGTTCTGGTGAAAACAGCCTTGTTTATATATGATTAGGCGTGGGAAGTGTTGTCATGATTGACTGAACTGATAAAGTGGTCAACCATCTTGGAGTACCGAGTCGAAGTGATAGAAAGGTGGTTGTTGTAGGTGACATACGTATGTCCATTTATTGATAAAGATGTGTCTCTAACATGGTATCATCATTGTATTAAGAAGTATGTGATGCTCATTTGTTTTGCTCCAAGACTTGTCCAAATTGGTCAATTGCTTGCTCCAGGTCCCAGATCGTCCAGCGATCATGATCCTTGACTGTTTCGATCCCTTGATTCACTGAATCAGCATATGGCTTGTATCTTTTATCCTTTTTCATCTTTTCCAATGGGGTGATCCAACCGTCAGCTGATGGTGAGGGTGATGGTATTGGGCTGAGCACGCCACGAGCTTGCAATCGTGATCCAATAAAGCTATCCAACAACACTGCAAAAACATGCCAATCTTCCCCCATGGCCTGTGCTTTCCATCTTGATGCTGTGCGTGACAATGACACAATACTAGCCAGTAATCTTTGCTCCTGATCACGTGCTTGTTGAAATAGAGTCGCAAACATGCGTACAAGGTGCACCGTCTTTCGATTGGGTTTGGCAATAGAAATGATGGCGGCAGCTTCTTCGGCAAGACTTGCAAGTGGATCCGTTCTTTCCTTGGCTTGAATGTATACACACACCATCAACATGCACCCATTGTCTAGACTATGCTGAAGCAAAAGGCTGTAGTCCGCATTGGTTGAAGCAAGTAGTTCACCAAGTCGTTGCCATGACGGTGATGTTGAAAATACGCGTAAATGTTGCTCGATACATTCCTCCATAGCTTGTGTACTTTCCTTGGTGATGGTGCCTGAACGAGCAAAAGCAGCAAAAAGGGCGACAAGTGTACAAGGGCGATTTGTCTTGGATGTGATGGAGCCATCAAGATCATGAGCCAGATTACTGAGAACAAGGACCATCTCATCGAATTCCATACCACGAGCATCCTCAGGTGCATGAGCATCAATGACTTCATACAAGTGTTGTACCCATTCGTGTCTAATCCTTAGACCATCATCGCTATCATTGTCATTGGATGCTGCCAATAGTGCCATCACAAAGTCAACAAAGATACGACGTTGCCGCATGGGAATATTGGGCTTGCTGAATCGAGTCATATTTCGCACCCATGCAATTGCTAATGCCATCCCCGTAACCTTGTCAGCTTCAAGTGGTTGCATTGTACCATGCCAGTCGTCCTTGAACTCCGCTGTCAATGTTGCAATCGATTGTGTTGATAATTCAGGATATCGTGCCCCCAATGATCGCCATGTGCGATCCAAACTTTCCAAGCGTTCGCCATCGTCAGACCAGATTGCATCAGCGTCTTTTACAAATATAAAAGCCATCTCGACATGATGTAAACGTTGCTGTGTATCATGTGCTACAGGCCTTGATGTGATCCACGGTGAAAGCACGTGCCAAATGAAATGCAGGTACGCGATACGTTTACGCCTATTGTTGCGCACCAATGCCCACGTTTGTCGTATACGTTGTAACACCTTGGTATTGATATCCATATGCTTCCATGAAAGATCGCTAATCGTGTTGCCAAATCGTTCAAGCCATCCCCCATCGCCATGTTGCTCACGTAAAAGTAGCTTCTCATGATAGTATGCAAATAGCCATCCAAGAAGCTGTGCATTGTCAATGAGGTTGTCATGCATGAAATTCAAAAGTGTATCATGATACGCTCGCAAAAAGAGCCCTGTGTGCGTTGTAAATTCGAGGTCGTTGCAATCATTGTAATCTTGTCGCCACCATGGATGAAAACATTGGCCCAAGTACCTCCACATAAAAAGCGTCGTATCATCACGCGTCTCTTGTTGTATCAATCGATTGTCGTTCAATAGGCAGACAAGTAGACGACACAAAGCAGGGCTTGCATCACCATAAGTTGAGAATAAATGCTTGGTACTCATGAAAGATTCACCCAAAAAATCAAGACAAGAGATCACACCATCACGAGTCAACTCATGAAGAGCACCATCAAAGGATCCACTCTTGCTTTGCAATGTATCCATGGCTTCAGATGGTTTGCCACCAAGTTGTGTAGTGAATGTATCCATCAGCATAATACGTGCATCGCAAGCACTATCACGTGAATCGGCCAATAGGTTAAGGATCCCATCCAGCACCTTGATTTGCTCAGGTCGTTTCTGCTTCCTTGTACCAATATGCTGCATCATCAACGCAAGTACCATGTCCGTGTACTTTTTGCATAGCTGTTCATCACCTTGAGCCACCGCTTGTTGCAAGCTATTGAATGCTTTGGTATAAAATTGTTGACGCATTGACTCTGTTGCATACGATGTCGTACTCCATGCCACCATATCGAACAATGGCAAGAGTTTGAGTTGCCCTGGTGAATTCAATGGCCGCACACGATCAAATGTTGCAACAAGACGTTTGTTGTCTGCATGAGGACGAAATGCAGGATAAACCAAAAGCACTCGATCCTTATCATTGTCAACGAGTGAGAAAAATCGATCAATGTATTGCGGCTCATCAGCTACTGCTTCTCCAAGCAACTTGCTCATATGATGGACAACGGTTCGAAATGGCGGATAATCACGGGTCTCGTGAGTGAGATGATCAAGAACATAAGCAAGACATGACCAGCCAAGATGAATGAGTGCATTGTTGGGTCGTTTGTTGGCTTTTTGTTTGGCTTGTTCAACAATGGCATCAAACTTGTGGAACGTGATCAACGCCTGGATACACACGGTCGCATCAACAGATCGAAACACAAGCTGATCGGACTCCTGCCTATTTTCTTTCAATGCACGCTCGATCGCCTTATCAGTCTCAACGCGACTTGCATCCACATCCCAAGAGGCCGGTCGAGAACAATTGTCATTATGGTTGCTATCTGCTCGTGCACATTTGGCTTCCACATGCTCTGTTTGTGTCGTGTTGGTATACAAGTTGCTGACCTTGTCAATGTAATCCGCATCCAATATCCGTTGTCGTTCCAAATGCCCATAAAATTTCTCAGCATGTTGACCCATAGTACGGATGGTGGTTCCAATAAGCGATTCAGCTGTTGCAGATAGTAACTCGGTGGACGTCAATCGCTGTGCAGGCTTCTTGGGTTGATATTCAGGAGCAGCCTTGATAATATTGTCGGCATTGTGATGTGCCACGCTTTGCTTTCCTCTATGGCTGCTGCTGCTGTTGTTGTCGTCACCCATGCCAGGTCGAGGTGGAAATGCTGGATGTTCAACATAATACTTTTCTGTGCCTGGCCAAGGAAAGTCTTTGAATGCTTTTTCCATGCTATCCACATCCACGAGATCCAACCATAAATTACTCCACTTGTGCCAAGGTTGCTCAGGTTCCCAATCCTTTTCATCATCCTTCGGGGCATTATCCGTCGAGAATTGTCGACATGATGCAAGACGTTCTGGACAATAATGAGTTGGCAATGTCGATGTGTCAAACGTAGTTGATAGTATATCAGCATCCCGATCGAGCCATAGCCACATGGCATAATACGTTTGTCGCATTGTCTCATGATGGTCGTTGCTATGGTCACCAGCGGACGATCTTCGTTGCCCATGGAAAGTTTGCAAAAACGCAATACGATCACGTAATCTTTCAATCAACTCCTGCTTCCTGGAAAACAACATTGCACCATAAAAGACACGCTTGCCATCCACTTCAATGCTGGCATAGTATAGGCTAAAGAAGGATTGCAGGAAGAGTGGCATCAATGGATGATCAGGTGGACAAATCAACACATGCTGGAGCCATCGATAAGGTGATAGGAATTCCACAGGCTTGGCATCACTGATATCCTTGAACATGGCTGATACATCAACGTCTTCTGATTCTTGCATACAGCATTGGCGTCCAAAAAATCGTCGTAATCCTTGATCTTGAACAGTCTCGAGCATCAATACATGAAAAGCAAACCATAGATAGTGTTGTTCCACGCCTGGTGCACGAAATAAATTGGTGGTGGTAATTGAAGTGAGTGACCATTCGCCCGCCAACAAACTCGAGTATGCTGTATCTGGAAGGATGTTCTTGATCATGCGAAGTGGGTTACGATTTTGCTGTTGTTCTTGCTTTTTTGGTGAACGTGGTGTTGGTGTCGACGTTGATTTACGAGGCTTTTGTCGTTGTGCTGCCAATAATCGTTTGTGTTCCTCGCCTAGCATCATCTCCACCAAATCATGGCGTTGTAAAGAAAAGGCAACCTTGCATATATAATCCATAATAGCGACATGGTGCTCGTTCCACATCCAATCATGTCTTTGAAACATGGTCTTGAGCCACGAATGGAGAATTAGGTCACGATACGAGAATCCACCACCACCATCCTCTGATGCAAACTCACTCATGACAGTCGAATCAATGAAGGTACCTTGCCAGATATGTGTAGCCACCATCATGCTCACTCCATTCAATCCTTCCAAGAACAACGGGTCATGCGTGGTCTTTTGTATCAATGCACTGGTGTGAGTGGCAAGCATCGGGTCTGATTTGAAGTCGAGCATTTGACGTGTAAAGTTGTAGAGGTTGCTGTCATTGAACAAATCATCTCCATGCATGTATACAAAGGCGGGTATAATATCAGATAACGCATACACCACTGATTCGGGCTTTCCACTACGACGTAATACTAGTAGCATCTTGTCCCATCCACTGCCACATTCGAAACGTAAAAAATGTCGACTCGTCGCTGATAGCAATAAGGCTACATACACCACCAATGCAGCATGCGAAGCCGTGATGTCATTGTTTGTATGCAGCATCTCTCGCAAGAACACCCCAGTGATGGATGCATCAATATCCGAAGCACGTGATGAGATAGGACAATCATAAAGCTTGAGTTTCATTGCCATCCTCCAAGCCCATTCAATAATGTTGTCATTGTTTGATGGTGATGCTGAAGAAAATGTTGCCCTGGAACCCATGGATGGCAAATACGAGGACACTGCAACACCAACAGTCTTGATGAGATGATCGTTTTTGTGGTCAGAGTCGGGGAGTGGATGGAATACCTGGCATGCATCAAGTAGCAGAAATGCCAACTCCTCATGGATCTCGTATGGTTGAAATGGGATCCGTCGACTGTGCCATGGCTGTGACTTTGAGAGTGTCCCATCCTCCTCATCTCCATAATCCAAATTTATATGCTCAAACACAAAACGTGCAAACATGGCTTGTGGTGTATGTGTACTCTTATCCCCATGCTGCTCCTTGTTGCCACATAATAACTCATGCAAGCTGACGAGATCCTCTTTGAGTACTTTCCAGTGGTGGATGGGTAATGATCGAAACAGATACATAGCCATGTTGCCCTCCATCTCAGTAAAATGTGCCGTAGTCCATCGCAATAATAAGGATATAGTGAATGGGTGATAAGAACAAATAGTACCAAAGTTGTCTCGAACATCCTTATAATACATGTCGCGTATACTGGTATCGAGAAAGGCCACAGTGAATAAAGCATGCGCAATGACGGTGATCAAACAAATCGGTAATGGCGTATCAGTGCTACGCGTAGCATCACGTGGGATGGCAACAATGATGCTGCACAAACAACCCAATAGAAAGATGCCCTGCACGTGATTGTTGGCAAGGAAGCTGAGGAGTTGAGTGATATCAGGTAGGTGATGAAAGATATGCTTGTAATCCCGTGACATGTCGTATTCCCGGATATCCAATACGTGCTTTGCAATCTTGCATAATGTCTCAATCGATACTGCATGATACGGAAGTGTCGGCAAAAACTGCCATACGCTCGGATCCTGAATAGCGAGAAATCCATCCACCACCTTGACCATAAACTTATCCATGTGCTCTTGACCTTGCAATCGACTAGCCAATTTCTGTGATATCCGACATACGCATTGTGCCAATCTTTTGATGAGGTTGGTATGGTTCTTGTTTGCAAATGCCTGAATCCCCGTATTGAGCACTGTTGTAAGCTCCTCTGAAAACGTAAACAACCGCTCTAGACCCTTGGAATCAGCATGTATGGATGGCTTGCGAAAAATGTCTGAAAGAATGCAATCGTATACATGCACAATGGCGAGCTGATCTATGCATGCAAGATAATCATCTTCGATCCAAGGTGGTGGGTCATGGTGCATAGCTGGATCCAATAATAGTCGAAGCGCGCCAATGTACTCTTGCATAAACAAAGATCGGTCATTGTCATTGCTTGGTTCATACGTGTACTGGACAAGTGGCATGGCCCATTGTATCCCTCCTCTCATGTGCAATAAATGCGCCAACAATACTCCACGATCTGCAAGTGGCGCCAAACCAAGGTATATGCTCGATACATGAATGATCCACGTGCGTACGTCTTTGACAAATGCAGACACCTCTTGTGATGCAATCTCTTGCTCATCCTCCTCCACTTCCTCTTCGTCATGGTGACGGTAGTCAAGTTGCTCAACTGCTGCAAAAAGGGATCCAAGCATTTGTCGCAATGACGATAAATCTTTTTGCGTCGTGGTGCTGCTGTTGTTGGTTGCACTTGATCGATGATGAATAGTCCAAAGGGTATCGTCAATCAACGTTTGTGTTGCTACGCGTGTCATTCGTGCTTCAAACAATAATCGATACAAATTGGTGTTGATATCGCTGCGTAAACATTGCATAACGTCGTTAAGCTGGCGGCTCTCAGCGGATTGAAAAGTGACATGATGGCCCTCGTGTTCGAACATGACCTCATTTCCATCGCCACACTTTCCCTTTAACGTTGTCATGATTGGTTCCCACTTCCATAGACGACCAACGATCGATTCTTCCTGTCGCCGTACATCATGCATGGTATCCAAGATACTGTGAATACGATCCAACTGCTGCTTGTATTTGGCCAATATCGGCGTCAACGCTGTATCCTCTTGTTGCCAGGTACTATCAGCATAATCCAATGTCGTTGTCGAGTCTCGATCGTGATTGACTGTGGCAGTGCTGTTGTTGCGTGATGACAGAAAACGGACTATAGCTCATCTTAGTAATGCTTGGGTAGGAACGACAAGGACACTACACCTACGTTTGGAATTGAAAATGCTGCGTTTACTGCCTAGCACAATTCAGTGAGTCTCTTGTTATCAAATGGAACCAATACAACCACAATCTACCTTGCATTGTCTACTGTGGAATGAAATGTCTAAAGTGGGGTGCACTTTGGAGGGAAGAAAGCGGGTCAAGAAAATGGGAAAACGAGGGCGGGATCATATCGAAGCGTGCATTAATTCCACCAGCAAACCAGCCCAATGACCTGACGTATCATCTTTGCCTCATGATCAAGTACAGAATAATATTTCCCCAATTGATACGTATGCCTCATTGCATGTGTGTCATCTTGCATAAACATGACATGGGGTGCTTTAGAAGATCTGATCATCTCGTTACTAAGAGGAGGCACATGTTGTTGAATGAACGCACCCCCTTCTTTTTTACCCAACGTCCCCCTCGGCATATTAACGTTGGAGCTCAGCAGACGTGGGGGGATGGTTCAGGAATGAGGCAATACGATGAGCTAATAACTACCCTGCATGTGCAAATACGTGGATCATGCAAGAACATGACCTTGGGTATCACTAAATCCCCCCTTGGTATTCTCGAATGACGTCTGAAAAAGAATACAAAGAAGAAGAATGTTATATTATATGATTAAGAAGACTTGTTATATGCGTAGCAGTGAACATGGAATGAATGGATCAATATAATAAATGTATGGGTGGTGTGCATATGCGTACGATTGTAAATAGTGTGTAAGGATAAAAATGATGAAAGCATACACTTTCTTAATAGACGAGCTCATATTTGGAAGAACCAGTATCATCGGCAGCATGATTACGGAACTTTTGACGTTGGAAATCATCAGCTGCCGAGTCGTCAGATGCCCTATCCGTAGGCGAGTGATTGCTGACATTGGGGCCAACAGCATGCTTCTGATACAGCTGCTGGTACCTAAGTTGCTGTTGCTTGAGATCACTCATTTCATCCTTGTCGTTGAATGATATGGTTACGCCTGGTGCCGTGTAACTGGTACTTTCGCCTGTGGAGGTGGGAAAAGTAGAATCACCACCACCTGTGCCACTCGATGAGTTTGCAGCCAATGCTTGGTTCTTCTCAAACTTGGGACTATCAATAAAAGATTAGCTACGTGTTCTTTGACACATTCCTAAATACATACTTGATGATGATGGCTGCTTCAACAAACACCGTTGTCATGGGACCAAGGTATGTCCAAATGACAGCAAGAATGACACTGCCAACAGTGGATGTCATGATACGATCACGCAAGATTCCATACAGCAAAAGGAACGAGGCAAATGACATGAGACACACAATAATGATGCCTACCAGCATCTTGATTTTAAAGATGCCTGTTTTGATAGCTTGATACCGAGCACCATCCTTTCCAAATCTAGCCAAATGCGAATTGAGAATTCGAACCAAACGCCATCCAGCAAAAAGCACAGCACCGCTGAGGGAGGCATCGTGAAGGAACCAAAAGCCATATAGGAGTCGAGCAAACACTTCGGCCACATACAAGTTGGAGTAAGCAAATGCACCAGAGATGATCGAGCATACATTGTTGATCACGAAGGGCCATAAAAAGAACCATGAGCCCAATAAATCAACGACTTGAGCGGATGGCAACCATCCAGTGGATACGGCCTTATGGCTCTAAACATCCATTGTTAGCACCGACGAATGGCTTTATCATAATCACGTGCAAGAACATATACCTCAGCTAATGTTTGAGCAATACCTACAAGGTACAGCGCAAAGCTGCCATACCCAAATTGCCATGGAATCTCAAACAAGACTATAAAATCGGATCAGAAAACGTGTATCGGTATTAGTACATCGCTTTTATGTGATGATGGTTCCGACGGTGGTGAAACATCCTCAGCTTTATGATGGGTGGGAAGAAAAAAGTGAGGAGTTGGGAGGGTCACCAGGTATTGGGAACCAAAGAGGTCTCGACCCCACAAGCACACTACTACTTACATGAACGAGCAATCATGTTTGTCGGCGCAACATCGACCACCAAAATTACACTAGAAATCAATCGCACTAATTTCCCAAAAGCTTTAGCGCGCTCTATACTTGTCAAACAACAATAGCATATTCTGGATGACTCACGGATATTGTAAAATGTCAAGAGCACCAACATAGAATCCACCGGCTTAGGTCGAAGACATCCACCAGCTCGTCTATAATCCCATAGCTTATGGCCTTTGATAATCAAGCGATGGATGATCAAACCAATACCTATTACACACGCACATGCCAATGAGACAATAAATTAGCTGAAATTCCTGTCTCTTTTCCATACATGGATGTTCCACAGGATAACATCATCATCAAATGAATGCTGTAATGAAAAAAGAATTATATCCTCCTCCACATTATTATACCGTCAATGATGATGATGCTCCATAGGTATACCATTTATATGGAAAAAGATGATACAACAACGTACCAACAGCTACAACAAGACCTGAGAGGGCAATGTTGACAATGTAGATGTAATACATGGCAGTTTCTTCGGTACAACCATAAATGGAGATTCGCCAGTCGCAATGGCACTCGTCTTCGACACAGTGGTGTGAGAGCGTGCGTGTGGTAAGGTTGTCTACTGTTAGGCCGGACATGCGTTTTTATTGTCGACAAGGAACGTAGAGCCGAGAACAGGTGGGTGAAAAGGAATGCGGATGCGATGAGGAGTGTAAGGGAGGAAAAAAAGAAGCGTGTGATGTGGAAGGATAGGTGGCAAAAGATCCATTTTATAGAAGGCGGTGTGTAATGTAATGATGATGGTGTCTCCCGAGATAACAAACTTTGAGGATGGCACACGATGTTAGTTAAAGTTGGAGGCACACCCTTTAGCTCAGGATACGCTTTACTCGGCATATTCCACGCGTGTATAATACGCGTGTGTGTATGTGTGGAGATATAATGAAACTTGCCTTTCGAATTCAGATCCTTCGCGGGTTGACCGAGACGACCCTTATGAAATGTTGTATGTGCCTAAAAGGGGAGGTTGTGATACACACATCGATCCATCCTTTATGACTCCGCCCAATTGACATAAATGTCACTCCTTGAACCTTATAGCAGCAATGTGCAATGGTCACCGCGGATTCGACAGGGGCTTGCATATCGTTTCACAGACTCGTTATCAATATCATAGATGCAGCAGGATGACGTATCTCTTGCAAATACATGATTGATCCTTCTTCCTATTGCTAGAAGAAAAGTGTTGTTGTTGTCAATACACGTGGCACACCGATTGCTGTTACACCATGGTAGGCTGTTTTCATAAGATCGCGAGTATTAAGCTGACGTTGCAACTTGTCAGCGGGTGCGGGCAACAACAAGCGGATATTTTTGGAGAGCTGGTGCAACTTCTTTCGCTGAAAAGACACTTTTTTCTTATCAGGGTTATAGCGAGGGAGAGTGAAATTAATCGAAGCAAAGGAAATCCACATCAACAAGCATCACACAAGCATATGCATGCAACTGTGGAAGTGATCGACCATGTTCCCACAAAAAGAAAGTCCCGATGCTGCTGCAACAATGTTGTGCCATTGTTGTGTACGCTTGCATAGGTGCCTAGAGTAACCTTCTTCCGCCCTCTGTCTCAATACTATACCCTCACATACCACGCAAGCACTTGCACACTGAGACTAGTCTTGCAATTGAAACCAAGCACGTGCACAAGGGAAGGAATTGGTGATCCATGTTGGTTACACGAATCATGGAATTCCGATTGCTGAAATGAAAAAGCACAAGGGTCTATTAAAAGCCTGAATATAGAACACGCGCGGGATAGTAAATGCCGAAAAACAAGAGAACAATGTAGCTAAGAATATGATGTATAGATGGCTTTACAATGAGAGGGTGTCTTTGTGTTATATGATGCGAGGGGGGAAGAGTGTATACGGATGCGGGTGGATGGGTGGTGATGATAAGTTATATGATAATACTGGAGAAGGTCTTGTGATGGATAATGCATCTATCGTTCTGCACGCATCAATTGTACTTGGGATGAAAGATCATCTTGAGGATCTTCTGGAAGGCGCTCTGTTGGTGGTGGCCAATGAGGATGATGATGCCCCGGGTCATCATGGTGCGTTGTTGAAGGGTACAAATCATCGAGAGCAATCTTTTCAGTGCCGATATTACCAATACCCGAGATCGTGTCATTATCATATGAAGAGTATCCGGTGATGGTATTGTTGGTGGTGAGAGTTGTGTTGTTCCCCATGTATTGGGAACGTTGATTATGCTTTTGAAAGACCTGTTCATATTGCATTTGTTGTTGTTTCAGATCTTCAAAGGCGTGTTGGCTCATGGTGGTGGTCTGAAAGCTGCTCTCCATATTTGTGGTTACATAAGATGATTGCTGTGTGTCTTGTTCGTTGGATCCAGATTTACCGCCACTGCCGCTAGATGTTTTGAGACCGCCAATACCCGCATTCCCGATCTTGGGGCTATCAGTAGTAGTCAGCATGTTATGATCTGTATCCATGGCAACAAGAATTTGCTATGATACTCACTTTGCGATAACGGCAATTTCACAAAACAACGTAGTTAATGGGCCAAGGTAATTCCAGATAACACCAAGAAAGATGGATCCTGGTGGATTGATCATGATCAATGGTCGAAGAGCTCCGTACATTAACAAAAAGATGGCAAACATCAATAAGCAGGTTACAATGATGCCCATCACTGCTCGGATCTGTTACAGGATATCAATACATTTGTGCGTTTGATCGATCAATGTAATACGAACCTTAAAGATACCGGTTCTAACAGCTGTGTATCGGGGGCCAGATGCTTGAATCTTTGAAAGATGCACATTAAGGATGCGGACCAATTTGATACCCGAAAGCAGTACGGCAATCCCAAGAGAAAAACAATGGATGAACCAAAGCACGTATAATATCCGTACGCAAACCTCGGCTGCATAGAGATTGGTTTCGGCCATAGCACCTCCGACAAGTGCTACAATGTTGTTGGCAATGAACGGAGCAAAGAAGAATGTGCTGCCAATGACATCCACTGTTCTTGGCGATGGTAGCCAACCTTTTGAAATCGCTTTGTGGCTCTAATAATAAATGCGTTGATATATAAGTAATGTTCCCACACGACTTGTTTTCTCCCGCCCAATGATACATACATCAGCTAATGTTTGTGCAATACCCACAAGGTACAACGCAAATGCACCATAACCAAATTGCCAAGGAAATTCGAATAGGACTATATGTAGGAAAGTAAGAGTTAATCTCCATCATGTTGTTGATCTTTTGTAAAAGAGAATAGCATACTTACACATGCGAGAGACCATGTCGGGGGCGACATCCGTAATGAGAATAACACTTGTCAGTAGGCGGACTTCATAACAAACAACATGATGAGTATAGCTGAATGGAGACGGATAAATGCAGCCGGTGGATGTTGTTGGTAATACTAACGCAAGTTGAAAATCATAAGCAAGGCAAGCATACAATCAATCGGTTTGGGCCGAAGGCATCCTTTGGCTGATGAAAAGTCGAAAAGTCGATGGCCTTTGAATCCAATACGATGTACAAGCAAGGCGACACCTGGTATCAAAAGCCGTATGAGTTGTAGGTGTAAACAAACATGCGCATGAATGTATGTATGTGCACATACCAATGATAAACACTAATGCAGAGATGGCAATGTTGCCATAGTAAACGCCCGTCATGGCTTTTTGTTCGACGCAATTTTGTAATGTGACACGCCAGTCGCAGTGGCATGACCCATCAGCTAAGCAGTGATGTGTGAATGTGTGGACTGTGAGCTCGACCATGTTGTTGCTACGTCGTTGCTATGGTGATGGTCGATCGATTGGATTAATGTTTGATTGAGGGGGTATACGATCGGACGTTATCGTTGTTGTTGCTGCTGCGATAAGTCCACACACAAGCACAAAGACGTAAAAGAAATAAAAGAAAGAAAGAGCACAATGAAAAAAAAAGTTGCATGTTGGATACCAGCATGCAATTACTTTTTTGAGTAACCTTTTTTGAGTGATACCACGTTACCAGCTCAAATCACTTGCATGTAAATGAGTTTATTTGATGCTGTTGTTACAGCTGCTGACACCTGTGAGGTTGTATACAAGTTTACGGCCCGCGGTGCCGTTTGACATCCGCCCTGCGTGTAATGTTCCTGACAATCTTGCTTACATCAGCTGCATAAGCCCCAAAACTAACAAGCGTATTTTCGATCTCTTTCAAGTCATGTACTTTTCAAAGAAGTAGGTGCATGCCAATGGGATGAGTACAACAACGTGGTCAACATTCATAGCCCATGTTGCTTTTGTTAAGGTCCAGACTTTGCAAGGGGTTTTTAACCCGATAGATGAGCTAATATCTTCTGGTTGCGTGGCCTTTAAACCGCCGCCGTTGATTGTGCAACAAGGTTTCGTATTCCCCAAGGAAGATCGCTATCTATATACCTTTACCTGGTGCCGAATCTATGGATAAACACCACTTTAATTAAACGTCAACAACGTAGATCGACCCCAATTCCCGTCTACTGGATTGTAGTATCTTGAATGACAATAACGCATGACCAGATCATAAAAGTGGAATGAGCTGGTCATAGCTGAGTGCAAAGTGTAAATAGGAATAGGCAAGGAGTAAAATACATACCACGGCGTGTGGTGGGAGCGGATGTGATGGCAATCGATTTCATTCGTGCGCGCACACACACAGGCACACGCACACACACTCATGGACCTTGGTATGGTATTGATTTACGTTTACCCCTTGAACCTTGCTTGTTTTCTCTCGGTATGCAAGTTCAAAAAAGAATGCACAATTACAAACAGACGTTGTGCATGTGATTATGGTGGCGGTGATCGGTGCGGAGGTCTTTTTGGGGAAACGAGCACAACACAAGCAGGGAGGCACACACACACACACACAGCGGCATAACCTAAATTGTGAGTTAACAAATCTCGATTGCACATCATTGTCAGTGCAACCTCAACTCCATCATTCCACTTTTCTCACCCTCTTTTTTTGTCATAACAATACGAGATTGGTGCACGTTTTCTCTCCACACTTTTCTCTCAGCGGTGAATGATATTGATTAACATACAGCTAAAACTATAACAGCAGAGTGTATGTATGTATCTCCACGTGCAGCAAACCACTGAAGGGGTAAAACATGCGCTCTTGCGTCGATACACGTCATCTGATTTATCAATGTAGCACATTGTTGATAGCAAAAATGGACAATGGATCTCCTCATTTATGGGGAATGCTAATCTAGATTCGAGCTTTTATGCATCACAACCACATCCCATACTCCTATAGTTGCTAAATGAAAAGATCGGATCTATTATATGATGACGTTGACAATGTAAATACAAAAGAAAAAAGAGAACAATTAAAGCAATGTAATGGGTAAACTAAAGTGGGGAAGGGATGGGAGAACAAGATTCAAAAGAGAAGAAATGATTTACAGTCGTTGATGCAATGGTAAAGTTTGAAGATCAAAGTCTTGATTTGTATCAGTGGCCACAGCTTGATATCCACCAAATCGTCCATTTCCAATAAGCTGATTCCAAATGCGTGACCAAATGCTGGTGGTGGATGCCTTGATGGGGGTAGCATTGTCGATAGGGGTGAGAGGCTCTTCAATGGCAATAGTAGTTGAGGGAGCAGCAAAGTCAACTTGATCTTCTGAAACAAGAGTAGGTTTACGCCAAAACCATTTGAGTAAAAGGCTGCTGACAACGACGCTTGTAGAACTTGCTGCCATGGCCAAGCCAGCAAGCATTGGATGCAAGTGCCAACCGAGCGGCATGAAAACGCCCATTGCAAGCGGAATACCAATCACATTGTAAATGCAGGCCCACAACAAATTGATTTTGATTCGTCGAAAGATGGCACGAGACAAGACCAGAGCAGCCACCACGTCCGATAAATCACTGCGCATGAGCACCACATCAGCTGCCTCAATCGCCACATCAGTGCCACTGCATAGTGCAATACCCAAATCAGCAGCTGCCAATGCGGGAGAATCATTGACACCATCACCAACCATCGCCACTACAGCCCTGGAACGCTTGGATCCGAAAACATTCGAGCTCACCATTTCACGACGTTGCATTTGCTGCACCAGCTGTGTCTTGCCATTGGGTGAAACGCCAGCATGTACTTCAGTGATGCCCACTTGCTTTGCAATCGATTGTGCTGTCAACACGTTATCACCTGTCACCATAGCCGTGTGCAATCCCATCATGTGCAATGTTGCCACCACTTGTCGTGACTCCGGCTTGAGAACATCCGCCAAAGCAATATAGCCTGCAGCCACACCATCCCATCCAACAGTAATGCATGTGTGACCTTGCGCCTCCTCAGCCTCGATCGCACGAGCTTGCTCTGAACTCAATTTCATGCTGTGAAACTCTTCGAGAAATCGTTGATTGCCAATAACAATGCGATGTGAAGCTCCTCCTTTCATAGCCAAGCTGCGTAAGATTGCTGAATGATCATCGTCATCTTCGGTGATAGCAATGTCGCATTCGATACCAAATCCAGTCTCGCTTTTGAAGCCTGAGATAGCTGCAAGATTATCCAACAAATCAAGACCCGTAAGATCCTTGCCCTTTTGTACAACAGCACGACCCACTGGATGCTCGCTTTGTGATTCGGCAATGGCGGCAAGTAGCAATAATTGATCTGACGACAATTGTGTATCACTCCAGCTCTCGGCACGAGTCACTTGCAGCTTGCCAATAGTCAAAGTACCAGTCTTGTCAAAGACAATCGTGTTGACACGTTGACCATTCTCGAGCACAGCGCCACCCTTGAATAAAACACCATTCTCCGCGCCAACGCCTGTGCCTACCATCACCGCTGTTGGAGTTGCCAAGCCAAGAGCACAGGGACATGCCACAATGATCACGCTGATACACATCTTGAGGCATACGAAGAACCAGCTGCCATCACCATCATTCTCGATCTCGCTTTGCAGCATGGGCGGCATACGATCAATACCCAAAAACGTCACCAACAAGGACCATATCACCAAAGTACCAAGACCAAGGAGCAACACAGCTGGTACAAAATAGCCTGCCACCACATCGGTGAAGCCTTGGATGGGCGCCTTGCTTACTTGAGCATCCTCAACGAGCTTGACAATTTGGCTGAGTGCTGTATCAGAGCCGACACGGGTAGCTTTCATAACAAACATGCCGGGGCCATTCACTGTACCACCAATGACAGTGTCACCTTCCTTCTTGGATACAGCATCCACTTCACCCGTAACCATGCTCTCATCCACTGTCGAAGCGCCCGATGTAACAGTACCATCAGCTGGAATCTTATCACCAGACACAATCTTGAGTAAATCGCCTTGTTGAATAAGCTCCGAAGGAATACGCTTCTCCGAAATAATGTTGCCAGTGTGCTCATCAACCTCAAGCATCAATGCTGTCGAAGGTGTAAGAGACATCAACTTCGATAAGGCTGAAGAAGATTGTCCTTTGGCCATGTTTTCCAATAAACGACCTCCTGAAATGAATGCAATCAACATGGTGGATGTATCAAAGAACACGGTGGGTCGATGCGTTGAATGTGCACATAAAGATCGAAACATCGAAATGACTGAAAAAGTGAATGCAGCAAGTGTTGAAATCGAAACAAGGACATCCATGGTGGGTGATCCATGACGTAAGGACTTGTATGCCGATACCAAGAATCGTTTGCCGACACCAAATTGGACTGGGATGGTGAGTGCTAGTTGAACGACATCCATCAAATAAAGTCCATCAAAGAATAAAGGAATATCCAAGATCGAATTTCCCCATGGAAACATAGGCATCACCATGGCAATGAAAAAGACCGGCACTGCAAAAAGAACGCTGCGAATACAAGCTTGTCGCCATTCTTGGATCTCACGCACCTTGGACAAGCTATCAAGCTGTGCATTCCGGGTATTGTCGTGGACCAATGCATTGAAACCAAGATCCTCAATCGTCTCAACAATTGTACGCATACCAAGACGAGTATGATCATATCGAACCACAGCCATCTCAGTCATCAAGTTGACCGTGATTGAATGTACACCAGGCACCTTGCTAACACCACGCTCAATGCTATGCACACAGCTTGCACATGTCATTCCAAATACTTGTAGCTGCACTGTATCATCACTCTTTGGCTGAACCACCTTGGCTTCGAATCCAACGTCTTCAATCATGTCGGCAATTTTCTGTTCATCTGTAATCACTGAAGGATCGTATTCAACAGTCGCCTTTTCAGCAAGCAATGATACTTTGATGGAGATGATGCCGGCTTGACTATTGACTGCACGCTCAATGCTATTGACACAAGAAGCACATGTCATGCCATGGATTTCCAATTGAGCGGTTTGGATGCTGTCGTATTTGTCATCATCAGCCCCACTGCTACTCGTAGCCACCTGAATCTCAGCCACGCCAGGCTCATTCTTTTTGCTGCTGCTGCTGTTGCTGTTGTTGTTGGTGTTGAGTAATGGAACATCGAATCCACAATCTTCAATAGCCTCAATAATCGTTTCACGAGATAGCAATGACGCATCATGTATCACTGTTGCTTGCTCAGCATCCAAGCTAACATCCACATATTCGGCACCAGCAAGACCACTCAATGCACCAGTGATGGATTTGACGCATGATTGGCAAGTCATCCCCTTGACAGGAAGTACTGTTGTCGTATTGCTGTTGCTGCTCTGAGTCGTTGTTGGCACGTCGAATCCACAATCTTCAATGGCCTCAATGATCGTCTCGCGAGATAATAATGATGTATCATGCATAATAGTCGCTTGCTCCTCCTCCAAGCTGACATCCACTGATTGAACGCCTGCAAGGTCCACCAATACGCTTGTAATCGACTTTACACATGATTGGCAAGTCATCCCCTTGACAGGAAGTGTTGTTGTAACGATCGTATCAGGCACTTCAAATCCACAATCCTCGATAAGTTCCACAAGCTGTTGCCGTGTACGTATTGTTGGGTCATAGTGTATGGTAGCTGATTCGTTCTCCAAGCTGACTTGTGCCTTGTGGACTCCTTCGTCGAGATCAAGTGCATTGGTGATTGAACGTACGCAAGAATTACACGTCATGCCCTTGACTGGAAGCACAATGGTGGTGTTGTCATGTGTTGTCATTGTCGTCGTTCTTCGTCTCCTTTTGACGAGCCAATGTTGCACTGCTGATTGATAAAGGGGGGTGGTCGGTGAATGGGAAAAAGAGGAACGGAAATGCCAATAGCAAATCAGGCAGAAAAGACGTTCGCCCCAAGTACAAGGAGAAACGAGGAGAAAAAAAGAATCAGGTGAATATCTTGTTGTTGCTACACACACATTCGAACTAACCTTGTACAACACCGAGAGGAAGAGCCGAGTCGGTACGAATTCTTCCGTGCGGATTATCGGCCTCAATGTCATCCCGCCCGCTGCTGCTGATGTCTCCATCTTCTGTTTATGGGCAAAAAACGAACCGCGGCGAATTGTTCTAGTCGATTGTTGGTACCTCTTTAAATGTCATTTATTGATATCAACATACACTGTACATGTAATAAAAGAGAACAAGAATCGAATACGTACTACTAGTTCCAATAGATGAAGACTCTTTATCTGATCAAGTGAAACGGACATTGAGGATGGTGTTTCGATTTTATTCCCGGTGTTTAATGAAACTCTATCTGATCATCAACAAAGGAAGTTAGTCGATAGATGACTCCAAACAAATACCTAGTGCGAGACTTTTGCTCTCCTATCATTTGTCCCAATAAACATGCACAATCCATACATTAAGGCGCAATCAAGGAGGGAGGTAAAAGTAAGAGATAGCATTCTGCATTATGATGGAACAACTGGTCCTTACATCTTTACACGGTCAAAAGTTTTCTCGGACTCACGAGCCATGTTTATCATTGGTGACACAATGATCGCGATGCTCTCCTTTAAAAAGACTTGCTATTCTTTCATCATACTTGTTGATTTAAACATGCTATAGGGTTGTTGTCATGGGATGTAGTAGATGAAGTGTATCGTGGGCTGGGGTTACTATATCAACGTGTTGTTATTATTAAGGTGTCCTTCCTTTCCCCCTATTCTTTGTCAAAACCTGATAATAAGCTCATGCTGCTTGCTCATCAGATGATCATCGTCAAGCATTACTATACATGGAAGGATGATACCGAATGACCATAAATGTCTACATTATATTTATCCCTGTGCATGCATTCATATAATGACAACGGGCAGCTGTAAAAGGTGGCATTCTTTATCCACTGCTTCGTTGGCAAAGGTATCGACCATGCAAGTAAAAAAGATATACAAGGTTGTTTTGTTCAGTGACAATGGTGGAAATTTGGGACCTGAGGGATGTACTGATGATAGACAATGAGACCAGCATTGTATGTAAAAACACTCCTTTTACTACAAACGACGTTGATGCAACCATCTTTATTTATAGATGATGTCTATTTATCTGACAATGTGCGAATGGATGATCTTTTAATTGCGTGAATGCGTGCGAAATGATATTTACAAGACAAAGAATTGGATGCTACCCCTCTTTTACACACTCTTCAGAGCACCAATGAATACGTGTATGGTGGATTGTGGTACATTGTATGATTCCCTGATGAAGAGCACTGCTTGCAGAAATAGCATTGGGCTGGGATCAAGTGCATAGCTGTGATAATGGCTTGCATGAATGATACCAGAAGCAGCTGTCCAAAGATGATGCGATAATGTGCTGATTGTTGATTCATGCATGAGGTATGATGCTTGTGGATGTGTGAGTGAAAGGACTAGAGGACACCCAAAGGATAAGAGAGGATGGGAATTGCTGGGATCCGCAAAGCGCGTTACACATCTCTCTTTCACATGTGATGACTGACAACAATGCCTCAAGGAAAAGGAAGCACGCGAGCAACGACGAATCAGCACATTGGCTATTTGATGACACTCCACCACCGTTGACCATCCTGAACGACCTTGATGACAGTACAGAGCTTCTGCCAATGCCACCATCCTCACAACAACATTCGTCTCTCAGCCTATTTCCCACTTCGCGCGATACCGCTCTATTCTCAATCTCACGACGACGACGACAGCAACGCGACCGTTTCAATGCTCAGGATCGAGAATACATGACGAATGCCTTCAAGCAGGACGTCACTATCGCCGATCGCTTGATCGTACCCAAGATCCACCCGTTGTTGGCACCCAAACTAAAGCGACACCAGGTATGCATTATCGATCGTGTGAAACGAACCAGTTGTAGTAGATGATAATGGTGTTATGGGTAGATTGATGGCGTTACGTTCATATGGAAACAGATCGTTGGCTATATGCATGGATGCATTCTTGCACATACGATGGGTCTCGGTGAGTACAGAGAGATCGGCAAAGCATTTCGGTCATGTCATCTGATCATTATGCATAGGCAAAACATTGCAAACGATTACATTCATCACTTTACTATGCACCGAGATTTCAAAAAAGAATCCAGTCGTGCCACGTTACTTGATGGTAAGCTTTGCATTGTAATGATTGTTCAGCCATGCACAACAATTGTTGTTGACACTGATTTATTTTCAGTCGAATCGGATATTGGTCCTAGCTCCATTGACAACCATCAGCAATTGGATGAATGAATTTGACAAGTGGATACCACAAGAATTGGTGCAAGTGGTTGGACACACATACAACTTTGCAGGTGGGAATGATTATTCATGGATGGGGTGAACTTGGGATTGATCATGGTGTGCTATTAGATGTTGTGTCGAGCTCTACCAGTTATGCAAAAAGGGCTCAGTATTTGAAAGATTGGTACCTAGGAGGCGGTGTGCTTTTCATGAGCTATGAGCAATATCGCATTCTATTGACAAAAGACTCGCCGCATCAAGATGAAATGAAAAGATACCTTCAAGATCCAGGTCCTTCACTCTTGGTCGCGGATGAGGGTCACAGGCTCAAGAGTAATACCTCAATGCTGGCGCTTACGGTTAGCCAAATCCGCACACCAGCTCGCATATGTCTTACAGGCTCCCCAGTGCAAAACAATTTGGATGAGTTTTATTGCCTGGTCAACATCGTGGCTCCTTCACTCCTTCCTGATCCACAATCCTTTGTCATGTTTTATCGTAAGCCTATTGAGAACATCTTTGCCGAGTCGAGTTCAACGGATATATACCTTGCCAAGAAACAATTACTCAAGCTCAAATTGTTGACCAGTGATATCCTTCAACGGTAGGTTGATATGATTTGGATATATATATGGAGACGTTGACCTTGTGTATATAGCCGAGGACCTGAATATTTGGATAATGATCTGCCAGCAAAGAACGAATACTACATTGCATGTCGAATGACCGAAGATCAGTTTACGGGATATGTGATTCTACTCGACCATTTCAGAACAACAGGCGAAAGTATCCTGATCAGCCATGTCGCATTACGAGCATTATGCAACCATCCAGCGATTCTAAGAAAGGTTTGTTATTGGCATTCTTGTGACCTATATGTATATTAATCGTGTGATCAGATATTGGTTGATCGAAACGCACGCTCGGGAAACTCATCACAACCAACGGATGCTGGGGACATGGATGCTATTGTGGAAGATGAACTCGTTGCATTCTCCGACCTTGCGAGCAAGATGCTGTTGGAATGTCTCTCAAATTACTTTGACCGTATCTCTGGTATGACAACTCGACAATAGATTCCATCCGCACCTACTTACACAAGGAGCATAGATATCGAAGATCCACACCATTCAAGCAAAGTGATGGCTATCATGGAAATTGCGAAAGGCTGCAAAAGGCTTGGTGAAAAGCTTATCATCGTCTCACATAGCATTTTGTGCCTGGGTAAGTGTTTTCCATTCATATCTACAATAAGGCTTTTATTGATTCTATGTGTATGCTGCTAGACTTTTTGGAGAAGCTACTTGGATCAAGAACCTATCAGATCAGTCGCATTGATGGAACAATCCCACAACCGGTAAGTAATGGATTCATTAGAAAAGGCATATCACAATGCTAACTCTTGTATTACAGCAACGTCAAGATATCATTGACAATTTCAATAATTCCCCCAATAAGGATATTATGCTCTTGTCAGCCCGGGTAAGCTACAATATCTTTTGTTGGAAGAAAGCTCTTGATCGCTAATGATCCCATTACAGGCGGGTTCGCTTGGTGTCAATATCACGGGTGCCAGTAGGATTATTTTATGCGACTCGGATTGGAACCCTGTACATGATGAGCAATCAATTGGACGCATTTATCGATATGGACAAGTCAAGCCTGTATTTGTGTATCGTCTATTCCAGTATTCAACAATCGAGGATGTGCTTATGAGCAGGAAGCTTCACAAACGAGGATTAGCAAGGTAGGTTTCTCTTTTATTGTGCTATGCGATCAGGCATAATAACCTTGGCACTTCTTTAGCCGAGTTGTGGATAATCGCTACTTTAAACGACAAGACATGAAGGATATTCAAAAGTATTATGCCAACCCTGTGGAAAAGGAGGACGTCCCGGAAGAATGTGATGACCCAGTCCTTAACGATCTCATCAAAGCGGAGCCAAGAGCACTGATTTCTATTCATCGCCCACGTGATGTCGAGAATGAAGAGATTGTCAATGAGCATGAGTTATCACCGGAAGATGTGAAAAAGGCAAAGGAGGAAGCATTAGGAATGAAAAAAGCGTACATTTCGGATCATTTCCCACTAGTTGCATCTTTGTAAATAGCTGTACTACTGTAAATACATATCAAATATCAATTCTATGTCTATGAGTGTATAGAGTGGATGAGCGGGATCCTTGTTATGAAGGGAATAGGGCGTCCTGAAAGCAATGTTGTTGTAGGAACCCATATGCGGCTGGATTGACAACAAGGTTAAGTGACACACTGAGACCAAAAAAGTAGTGCGATTGCTGCGGGAGCTGAGCACACACGCTTATAGAACACACCCCACTTTTCTACAAACACAATGGCAACCATCGAAGTGAAATGGCAAGGACGACGCTTCAACGTTGAGTTTGATGACAGCGAACTTGAAACAGCTACTGTGCATGACTTGAAAGACAAGTGTCAAAAGATCACCAACATTGAGCCTTCGCGCATGAAGCTGCTGGCTTATGGAGGTAAACTACTACTACAACAATAACACGAAGCAAGATAGTGTGGCTATTTAACATGCTGACTCTTGGATACTATAGCCGTTATGAAGAATGATTCTCTTTCGCTCAACACCTATGGTATTCGCAGTGGATCCAAGGTTATTCTTATGGCAACACCAGCTGCAGATGCTGCTGCCAATGTGGATGTAAGAGACAATGAACGATGGACACGTGGAGGGAGAGCTCCTTTTTTGATGACGCATTCTATCTTTTATAGTCGACTTCTGCCAAGAGCCAAGAAGATCAAGTGTTGTCAAGGATACAAGCGGCCACGTCCAAGCTCACTGAAGAGATTGTACCTGACATTGATGCCTATGAACAACGTGTCAAGGAGTACATGTCTGCTGGAGGAGGAGGAGCAAGTGATGCCAAGGATCCCAAGCAACAAAGAAAACTCGTTGATTATGGCACATGGTTGAATGAGCAATTGATGCACATCCTATTTGATTTTGATGGTATTCTATGTGATTCATCGTTTGAAAAAGCACGTCAGCAGCGCAAGAGTGGTGTTCATCAATGCCAAGCATTATTAGAAAGAGTAGATAACATCAAAGCGCTCATCAAGAGCCATTTATAATAAACATGAAAAGAATGTGAATAGATAGAAAGGAAAAAACAACATGTAAAAGAGACTACTACAACTATTACTTTACGGGAACAAAGCAAAATCCTCCTCAGAGGATGGTGGTGTGCTATCAACATCGAAACTAGCATCATCAAATGAAAAATCCGCAAAACCGGCAAACTCGGCAAAAACATCATCATCATCAGCGACAGGGTTTTGAAAGAAAAGTTTGTCATCATCATCATCATGGTCGTCGTCGTTTGTGGGTGGTGGAGAAGGTGGCAGTGATACCAAGTCATCAAGAGTGGGGAAAAGTTGAGCCTGGTTGTGTTGCTTGGATACCTTTTTGGTAGTTGGCTTAGTTTTGATTGGCGAGGAGTTGGTATGACGACGTTGGTAAGGTTCGTAACGTTGATGACGAGCAGACCCACGGTTGATGCGGCGGTCGTTGTTATTGTTGTTGGTGATGGGAGTGTTATTTAGGCGAGAAGAGGTGGAAGAGGGAGAACCGAAAAGAGGGGCGTCCGAGAGAATAGGTCCGTTTAGTGTGTGATCAAAGCATTGGCGGTGGTTGTTTAAAGAAGCGGGATCCCGTGATGGATTACTCATGGTGGTTTCTCCGGGCTGTCCAGGCAAAAACACGACTTGGTCGTTGCTTCTTGCATCCACGGTTTGTCCTTGGGTTTGGTGGCAATAGCCGCTGCTGGGCTCCAGGTAGGGAAAGAGGTTTGATACGCAAAAGTTGTGTTCATCATTACTGATATGGAAGGAAGTAGAGGGGAGAAGTGCCCTTTGGGGAGGAATGGTTGGTGTGGGGTTTTTGAAAAGCAAGTAGTCTTGTACTAGAACACACAAGCAATATACAACTCTATCACTTGTGCGAGAAGAGTGGTAATGGAGTAGTAGCCTTGGCGAGAAAGATACTTAAAAAGTGCCTCAGGTGATAAAAAGGCAACAAAGGAAACGACAAAAAGTCAATGGCTATTTGCCTTGAAGATATAAGAAAAAGGACAAAAAAGAAGGAAGCGAGGATTCTTCCAATTCACCACCAGATATATAGGAAATTGACCGATAAAGTAACACAAAAGCACAGCCACATCCCTGTACATCATGTAACTCCCCCCCACCCCGGCCCGGGATCATTCTCTTTACCACACTCCCTTGTGCACATGAACCACCAACCCACTATTCAATGCGAGAATTGCAACACAACATTCACTGCAGGTAGTAATTGCCTCATTCATGGAATTGGCCTCTTCGTATTCTCTAATTCTGCTGCTGCTGCTGCTGCCACTCCTCTCACTAGACCAGATTCATTGTCTTCCTAAACCCTTGCTATTTGGCGATCACTATCTACACTATCACTGCGCAACATGCACACAGAGCGGCACTGAGGAATATAAACGCGACAACATGAGCTGGGTGGCTGTGGTTCATCTTGTCATCTATAATCTTATTCGCCGACAAGACCTTATCGACATGGAGAAGCCTGATGCAGAGAAACGACACAAGTACTTTCGATGGAAGGATGACATTTGCGCATTCATTGATGATTACTGGGATTACCTCGTTCCTGGAAAGAAAAGTACGACATGAACAGGGCTTTTTTTTACAATTCATGCATCATGACTCATTTCAACCTCCCATTTTAGGATCCCCTACGTGGCACAACACAATCGCCAGTGTATTGTCAACACATGGCACCATCTTCAAGTCTGGATATGAAATATTTCATCAGAGTGGTAATACATGTATATCCTTTATTCACTCTAAATGCACCTTACTCATACATGGATAAATAGCATGGTGGTCATTGTTTGAGCAAGTCCCGCCTACCAAAGGTACATTGAGGATTTTGGTTGAGGTTATCTATATACGCTAACAAGCTACCATAGAGAACAAACCAAGGGTATCAAAAGCCAAAGGGACCCAAAAGCGCTCTCGACAAGAGAATCAAGAGGGCAAATCCAAAAAGATAAAGGCCGAGCCACATGATAAACGGCCCACTGGAAAAGATGTCCAATCAACGGTGGTCAAAAAGGTAATGTCTTTGTATTCCAAGTTCGAATGATATGATTGGGTATTAATGTAATTGATATATGATTAGGAACAACAAGAGGCCAGCGCATCCCACATCAAGGAAAAGGATTCAATGTCGAATGAGGTAGGTTTCTCCCCCAAATCGTTGTCGTGGTATGGATGGTGTTAGTTAACGTGATTGTAAAGGTGGATGACATTTTTGATCTTGGGTCATTATCTGATCTATCATCAGATCCAGGGATTTTGAGCGATGACGATGCACAAATATCTGTGAAGCAATCGAGGAAGCCTGCAAGAGATCAACAAGTGCCACAACAGCAAGTTGAACGGGTTCAATCGATGATAGAAACACCACCTCCACCTGCCGTATCGTCACCTTCAGAATTGCCATCCACAACAACAGCAGCGTTTGCGACCCAAACGACCGTATCCATGGATACAGCCAATGTTTCCACACCATATACCCCACATGATCATGTACAAGTGAAGATAGAACCAGAAAACACAGCCACACCACTTTCCGCAATACCGAATCTAAACGATGATATGGTTGCCAAGGAGGATGAGGTGAGTTTTTATTATTTTCATTTGGACCTATGGGCTACGGATGGCTGACCAAGAAATAGGCAAAACCCAATACGCATGCATCTCCCAAACCGCAACCACAGCCGACAATTTTGACTCAGCAAATGGAATGGCAAATGCTTCAACAACTTGGCAACGCATCGAAAAAGTTACCTACAGTAGCAGCTCGCTTTGAACGCAAATTAGCGGTTCGCAGAGTAAGTTTCCTTTCCACTCTTATCCCATCAATGGCTATTAACCCATTGTCTTTTACAGCTAAAGCGGAATTTGGGCTTAAGACTATTTGATATGGATGCAGCTGTCAGCAAACAATTACGATCCAAGAGCGAGTTGGAGCCAATGACCAAACCTACCACCGCCGTTGACACTCAAAAAGAGAACACACCTGATACGACCCAACAACAATTGGCAGCCGCATTGGATGCCATTACATATACCCCTTACAAAAGTTCATTTGCATCACGTCTCTATGGACCCATTCGCCATGATAGTGTGGTTACCAAGGACGAGCCATGGTTATCGGCATGGAATGGTAGAAAATTACGTCCCTACATCCGCCGTGATTTCCAAAATGTGACGCCCTACATGGAAACGTTGATGCGAATTCGATCTCGAAATAGCAACCACCCACAAAATGAACGACACAGCATCGATTACGTCTATTTTCAGCCACAGCATCTCGAGCAATGCAACGCCATGTTGCGTCGGTGTTTTTGGGATGGGATTGATGTATCCGAATCATTGCTTTTTCCTGAATTCAGCATCGTTGCATTATACAAACGGCTTGTGGTGGGCTGTGCATTCATGACTCCTGAAGCCTATGTGACCTATTTCGCTGTATTGCCTGGATGGAACAATGCTGGCATTGGACAGTAAGTATATCTTCCATGTGCCTGAAATGCATTTAAATAGTAACCATGTGATTTATTTTCCCCGCACAGATTCATGCTATACCATCTCTTTCAGGTAAATGTCACTCGTTTTCATTTATTGAATCATTATGCATAACCATATTCCTATCTTAGACTGCTATTAGCAAAGACATCACCCTCCATGTATCTGCAAACAACAATGCCATGGTACGTAACATCATGGTTAGTTATCGAGTTGCTCCTCCTTACTTATATCCCATGTATAGATCCTCTACCAAAAGTTTGGGTTCAAACCTGAAGAATTCATTGTTGATTTCTATGACAAGTATCTTCCAGCCGATAGTGCATATAGCAAGAACGCATTCTTTTTACGACTGCGTCGATAATATAAACTTTTTATATAGCGTGTATATAAGCAAATGATAAAAGCAACAATGTGTATGTACAGAATAGCTCAATAGACCATGCTTCTTATGTGTGTGTGTGTGTGTAGGGTAATAACCGAATCGGTGTGTGATGGTGTTTTAGGTGCCATTTATATACATGGGTGTGGTTGATGAACGAAGGCCAAGTCGAGCGCTTGATCGCATAGGGGTGACTCGTGATTGTGATTGTGATTGTGATTCCTTTTCTTCTGGTTCAGGTGACGATGATTCATATGCATCAGAGCCATCCTTTTCGCTTCCTTGCTCCACAAAGTCGTCAACGTAATCATCCCCAAAAGTATAACGAGTAGGTCTTGCACTTCGCCGAGGACGTAAGCGACGTTCAGTGATCAAATCTTCAGCCATGATCTGCCGTTGTCTAGCAAGCTCTTGTCTCTCACGACGTCGAATAGCATTTTGTACACGCGGTATAATAGTCTCGGTAATGTAAAGTGCCAAGGATACTTCCGGCTTCTTGTCAGAGAGTGATTCAGTAAATTGTTCGAGCTCATCAAGGGTGCGGCATACTATTCATCCACATCCATTAGCCAACCTTGAAGCATAATCACATTCATCCATTACCTGTTTCCCATCGACATCCGGTCTTCAACTTTGCCTTTTCTCTCCATAGCCATGGTGAATCTAGGTATATAGCTTGTTAAATCTCTCATCACAAAGCAGGAAACATACAACATACCACCAAAATGCCAATAATTTCGTTTTTCACTATCCATGCCAATAGGCTCTGTGGTGATCACTTGACCTTTCGATTCAGGCATCTCAATCGCCTCCCTTATTGCGGAACATTCTTGTAACTGCCACTCAATCAGGATCCTTAAGATGGTCAACTACGATAGTATGTTATTATTATCAGGATGGCTATGTAGCTGATATCATGACGTACCTTGTCACTTGGCTCTAACGCGCCAAAGGATTTGATGTATAACGGATTGGTCTTCCAAGACAAGTCACCCGATTTTATGCTTGCATTGATCATCTTTGTGAGTTCCTTGCCGCATTGTTGGATACTATTCAATGATGAAACATTAGATCCCTTGCGCAACCTAATCATCTCCCTGTCCCACGCAATAACATCTTCCACTCATTCGAATGCATTGAATCCAAGCATATATGCACTTACGCAATAGGTTTCTTTCGGTTGAGCGCGTTGTTCAGAAAGCTGCAAAGCAAATCATCGACCAGTTGGCTGTTCTCGAGACGCAAGGCTTCTTCCAGTTCCTAATACCCGTGACTTGTTGAATAAACAACTCGTTTGTGAAGACGATCGAAGGCGATCAAGTTTACTCTACCTCTGGTTGCATTGCTGGGAAAGGAAAGATATTCTTGTCCTTAAGTTCTGTGAAGACGCAAACGAACGCGTATACAAAAGCTAGTTCCCATTGTGACGTTGCTGATAAGGAATGACTCGGCTGATCATGTTGCATGGTCTTCGAGAAGAGATTGAGTGGTGGTGATAGAGGAGTGAAAAAAGATAAGCAGCGGTGGCTACATACTTGACAGCAAAATCAAACGGCGCTTTGCCCATCATCCACGCAGAGCCTGAACTTTATCCATCATCCTCCACACCATGAACATCAACAACAAAGAAACGTATATCATTATTGCTATTTGATTAGGGAGACGTTTTCATTGTTCATCATAACCCTTTTATAGCTACATTACTACCCATTATCTAAAGCATTGATTGTATCCAAATACTACACTAAATTGATTCATGATTGCATATACAATGAACACCTCCAAATGACCAACGGATCCACAAATAAAGCAAAAGCAAGGATAACCTCCTCCTTCTTGAATCATGGCATGGGATACTGTAATGTGGGGTAAAGAAGGCTGAAATGGATTGGATGGCGGTTAATGGTTCAACCGGGTACTTTTTCATCTGAATGCAAAATGGCCTGATGCTGACTTTCTTTCACTTTTGTCACCACAACATGCATCCTCCGTTAGCAGCACACAAGCACCAAGGCTGTCTCGAAGCCATTCAAGCTCTTGAAGAATGTCACCAAGCTGGCTTATTCAATCGTTTCTCTGGTGCCTGCAATGACACTAAGGCCAAACTCGATCAGTGCCTCAAGGAAGAAGTAAGCATATATGGTTCCTGCACGATCCGCTCGATTGTGAAAGCGATCTTACTCTTTATCCATTTAGTTTCTTGTCCAACGTGCTGCCAACAAGGGAAAGGCTGCCGAGAAGCGTGCTAGAATGAAGGAAATCTGGAAGGAAATGGAAGAACCACCAGCAGCTATTCCCAAGAACGAACAACAATAGTAGTAGTAGCAGTAGCATCACAGCATCGTTGAGCCACTTTTTTTGTATATATGGAGCTCAATACATGTCCCGTTTTTAGACTTTATTTCATTGCTGGAAGAGATGATGTTCTCGATAATGGGTCTATGCGTTTGACAGGAATAAGAAATGTTTGTTTGGCAGGATGAGAGCGGAGACTTGATGACTAGGGGTAGTTAATGCATACGGTAGTTGACAACACCAAACTTGGATATGCAACAACGGGTCATGGATACGGTTGCTATGATCTCGTTTCTTCATAGAAGAGTGAGTATGCAATATCTAAATCACCTGTTGCTCGCTACCCTGATGCAATCACACGAGCCATAATATCTCGCCCAAGGATAAACATAAGGAGAGAGAAGCTCATACACGATTTCTGTTTATTGCAATCGAAATACTATTCATTATTGGCTATAGAGGTGCTATTCTATTGTGATAAGGTTTCTGTGGGTTGGTGTGCAATGAGTACATTACATTTTATCGGCATACGGTCCGTGCTTGATAACCAATTTAGTTGCCTTTGAAATGGCAGAACGTGGTGCGGGATGGTGCCACATAGCTTTCACGCTTTGTCAAATACCGGCGATGCAAGAATGTAAGCTCATGCCTCTCTGGTGCCTTCCCACTTGTAATGCTAACCTTTCCATGTCCATGTAATAGATGCTGCTCCACAAAGGTAACTTGCAATATATGACATTCTACGTTCGAGCGTTGGAAAAGTGACACATGAGGATAGCCTCCATGCTAGGTCGTTTTGGCGACGACATGGTTTGCGATTCCCTGGACGGTAAGCATGGCTATAATGGATCCTCTTTGGTGTTCAATATGCTAACCTTGTGTTGTACGTGGCAGGGTCAAGATAGTGTCGAGAAGGACGCAGGAGGATACACGATCACATGGTGCTGGAAGCAACGCTGCCCGTTTTCAATATACCACCCTCGTTATTCAGGAAACACGACATCGTGAAGCAGTTACCTCACCACCAGAATACGCATCGTCACCAACAAAGTCATCGTCTCCTTCAAAATCCAGTTCCAAAGTGTTACAGAACATGCCATCACCACCTTCACAAAAGCAGCGATCATCATCATCACCGCACAAGTCTTTTGATGCATTCCTCAAAGATACCAACGACGAGTGGAGTGATGAATTAGGATATGACATGGTGGATAAAGCAAAGCCTCTCTCAACATCACCGACTTCATCGAAAGCGATGGATCACCTGCAACAACAACAACAACAACACCACCAACAGGAAAAGCAACCACAGGATCCCAATGATTCTTTATCAACCGACACGTCTAATGTGAGCAAGCCAAACATTGAAACGCTGCTTCAAGGTAATGAAAGGGTACTAGGTTGTGTTGATCAAATGGCTTATTTTGGATATTAGATCCCACGCATCTTGTTTATTGCACTGATCCTGAAAGAACAAAGGACCCTGCCAAGACAAAGAAGTTTAAGGATATTCTTGCGGAGCCTAATGTGGATCTAGGTAAGAAGGGTCATTCATGAACAAGTATCAGCATGATGATGGTTGACTCCTATTTTCATTGATGACATAGCTGCCTTGAAGAAAGTGAGTTGGAGTGGTATACCCAAAGAGCTACGACCTGTGGCATGGCAACTTTTACTTGGATATCTTCCTTGCAACATGGCACGGCGGGCAGAGACACTTGCGAGAAAAAGGAAAGAATACGTGGATAGCGTGACAGCATCTTACGCAAAAGGAGTGGCTGGCTTGGATCAAACACTATGGCATCAGGTATGGTATGGTGTGATAGGATGGGATTCTATGGAATATCAATTAATGGTGGTGCCCCTGCTATTCCATTATAGATCCATATTGATATCCCGAGAACCAATCCTGGGGTACCGCTATACCAATATGAGGCCACACAACTGGTAAGTGAGGACAAGGATGCAATGCAAGAATGGTTTGTTGATGCCTTTATGACCAGTGTCTTGAACGCATCTTGTACCAATGGGCAATACGACATCCAGCCAGTGGCTATGTACAAGGAATCAATGATTTGGTGACACCCATATTCGAAGTCTTCTTGTCAGCTTATATTGGTAAGTGGGAATGGTGGGGGAACGAATAAAACAGGGATCCTTATTTATGGTACACAGATGAAAACCCTGAAGGATACAACGTGAGCAAGCTGGATCCAGAAGTGCTCAATGTGATCGAGGCGGATAGTTTTTGGTGTTTGTCCAAGCTGCTTGATGGTATCCAAGACAATTACACGTTTGCACAGCCTGGTATCCAGCGACAGGTGGCCATCCTCAAGGACCTTGCTACACGAATTGATTGTAAGTGCACATGGACCATTTTGGGGGATTTGCATTTCTTTGAATTGAATTGTGTAACAATTTTTCATGTAGCACGATTGACCACGCACCTGCAAGATGAGGGTGTGGAGTTTATTCAGTTTGCATTTAGGTGGATGAATTGCTTGTTGATGCGTGAATTGCCACTAAGGTGTACGGTGCGGATGTGGGACACTTACCTTGCCGAGGGGTCCTCCGAAGGATTTTCAGAATTCCATGTATATGTTTGTGCAGCTTTCTTAGTCAAGTGGTCATCGCAGCTGCGTAGCCAGGATTTCCAGGTACAAGGAATATCATTTTGGGGGGAGAGGACAGGGAGATGGAGAAAGGAAACCTTGGTGAGACAAACTAGGGGTCAATGGGAGGGTAAAAGGATTGGATGTTATTGGTACAGAAACTAATCGATTTTTGTTCTAGGGTATCATGCTCTTTCTTCAACAACTACCCACTCAAAATTGGCAAGCCAAGGATGTTGAATTGCTTTTATCGGAAGCTTACATGTGGAAAACTTTATTTCACAATGCTCCCAGCCACCTCAAGTAGATCAACATCAACTCCATCCATCCATCTCTATGACCATCGAGCAGCCTTATACTCAACTCCTTGAATATGTGAACATTCCATACCTGCAATTATCCCCTTCCTTGTATACAACACTTTTAGCACCGATATAGCCCGCCAATACCATTCCTCGTGTTCTTGAACATCTATTCGTTTCGGCGTCTGTTCCGTCAGTATTACAATCATCCTTTGCGCTTCAATATACATAAAGATCTTCAACTCCTATTGGATTGTCAGAAATATCAGGGGTCCCTTTTTCTTGGATGTCTTGTCATTGTCAACAATCATGTATATGTGTATGTACCTTGCCAACAGCAACAAATCGAAGGGGAGGAAAGGGACCAGTGGTGGTGAACTCCTTATGTGCTAGTCATTCAACATCATCACCGAACAATCCCCCCTTTTTTTAAACAATGTTGAATATCGATCATCCACTCTTTATGTATATGTTTGATGCGTTTTTATTAATGCAATGCGAATGCTATGTACTGCTGGCAACCTGGTCAGTGTCGTATGGGTTTGAGTGGATCTTAAAGTGGCGTGAAAGGTGTGTTCATGAAGACAAATGGAATGTCGGATACCCAGAGAGCGAAGAAAGAGAGAGAGAGAGAAAAGGAGAAGGGACATAAAATAAAGTCGGCATACAACAAAGAACAAGTATATGACATGAGAAAAAAAGAACAAAATAATAGAGCAAGAACCCAAGAATGGAGAATCAACTATAGTACAATGGAGATATGAAAATACATAAGGCAGGTGATAAGAACGAGCGATAAACATGAATATGGTGGAGGTGGTGATGATGATAACGATGATGGCAGCCCCATTTTTGTCATCGTCTTAATTTAGCTGACAATGCTAACGAATTGATGGTGGTGGTGGTAAGTGGTCGTCGTCGACGTGGGGAGTGGGAAGCGATCGAGCGATCTCACAGGTGGAAGAAGAATGGAGGATTTGGCTGATGCTGGAGGTGAAAGAGGAGGCGTTGGGCATAAAAAAGACGATGATGTCGATGATGGCGATGTCATAAGAGCAGCAGGAGGTGATGGTTCAAGTGGTGGCAACTTGATATTGTTGGTAGCACCTTCTGGTGTTGAATGACAACGATGATGGTAATGGGGTTGCTGAAGTTGTGGAAGCACAGGTGTAGACAACTCTTCGCTTGGCGAATTGAGCGGCGAGGTATAGTAATAACTGTTAACAGCTGCAGCAGAAGGTACATTCTCGTATGTTGGAGTACGACGCTTAATCTCATATGGAGAACCATGTTGATGATGAGCCATTGGATGTGGTGGAGGGGTGATGGTTCTTTGTCTACTACGCATCAGCTGATTGTTACGTCGTGATCGTGGTGATAGATGCGTGCGATAATGTTGCATCATGTTATCCTGACGTGAGAAGCGAGATGGACATCCTGGATAAAGACAATGGAAGTTTTTCTCCCCAGTATGGATGCGATTGTGGCGTGCCAAGTGACCACTGTAATGGGAAAAAAGGGGAAACAGGTAAGTGATCTTGGGAGTTCAGGGATGATGATGATGATGTTATAGTTGAAATTTGTTCTTACCTTGTAGTGAAGCTCTTGTCACAGCCTGGGGCAGTGCAATGATACTTGCGTCGTGACATGGATTGACGAGATCGAGCATTGTTAACAATGGCATTATTGTTGCTGCTGCTGTTGTTGTTCAAAAGGCTAATTTGTCGGCCATTGGCATCTTTCACAGAGAGTGGAGAATCGGATCGTTGCATGATGAAAAAAGTTCAAGCGCAAGAGTGATTGAGTATGTAAAGGAGAAAAGGCAAATGAAGCTTTGCTGAGGAAAGACATCAAGAAAAGATGAGAAGGGGGTATTTATATTGAAAGGCCAAAGCGATACCCATTTTGTGTATCCAAGCTACGCAGACCCTCGTGAGGATAAGAAACCGCACAGATAGAGGGTAAACCAGAAGAGAAGAAAACGTGGGTGTTTAATGCAGCAACAATTCTTCCGCCCTGCATCCATCGTCTAAAAAAGGAAGCTCACCATGGTGATGTGAACGTGAAGACCAACAATAAGGTCTCTTCTCCGACCTGCCGAAGGATCTTGTCTTGTCCCGAATCACCTTGGCAGCCATCATCACTATCAACAACCCGTGCCGCCTTGGCTATACAATCATACACTATTGGTGCAAATCACACGCAACATTGTAATGTCCTGCATTTGGGACGACACATAAAGCAGCCTATACATGCCCATACTACATCATATACATAATAAAACAAGCGTGTATAGCATACTACTTGCCACCACCTATAAGCTAACAATCCTCCAAGCAAATCATTGCCACCGTAATAAGAACTTGAGTTGCCGCGTCGGAATGGGTGAATAACAGTGCCATTTCAAACACGACCAAAGATCGTCAGGTCCCGACGCTTTGGAATAAACTAATGCTGCTGTCAGAGCAAATAATGCTTCTTGGAAACTGTGTGCGCGGAGATCTCGATGATGCACAATTATTTTTATTTTTGGAAATGAACAAGCATCGTCTTGGGAGTAAGGTGGCGAAATGAGAATTAAGGGGGCAACGTTAAAGAGAGAGAGAACACAAAGCCGCGACTAAGCACTTTTTGCACACAAAGAATGAGAACAGGTAAGAATAAGGAGACCATGCCAACTTTGCACGGGTTAACCGGCAGTGTGCTGCTTGTCAAAAGTGGATCAAGCACGATGTTGTTGGCCAATACAATATCCCTGTTTACCCATTACAATGATAGCAACCACTCTTTCACAGCCATGAGCGTTATGAATTTTGGATTTCAAGTGCACAATGAAATCATGTCGGCATACATGAACGATTGCGAGCAGTAAAAAGAGCAGCAATAACAGTAACAGGATTTTGCAAGTAATCCAAAAAAAGAAGGAAAGGGGTAAGGGTGGGAAAGGAAAGAGAAAGAGTGGTGTGTGCAATTGTGCTTTACCTTTCTTGGCGTGCGAAGCAGGTATTTTCCCCTTTTCCCTTTTCCCCCTTCAACAATGATAGCTTGTTATAGTACAGAGACCACGCGCGCATGGGGATCGACAGGACATTGCGACTTGTACGAATTTGGCAAATTTGAGATCGACGACCAATCCCAGGTCGGATTACCCTCGGGTCATTGCAGTATTTGGGGGTCAATTGTCTATTGCTTTTCACCATGGGGGGACTTGCAAAACCAAACTAAGGCAAGAAGACTGACGATGGTGATGGAAGAGGTAAGGTGCTCAGGTCCCTCTTTGTGTTTCCCCCTCCCTAAATAAACTACCCAAGAACATTGTTTTTTGCTTGGCACAAATGGGACTTTAATCCCTCTTGCTATGTATCTCCTTTTTCTTTAACCTTTGATCTTTAATGACTTGCATTGATAAACATGCCCTTACATCCTATATATGGCACCATCACGATCTACACAATAAAGTGGCAAACCCTCGAAAAGTATACGACTCTGATCACCATCAACCCCATTTTCTTTCTTTTTCTTTTCCTTTCTTTGCTTTTTCTTTAGGCATATGCTTTGCATTCATCACTCTCGTCATCCTGCAGTCCCTGAGCAGTGATCAAGTGCATTGTCGATCCATCGGCTGTTCTCAGGGTGAGTTGATCTTTTATTACTTGCATGAATGACATTGCCAAGAGGCAGTTTTTATGACATACCTATGAATGATACATCATAAGTGACGCGACGTGATCATTATTGTGCCCATGTCGCATAGAGAAGGCTTGTGTTGCCAAGCATTTACAGGGTCCTTTGATCATATTACGGATGCATTTCGGGATTATGGATGCGGAGAAAGAAGAAGAAGGCTAATGGTGCATTGACAAAGAAGAGCCGTGAGAAATGGATGAATCGATAAAAGAGGTTGTAATACATTAAAATAGAAAAAGAGTGTTGTTGTATATCTCGATCTATGATCAATGATGATGTTTGCTGCATCAAGAGGCTTGCCGTGCATAGATTATGTCATTGTTGAATGCAAGGTTCATGCCGTGTAACAGGTTGAATCTTAAGATGATTGTGTGGGGTCGATGATGATGACAAACATATGCCAAGAGAGAAGGTATTCTGCAACCCGGGAATATGGTTAAGATTTGAATACCAGAGATAGATGGATGTGCTGCGTTAAGCGGGGGAAGCGGGGAAGCTGTTGGTCAAGAGCGAGAAGGGGGGTTTTCCGGAAGATTTTGTAGGGCACTTTCCAAAACTTGACAAGTATTTTCCCATTGGCTGCTTTCACCCATTCACATTTATCTCGTACGGCATAGGCTTCCATATTATTTACGCTTTCCTTTCACTTTCCACAATAATGGTATATTCTAAAAGTGCCGGCCCATCATCATCAACACCACCACCATCACAATCTTTTAACAATAACGGCACATCACCATCATCGGCGTCATCTCCACCATGTGGCCTTCAATACATGGATAATGTCATGTCTCGTTTTGGACACCATTTATCAGCTCACCAACGCACTTCCTTGTCCCAATCCATGGTTCCCACTCTCCAAAGTAGTGCTCCTGCTTATACACATTACACAGGTTGGAACACAGCTGCTGGTACATCCATGCCGCACGCCAACAGCAGCAATAATAGAACCACTCCAATATCCACTCTCGATGTAGCTACACAAACCCCATGTACATCTTCTCTAGACATAAGCCCCCGACCCATGGACATTGATAAGAAAGCAGCATAACCACCCCACGATATCAATAAAATCACCACCGACACCCCCAATGAAAATTTTCTTGTGCTCCAAAGGTTGCACAGCGGCAACACCGCATTGGGTACATATCGCACAATGCATTTGGGATCAACGTCATCACTATGCTATTATTTTGCACCTGTAGACGACACCCTCTTATGGTTGTTTTCAATTCAGCTTGGGAAATGGTGGATTGGTTGCATAGCAACGGCCATTTGTCTGATTAGAAAGATAAGAAGAACAAGGCAAAAGCGATTGCTGTGGTGGCTTGTCATAGCACAATGCTGTTCAAGAGATAAAAGGCTGGGCTCGTGTTACACATCAAGGCAACATAAAAGGGGAGGATGATCTTGTTCTTCTTTGTTTATCAACATTCAACGTCATAATATAGCCTTTTTCACGTGAGACATGCAGTGGTGGATTACAAATACGTAGCGGAAAATTTGTTATTTGGCTTAACCAAAAGCATGCATATCCTTTTGTCACCGTATCAGGCTATTGGTTATGCAAGAATCAGCCATTGAGAAGAGCATGTTGAAAGGGCAAATGGCAGAACAAATGTAGCTGTTCAATTGTGTGAGGTGGTTGTGGTGCCTGAATTTCGCTTCATGGATCAATGCATTTGCAAACTACTCTCATTAGGCAGGTCGGCAAATATGATCCGTCATGTCGGGAATATACTTGTTCCAGCACAATTAGCTGTGATGAGGGCCGTCTTGATTCTCAATTGCGCCCTCCTTGAGACTAGGGTGAGGGGAAACCTTATCCCTTGTTGCAGTTGCAGCCGCTCATTGGTGGGAAAAAACAAACCCGATCGCGATCTATCATGTATTTGAAATCCTGGAACAGGATTTAACGCCGACGCAAACTACACGCAGCATCAGCTTGAGCATTTATGTATTTATCTCGGTAAATGAATGCGGATCAAGAAAAGTAGGAAACTTAACCTTATGCATACGGCTTCTTGGTTGTCTCATTTCAAAACACGATGTCGTCGTGTGTTCAAAGTTGAAACGTTGTATCATGTAGAATGTGGGGTAATAGCCATGGTGGGAAATAACCAATGCCGCGTACAATGATACTGATCATCACATTATTGGTATTACCAAAGATTGCTTGAGACTAGCAGCTAACAAACTTTATTTTGAAACCATGAATATGAGCGATAAGAGTAGTAATGACAATGCATCATCAATGATTGGGCTAATGGACCGGTAACAAACAAGGGTGCGAAAGGATGATGAGTAATCCTTCATGAGACTAAGGCAATGGGCATTGAAACATAGGTAACGTAAGAAACAAAGGCCCTGTCTCAATATCCTACGTTGAGTAATTATGATGGATCTAGTAAGAGGCTGGGGAAGGTTGAATTAAGCGGAGCCAACTTCTTCAACAGGCGTCGGTAACAGCCGATCCACCAAAATTGTTGCCATGGATACGCCATCCCATTTCCATAGACCTTGTTTTTTTAACATGGAATCCACTTGCCAAGACTTGCAAACATTTCCCAGTACTACCTGATCTGGACTGCGCTTATTTGTTATACGATTGTGTACCTAATCATTTGGTGTCATGATTTGCACTAGTTGACCTGTTTTCGGAGAAGGGTTAAACTTTTCCCTTTGAAACCTTTTTAAAGAAGTGCATCGATCTTTTTCTTCGGTTTTGATCCGCTCTTTCTCCACTTTTCTCGACGCCCTATTCCATGCCAACCACCCCAGGATCCAACAAAGAATCCATTGAAGAACGCAACGAGATCACTCTCACCTCCGGTGATGACTTGAAAAAAGAGTTTTCCCATCATAGCAGTGATCTTGAAAAGAACGTTCCATCCGATCTATCGGCCACCCAACAAAAAAATGACGACTTTGACGATCAAGAGGATCCTGCCAGTTATCCCGGCCTTGTTGAATGTGCTCCTTTTCCCACGCTTGGTTCGATAAATGAGATCACACAAACGCTGTCCAAAACACAAACCAATAGAACAGCTCGTGGTATATCCAAAGGTGACGGATCCATCCAAGATGAGGAAAATGAAGGCATATCACCAGCAATTGGTCAGGCATACCACACAGAAGGTTGGAGAAATCCTGGTTGGCTTACCGTTATTGCCGTGTTCCTTGTAAACTTTAGTGTATTTGGCACAGTATTTAGTTGGGGCAATTACCAAAAGCTGTATGTATACCATAAAAGCCCATTATGCGCTGATCAAGTAATGCTTATCATAACCTTCATCTTATTATAGCTACTTGAACGAGGTATACGCTGATCAAACCGATTCTTTTCGAATTGCATTTGTTGGCACGTCCGCCAATGCCATGCTCTTATCCACTGGTCTCTTTCTTCAGCCCGTCATTCGCAAGCTCAAATACAGAGGCACCATGGTCATAGGTACCATCCTTGCACCTCTCGGCCTTATTCTTGCAAGCTTTGCTACTCAATTATGGCATGTGTGAGTATCACATTATACATATCAACCACATGGTATCATGGTGAAAGCTGATGACAATGTTGTTTCCATAGCTACCTTTCACAAGGTATCCTTTTTGGCCTTGGCAGCGCATGTGTCTTTTCACCTTCCATCACGCTCCCATCACAATGGTTTGAAAAAAGGAGGGCTACCGCAACTGGATTAGCCGTGAGTGGATCGGGCGTAAGTATCAATCACATAAGCATCACATAAGCAATCGTATATTGAAATTAAATGACATTTAGATTGGTGGTGTATGTATCAGCATTATGACTCAGTCTTTGATCACCAGCATTGGCTATCGCAATGCTCTTCGAGTTAACGGTGCTCTCATCTTTGGTCTCTTGGTTATTGGAACCTGTTTGGCTATTTCACGATACCCACCACCAAATCCAAAGGGTGCTTCAAGCTTTGCTATATTTGATCGTTCCCTACTTACATGGAAGTACTTTTTTATCGTGGTGTTCTCTTTCCTTGTACCTTTTGGCTATGTTGCACCCTTTTTCTTGACACCCACCTATGCCACGGTCATTGGCGCGGATGCTTCAATGGGCGCATCACTCGTTTCTATTATGTCTGCAGCTAATGCTGTGTGCCGTATTAGCCTTGGTCTTGTCGGTGATCGATATGGTCGCTTGAACACCTTATTCATTTTCACGCTTTGCTCAGGTAAAATTTCATCATTCGCTCAATAATGTGACTTTGCGCTTATGGAACGTTATCTCATTTTTTCCTTTGCAGGTATCTTCACCATGGTGATCTGGCAATTTTCCGATTCTTTTGGACCTTTTGTTGCCTATTGTGTTCTTTTTGGTCTTACGGGTGGTGGTTTTGTGTCACTCTTGCCACCTGTCATTGCCGATATTGTCGGCATTGAGAATATCCAGAAAGGTGTCAGCTTTGCATACATGATGACTATGTTTGGCAGTAAGTAGAAAAAAGGACAGCTGCATGCGTCTCCGTATACTCACATAGGCTGTATCAGATCTTCTCGGCACACCTATTTCTGGTCAGCTTCAATCCAAATTTGGATGGACGGCTGCTATCCAGTTTCCTGGTGCAATGACAGTTGCCGCTGCCTTGGGGGCTCTTTGTGCTCGCTTGTTGATGAGCCGGAAGATTTTCAAGAAGATTTAAAGCACAAGCCGTATTACTTTGTATCATTGACTTCTCTTTATTACATACCCACGTCCTGTTCATCCATTTCTCCTTTTCACTACTGTTCACGTTGCATACTTGTACACCATATCAAATTACGTCATAATTATATAGATAAATGCATACGCCTTTTCCTTGTACAAGCCCCACAAGGTGGTTGTGTTGTCCCTTCATGGTTGTTGAATGTTAAATGATCCATGGAGGATGCTTGACAATATGGCTACTTGCTTTACTTTGTGCTTATGGTAGTTGACTTGAGGGATTGTATACAATGCAAAGTGGATCTTAAGAATCAGGGCGTGGAATAATATACCTTCGTGGTCTAGGAATATATGTATCACACGGATTTACGATCAAACCAATACACGCCATGTTGAGATCAGTGATTTCAATCATCATGAGCACCCAAAACAAGGATCATTGATAGCATACATAGTATTAGGTCACACCGGGATTTATGCTTCATACTTAGAAGGAGAAGGCTACCTTTACAATATTAACTCTGTACGCCATGAGCTCTGGTAGTGTGATCAGCTGTATTGTCTTGACCTTCTCAGCTACCTCATCATCCCCGAAGATCGTTTGTCTTCTACGTCTCTCCCTCCTTTTTAGTCTCTCGTTTACACTGCAAGCTATAAAATGTATATGCGAATCACAAGTATAGCTTTATTACTAGCAATAAGAATAGCATGGTGGTTGAGGGATCATCATAAAAGAAGAAGCTGCTTGACGCTACACTTTTAGATCAGTCTAACCATTTCAGGATGAAGGGATCTACACGGTTTGTTTTGCTGGTGGTAATGCTTGATTCATGTGGCATGAGCAGCTGATTTACTTTGGAAAAGCTATTAGAGATCAACGCCATACATTCTTAAAAGAACATGATAAACCCCATCAAGTTGAACTAAGGCTTTAAAGGAAACGAGATATGGAACAACATGGGCACGAATAATACCTTGATGGTGGAGGAGTATGATCAATAGTACATGTAACGCTCAACTGAGTTTCCTTTTTTTGGTTGCATGGAACTAGGCGCTTCGCCATTTCGACTTTTTTTTTCTTCGTTTCCTTCCTCCCATATACCTCGCTATGGATTCTAGTCATCCTGATGCATTCTCAAGGACGTTGGAGAGTCGACCTCGTTCACGCCATGTTCAACCTCCCAATCAGTCTACAGCATCGCCGTCATTTCCACATAGAGACGGCTCTGTAAATCGGCTCTCTCGCGTATTCGAACACAACCCCCAACCACCACCACACACTGCTTGTACAGCCAACACTACCTCTCGACGATTCCTCGATTCACAAAACAGCACTCTCAATGGCACACCAGCACGACCTACGTTACCAACAAAACCTCCGTCACTTCGTCTCTCTTCCAATTATCAGCAGACGCACGATTCCCTTTTGCCGAGCCCGTCATCCGAGAGTATGCCGTCGCCGGCTACGAGCACAGCTACAGTTGCTACCTCTGTGACCAGTTATACATCCGATGCACAGCAACGTCCTTCATTCTCGGAAGAACAAGCCAAGAATGCAACTCAAAACGAGATTGATCAAACATCGCTTGCTTTCAGTGATATTCGAGCCAAGTTTCAACAACAAGCACAATCCACAACACCATCAACATACAATGTAAGTGGATGCTTTATTGTGTGTTTAACTGATTACATGATTAACAAAGTTACTATTTGGGGTGGGGCATCATGACATAGGTGAATGGTAGAAAGAATGGATATGTATCGACATCGCCGCCATCTACGGCACCGCCTCCATTATTGCCAAAACAAGGTGCTGCCAAGCGGATGTCATCAATCAAGAACAATCAAAGACCAGCAGCAGGGGTCACCACGACAATGCCAAGAACTGAAGATGATGATGTGACCACACCAAGAAGCGGTTGTTTTGTTGCCGAATTGAGTAAACGATTGGAGCAAGCTGAAGGAGGAGAAGGAGGAGGAGCAACAACACCACCACCACCCAAAGTAGCACCAACTCGATATGTAAAACCTCGTCCTGGTTCACTACGCAACAAACCTGTCATTCCAGCACAACCCTTACCACCTACCAATAACAGCACAGAAACACGACATCCACCACCACCTCCTCCTCCTCACTATCTATCCAAACGACCATCCTCCTCCTCTGTTAATAATGGCATCATATCCACTTCCATCTCATCACCTATCACCAATACCAGCAACACATTACATATTCCAACAATTCCAAGACATGAAACCGGTAACAGCACCGCATCCACCTCCTCGCAATCCTCCTCAGTTGCTACCAACAACACTGAATCCTCTCCTTCAAGGAAACCATGGCATTATGGTGTTGCTCTCACTAGCTGGTTAACCGGTCATGATCATTCACATCAACCCAGCTTGAAAGATTCTATCACTATTGTCTCTTCTCATCCCGCAAGTCAAGATGATCGCCCTCCATCCGATGCTACTTCAGCCTACAGCACTCCTTCATTACCTGTATCACCACAACCATCGGGGAAAGGATCCGATCGTGGAAAGGCTAAACGCAGCAAGGTGGTTCAAGAGCTTGTCAGCACCGAAAAGGCATACCAAAAGGACATGTTATTGCTGAAGGAGGTGTTTTATGATCGGGCACAAGCTCCAGGCTCGCCATTGAGTAGAACGGATGTCAAGACCCTCTTTTCGAACCTATTGGATATTATTGAATTGGAGGCATCTTTTGTTGAAGCATTGGAGATTGCAACGGAGAATCGTGACGATGAATCAATTACTATCGGTGCTGCTTTTCGTCAATTTGTAAGTATGCATAACGATGGCGTATTGGGGCATTTTACTAATAGTCTATGATAGATGTCAAGCATTGATTGTATCTATTGCGAGTATTGCAAACGACATGAAGATGCTGTATTGCGTTTACAGGAGCTAGAGATGAATGCTGATACACATGCATTTTTAAATGTGAGTTGAAGGGAAAATGCGATGGATGTCAGTCGTGACTTATGTTATGTATATAGGATTGCCAAGCACAAATGCAAGGGAAAACTACAAGCTGGGATTTGGGGAGCTTATTGATCAAACCTGTACAGCGTGTCCTCAAGTATCCATTACTTTTGCGGGTATGTAGGACCCTCATGAATGACGCTCTGATCCATACTCATTGAATTCGCTTAGGAAATCTTTCTATTGACCCCTGCTGAGTATGCTGATCACGATGACCTGGCGAGTGCTACGCAAGAGATACAAGAGGTGGCTGATCATATCAATGAGATTAAGCGACGCAAGGATATTGTGGAAAAGATTGTGGGCGACAAAAAGAAGACAGAGATCAACGTAAGTCTAGCGATGGGGGGGTTACGTTCTATTTTATTGATGAACTAATGTCATTACTTTATAGGTTGTGTAAGTTTCCTTTGACCCTTGGCATGTATAGCTAGAGCAAGGTTATTGACATTTCCTCTAATAGACACGGTATCAATAAGAAGTTGACACGACGAGCACAGCGATTCAAGCAGGCAACTGGTTTTGCCGCTGAAGCGACACAGGATGCATCTTTTGATATGTTACACTTGCGATTTGAAGAACAACGTGAGATTGCACAGCAGCTGGCACGGGATGTCCAAGGATGGGTGCGACAAGTCAAGAATCATTTTGAGACTTTACGTATTATGGCTGAGAGCTTGGAGACGCTCTATAGCTCGTGGGGTGGAGTGAGAGTCAAGAGTATGCAGCGGATACGAGCATTCGGTGAAATGACGACGGCTTTTTCAACCACCATGACGCGTGTGCTTGATAGCAAAGTGCAAGGCATTGTCTATAGCCGAATTGATGGATTCCTTACGGTGTTTGATAACCCCAGTCAAGTGATCAGCAAGCGTGCACAAAAGTTACTTGATTATGATCGTGTTCGAGACATCAAATCCAAAGGTGATACCCCTGACAAGTCACTACAAGAGTCAGCAGATGCCTATGTTTCTATCAATGCACAACTTGTCGATGAGTTACCCAAGTTTTTCAAGTTGACGGGTGAATACTTTGATGTGATTATTGGCGAGCTTGCAGCTGTACAAATGTCGTTCTATGAAGAAATGACACGAGAATGGCAAAAGTTGTTACAAAAGCATTTCAGCACCAGTGGCACCGATCTCTCTACAGATGGAATCATTGCACAATATACAGCCAGCATGCAACACGTGGAACGACTCGTGCTAGACATCACACCACTCAACAAATCTGTATGGAACGCGATACCCGGTGTGATCCCAAACACGCCACCTTCAATAGGTGATGAGAGGAGTAGTATCAGATCCATGTCCACAGCATCATACCAAGATAGTTACTTTTAACAATGATTTTCAAATGTACATATATATATAACATAATGCTATTACTAGTAGTAATCTTGAATAGAATCATTAACAGAGAGCGAGATTGCGAGTGTATTTATCGAGGTCATCGAGTTGTTTACGAAATTCACGTTCACTGATAAGCTTGTGCTTGTACTTGAGAGCAATGCAGATGGCTTTGATGGTGGTCGATTTCAATACAGCCACTTGATCGGGTTGTGTTGCATAAAACTCCTTCGCATCGACATAGGGTAGTGATAACCAATATCCCCATACTGCTTCCACCACACGTCGATTCACCTAGTATTATCCATCACCATTAGCATGCATGCATGATGATAATAACTCGTGTCATCTACGTATCTTACCTTGGGTGTCACGTTATTCTCTAAACGAGCCGAGCCTCCCACAACTTGAGGTCTGCCAAAGCCTAAGGTGTTGGCTTGCTCCTTCACCAGCTTGCGCCATTTCGATCGAAAGTTTGCAATGTTACCCTGGCAAGATATTATGATACGATCGTTGGGGTCTATAGGTTGATCAATGTGAATGCCATTGGCTACGTCTGCTGCTTCTTCGTTGGTGATATATCGGCTTCGCACAAAAACACGTCGCTGTCGTCTCCAGAATTCCTTTTCTTTGTCTCTGGGTGTTGGTGTCTCTCCTATAGCAACAGGTGCATCCATAGCAAGAGGAACTTGTAACGACGCTCGTCGATAAGCATAATCAGATCGAAGCTTGTGGTGTTCGTTGGCTACTTTTTTGGGTGGGATGGATTTTGTATTGGATGACGGCGGCGTTGTGGATGATGATGAAGATGATGATGGTGGATGTCTTTCTGAAGAATCAGGCTGCGGTTGTGGTGTGGTGGTGGATGGTGTTTGTTGATGATTCACGGGGCGGTCATTGTCATTTTCAGTGTCGTAGGGTTGATGCCGAAAGCGTTTGGAGGGAACAGGTGTGCCGACACCAATCTCATTGAATGAAGATGCTGTGTGAGGATATCGTCTCTTATGCGAAGTATCATTTCGGATATCTGAAAGTGGTGTTGATTTGAGTTGTTGTACATAAGTCAATGGATTGTCGCGAATAGAATATACATCTACTCCTATAAAACGTATCAGGATTTGCGACATCATCATAAGTGTAGCGGGTGTCATTTACGTTGATGAGATGAAGATGCTTTTCGTAATGATGATGATGATGATGATGATGATGATGATGATGATGATATGGATGACATGGCTATCGACACAATCAAAGTTTAGCATTCTCCGCAATAAAGGCGATGAACATGCATTGAAAGCGCTTTAAACCTTTTGCTTTGCCTTTCAAATGATTTGCGGCTCGGGCGTCGGTTTGGGGCATGATAATAGGAAGAATTGTGGAACAAGAGGCATGGCATTGGGGCCTCGCATTTTATAATTAAAGGCTCTATTGAAGTCACAACTCCGCTGATATTATATGTATGGGACACTATACTATGCATATCTATTTGACCATCGAAGCTAAGAATAACGCTTTCATAATCTTGGGAAGATCCTTATTTTCGGAACAGATAGTAGCTTGGCTACCGAGCGCCTTTTGTAATCTAAATAACCAAAGTTAGTACTCACAACCAAACATCCAACCCCAATGAAAAGTAATACTTACTGCTCAGCCTGGCCTTGCAACGAACCGATAAAAATCATTTGCGCAGTAACTCGGTCATCAGACTTCAAAACTATGTGATTGGAGCATAAATGAGCATAGGGTTAGTGTATATGCACGCTGTCACCATCGTATCTTCAAAGTCTTACCTCTGGCGATATCATTGGGGTGGATATTGTATTGAGTGATATTGGCATCCGACATGACCACCACAAAGTAGTCATCACCTTCTTCCTTGACGATTTCTTTAACTGAATGTGATACTGCACCAAGGGTATTGTCTACAAGAGAAGATCATGTCAAAAGATAAGGTCGTAGTGAAAACGTGTTCTCATTTACCTCCACTTAGGCAGTATTGTGAATGAGCACGCATCTTGTTGATAATCTCAAATTCCTCCTTCTCCGTTTTGGGGTGTTTTCCTGGAGTCACAAACTCAATATTGGCACCATCGCCACTGTGGCCAATGATGCTGTAGGCAAACTTTTGCTCGAATCCTCTGAAAGCTTCCATCAACATAAGGGCTACTTCCAAGGAGCGTTCCAAACGGCGATCATGTGTATTGAAGCGGAACATGCTAATGAAGGTTGAAGAAAAGGTAAAGTAAGCTTCAATGCATATGGATACGACGCGCATTTGCCATGTTGGTTGCTTGTTTACCTTGCAGATAAATCAAAAACAAAGTTCATACGTTTTGGCTTTTCTTGAAACAAACCAATTTCAGGGTCATCTTCACCACGCTTGCGATAAATTGCACGTTCACCAGTCAAACCTTCAATGCTATTGAGAGGTTAGCGCATACCCTATTTGTACTATCATGCTTGGCTTACATCTTGGTATCATCCAAATCACCAGAGGCTTGATTCTTGAGCCATACTCGTTCTTTGTTTTTGGCTTCTACGCTTTCAAGAATGACGCGCAATTCACGCACCTCGCGACGTACATTGTCCATGTATTTTTGGAAGACCTATATTTACCCCTTGTGAGGATCGTTGAAGAGTGGGAAGAAATGGATGATCACATACCGTGTAATCACCTTGCGTCATATCCAACTTGGTCAACATCTTCTCCATGGCTTGTTCATGCATCTCCCTGTGTACCAGTGTTAGATAAGGGGATACAGCACTTACACGCATATACTACTTACTTTTGAGCTTCTGAGACCTCTTGGGGTTGATCGCTTGCGGTACGCTATAATACAAACTTGTAAGAATACAACGACATGTCATTAGTGAAGTATAATTAATTACCAGTTTAAGGTTGTTGATATCCTCAAAAGTAGCTTCATCACGTCCACCTTCATTCATGTTGGCTCCAGAGCTCGCTCCACCACCACCTGATCCTTCGCCTTGGGATCCACTTGAGGTGCCATCACCCGATCCTTCACCACCTCCAGAACCTTGACCTGATCCTTGGCCTTGGCCTTGACCATTTCCTTGGCCTTTGCCGTTACTTTCACCAGGAGCGGAGGCTTCACCGACAACTTGTTGATTTCCTTGCATGTCTTCGTTCTCAGGCTAATAACAATAAATGCTTGTCAGCCAAAGATGTAGGTGCTTTACATGTTTATAATTACATACCTTGTCGGTTTCGTAAATGACTGAAAGCGCCTTTTGGTCAACTCCAACCATTTGTTTCCAAGTCTGAGCTGCCTTGTAAAGCTCCATCGACTCCACTTGCCAAACACGCACAACCCCAGAGGCATCCATAGTAAGTAGGTTTCCATTTGGTAGCTCGCACATGGATGCAACATGGCGTTCGACTTGGAATCTTGCAAAGCTGGGATACTCGCTAACAATTGTTTAGTACACGTGTAAAAATGACGAAGAACAAAAACGATGTACCTCTCAATATTGCCCATATCGGCCAAGGGTATCTTGATACGCCAAGCTTGATTTCTTGCAGGGTTGACAATATCCAAGAAGCCTTCAGGTCTTCCATCCTATGATAATGCATTTAGCAAAATGGATCTAGTCATCACAAATCAAATACTTACAGCAGGTGGTTGAATGACAGCCATTTGTTTGGAGCGAGTCAAAGCCAAAGCACATCCCTTAATTCTTGCAGGTGCTTCTTCAACGTTGCCTTGCTTCATGTATGCATACACATCAATCGTTCCAGTCTTGGTCAAGAAATTCTCAAACGAGCAACCATGTAACATGCTTGCAAACTTGTCAGCGCGGACGTTTTGAGCAAATTTGGCACCAGGGCTACATTGCATGTTATTAGTTACTCGTACACACCTATGCGTGTGGGCAGCATATAGACTTACGCAAACTCATTCCAAAAGATATTCACCAAGTCGCTCACGTATTGGCCATTTTGACCGAGGGCCTGGATTGGTTCCATGATGGTTGGGATAGCAGAGGCATCTTCAGAGTACACTGCATAGGTGGCAGCATCACGACTTCCCTTTGCAAGCCAAAAGTTTGGTTCCACGACAAGAATTTGTTTGACTATTATATGATATGAGCACCCATTGAACATTGATACATAAATGTGGCAAGTCGAAGGTATATACTTACTGCGGATGGGCAAATTCAGGGTATACTGCTGGGATGTATTGAAGTCTAATACAGCCAAAGCACTCTGATCCTCTTGGTAGAACACTATGAGGGATATGTTAGCATACTACAATAATACTGATTCATCAATGTCATAAGCTATGAAACATACCAAGGATACCAAAGGCTGCCAATTCATTGCACATGATAGACTTGATCGGTTCCATACCTCGAAGCTATCATTGAAAAAATCAATATCATCCACCTATGTAATCATCTCAATTGACATACCACCACCGACATGATCTTTTTGCCATTAAAGTCGCAGCAGAGGAGCTCGTTGTTGGATGGGTTATGCAATGCGAGATACTTGACCATACCCTTGACGCGGATAACAGCAAGGCGCAAACGAGGAGGAGCTACAAGAAGTGTGAGTGAAATGTTAATAGTGCACATGTTGTATATACCAACCTCGTTGAAGTGGGAAGTATTCATAAAGATCAAGGCTATCGACACGCTGATGGCGAGGTTCCACATAGTGAAGGGTAACAGGATTGGTGGTGACCATGAAAAGTGAGCCATCATCAAGTGCAGCAACATCCAAGGCTTCACCCCGCGTTGGGACTGTAAAGTTGTAGAGTTGCTCGGAAAACACGGTAGATCGACCTTCACGGCGTTCAAGCTGCTTCACCTTCTTTCCTGTTTCGAGGTCCCATCCACCCTACATGAGACATCAGCACTCGTATCCTTTTTCGATATTGCTGAGCATGATACTTACTCGAACAGCCATGCTGGATTTTTCCACCTTGACATCCTTCTTGCTTGCTTGTGGCACTCGCTTCCATTGTTCACACAAAAGAGGTTCACCAAGTTCAACAATGTCACCAAGGCTCATTGAAAAATCTGATTCCAAACCCACTGGAATACCATGTTTCTCGAAAATCTCGATCAGGAGCTCTTTGGATGCTTGGTCGTATTGATCAAAGTCGAACACGTTCTGCATGATCTTAGAGATGCCTTCTCCAGGATACGTCTGTTGAGCGCCTTAATAAGCAACTTGTAATACGTATACACGATTTAGATGGTTGCAAATACCTGTAAGTGAAGAACAATATTGACGAGCTCACGTGTTGAATAAGGATAGGAAATGAGACTATGTATTAGGCAAGTTAGTCGACAGCCATCCATCACGCGTGGTGGTGATACTTACCCCTCATCCACTAGCTTACGAAGATCAGTGAAGGCACTCGAAAGCTTTTCCAACATCTCTTCAGGAACATCAGGGCCGTATTTTCGCAATAAATACATCTATGTGTGGGGCATGAGAATTACTTCAAACTCGTTTTGTTCGCCAAAGTATACCTCAGATGACTTGTCAGGGTTATCCACTGCATGGCTATAGAATGGGACAAGTTGAGTAAGATAGCCAACAATTACTTCAAGGTACTTACCAGCTAAAGACATCACCGATTTCACGATAAAAGTCATTACCTAAGTATCATTCAATTAACCCCATAACCTACAATCAATGATGAGACAAAGAACCATACCAAGGAAGGGGTAGCCTAAATAGGAATAACAATATCCACATTAGCATTCAATTTCATATAATGGGCATTGAACCAACCTGGTCGATTTGCCAAAACAATCATTCGGAAGTTCTATTTAAGGGTTGATATAAGCATAAACGCCATGTCGTCCTCGAGACAATGAAACTTACGGGATGGATAAGCACGTAGCGATCACCTTCTTGGACATCAGATTCCTTGGATACGATACGTCGTCCATCTCCTAGCACCATTTGGCCATCCTCCACAAGACTCTTTAGCACGGCAGTGACATAGGTAGGAGCCTTATCAGCCTCGTCGATAACAAGAATTGTGCCTATAGGCAATAAGAGTAAATAAAACATCAAGGCCCTTTGACAGATGAAATACCATTTTGTACAGCCTTGACGAGAGGTGAATCTTCAAATACCAAAACACCGTCGCGGATGGCAGGAGTCGTGGTCAAGCTCTGAACCGTACTATCACGATGAAGTTGGATGTATTCGCGAGGCAATTGCAAGAGCTGCAAAAAGTAGTCGGCCAATTTGTTCTTGCCAACACCCTGGTTACCAATAAGCAACAAATGATCGCCTTTGAAAGATGCATTAGTTGAATAGCAATGAGATGATATGCATCTTTTTCACACATACCAAGCTGATAATCCTTCAACATTTCTCGCAAGATCTCAGTATGGGCGGGATTTTCATGGAAGACCACGTTAGGGATCAACATGGGATCGCCATTCTTGAAAACAGGTTCGATCACGTTGCCAATACGGATTTGTTGTGGGTTGTCACGCGAAGGCAACACCTCGATTTGAAGTTGTTCAAGGTCGATTTCTTCCTTTGGTGGATAAATTCCATTTGCAACCATGACTTCATGAAGTACTGTTTTGGCAGCTGTCGGCATGAATCGGGAAAGGGCAGCCTTATGGATCGTCTTGTAGAGGTTTTCATCATCAAAGTAGGCGAGATGGCGGCAAATGCGAATAAGCTGACGTGTTGACAAGGCACTCGATAGCATGCGAATAGTCTCATCCTTATCACGGCGTAGGCGTCTGGCAAACATCAACAGCTGTCTTAGCTTATCTTCATTCACACCAGGTGAGAGCATCTTGAGTACTTGTTGTTCTTCCTATAAACAACGTGTGTGTGAGTAAAGCAAATACAGTAGGTTAGCTATTGTTCTCTTTACCTCGGATGGAAGGCTGTCAACAACAACAAAATGGAACATGGATAAAATCTCGGCAGTCAACCACGCCCCAGCCTTGGCATCGCTTTGGCCACTCACACCAGCACGAGCAAGAGCAATGATTCTAAACGAGGGATGGATGGGAATCAAGCGCTTGGCATCCATATCATCAATGGTAAACTTGTTCTTTTTCATCAACTTTTCATAACGATGAGAGCTGATCAAACGTGTTCCATCAGGGAGCTGGGTTTCTCGTTCATTGACTAAGCGCTGAAGTGTGTTCAAGGTTCCATATGATAACGCCTCAATGTCATCAAGCACAGCCAAGTGGCCACGAATAGCAGCTTCAACTAAAAGGGAATTCTAAAAGCAACACTTGTAAGCATGTTGTATCATAACCAATAAAGGAAACTTACATCCCAAACGGTGTCACCAGTGGGTGTGGTGGATCGTCGCTGAAGCAGATCACGCGAAGACATGTCACGGTATAGAGGGATATAATCAATTGTATAACCAAGATTGCGAGCAACTACATAGATACATTCTATCAATCATGCTTGTTTACCCGACCACATACTGGTGAATAATACTTACAGTGTCGAACCAATGCAGATTTTCCTACACCCTTGTGTGTGCCAATCAAGCAAATATCGTTTCCACCAGCGTGCACCAGCATCATGGATGTAAAAATGTCACGATGATAAGGCGTTTCAACAAAGAATTCGGCAGGGCTGAAAGGATTGGGCCCACATGCAATAGAAAGACCAACGGGCATCTTATCCACGTGAGAAAAGGTTGCAATGGCACGATGAACATAGGCGCTCTCATCCACAGACACCGTTGGACGATGTGGATCAATATTTCGAAGCTCGTATCCTGAGAATGTTTGGTTCACTTCTTCATGAGCTTCCACAATACGACCTCGCACACCAAATCGTCGATAGGCTGATTCAATAACACCAAGCTGTTCCAAATCGCATGTTGGAAGAAGGGGGTATGGATAAAGAAGATCAACAAGGAAGCGTGGATGGATATCAGGTAATGAAGATAAGAGTGCTGACAAGGTTTCCACTGTCATTGGGAATTCAGGTACTTCGATCTCGCGGCTTGCGCTCTTGTCACGTTGAATACACAAAACCAAGCTGATAGAAACGAGACGCTCAACAAGTTGACGATTCGCTTTGTTGTCAGTCAATGCCATGATCTGGTTTACTTGAGTGTTGAAGCTGGGTGCACGAATATCACGAGATTGAAAACGAGATCGCAATGGAGGATCCAAAGGATAACCAATATAAGGCGGTACAGGCAAACCTACATAAAGGTATTAGATCATTGTAGCTCAACGTCGTCCACACACTTACCAAGAGCAAAGACAAGGAATCGATCACTGACTTTATCAAACTTGGAGTATCCATCCACTTTTTCAACATCCTTGGTCGTAAGGAAACGTCCATCATCCAATCCCATCTCACGGTTCTCCAAAAGGTTGTTCAAGATAGGGAGCACGTTGCGTTCGGCCTTCTCAATACCATCCAATACAAGGATTCGACCATTGATAGCAGCACGCACGGCAGCTTGATCCACATAGAAAGAAGTGCCATTTTGAAGTTCTCGACGTTGCTTGAGATCTGCATCGGTGACATCTTTGGATAACGCTACGTATTCAATCCTAGGACAATAGTATTAGCATGATGGTCATTCACTCGATAAATAACACTCACTCTCTTTGTGTCATCTCGGCATATTTCATCACCAATTGTCTACGAAGAGGACCAGGAGGACCGATCAAAAAGATATCTTGGCCAAGCTAAAATGCAGCAGCTGTTATCACATGTACCACAATGATGACATGTAATCATCCCCTTACCTTATCCTTTTGCATCATCCTTTTTCGTTGGCATTCAATGTGGTCAGTAATCCTGGCAACCCAACCTATCAATAGCAGCATCACTTACCATCTTAAATGTCGTAATATTTCCTAGAACAATGCAAGTCAGAAACCACTTGATGCATAATAAATAGAGCGCTTGGATATCATCGTCGTACCTGTGATTCTTGATAGAATGGTCCCTCGAGTTCAGGTACAAGTTCTGGGTTGGAGGGAGGAACAATGGGCATGACAACGTCGCCGATGCGCACCGATTTGACGTTGACTAGAGTTTCTTCAATGAGCTATCTTTGATAGGGATGCAATGTCAGCGTAAAATATACCCTCATGAATGAGATCGTCTTCCTCGGAATCGGACCAGCCGCTTTGTGCTTCGGATAGGACTTTGCCTAGTTGTCGTAAACGCCTCCTCGCTTGCTTTTGCTGTTGATTCGTCGACATTGCAGCTGACAAGAAGAAAGGCAAGTTGCGGGGAAAGGGACCAGCAGCTTTAAATGATGCCTTATTCTCGTTTAGTCATCAGCTCCAAGCTTGCTGGGTTTCACTTTGTCCTACCTTTCGATCATTGTGGAGGTTGTCATCACAACGAATGAGACCAAGGAAGGATACGATGGATACGACGATAGGAGTCTTAGCATAAAGAAATTGATAAATGCAATAAAGAGGAGGAAACAGGTCTTGGGTTTAAACAATGGACACATCATTCGGTTGATCGAGAGGTGTAATGCACATGTCGATTATTACATCTATGTATGACATTTGCCTGCCATCATTGTCGGTGAAAGAAAGTGCGCCCCGCATGTGAAAAACCATGACTACACAAAATTGGATATATCCACTGCTACTGATAAAGCTGTGTGGCGCATGATCCGTGAGAAGGAAACACCCATTTCAACATGTAATTCAAATCATGCGTGCTCTTTGTACCATTTCATATGTATTTGGGAGAGATAAATACAACAATGAAATAGTAACTTTTATTGTAAAGCAAAGACAATGACTACGAACCACCTCCAGGTGTGTTGCTTTCAAATTTCTCATCCAATAGCTCCCGGAAACCTGAGATGATCTCATTCTCTCGCTTCATTCTTTGTTCTTGAGCATGTTGAAGCAGTAATCGCTTTTCTTCGGCTGAGATGACCTGGTTTTCCTTTCTCATACGAACAGCATTCATGCGTTGATGTCTATATAGATAAGGCTTAGTAAAATACCCTATCTGGAGCAATGCCATTATGCAAAGACATACCTGCTACCGCTCATAACAAAACCTGCATTCTCATAGTCGGCAATCTGATCACCGGATAAACCAATTTCACCACGTCGAGGAATACGTTTGCCTTGTTGGACATAGGCTGCCATTGCAGAACCTTCACCAGGCAAGAGTGCACCACCATAACTATAGCCCTTTGTTAGCTACATAGCCTATAAGCAAAAATACACATTGTACTTACGCTCTCTCATCGGGCATATCATCATCTTTGGGAAGCATGACCGGACCCACTATCGTATTATCCTCATCAGGTATATTAACTATAAAGCAAAATTATGAGTACATTGCGTATCATGGGAATGTTGAATCCATGACAACGAACCTTCTTTCTCCACCCATAAATCCTCGACGGCATCCAATTGAGATTGATCCACTTGGAGCTGTTTGGCAGCAGCATTCTCGCTCTCACTTGCAGCAGATGATTCTGTATCTGATGGTGTGATCGAACGTCTTCTCTTTTTCTTGGATGATCTTCGATGCGATGATTTCTTCTTTTTGCTGCTGCTAGATTTTCTGCTCTTGTGCTTGCGTCGTCTTCTACGTCGATCATCATCGCTGCTGCTATCATCTGATTCTGCATCATCCTCACTATCCGAATATCGACGTCTGCGTTTGGAACGAGAAGTTTCCTCTGGTGTTAATGATCGTCGTCGTGGTTCTGGAGAAGGTGCCCAAATCGTAGCTGTACTGGAATCTCTCACACGTTTACGACTAAATATCAATGTAAGCCCATCATGTTGCTCCCCATATCCAAAATACAAAACTTACTATTCCATATAAGTCTCTCCTGGCATTCTTGGGAATCCATCAATGTTCTCTTCATCCTGATAGTATCTTCCAGACCGACGAGGAGGAGATCGACGGTCTCTGCTTCGATCGTCGTTACGAAAACGTCGAGGGGAGTCATGAGAACGATCGCGATGACGACGATAGCGTGGTGAAGGAGATCGACGGCTGTGTCTTTCTTTACGAGAATAAGGTGAAGGAGATCGATGTCTTGATCGACTGCGAGATGGCATCGTGTATGTTGGAAGGACGAAGGAGGGTGAAAGAAGTGTGCACACCACACCACACACACACAGCGCTTGCTATTTTACGGCCCGAAAGTCCAAATGCTCTTTCTGCGTTGCCCGTTTTGCTCCTACAAGATCACCCCACCCCCTTGAGCATAATGGAATCGTTGCGAACGGTGATTTCACGGCTGTTTGCCGATCCTCAAGATCCTACAGCTACTGTGAGTTTGTTCATCCCATTGTCCTATTCCCAAGTATCCTCCTTCATTCACCTTACTCAAAACTCATGCTTTACAATAGCCGTTGGAAGACACCAACCGACGATATTGCGGGTAACAACGCGCTTCGCTTTATACCTTGACGTGGTCCATATTCACTTTGGCATTGTAGTTATTTCAGTCGAAAGCCTTCCAAGCGTCGACGTGTCAGCTTGCTTCATCCAAAGACTGAGCAGGCATATACGGATCAAGCAGCACTCGATGATAGTCCTATGGTTGCATTTCTACTTCAAACAAGTCGTCTCGATTATGATACTTTGGCTCATGATTTTCTTCGTACATGTGTTGTTGGCAATATGGTAAATGTCACATGGCAATCAACATCCACCTATTTCTTACTTACACCTCTTGTGCTTTAGTCGGAGCAGCTCAAGGTGATCATGCTCAAGTATCGGGAGCCGCCTCTTACGTTGGTCAAGACAACACGACTCATGGCATTCCTCAATCATCTTTTGACTATCGTTCCTGTTACACCCAAAGCAACTGCTGCTTCCAGTGGCCATGGATCATTAACGACGACACCTTTTCCTCTGGGCCAATTATTTGAAGACCTCACTTTGACGCTTTCGTTACGACCTGCACCTGGCAACAACAAATCACTCACCTTGTCGATATGGGTTGTCACCATTCAATTTATGTTGTCATGCTTGAAAAGCAATTCACAGCAAGCATTGTACAATGCAGGAATTGCCACACCTGCCATTCTTGGAATCATCAAACACATCTTGTTGGAATTGACTCGATTGCCTGCCACCAATATGAATCCTCTTCAGAAGCAATGCTTTTCTTTGGGGAAGCAGATGTTGGATCTATTCCTCGTCCGTGAGCATCCAATCAACTCGACATCATCGGATCAAAGCAGCACAGCGTCTGTTCCTATTGGAATCGGCTCAGTCTCTTACTACGACGTCATTGTATCGGTAAGATCTCCTTTTCTTATACGCCAAGGATGATTATATTGACATGGTATAATAGTTTCCAGAGCTATATGGTCATTTCATCAATGAAGCACCTCCAACAACTGGATCCCAGCAGCAACCTACAATAGCCAATCACAACGTATGGCTGATGACACTCCAATACATGATCACTTCAATCACCCAAGATCATCGTCTCATGGATAAGATCCATACGGTTATGGCAGTCAACATTATCAAGCACATTTTGCGTGAGATCAATACCCTTCCTGCCAACATGTCAACAGCCCAAATCGATTGTCTCAACAAGGGCAAAGAATTGATCAACCTTTTGCTACTTGGTCCTATGGGTGATGGCGCAGGCGTTGTATCACATTACGACATCATCGTTGCGGTATGGTATCCTCCCTTTCTCTCATTCTCCCTTGAAGTTAGCTGATTGGATATGGAATAAGTAGCTACCGGATGTATATGGTCATTTCTTGCGAGGCACATTTGCTCAAAGTATTCATTGGACCATGGAGAAATTCATCAACGAGCTTGGCAAACGTAGAAGACATCTTGCATTTCTCATGATGCCACCAGGTACGAAGGATCATTGTTGAGGATGCTATTTGATGTTTATGTCACCCCCTTCCTTATAGACGCATCATGGCCTCTCATCTCGCAGCTGAGTCGACGACATGAGTACAATGATTTGACGACACGAACCAGTTTTCACATGTTTGAAGGAGATTTGGTAGGTATCATTGGTATCACTCTAGTCCAATACGCTCATGCTGTTACATAGATCGAATTTGTAAAGGAGGGCAATTCCACAAACATTGAGACCCATTTTCGTGACATGCTCTTTCAACGTGCATCCATGGATGAATTCCGGCAACTTGAATTATCGCTTACACAAACGGGATTGGATACAAGGCAAATAAGAAAAGCCATGGTGGATAAAGTACGAGACGTCCTCCAATGTATTCAGCAACATAGCCGATCAGAGAAGAGGCCGAGTAAGTGGATCGATTATTAGGTTGGGGTAAACATCAAATGTCTCATGCCCGCTTCCATAGATACAAATCCACCCAATCAAGATGACACGATGTGGATCCCGTCGAATTTGGATTTGTGGGAATTGATGAATGAAACGGCTGACCAGTTATACAGCTTTGTGGCAGCAGAGTAAGCATGGCAGCATTGAGCATGATGATGACTAGGATACTAATCTTGGCTATGTGGTAGGTTTTTCACTTATGAGGATATCCTGCAAGACTTTTATGACCTTGTTTATCAGCCCAATGGAGAAGAGTATCCAGCGGGAGCAAAGCATCACCTGCCCAAGGACAATGGTTTGATTTGGTTCCTCTTGCAACTTTTCCGTAAGTGATTATTATGGTGCATTGGTATTATCATATGGAGTATGAGACTCATTATCCTATTAGCGATCGAGAGGATAGCCAAGGAGGTGATTCCCCGGGATTTTGAAGGAGACGAGAGCTTGTTTGCGAAATTGGGTTCCCTCTACAACGAAGCACAAACTCGTTCAGTGGATGCCTTCTCACTTAGAGACCTCGCGCTGCAGTCTGCGGTAAGACATGGAAGGAGGATACAATTGTGTTGGATGCTCATGGTTTTAATAGATCACCTTGCAACAACACAACATCAAAGATGTCGCTAATATCAAGCAGCGTCATCGAGGGATTTCCTCGGCTCTTCAATACACCAGCATCTGCTACAAAATACAGGCTTACTTCAAGCAGAATTATCATAGTACGTGTCATATACTTTGCACAAGCACTTTCGACTAATGATATCCATTTACAACAGGCAATGTGAAGAATCCTGATCTTTTCAGCAACTTGGATATATCGGAGATGACCAAGATTGCGCTTGTCAGTCAAATGCGTGGAGAATGGGTGCCATTTACTCTCTACGTGTACCTCGTCCCAAATGAAGCTGAAGTTGGTACACTTGGGAATCCAGAATCTACCTATTTCAAGGGAGGCAGTCTATCTTACAAGTTGTTGGATTTACTCTGTGTCAGCGGCAAACATAGGTAACATAAAGAAGGATGGGTATCGTTGTCACTTTGCTTACATGCTCTTTTTAGACTTTTGCAAGTGATCTACAAGATGATGCTTGAAAGTGATGTAGGACCAAAATATCAAAACGCCCAAATCTCGTGTGTTTCACCCAACGTGATCGATGTGGTCTACAAGTTACTATATAGCGCACCATGCTCGTAAGTAACATGGGACATGTACATGTAGCCAAGGCTAATTTTATGGTACATCAATTAGATCGGAATTGATGGTGAAGGAAATCTTTGATAAGATTCGACGTTGTGACAAGCGATACAAGAGCAAGCATGATGGACAAAACACTGGCAACAACGAGATGATGCTTTCACTCCCGACCATGCGTTGGCTTCATACGATCCTTCAGCTGATGAATTACCGGTTCTTGCGGCAGTTAAAATATCCTTTTACCAATGTTGACTTTTATGATTTGACAACCTATACAACTACAACAATCATGCAATCCTTAACCACCATTTTACGTTCTCTCCAAACTCATCAGGGCTTTTCCACTATATCCGCTACTCCATTTCCTATTTGGAACATCGACAAGTGTACCGGGTTCTCGAATCTTTTGTCTTCAACGTGGCAGTGAGTGAATCATACTTTATGCTTTTAAATCCAAACCATTGCTAATGTATTCAATGTAAACAGCGTATGCAAATGGATGTCAAGCTCCTACGTTCTTTGGATGATCCCAAACGTGATAAGCCTATATGGTTTGCTGAATCAGAGACTGTGGCCCGAGCCATGGTGACAAGTATTAGTCGGCTTATCAAAACGAGGTAGGCTCATCATTGATGTTCCATGATCAAGCACTAATTCACTTTTATAGAGGTCAAGCTGATATCAAGACAGAGCAAATTCATCGTGTCCTTGGCAGTCTCTTTGAATATCGGTTGGATTGGTCGAAAGAGTCGCTCAGCTATTTCCCAGAAGCTGTCAGGAGTTTTTACACTGATCCACAATCACACAACCAAAAGATCAAGGTGCGCCCCACCATCAACCCTGCTGCTTTACGCCAACAAGTGATCAACAACAAAGCCTTAACGAGTTATCTACTACAAGGATCGCCTGAGCACGAATCGATCATGGTCTCGTACTTTTCAGTCGCTGAAAACCAAGCTAGTCTCCTTTGTGTCTTATGGATCATTGCAGTGATGCAGGGATCGATGGATGTTTTCCACATGCCATGTGAGTATTCCTTTTCCCAAGTCCCTTACCAAGGATGGCTTCTCACTCTTTTCTTTCATCCTATTAGCCGTGCGAAAGCTGCTTTTGCTTGTAGCCCCCGCTCGTGTCGATACGCATGCTGTGGATTTGATCGATTTTATTCTTAGTGTGGATTATGGTCAAAATCGCCCTGATTTGGTAGGTGGAGCTATACATGCAAATGCGAAGGCAATCCAACTCATGTTGCTTTATAGCCTTTGAAATTACTCGACGCCATGATTTGGAAATATCAACTTGTCAATTTCACCAATATCATTTCAGCACTTGGAAAGGGCAGTGGCTCACCTGATCGCACGTCGAAAGCTTCCCGATTTATTCAATATCTCTTGCTTGAGTCACCTGAATTCGCCAATCGAGTAACAAAGTGGACATCATTGGGATTCAGCCGACGTTATTGGACCGAAGAGGATTTCCATCACAAGCTTATGCAGTACTTGAATGAATATCCTGAATACCACGAGTATGAAGCGTTTGCAATGGCACAAAAGCAAGGACAAATACCTGCATTGGATCCACCTCTACAACCACAAATGCCCGTGTATTTCACGAATATCGTCAGCGACTTTGTACCCTTCTTGGAGGTGCTCATTTCACGTTTGGTCGAGTATGCCCAGGTTGACTTGTTGATTGCTATCATGGATCGATACGGCCATTTGTTCTACTACCACAACGCACCATTGTCATTTGTAAGCAACTTATTGCTTTACTACTTCCCGAATGATACGCTTGCCGATCCTCGTGTGTGCAAAAGGGTTGTGCGACTGCTAGGTAAGGTAGCTGACATGTTCATATCATCTTTGTTTACTTAACCGGGTATCATCGTAGACTTTGAACAGTATGATCTCGCCCCTGAAGTAATAGCATATTGCCAACAAGACGACCTTGATGCCAAAGCATTTGACGCAGGCTATTTCGAAAGGGTGATTAGCAAACTTGCTGATAGTAAGTTAGGAGGAGGAGGAATAGCTGCATAGCATGTGATTTAATATCCCTTTTTTTTCAGACTTGGATACCCAAAAGTGTGCTCCTCGACACAATCCCAACCTACCTGAACGGCAATTTCGAGAGATCGGTAGTCCTGCAGTGTTGGGCATTTCAATTGCCATGTTGGAAATCATGGTCACACCCATTCCTCCTTCCACTGTTGTCAAGTACATTTTGGATATGGTGCTTTTACGTGGTTCTCGACAAACGGGTGTATCCGCATTGACCATTCATGCAACCGGTCTTTTGATATCCTCTCTTCCATCTGATCATTTTGTTCGACCCGTTTTGGATGAGCTTAATAACCTCGTTGTGAGCAATCCTTATCTTCTTGAGATATCCGAACCTACTCGACTGGTAAGCTTTTCTTTTTCGGTCATTCACAAGACTTGGTGTGTTGATTTGTTTCTTATTAGATACGATGTGGTATGCCCAAACAAACCAATGGCAAATATTTCATGTCCCAATCATTCCCTGATCTCACAAGCACTGCCGCGTTGAGAGATACCATGAGCTCCCGCTTAAGCAAAGCAGTGGTTTTTCCTTACATCTTCAACGACTATACCTTCAATTTGCACAACTACAGCACCAATGCACCCAATTGCTTCCTCACGCTTTTCCACAGCCTGCTTCATTATTCAAGTCTCGATGCATTCCGCGTGCTATTGGAATACTTGCGTACCTTACGTAATTCACCGGACAAGCTTAAAACGGATGTACAATTGCTCTATGTATGTTTTCTACTTGGACCCGCCCTTCATCGAATCGAAAAGCTGGACAATAACAACACCGATGCTGAGGTAAGTAATCATTGGTTTGGGCACTGTGGATATATGCTGATGGGTTACTCTTTTAGTTTCTGATGGAGTTAATGCACATGGTGAAGCACGTGACGACGCTTATGGATTTGAAAGAAGGATGGTCAACACAAGCTTTGGAGCAAGTCTTTGATTTTCTGTGAGTCATTTAAAAGAGGATGATCCTATGAAACGCTTTTTTATTGATACAACATTTTAGATATCATATTCGAGCAAGATTCTGCAAGTCACCTGACCTTGCCAACCAACTACGTGAAATCATCAAATCCATGAATCCTCCCATCAACCAACGACTTATTCGACTAGTAATGTAGAATAGACAATTTTTAATCTTTGTACAAACAAGCAATCAACAAAAAGCACACGCACACAATAATGATGATGAATGACTCCTATTTTTCTATTGCCATGAATTGTAATTTGGATAACCAGCTGGAGGTGGAGGTGGAGGAGGAGTTTGACCAACAAAAGCACCTGGCGCTGGAGCCCCTTGTGCAGCCATGGGTGGAGGTGGAGGTGGAGGTCGTGGGTATCCTGCAGCGGGTGCACCACCCATTGGCATATTGTAATGTGGTACAGCACCAGCACCAGCACCAGCAGTAGGAGCAGGACCAGGAGGAGTGGCGCCCATTGCCATGGATGATGGATCAGCATACAATCGATTAGGTAATTGTACATTCTTCCTTGCTTGTGCTGCCAACAATCTCTCTGCGGCCGATCCATGTCGTTCACCTTTACCATCCTTCTTCAATGCATATGAAACTGTGATTTGCTTGTTCATGAGATATTGATTGTTCATGGCGTCGATGGCTGCATCGGATGAATCAAAGTTATCAAAGCTGACAAAACCAAAGCCTTTCAGATTGCCGGTCTCTGGATCTCGCGCGATTTTTGGTGTCTGTACAATAACGCCAAATGCACTGAACGTGTCGTAAAGTAGTTTCTCGTCAACATCTGGATCAAGGTTGCCGATAAACAATGTCGCACCAACATCAAGGTTCTTTCGATCTGAAGTCGCCTATCATATCAATATCCCATTAATACAACCATTCCATAACCACCACCACCATCGTCGTCGTCGTCGTCCATGGAGACCACTTTACCTTGTTGACACGAATCGGTTTGCCATACAACCGTATCTGATTCATAATACGAATGGCATAATCAGCGTCCTCCTCGGTAAGAAACTCGCAAAAGCCATAGCCTTGATGTGTTTGAGTGACACGATCCTTGGGTAAGTGGACGTTTACTACAAGGAAAAAAGATTGGATCGTCAGCATCGCTCACTGAATGCCCCATGTCTTCAAACGTACCAACAGGACCGGCCTGCAACATGAGTTCCCAGACTAAAGAATCCGTGCATCGCTCATCGAGATTTCCAATATATACAGTCGCTTCCTGATTACGCTCAATCTGCTGTGCCATAGTATGTCGTTGGGAACGAAAAGAAGTGTGTTCAGGTAGACAAAGACCGAAAGCGGGAATCGTCAGCCAATGCATCCAATAGCAGTGAACAAAATGACTTGCATTGTCCATCCAATCTCCCCATACGAAACACATCCTCAAGATAGAGTCCTTTATATAATGGTTCATTCTTTAAACAACAATGAAAACGTTTACCGCGTCATCTATCTATTTGCAGTGATTCGTTTAGTATAAGATAGGTTGATCCTTATGTAGACCACCACCCTCTCATATCCATATAGCGTTGATTCACACATCTTTTACGCAATAATTCATCATGGATGTTTATCTAGGATAAAAACATCTATGTACCAATCCTTCATTGACTATGTGGGATACAATAGCGTAACACTTATTGACAAAGAGACAATAATAAAAGATTTATTGATGATAGGAGTGTATAGGAACCATTGATTACATGCGACTCACACCATAAATGTTGCCTCCTTCAACAGTGTTACTGTAGATTGCATCTAAGCAAAAACCAATCACAGTACGGGTATCTCTGGGATCAATGATACCATCATCCAAAAGACGTGAAGAGGTGTAGTACACATCCGATTCGGCTTCTACTGATGCTTGGAACAAGGCCTTACGCTGGGAAGCCATTTCTTCGTCAATCTTTTTACCAGCACTATAGAGGAGTCGTGTTAATACCTATGCATGGCTTACATTGTTGAGTTTCCTTACCGAGCAGCACCTTGACGCATCACAATGTCAAGCACACCCGTAAGCTGTTCTGGTCCCATCACAGAGCACTTTGAGTTGGGCCACGAGAAGAGGAATCTATTTCTCTCATCAGTACAAGCTCTCTGCTATTACTGTTCATAATGTTATTATACCTTGGTTCATATGCACGACCGCACATGGCGTAGTTGCCTGCACCATAACTGGCACCCATCATGATTGTAATGGCTGGCACGGTGGAGTTGCTCACTGCGTTGATGAATCGGGAACCAGCCTTGATAATACCTTCTTCTTCATATTGCTTTCCAACCATGAAACCAGTAATGTTTTGCAAATAGATCAAAGGCGTGTTTCTGAAAAAGACATGTCAGCGGATATGGAATGGGCGATGTACCTTGCACTTTTTTATGCTTACTTGATATTGCACAATTGGATAAATTGGGTAGCTTTGTTGGCCTCTTGGGTAAAGATGACATTGTTGTTGGCAAGAATACCAACGGGGACACCTTGAATGAATGCCCATCCACAAACCAAGTTGCCACCATAGTTGGGCTTGAAAGGAGTAAAACGAGAGCCATCCACAATACGAATAATGACTTCAGTGGCATCAAATGGCAATCGAATGTTGGCAGAAACAATTCCCAAGAGTTCCTCTAATCAAAGGTTGTGGTGAGCACATGCAATTGATCACCCCCCCCATCTTCTTTGCATGATCTTACCAGGGTTGTAGTATGGTTCCTCAAACTCTCCCTTCAAATGGCGCAAAGGAAGGGTTCCTTTGTGTTCCCAATTCAAGTTTGCCATCCACTCACGTGCCTTGCGAATAGCATCGTATTCATCATTTGCAAGTTGATCGCTGACACCCGAAACACGCGAATGCATATCCGCACCACCCAAGCTCTCTGAATCGGTAACTTCACCTGTAGCCATTTGCACAAGAGGAGGCCCACCCAAGTATACAGCAGCTTTTTTCTGATACAGCGTGATAAGTGGATTTGATGCAATACAACGACACAATAAAACATACCTTGACCATGATAACATAATCACTCATACCTGGGGTGTATGCACCACCGGCAGTAGAGCTTCCAAACACCACACAGCAAGAGGGGATTTGTGCCTTGGATCTAAAAAAGGTGGGGTAGTGTATCATGAGCAAATGAATGATGGCTTACTTTTAATGATCGCACTTACTGCAAAGCCTGATTACGGAAACCAGCACCGCCACGATGGAAAACTTTGAATTGTTGTTGGAGGTTAGCACCGGCCTATACATACACAATTGCATGAGTCAAAGGATGGATGCCAACGAGTCCAAAGATGATTTTCACTTACCGATTGAGTAAGAGTGATTGTTGGCAAGCGGTTTTGCATGGCGATTTGATGGATACGACCAGCCTTGAGAACACCAGCTTCGTTCATGGCACCACCAGCCATTGTGGGTACATTGGATGAGACGATACAAAGCACACCGCTGTCGTATTGAATGAGGATAAGTATTCATCCTTGAAATCATTGTTACACAATATGTACCTGACAAGACCGATACCAGCAACGATGGATCCACCTTTTGCGGATGAATGAGTATCTTGGAATGATGCAATGATTTGAATGTCGACTTACCAAGCGTCATGTCATCTTGATCGTATCCAGCAAGCGCACATAATTCAAGGAATGGCGAGTCTTCATCAAGCAACAACTCGATTCGTTCGCGTGCTGACAGATATGAAATTCACCCTTAATGAAATTGTGTGGGGAAGCGGAACGCGAGAGCGTGAATCCGAACATACCTGGCAACTGGCCGCGCTTTTTGTGCAAAGCGATATGCTTTTCTTTGCCTTCATTCGTAGCCTCTTGCAATCGTTCTTGTAGTTGTTCAATGAGACCTTGCCATTCTTCCAAATTGGCCTTGTATTCGGGGCTGCTGGTAACAACCGCTGATTGATGGCGCTTCACAAGGTGGTCGAGAGAAGTCAAAGTGGACATGACTGGAATGTAGGATAAGGAAGAAAGTAAGGAAAAGAAAAAGAGAGAAAGGTATTAAAGACGAATAGCAGGATTTAACGCATATGTAAGCATTTGTCTCTCTCACATGGTTATAGCGTCAAGACTGACCGACCCAGCTTATTCAACTCTTTCTCACACATCAAATTCACGAGGAGCAACTAATTTGGTTGGGGTTTGCACATCATCCACTACCAGATGCGATTTGATCTCCTTTCAACATGTACGTACGTATCCAATCCTATCTATAATGAAGGCTATCAATGGATTTGTGCCATTCATCTAGGATCAAGCAGCTATTAGTTCTCTAGCTTTAGGATGTCTATATAAGATAATGGAATAAAGCCTTCTATAGCTTCAAAGACTTCCCTTATTGATTCATGGTAGCTTAATCACAGTAGTAATCGCATCAAACCCTAGAAAGGTGCAGCTACTCAAAAATAGCAAGTAGCTGGATCGTCTTCTAAGGTACATTCACAGCGATGGTACAAAATGCATAAAAAGCTTTAAACAACAATGATTGGGATGGGATAAAATAGGTCTTTTTATTGAGGGGTGTGAAAGATAGCTAGTACTTGAACGAGCTACCGTGTTCTAGGAGAACATACAATGACACAATACGAGTTGAGGCATGTATGAAGAGTCCAATACATAACAATGACAACCACAGCGATAATGAAATGAGGATAACAATGAAAGCTAAAAATGAATACAAAGATCTGTTCTCGTTTGCAAAGAAGACTCCTACTACTATGAGGATACGCACGTAGTCATGCACTTTTAACAGCTCTCAGTAATCAGAAAAGGGAGGCGAGTGGAATACGATGAGCGTGTGACATGAATTTCTGTTCAGAATGCTGGGGATGATATGATGCATGAGATGATGGAAGTGTAATGAGCTGCTAAATTGGGTGAGGAGCCTATGCCAGGATCAAGATTGTATCTTTGTAAAAGAGTCTGGGGTTCATGTTGTTCATGCATAGTAAATCGGCGACTGACGTACATAGCCAAATTAAGCAGGTGACAATTCCCCATTGATATGGAATGTTTTGAAAGACACTTTACGTGCATCATATGAGTTTTATGGAATATACAATATGCAACAATGTGGTAAATGCGAGGAATCTATGTACACTGGGACGTTGAAATATCATTTTGCAAATATCCATAGTATGCAGTGATTGCCTTGAAACGACCTTTGAGATAATTCTTTTCTATTTCACATACTCCTCCTGGGCCAGCCAAGCGAGCAAGTTGCTGAGGATCCGTGTTGCGTGGTAGAAAATAGGCAATGTTGGGTGTGATTTGGCGTGCAATATCGAAGATCGTTTGTCTAAATGGTTGTGAGTGGATGTGATAGAAAAAAAGAGAGGAAGAGTGTGCTTTGCTTACCCATTGCCTGGTATCATGGATACAAGGTCAAACTTGTCAGCTCCAAGGTAAGAGGGACCACCCCATGGCGGTGATAAGAATACAACATCTGCCTATAGCACGATATTAGTAATGCATGTGATTATCGCATAGCAATCGTATTTACCTTGAGACGAGGGGCAAGCTCGAAAAAGCTTCCTTGAATGAATTCAATTCGATCCTCAACTCCGTAGATCCGTGCATTGTGTCGTGCGCAGTGTAGCTTAACAGGATCAATATCAATGGCGATGACTATCATCGAGATATGGTCAACATCCCATCGACAACCTTTCCGTACCTTTGACATTTACCTCTTTCGCATGTAAACGCAAATTGAATAGCGTTCCCTCCACATCCACAGAATGCATCAATGACAACATCACTTTGACATCGTTGCGCAATATGTCTCGCAATCCCTTCAGGTGTCACCGAGAACCAGCCCTCTAGAATAGGTATAAACAACATGGGATGAATAAATGGTATTTGGTTGGCGGCTCTTGAGCAAGTATTCACCTCGATCCATCAATATGCCTTGATCAAACTTTGAGAAATAAGAATATCGTTGCATGTAATATCTATAAGGCACCCGTAAATCATCCATTGTCTCTCAAATACGAACATAGATGAACATACTTGTATAAGTCTTGAGGGATGTTGTTCTGGTCATAGTGTACAACGACGTCATTGAAGCTTTTTGCTGCCTGATCCACGACCTTTTGTTGTGCTTTGCGCTTTCTCTTTCGTTGCTTCTTGCTCGGTTGTGAATATCCAGCGTACACATCAAGGGAGGATTGTTGTCTTTTCTTGGTCTTCGCTTGCTTATCGGATGAATCATCGCATGTTGTTTCTTGGGTTGTGGTGTCTGCTGGATGTGGTTGCTCATTATCCGTTATTGTTACTGTCTCCTCTGTATCTTGAATAGAAGACTCGCTTTCAGACTTGGTGCCTTCACATACTGGTGATACCATTGGCTCTTCCATAGACTCGTGAGCTGATTCAGCTGTTGACTGTTCAAGTTGATCCTGAAGCAAATCGGTTGTTTGTGGTGTTTGATCAGGTGGCAGTTGTTGGGAGTCATCGATCAAGGAGTCTGACGTTGCCTTATCCTCGGAATTGATACCAACAACTTGGTCATTGGGTGGAGACGTGGAATCGCTGGAAGGAGACTCAAGCTGAAGTTCGCTGCCATTGGAAGAAGACATGCCAAGGATAAAGCTGCAGGCCTTACGAACCAGTTCCATGAAGGAAAATCCTTGCTTTCAGGGTCCGAGGATGTAGTCAATCCACATTGAATTCTTCGATCCCAGCAAAAGGAGCACCTTGAAAGTATCAATGCTGAAGGATTCATTTGATCCTTTCATATCATTCATAGCTGGGGTGACTATAGAGATAGAACAGACACACACACGAGATCGAAAAGTATATATCAGATTGCATGAGTGTTTAATGATAATGCACCAAATCAATTTACCACACGTAAATAAAGCTGCTTCTATATAAGGGCTATCTGCTGTTCATGTGAAAAAGGCTGCAAGTAGAGTTGCTGCAAGGAAATAGACAGTGAAGTGGAGACCTTGCTAATGGCAACTGCTGTTCTTTTGGTTGTGGCAGAGGAACGTGCAAGAGCGTGTGTTGTAGTAGAATGACAGGGTTGTGAACGCTGCTTGAGACAATGAAGCGATAGCAGCTGCTGGAATGAATGCTGTTAGGTTTGGTTGTTGTAGACGATTGTACAAGAGAAGGTGTAGTGTCAAGAAACGTGGGTGTTGTAGTGGGGGTGCACACGCCATGCACTTGACACTCAGTCAAAGACAATCGGATCAAGGCAGTTGTAGGATGGACATGATGGGTTGAAGCAGGACAATCGTTCGCAGGTGGTAGTTGTACTTTAATGGGCCAACCGTTGAGAATGGGAGGAAGAGCAAGACGCTGAGAGTAGAAGAGCTGCAAATTAACTTGATTTTTCTGATACTTGGATGATACTTCTCTGTTTGAGCGTTGCTCAGTCAAATCCCCTCGGATCAAGAAAGTTGAATGATAGGCATGCTGGGCTGGAGCAGGACAATCGTTTGTATACATGGTATTGGGCAACAAAGGTGAATGGGAGGAATGAGTTATTGGCTGGTAGTTTACAAATAACTTTGTGAAATAAGTTTTGTGAAATTGGATGATGTTTTGTGTTTGAGCGTTTCTCAGTCAAAACCCCTCGGATCAAGAAAGTTGAATGATGGAAATGATGAGCTGGAGCAGGGGAATCGTTCGTATGCATTGGATTGGGCAACAAAGGTGAATGGATGGAAGGAATGCCACTTTAGGAACTATACCTAAATAGTGAACAAGTATCATGCATCGCCTGTGCTGACTGACTCAAGTTACACAAACACACTCTCTGCATCTTTGACTCTATTGTAGTCATACTACTTGACAATGAACAAAGACCATCTTTCATATAGCATCACGCTTACAGCATATGTAAAACATAAAGGCGTCTGTATCTCTAAACTTTACAATCAAATGTGGGGTCTTTAATAGAACCATGTTGCTCGGCGGGGTCAAAGCGATCTTGTGTCAAAGTATGAAGTTCATCGTGGCTAATCCCAGATTTCGCAATGTCGCCACCAGCCAAACTGGATCTGGGGGTCGACCTCTTCGACGAAGACGACCAAAAAATATTTTTTGGGCTGTTTGCGACATTGAACGCGAAACTTTCACACAAGGTGCTGTTGGCCAAGCCGAGCCCATTGCTCTAATAAAAACCCCATGTTTCATTGTAAAGTTTGGAGATACAGGCACATTTATGTTTGTAAGCGTGATGCTATATGCGAAGTGGTCTTTGTTCATTGTGAAGTAGCTAGACCCTGACAGAGCAAAAGATGCAGAGGGTCGTGTTGTGTAACACAACTAAAAAGCCCAGACTTCAGGGACGATGCATGACAGGTACGCAATCTTCATTTGCAGTACACACATTGGCAGCTAACAGCCACTTTTATGCATTCCCAACTTTTGTGCATTCCATTGTAGGTGGAGGATTCTCCTGCTCCAGACATTCATTTCCATGGTTCAACTTTCTTGATCCGAGCTGATTTGACTGAGTTACGCTCAAACAAAGAAATATCAGTTGAGGTAGATCGAGCACGCTCTATGTGGAGAGTGATGTAATCTCTCTTTGACCGTAGTTCAACCAAATCGGCTCGGATCAAGACAATTGAACCATGGAAATGAATGTCTGGAGCAGACGCATCGTTCCCATGCAGTCGATTTGCCAAAAGTCTTGATTGGAAAGAAATGGCTGTTAGCTGGCAATACATGACTGTTCCTGAATCATGCATAAAGTATCATACATTGACCCTTCCAATTCTACCTAATGAGCTGTGTTCCACAAAGAAGTCCTTCTGCATCTTTGGCTCTGCCAGGGTCTAGCTACTTGACAATGAACAAAGACCACTCTTCATATAGCATCACGCTTACAAACGTAAAGGTGCCTGTATCTCCAAACTTTACAATCAAACGTGGGGTTTTAAATAGAGCAATGGACTCGGCTTGGCCAACAGCACCTTGTGTGCAAGTTTCGCGTTCAATGTCGCAAACAGCCCAAAAAATATTTTTTGGTCGTCGAAAAAAGTTTCAAGAGGTCGACCCCCGGATCCAGTTTGGCTGGTGGCGACATTGCGAAATCTGGGATTGGCCACGATGAACTTCATATTTTGACACAAGATCGCTTTGACCCCGCCGAGCAGCTTGTTCTATTAAAGACCCCACGTTTGATAGTAAAATCTTGAGATACAGGCACCTTTATGTTTTACATATTCTGTATGCGTGATGCTATATGAAAAGTGGTCTTTGTTCATTGTCGAGTAGCCAGACCCTGGCAGAGCAAAAGATGGAGAGGGACGTGTTTGTGTAACACAGCTATCTTGCATGACTGGAAGGATTGATGGATTATACTTTATGGCTATCAACAATAGTCCATAAATTACGCGCTATCAGCCATTTCCTCACAATCAGCGTTGTTGCAAAATCCACTGCATGTGAACGATTCTCCTGCTCCAGCCGAGCATTTCCATCATTCAAGTTTCTTGATCCGAGCCGATTTGGCTGAGCTACGCCCAAACAGTGAATCTATAAATTCTTGAAAGACAGACCCTGCGAATGTCTCCGTCTTTCAAACTTTTGGACGCTCTCGTTCCAAATTTTCAAATGAAGCGTGAGGTTTTTATTTGAGAAAAGTGGATCAGCATGCTCGGAGCACCATCCTGACCAATTTGCAAGTTGGAAGTGGGCAACTTCGGGGCGGTGGGCCGTCCGCTCTTTTGATCCCATCAACCACCATTTGGATCGCCCCGCATTCTGAATCTTCACAATGAAGTCTGCGACTTTTAAATGAATAAAGTTGATCAGCATGCCCGAGAGCATCTTGTATGAAAGTTTTAGGTTCGAGAGGGGCAATCACAACATCAAGGATTGGATGTACAGTGTTCATGCATAATACAAGAGGTGTCCGACCAATTTAATTTCCACTTGTTCCACTCTCAGCCTCTTCCCTTTTCCTCCCATTCTCAACGGTTGGCCCATTAAAGTACAACTACCACCTGCAAACGATTGTCCTGCTTCAACCCATCATGTCAACCCTACGATTGTCTTGACCCGATTGCTTTCGGCTGAATGGCATGTCCATGGCGTGTGCACCTCACTAAAACACACGAGTCTCTTAGACACCACACACGCTCTTGTACTCTCATCTACCACGACCAAACGTAACAGCATTCATTCCAGCAGTTGCTATTCGCTCCATTGTCTCAAACAGCGTTCACAACCTTGTCACTCTACTACAACTAGCGCTCTTGCACGTTCCTCTGCCACAACCAATCGTAACAGTAGTTGCTATTAGCAAGGTGTTTACTCCATTGTCTCATGTTACTTGCAGCCTTTCTACGTGAACAGCATATAGCCATCATATAGAAGCAGTTTTATTTACGTGTATCAATTTCCTTCAATACATACACCTTCTTATGGATATGAATCTGGTTATTGGTTTGATGCATGGGATGGAAGGATTTGGGTATATTGACAAGGTTGGTTCCCATCGCCACGTGATGTCTAGTTTGGATGATACTACGTCAACCTTCAACTACTGCACCGCAATGCAAGCAATCTTCACCTTGTTGAGCTGCGAAAGAAATAGAGCAAGCACGTGAGTAATCATCACACGAATGGAAAAGGAAGCATATCAGCAGCAATCACAGGGGGCGCTTTCTTTCAACTTATTGGGTTTGCAATGGTTATGGATAGAGGAATGCAATGATGGGGAAGCCTGGAATGTTGCTATGGTACTCGTTGTCAGCAAGGAGGATGGATCACGTGAATACGGCTGAGGATGCTGATGGATGGGATGGAATTGACGAAAGGTCTTTATTGTACAGCCATGGATCAATTGAATTACTCGAGTCAATGCATGCAGCAGCTATTATGCAAGCATGGATGAAGATGTTTATGACGGCAACAACCAAATACAATGACACGATGACACCCGTTGACTCTTTGTGATCCACCCGTACATATTTACAACTTGCAATACCATATTTACTTGATAAACATCCACACAATCGTATCCTATTCATCGGCCGTTTCATTGAATGAAGATTGGATTCACCATCGTGTATGCCTAGGGCATCGCACTAGCTGCTCATACGTGCACGGTCATGCAGCTGGTTTCGGGGAAGAGGACATGCTTATGTCGCCTAGAAAAAATCACCTTTTAACCAACAAGTGGATTCATCAGTGTTCATTTTCCATCACTTCGGCTCAGTACTCCAAGATGCTTAACCACTTTATCAATTACATCCATCATGACAACAACTCCCACGCCCACTCACATATAAACAACGCTGTTTGCACCAACACTATCATGCGCCCTTCCTTTCTTCTACTTGTCTTCATCATCATCAATGGCGTTTGGTAAGTATCAAGGATAGACTTTGTTATGTGATCCCCAAAATGAGGGTACTCATGCATTCATCTATGTAGCTCATCTCATTGATTATTGGTGCCCAATGACTTTGAATGTTGTGTCCATCGATGGACCCTTTGTGGTAGGTATACCTATCATTTATAGGTAAAAGGCAACCTCGGTCTGATGGGAAATTTGGGACACCTGTGTAGGTGACATGAGTACATGCGTTCGTAATGAGCCATGAGAACAAGTGTGGAATACATACCGATATCCTTTAACGATGACACGGGAGCCTAAAGGTACATACAGTTGCCTTGTTTCCAATATTTGGAACGTTGAACCTTTACCTTGTCATGATGTTTATATTGTAGGAGCGAATCGAGAAGGATCAATGACTTTGAAGAAGCACGCAAAATGCAGATGAAAGAATATCGATCCAATACACCAAGGAGTCGAGATTTACAGTACCCTGTTTGGTACATCCAGCGATCATCAAGGTTACAGAACGTGTGCATGCTTGTTGCGTTAGGCAATGGACCAGATAGGCCCCCACCCTTAATCCCCTAAATCAACCATATCTCATGACTCTCTCTGTCCAATAATGATATCCCTCACGTCCTTATCATTTTGTATCAGTTTATCATTTGTAATCTGTCAAAGCGGCTAAAATGCCAATAGACGGGAGGCACATGCTCATAATAAAAAACCATATGCATCACAACCCATAAAGTAAATTGTAGTTTATACATGTGTTTTTGATCATTTATAAGAAAAGCAATCAAACGTAGTAATTGAACCAGTCTATTGTTGCAACACCTTAAGGAGTACATCTGCCGGTGAAACGAGGATACAATTGGCAATCACGCACAGTGTATCGGTTCAAGAGCCATGCAAGGAAACGCTCAACACCAAGACCGTAACCACCGTGAGGAGTAGTACCATACTTGCGTTGATCAGTGTACCAGTAGTAAGGGGAGGGATCAATGCCTTCCTTTTCATAAGCTTCCAAGAGCTCCTCCTACAAAGAACGAATAAGTATCTTCCCACATTAGGTATATACGCTGAACAAGTTAACTTACTCTGTTGTTCATTCTCATACTGCCACCAACAATTTCACCAACGCCGGGCATAAGAACATCAACACTTTCAGTGATGCGAGGATCTTCAGGGCACTTTTGCATGTAGAATGCCTTGATGTGAGCGGGGAAATGGGTCAAAAGGATAGGTCGGTTGATCTTGTCGGTCATGGCACGTTCAGGAGCCTCTGGGATATCTTCACCAAATTCATAAAAGGTACCATCTTCCTTCTTGATATCGTTATCCTTGAGGTATTGGATAGCATCAGCATACTTCATACGCAAGAAAGGACGAGCTGGGGGCTTGAAACCAGGGTTCAATTGCTCAATCAATTGACGAGTGGGTTCGTTGGCCATGATACGGTCAATGACATCGCACACAAGGTCTTCAAGAGCATCCAACATTTCATCAAAGGTGAGGAAAGCCATCTCAGCTTCCAAGTGAGAGTATTCAGACAAGTGACGGCGGGTATGTGATTTCTCAGCACGGTATGATTCGGCCAAACAAAAGACATCACCAAGGGATGGAAGACAAGTCTCGAGATACAATTGCGAAGATTGGGTCAAATAAGCCTTTTCACCATAGTAGTTGAATTCGAACAAAGTAGAGCCACCTTCGACTTGAGTTTGCACCATACAAGGAGGAGTAACTTCAGTGTAACCACGAGCATCATAATGGGCACGGAAAGCTTTGATGACCTCGGCACGTGCCTTCATGACAGCAGAGGCCGTCTCACCACGAAGCACAAGGTGACGGTTGTCAAGAAGGTACGAAGGATCGGCATCAGTGGTCACCTTGTTGTTGAAGGCATCATCACCACCAGGGGCCTTGCCAACAACATACCAGTAATCCACAACAAGCTCATGACCACCAGGTGCCTATATGCAACAAAGTAAGGATCACCATCATCCACATGTAAAAATAATATCAACTTACAGTCTTGCCTTCGGGAAGCTCGTTGATGACACCGTGAACGGTAATGGTGGATTCGACAGTGAGGGTGATGGCGTCGAAAGTATGGCACTAAAAATGTATATGTATGTAAGGATCTCATTTCATATACCATGTTTTTTCATCTCCTTTAACTTACCAACTTGCCGGTAAAGACACATTGAAGGTAACCAGAGCCATCACGAAGAACGACGAACATCATATCCTTGCCCTGGACACGAAGGCGATGGACCCAACCAGAGACCTTGACACGCTTGCCACGGCTTTCAGTGGATTGTCTGACCTTGATCTATTTATCATAGCAATTGGTTAGAGACAAACATGGATGCAATCATCCTTTTACTACTTGTACCTTTTGTGCGGCAGGTAAGCTTTCATCCTCAGTCAAAACGATGGACTTTGCCTTTTCCAATGCCTTGGCCTCTTCCTCAGCCTTCTTTGCATCTTCTTCTTCGGCCTTCTTCTTTTGTTCCTCTTGCTTCTTGAGCTTGCGTTGCAATTCAGTGTAAGCCTTCTTGGCCTTCTTCAAAGCGGCACCAGAGATATCCTTGAAACCTTCCTCGTCCTTCTTGATAAGAATCTTGACTGATTCGCCACCAAGTTCAACAGCCTTGAGAGCCGTCTTGACGGGAGACGATTCAACACCAGTGCCAGTCTCATCGGAACCGGCCAATTCGTCAACGTAGATAATCTTTTCCTCAGCCATAATGTTGCCCAGGTTTTCGGAAAACGTCGTGTGTGGAGAAAAGGGGATCAAAGATATACGCCCACCAAGATGCTCTATCATCCAAGCCACCACCTCCCTCACACTCGTTCAATAATGACACATTCTGACTTCCGGATCAAGGTACCCGACTAGGCTTTGCAGCTTATTGGTCCATCACTTTCTTGGATACAACCTTATGAGTAACAACGACATTGTCACCATTACACCCAATGTGCTGCCATCTCTCGATACGGTGAGTCATCAAGTAAGCAACAATGGTGCTGGCGCTATTGTTACCTTTTCAGGCTGCACACGAGATACGTTTCAAGGTGAGTAATATGAAGCCCATGCATGAATCATTGTTTATATGATAAACTCACCATGACGACAAGAGGCAAACGCGTACTTCGCTTAGAGTATGAAGCATACGAACCCATGGCTATCAAGGTGTTGAAGGAGTTGATTGCTGAAGCACGTGCCAAGTGGGATTTAACACATGTGGCCATTTACCATCGAACAGGCGTGGTTCCCGTTTCCCAAGTGAGCGTCATCATTGCCGTATCATCCGCTCATCGTGCAGAAGCCTTTCGTGCATCCGAATACCTGATTGATACACTCAAGGAGCGATGTCCCATTTGGAAGAAAGAAGTTTACGAAGATGGAAGTGTTTGGAAAGGCCAATGCTGTAATCACAATCAAGCATAGTAGTTACTTTAATAGATTTACACATCGTATGTACTATGACAACAAATTGAAGAATAAACCCTACTTCTACATAGCTAATAGCGTGGGATAATTTCGAGATTGAGAGTTTCTGGGCCCAACAAACTGATTCCACCACCACCAGCATTCTTGATTCCATGAACATGCTCACTATCAGCTGCGAGACGCCATGTATACTTGCGCAACATCATGGCTTGCACCACTCGTTGTTCAGCCATACTAAAATTCATGCCTAAACAAGCACGAGGACCAAAGCCAAACGGGATCCAGTTGGTGTCAAGCGCACGATCAGGGTTAAACGTTGTTGCATTTGTCCAATATTGCTCCAATCGATGCGTGCAATAAAGTTCCATTGATAAAGGTGTGCCTTTGGGAATAAAGAATTGGCCAATGTATGTATCCTTGGTGCATATACGTGGTAGATTACCGCTTGTGGGTGGGTTAATGCGCATGGTTTCTTTAATACATTGATTCAAGTATGGCATGGCTCGTAATTGTTCAAGGGTTGGGTGGATATCCATAGGTGCATCGCCCAATACTGATATCACTTCGGCTCGTGCTTTTTCTTGAATGTCAGGGTTGACCGCTAAATAATAAAGCATACTGGCTGTTGCACTTGCAGTTGTTTCGTGGCCTATTGACAACATGTATTGGCATCAAATGACAACAACACATTCAACCCTTCCCTTAATTACCTGCCACAAAAAATACTGAAAGGTTGGCTACCAGCTCGCCATTGGTAAGATAAGGTTGTGCATCATGACCTTGTTGTTGTGGGAGAGATGCCCTGATCATCATGCTAAGCAAGTCTTCTTGATCATCCTCTTTGGGACGCTCCCCTTTCAAAATGGCTTCTCTCCTTTGTTGCGTAATCTCCAAAAGCACGCGCCTCAGCTTTTCATTTGCTTTTCGAGCTCGATTACGATAGGGTATGAGCCGTGACGGTATGGCAGTGTACAAAGGAAATAGGTATACAAGCGGATCCCGTACAATACCTTTATTATGGGTGCGTTAAAAGCAATGTTGAGTGGTTGAAGAAGTGATGTAACTTACTGAAGGCTTCCTTATACAAGATGGCATAAACGGATGCAGGGTCACTGACAGATTCCATGTCAAAGTTCTATGATTCCATGATAAGCAAACATGCATGCATGCGTGTGTGTACATAATTTTAGGGGTTCGAAAGGGAACGTTTCAACTTACAAATACCCCAAGGCCGAGACAATCTAAAGCGTATCGTTTCATGTAATCTGCAAAGTCAACAGTGGTCTTGCCTTCAAGTGCTGTGAACATGCTGGATACCACACGCGCAAATTTCTCAACGGGCATGCTTCGATGGAATGCAGGATTTGTCACACGTCGTTGTCTCTTCCACTCGACATGGTTTGCGTTTCCCACATTAGGTTCATTGTTTGTAAGAATGAGATCCTATAAAGGTATACCAATAAACAACATCATCCAATTATCATGAATCCAAAGTTAACAATTACCGGATCCAAGGACACATTCTCTTCTTTTGGAAAAGTGGCTACATCCCGAAGAACAGCTTGCAGCAGTATTGGATCACCCACAGCCACCGTCCATCGACCCATGGTGTATTTGAGACACAAGCCATGATCTTGCATTTGAGGCATCAACAAACGATCGCATCGTACATCAGCACTTTCACCCTTGAGCACGCTCCAAAACCATCCAATGGTGCTGGCTTTGGGTAAATGTCGCAACTGCCGAGGAACAAGGATTGCATTGAATATACGATAGGTGATGGTGCCAACAACAATCAAGGTGATGTATTGCTTGGTATGACGTGAAAGATGTGGTAAGAGCATCGTCCTCCACATATCCTTGCTCACTTCCATGGTGTTGTTGGATGAAAGATGGCTAGTGTAGTATAGGATAGAATGGATGAACGTTTTATACTCGCATGAGCAATGTGTAGGTGTTGAGTAACCAGATCAAAAGTCCAAATATGGGTAAAAGCCGTGCCTGTGCGAATACAAAAGTACTTTGTTTGTCTTTTAGGATTAAAGCGTAGAGATTGTGTAACATACAAGAAGAATACATGGGGGTTTAGAATATGCAGGAGTTGACGGGGAAGGAAAAGGAGGCGGATAAAAGCGTGACTATATATGTGGCATGTTGTGTCAGAGAGAGAGAGAGAGAGATGAACACCATTCAATAGGATGAAGATGGGTAAAAGAAAAAAAGGGGGAACAATGAAAAAGTGATTATGCTACTGGTGTGCTGGTGGTTGTCTCGCGAGGTTCAAGTTGAATACTACGCTCGTATAAAGTATCGACGTCTCGACTGCTTTCTAAACTATTCTTGATGAAGGCTCGGAGCTCAGGGATCTCTTGAAAGATGTACGGCAGTGATTGAAATTGGTTAATCTCTCGGATGACTTCGGCAGTCTTTTGTCGCTTGGCAAAATTGATCAGCCGTGTTGATTTCTGGATATAGTCAGCATTGCCATCTTCAATGAAAGTGAGATCCTGCAGGTATATTCCAAGAAAGGGGATGCATGGTGGATTGACGGAATGAATCATCTCACGGTATTCTTGAAAATTGCGATTGGCTCCCATAAGCTTCCGAATGTTGCCCAATGCTTGATTTGTACGATTGCCCACAAGCTATAAATAATCATGTGAGTTTTTCCACGCGTTGAATGTTCCTGCATCATCATTTTGCCTTACCTCCCAAGTCTTTTTTAACCGACCAATTGCACTATTGTCGAATGCAGAGATGATAGCCATGCATGTATTGTAATTGTTGAATGATCGGCATTTCTATAAAGGAAAAGACACAATGAGCATACATAAGAAATGATCCACACACATCCACACACACTTACCGTTGCCACTTGTGCCCAGTATTTGATGTATACAACTCGCTTTTTAGCTTCTTCGTTTGCAAGGATACTATCGGTGACCCAACAAGTCAATCGATTACAGTAATCAATGGACTTTTTGACGTTGAAGGCGAGATTGTTGTCAACATCTTCTTGAGACCAAGCCTTGTTGAGGCATTCAATAGGTCGGATGCTGCTGTACAGCTTGTAATCCATTGTTGTCAATTGCCGAGAAAGCTCCGTGGGATCAATATCCAATAGCGTGAGGCGTGTAATGTCCTTGGGTAGAATCGGCAATGGCCCCATCCAGTTGTTAGGAACCAACTTTTTCAATCCACCGCTTTGATCGGCTTCTTTGCGCATTCGAATGAATCGATTGAGTTGATCCGCTGAGAAAGTCGATGCATCACGAATAACTGTGTTTGTAAAGAACTCGAGTCTGCCGAGAATAAACTCATCTTCGTCGATATAATAATTCTCCAACCATGTCTTCATGACATTGAATACACTAAAATTAAAAGATGAGTGATGTCATCCAAAGATCCAAATTATTAATGATACTTACCGCAACCGTACCAACTTTTGCTTACGCTCGGTCCACTCTTCAAGCTCCCAAGGGGTCAAATCTTCAGTTGGGCGTAAGTTGTAGCGCTCTTCAAGCAAGGTCATAAGTTCCTCAGTAGTACAAAATGACCGATATGTCAATAAGAAGGTTGCAATGAAGCTGGTATCTAAAAGAGGGATAGCGTTTAATATGCATCGAACGTTACACCGCACTAAAGCTTAAATCATCATACGTACCAAAAGTGTCGTGTAGCGTTAATCTCTCCACAAGCGCGCGCAACGTACCACCCTTGACATTGCCATCCGATCCAAACACGATCTCATCTGAGGAATAATCATAACCCAAATAGGATCCACCTGAACGGTCTTCAGGTACACGTGCTTGCTGTTGTTGTTGTTGCTGCAACATGAGTTTACGTGCTGCGTCGCTTGGTGCTTTGCCAATTTCCTCCTCATCTTCTGATTCATCCACAACAGGCACTGATACAGGGGATAACATGGAATCACGAGCACCTTGTTTACGATACCATTGTCGACGTTGTTCCACCATGGCTTGCACATTTAGGTAAATGTCCGCCAATGTGACCTCCACAAATTGTAATGCACTTTCCAGGGCTGATGTACATTTGGCGATATCCACACCATCACCACTCACGGTTTGCACAGCCGAGAATAGCATACCCACGGCATTGTAGAGATGTTGTTTGTTGCTTCGGTATCCTGCCAAGGATGGGATCATGCTGGTATCCATGTTGAGCAAATCAATGTCTTCCAAGATGCTGAGGTATTGACCAATTTGAATCGATAATCCTCGAAACAAAGCAACGATATTGGAACGTGGTTTACATTCATCAGCTGCACCAACGCCGTTTTCAAGAATGAAATCATTCGTCTTGCGCAAAGCATCCGTGGAGCCATAGATCTGGTTAGCGTGTGTTTGCAAGCTGACAAGCAAATCCTGATTGAGCGGGTATTTCGCCTTTTGCGTAAAGGTTTGTCCATTCATGCTAATGCGACGACTCGCTCGTTTTTCTGCATCCGATAGCTCTGTGTCGCTTTGTGGCGGCTGTTGTTGTGGTTGTTGTAATGGTTCAATCGAGTCGAATAGAAGCTGTGGTTTCACTTGTTCCACTTGAATATGCTTTTCTTGGCAAACGGTAACAAAACCTCGTACAGCTGCTAATACATCGCCCGCATCTCGTTGTACTCGATACAACACTTCCGAATGTACACCATGACCACCTTCAGAGGCTGTTTTTACTGAAAGCACCAATTTTGAAAGGGAGGCCATGACAGCACGATGTGGATCACGTAACACACGATCTTGCATATGAATCGATTCCTTATCAAGGGTTCCAGAAGCGTAAAGCATCATACGAATGGAAATAACAATAGCTGATGCTTCATCCACAAGTACATCACGATCCCCACGCTGTGCTGCAGTATTCAAATGATGAATGGTCATTGCAATTGTTGTGGAGATGCCTTGCCAGGTCAAAGGTTCTTCACTTTCTCTATCAGATTCCTCGTCGCCACTTGCTGCATCTGCCGGTTCTCGTAATAATGACGCTCTACGTGCTGATTGTCCCATTGCTTCCTCCACTTCAGAATCAGAATCAGGTGCATTTCGCTATACATACAAAGATATATAAGTCTCATATACATAAAGTAATGAAAAGAGAAACAACACTCACCAATCTACCCGTTGTCTTGTCAATATCATCATAATCCCACGTGGTTTCTTGAGTGATGAGATTGCAATAATAGGGACGTCCTTGAGGTGTAAGACGTTGAACCCATTGTGACATGACATTATCAGGATCCGAATGTGTCGTTGTAGGTGTATCAACAGCAGCTGGTAAAGAATCAAGGCTGAGACGATTCATGAGACGACTGGATAATCTGCTTGTGGTGCTATGAAATTGGTCGTCGTCGTCTTCGTCGTCAGAATAGCTGTCAACGGATCCATTGGTAGAATGCATGTCACTCTCATAGTCGTCGTCGTCATCCGATAATGGTTGTCCTGGATGATCGTATTGCATTTTGCCGGTACGATGATTGTAATAATATCGAGTTGTGCCATCCTCAGCAAGTTGCACCGACCACCCTTCAGGTAATTTGTATTCGGAATACATGCTACTATTGCGTGTGCTTGCCGTCCATCCAAGGCTGGAAGATGTTGTTGAGTGTGATAATGAATAAGGTCGATGTTTATGAAGAGGTGATGTGGGTGATCGTATACTGGTACTACGTCGTTTGGTTTCTCGTGAAAGTCTATTGTTGTTGTTCGTGGTGCTGCTGCTATTGCCACTCTCACGTCTTGCCGTTGATATCCGAGGAGTGGATGGCGTATTTCCATTTTTAACATTGGTTGCTGCTGCAGATGAAGCTCGTGATACACGACGATTGTTCAACACCACTTTGCTATGTGCTCGCTCAATAGCTGCTGCTGCAAGTTCTTCATCGACCTCCTCGTCATTGACAATTTCAACATAGTTGCTTGGAAACCACCCTCGTGCACCTCCACACCTGCCACAGAGATATAAAGTTTAGAACTTGACATGTAATAAACGCATTCCATTTGCCATGCTTCATTTACATACCAGCCGTCCCACCAACCGGAATCGAGTTGTGCAAGGACATCGATATAGTCGCCCTTATTGAAATTGAGAGAAGCAGGATCCTCAGAATGAAAGGGGTAGATCGCCCGGACTCGGCAAATTATTCTAGGCAACATGGACATGAGGAGATAGCATAAGCGATAAGCAGGGAGTCGAATAAGACGATAGAGAGAGAGGGTGAGAGTGAGTGAGAGTGAGAGTGAGAGAAAAAGAGAACGACCAAAAGGTGTTAAAGCGACACCGAGGAACAGCACAGAAAAAAGAGAGACAGATTGTGCGTGAACAATGAGGTCACTTGGTCTCAGGTTAGTAAAGATATGGATGTTAATCTCATATTTCCGCTTGCACGGCATCACAAAGCCAAACCTTAACATTTCTTTTGCATGCATTTGCCCTCTCTCGCTCTCTCTTTGTTCACCACTTCTTTGATGATCGTCTTTTTTTTTATTCCCACTGTTTCTCAACCCCTGAGAGAAAAACAACACCTTGTATCCCTTTGTGCCACGTGCGCTAGTCTACTTTGTTTCTTATCGCATAGCTTCACTCTCATTAGCATACCACATATTACCCATGCACACGTTTTCTTGTTCATTATCTCCCACAAGATACTTTATTCTTACAAGGATATTATCATAGAGGGGTATGTTCATATTTCTAATCGTAGGTCTTCTTCTTCTTCAGTGAGAGAGCGCCATATAAAACGGGGCGATCTTATAGTATTTTTTGGGAAAAACCTTTCCTATCAAATCCATGCAGCCAAGAACATTTGGTTTGGCTGAATCAAATCGAACTTGCCTATTCCACCAATCAGCCGTCATATCCACTTTTTCATTCACACACGCAACCACACCCCTGTCGCCGATAATGTAAAACTGATATTTACCAGGAACAGTAACAAAGTAATCGTCAACGATACGACAGAATCTCCATCGATATTGCTCCGGTGGAACGACCGTTACTTCCTTGTATGGATGCAATGTTGATTTGCTCTTGTTCTCCATTTTCTTATACCAGGTGTAAGCACCAATGAAGTCTAAACGATTTGTAAGCAATGACTAGAGATGACGTTATCAAGTGTAGATTGACTTGCCTACAATGCCCACGGTCAATTCCTTTTTCGTTTCATCGATCCCAAGAAGTAAAGAGTAATCCATAATGTTTCTGCTAGCCAAGAACTCGGTATCATTCATAATAGCCTTCTTGAGTAATTGTTTGGAATGCTCATGCACAGGCATCGTGAGACGAAAACCTAAGTTCGCTTCTTTTAGCGTGAATGAGGACAAGATGCAGTGATACATTTACCTTCCATCCAGTCACCGTCCCACAAGGTCGTATCACTCTTTTGTTGGTGTGGCTGCTTGAGGCACTCTTCCACATGGCGATCGCGTAATCCTTTGAAATCGAAGCGCTTTGTCCCACCATTCCACCAAAAAGCATAAAGTTATCTCAGAAGAGAACCCCGATGGCGACACAAATAAAATCCCACCTACCTGTGTTATCTGTGGCGTTGCTCCATAAAAGAGATGCTCCATGACCAACACGTCCAGATTAAGCAATACACGTTTATCCTCAAGGCTTCGTATGCGAATCGTGTAAAACCCAAATATCTTGGCAAGCATGCTTGGCGTCTATGTCGTCGTTGGTCGTGTTAGGTGCGTCGTCACGTGTGTGTGTGTGATGGATCAACCAACAATACATACATCCTCTGAACGCTGCATGTGCTCAAAATACTTTGGTGCAAACTTGAGAATCGATTCCTTTTCAATGTTGTTCCAAGCATTCACCATTTCCTTGATAACGAATCGGTCATCTGCAATGATGACATGGATGAATATGGGTGGAGATGTATTATAAACGACAACGTTTTACCTTGTGTCTTGTAAAAATGACTCTTGCTCTTTCCACCGGATGCTTTCCAAGCTGTACAGCGTGTCAATGATTGAACCAGCAATTGGTCGATGCCGCTCTGTCGACGTAAATTCTCAAATTCTTGAGCATAATAGGTGGTACAAGTGAACTCCACGTCGTTATGAGTAAACTCTATACATAATAAGCTCAATCATCCGATACAAAAAAGAGTCGAATTCAACATACTATGCTTGATATGAGGGCTGATTCTTCTTGTGCATTCAGGTTCATCAGGCTCCTTTGGTAAAGGCTTGGTCTCATGGTTGGATATAGTCTTTTTTATCTCCTCCATCGTGATCTTGCCATTGTCACCGCCAGCAGTGGTTGAATGATGATGATGATGATGGGTGGATGATGGATCACCAAGGATAATGCGTTGTTGTACATCTTCACCATTCTCCTCTTTTCTTTTGTTGGCACTGGAAATCACATGAGATAGCTTGTGCTTAATGCCCTGCATCTTCCTGGATTGCTGATAATGCAACTCTTCTGCATTTGCTTTGACAGTCTCAATCACCATTGAACGAAAGGAAGCTGTTTCACTTGAGGCACCTGTGGTAGGAGCAACGTACTTTCTGGTAATGATGGAATGGTATCGATCCACAACATTCGGGTCTTTGGATGGCTTTGGTATATGCGCCGATGCATCAGATGGCTCAGAAGGTGCATTTTCTGCTACGGTGGATCCACGAAGATTGTCGTCAACACTCCTTTGATGTTGAAGCTCATCCAAATACTCGTTTGAACTAGCATTGTAATCATGATCAGCTGCCCTGCATGCAATGGATGATGACGAATGATAATAACCTTAAGGTGTATGCAATAAGCGACGATGGCTCATCTTCACGTACAACGACGCTTGACCCAGGGAATGAATGCACTCGATCGGACCTTCACATAGCGTCGTTTAGTGATAAGGAAGAGGGATTCAATACATGTATGTATATACGTACTCGATGTAATCCGGTGGATTCCATGCACAACCATCCATCAGGTCTAAGCAATCGGAATGTGGAGATTAATAAATGGCTTTCAAAGGAAGAAGGGGAGGATAACTACATACCATGACACCATTTCTCTTGCCATTGTGATAATTGTGATAGCACGGATGAACTTCGCACAGCAAAAAAGCGTCTGAAATCATTGAGCTGATCCATTGGTGTATCGTTCAATTCGTGAACCAAAGCACTGCGTTGAACATCAAGAAATAAGCGACGCATTTGGCCTAATTCACTCTCCCTTGCACGCAATTGTTGTTGTATCTCGCCCAATGGACGTCCTGTATTGCCAGTATCACGCTGTTCACGCTTGGATTCGGCTTGGATATATCGCTCCATCACTTCGATATGAGCAGCAACAGCATCGAAGAATTCATCCACCTCCGTGGCGATCATGGTCTTCCATTTATCAAGTGTGCGTTGAGAAAGAGCCAATCGTCGTCGTATCGCTGTATTATCATCTTTACTTCCAGAACCTCTACGCCAAGGTGTGGTTGTATCGGGCATGACTTGTAATCGAGGTGGTCTCAGCTCATACAGTGTAATCGGCTCGTATGTCATCCTTACAGAAATGGTGCTTCCATGTGGTTTAAAACATCGAATGAGTGCCGTTTTGCTCTGCTGTGCATGAGCACACAATGCATTGGTAACACCGGCAACGTTGAGTGTAAAATGCCTGTCGTAAAGAAGCAATTCCATGAACTTGGCCAATGAATAATGATAGGTTGCAATCGATATCGGTAGGCGCTTGGTCGTTGCATTGCATTCAGAGCATGTTGTCCACATGTCAATACCTCGATAGGGTGCTAGTGTTTTGTTGCTGTCACTGCTCAAGGCTGCTGTTGTATCATCATCTTCGTCTGATAAGTATACTTGCACCTTGCCAGGCCCATGCATAAAACTCATCACATGATCCTTAAATGACTTGTCACATCCATGAAATGAAAGATTGGGAGTAGAAGGAGAATGAGTGGCTGCTGATGATGATGATGACTCGGTGCTATCAGAAGTAGCTGTAGGTGATTGCTGCTGGTTGTTGGGTGGACGCTGCAATACGTGTTCCAGTTGCTGCTGCTGTAAACTCTTGCATGACTTGTGAGCGTGTTCACACCAGCGTTGGATAGCCTGACCAAGGGGCATATCTCCAAAATTGGAACTCTTTTGTCCAAAAGAGAAAAAGTCAACGGTGATCAAAAGTGGCCCTGCGCACGGATGCTGTGGACAACCAATAGGGTAACAAGTATAGTTGAATGCGCCGTGTTGGTGCTTCATGTAAACATCGACTGATTGTGTATCCAAATAAAGCGAATCCAATCCCAACTTCTTATCACATATCCTTCCCGGTACACGTAAAGGCGAATAAGCTGCAATGGATTGAGGAAGACGTAAAGAGGGTTGCTGTTGTTGTGGTGAATGATGATCATGGTGATAATGGCTGATGATTGATAATAAAGATGATCGTCGTTGTATTGGTCCTCCTCCTCCAATGGATTTGGATTTGCTGTTATTGATAGATTCACGCATAACCGAACGTATAGTTGCAAGGCCGTCTTCTTCATCCTGAAGTCTTGAAATAAGCTGAGGAATGGCATAGTTGCAATAAGGCGAAGATGAAATCCTTGCTGACTCAAGTTGTTTACGAAGCTTGGCAAAACGATGTTGGTCATTGTCCAAAGGTATCCCAGTGGGGGTTGAATTGATATCCTTTTTCATCAAAGACGCCCGGCGAATGGCCTTTTTGGAAATCTGCACAACCGGTGATGTCGTCTCCTTGGATGAACCTAGCAACCACCACAATACGCCCTTTCTTGCTGCTGCTGTTGCTGCTGGTGCATCATTAAGTGGCGATGTCGGTGTTGTTGGTGATGATGCTTTGCGATTGATCCCGCTGATACGGATTTGTGAATCATGCAAGACATGTGCCTCCAACCATAAGCTCCATAAAGTATAAACAGATGCAACGACAATCTTGATCAAGGCGTCTTTTGATGGTCCATTAGGTGCTCCATATATCCGGATTGTTCCCCCCACAGCATGGTGTAGCCACTCGCATTGCGATCCTCCTAATCCATCTTTTTATTCACTAATATCAGCCATCGATGATCCGTCTACGAAAGCACAACTATCTACACTTACCTGATATCGCCGACAATGGGTCGCCATGATATACACCAGGCAAAAAGCGTGAATCGCTCATGGATTTTATGTTGAGAACTTGGATGAAGATCGAGTCGAATATCGAAGAACAGGATGCCGTATCAACAACTGTAATATCTTGTTCGCCATCGATCCAGGAACGAACAAGTGGCAATAGCGTTGATATCAATGAGTCGCTAAGAGATGACGGTAGGTTGGCATTGACGAGCCACATTTGCACCAGGGCCGTAAGATGGTCGCGTAAAGGACGATCAATGGAAGACATGAGGTGTTCACCATGACTCAATGCATGTGCCGACTGCCGTTTGGTGACGATGGGAGGAAGCGGCTTGAATGGGCGAGCGACTGCTTCCTTGACGCCGTTACTTTGAAACATGGCGTGAAAGGGGGAAATGAAAGAAGTGCTCCTCCTTCTGTTGTAGCACATATTCCGCATGATACTACACTACACAACAACCGAGCCCCATCCCCACCCACTACATAGTCATTTGTATATCGAAAAACCTATGTTATTGGATCGTATCGTTGATAATTGGCCTTGTAAATGAATGTATGTCTTTATGTACATACTACTTTGACATCTTGTCGGGATCATGTTTGATATTGGATGCATAAACGTTGTCGCACTACGGAGTTTCTTACAACAACAACAAATACATATGCATCTTGTGGATGTGCATATGTATGTCCACCAGAACATACCACATTTCATTACTATTCCCTGTTTGGGAGCGTCATTTGGGTTTTGATCCACACCTCTCTAGCCACACTTACCATCTGATCTTACTACTGACGAGATCACACTTTGGAGATCCTTTCCAGGTTAGGCAAAATTCCCGAGTAATATAAAAATGCTGTGCCTTACATCTTGCAATTGCATTTACAACCAAAGCTTGTTCGAGAACTAAAAAAGCTTTTTCTTGATCCTGCACTCTTGAGCATAAATGATAGCTCAAGTCGCACCAAGGATGATCACAACAACCATAACCCTATTGCTGTATTGAAAACCATACCCATGACTACTACTACACAACGCTTTGCAGGCTATAATCGGTGAATTTTCCTTGGTGAATCGTAGAGCTCCAACATCGAGCCTATGACTTTCCGTCTACTGTACCCTAAATGGCAGTACAAGCATGAATCTCATGATACAGCATTTATAACCCCTATATGGCTGAAAGCACCACACCGATCATGCAAGAGACGTACATCTCCATTGTGCCCCAATCTATTTATGCACTCGCTCCACCAACAATGTAAATTGCCCATACTTTCAATAAGCCAACGTGCTGATATCAATAACCATGTTTGAGTTTGCACGCATTTCCATGATAGTAAATGATCAGGCCTATTGATCCCATGTTATGGCACATGGCAACGTATCTTTATTGTGCATTGAAAGAGTTGACAGTGAAGCGAAAGCAGCTTTCGTGTTGGTGATAGTTGTCTAATAAAGCTCCGGATCAAACAAAACAAAAGAATGAGACGCGGAGGTATTTAAAGTAATAATAACCGAGCCTGTAAGGTTTACACGTTAATCTTTCTTTCGGTTGTCAACATGCCAAAGTGTTTCGTGATTTACTACAGCTTGTATGGGCACGTGGCAACGTTATCTAAGCATATTCAAAAAGGATTGGAATCCAAAGGCATTGATGTCGAGGTCTATCAGGTAACATAAACAAATTCATACCATTGAAGACCTACAACAAGCGATGCTTATTATTCAATAGGTGCCAGAAACATTATCGGATTCGATTCTCGAGAAAATGCATGCTCCCGCCAAAACAGATGATCCCATCATTACCGTCGATAAGCTAACGGAAGCAGATGGCTTCATGTTCGGTATCCCAACTCGTTTTGGAACGATGCCAGGTAATCCATTTTCATTGTGTATGAATTGAGCTTATAATAACAATGCTGCTTTAGCACAATGGAGATCTTTCTTGGATGCCACGGGTCGACTATGGGCATCCGGTGCCTTGGCTGGCAAATTTTGTGGCACCTTTTTCTCATCCGCTTCTCAACATGGGTACGTAGATAGAATCATTTTTCGTTTATTGAAGTGGGCATATAGCTTATACTAATGACGATTTGATAGTGGGCAAGAAACCACTGCATACATGACAATTCCATATCTTGCACATCATGGAATCAATTATGTTTCTTTTGGATTTGCAAATGCATCATTGTTTAACAATGACGAAGTTATTGGTGGTTCAGCTTATGGTGCTGGCACTGTTACTAATGGTGATGGATCGCGTCAACCAAGTGAAACTGAACTTGCTATTGCTCGTAATCAAGCCGAGAACTTTGCCGACATCCTTAACCAGTATCAACGAGGCAAAGAGCTTAGCAGCAGTACTTCAGGTGATGCTACGACAAAAGCAGCCGCCGATAATAAGCAACAAGTTGCAACAACAGATAAAGCTGATGAAAGTGGTGGTGGTGGTGCCGCTGCTGCCACTGGTGCCGCCGCTGGTGCAGCCGCTGGTGCTGGTGTTGGAGCTGGAGCTGCTGGTGTTGCTGCTGCCAATAATACTACAGCAGGTGCAGACTCTGATGCATCCATTCGATCCATCAAAGCAGCGTCAACACAAAAGAACGCTAATGGAAATGATAAAGAGACACCTGTGATCACCACAACCAACCCTGAAGGCCATACTGAAAGACCAGCTGAAACAACAGCAAAGACCGAAGATGCTGGTGTGGCTCAAAGTGCTGCAGCTGCTGGTACTGCTGGAGCCGCTGGAGGTGCTGCAACTGCACCAGCTGCTGAAGGTCCAAAGGAAACAGCAGCAGCAACTACAGGTGGTCCTCAAGATACTTCAGCTCAACCTCCTACAACAGAGCAACAACCTACATCCACACAACCACCTCAACAGCCAAAGAAGAAAAAGAGCAAGCTTTGGAGGCTTTGTTGTGGTGCAGAAGGTCTTGATTAAATATATACTACAACGTTCCCTTTACTACACAAAGCACATCACACGTACACCTATGTCTTTTCCATCCAGTCATTGTTATTCATATGCGTAATCTATTCTCGATAAAATAAAACATACAAAGTTGTTGCATGACAAGCACGCTATCAGTAAACTCCACGGAGGTAGATCTATTATCAAAGAAGTCCATTGCATGTATAACGATTTTACCTCGATACAGGATGTCACAATGACAACTACTACAATGAGATTAATATGACAATGAAAAGCTAAAAAAAGACTGCAAATACCATCAATGGTTAATTCCCACTATGATACGCACATAAGCTTAGGGCGTTGACCTTGTAAGAAGCAATCAAGCTACGATAGAGGAAAGCGATGTGTGATGTATCGTGGTAATGTGACAAAAGAACAAAGTATCTCGATACGATGATGTAAATGATCCTATCCCGCTTCCCGGCCTTCAAATTTCTATCCCCCTTTCAATCCACCAGAAACCAACCAAGAGATCCACTTCTTGCACATATAAGCTTATAGTATGATACCCTCCTAAACATCATGTTGAACCCAATTTTCATTCAATCCATAAGTCGAAAATAGGATATGATAGTATAGATGTTTATAAAGCAAATTTGGTAAGGGAACAGCGCATTGAAGAGGGTGGGGTGAATCACATAGAGGGAACAGGGATAATTGTGTCATTGTGTTCTTGGTTGCTGCTGTCATAAACATCCTTCATCCATGATTGCAAAATCCCATCCAATCCATCATTATCCTCAGCCGTTTCCACGTGACATGATCCATCCTTCCTGCTGACAACTCGACAAGTAACCAAAGCAACGTTCCAGGATATCTAATCACTGCACTTGATTGCATCCATCCATCAAATCCAACATGTTGTTTGAAAACGGGCCATGTGATTGCTGCTGATATGCATCCTTCCCCACTCTGCTGTTGATCCATCCCTTTCTTGGTCATTTTCATTGCAGCTCAACCAGGTGAAGATTGCTTGTATTGCTGTGTATGGCATCATCCATAGGGATCCGTATGTACCAAAGCAAGTTGTTACACGTAAATAAAGTTGCTTCTATACAATGGCTATCTGCTGTTCACGTAATAAAGGCCACAATGCAGGTTGCTGCAAGTAACTTGAGGCAAAAGACAATGGAGTAAAGACCTTGCTTGCGGCAACTGCTGTTACGTTTGGCTGTCGCAAGGAACGTACAAGAGTGTGTGTTGTAGTAGAATGACAAGGTTGTGAACGCTATTTGAGACAATGGAGTGAAGATCTTTCTAATGGCAACTGCTGGTACGATTGGCTGTGGTCGACGAGTGTGCAAGAGCGTGTATTGTGTCAAGAGGCTCATGTGTTGTGGTAGAGTGACAAGAAGGCTGTGTACACGCCATGCATTTGCCATTCAGTCAAAGACAATCGGATCAATACAATGGGAAGATCGACATGGTGGGCTGAAGCAGCACAAGCGTTCGCAGGTGTTAGTTGTATACTTGAATGGGGCAACAGTTGAGAATGGGAGGAAGAGGGAAGAGGCTGGGAGTGGAAGAAGTCGAAATTAAATTGGTCGGACACCTCTTGTATTAATGCATGAACACTGTACATCCAATCCTTGATGTTGTGATTGCCCCTCTCGAACCTAAAACTTTCATACAAGGTGCTCTGGGACATGGTGATCAATACTGTTTTTAAAAACACCTCATGTTCATTTGAAAACAGTGAATGGGAGGGTACAATGTGGGATTTACTATCGAGGTCGGAAAGCAGGCCAGCGCCAGATTCATGATTTATGGAAATAGCATGTATTATCCTGGGACTCCCCATCTCGAACCTGAAACTATGTCAGAAGGTTCACTGGGCCATGCTGATTAACTTCATTCATTTGAAAGTCGCACACTTCATTTTGAAGATTCAAAATGCGGGGTGATCCAAATGGTGGATGATGGGATCAAAAGAGCGGACGGCCCACCGCCCCGAAGTTGCCCACTTCCACCTTGAAAATTGGTCAGGATGGTGCTCCGAGCATGCTGATCCACTTTTCTCAAATAAAAACCTCATGCTTCATTTGAAAATTTGGAACGAGAGCGTCCAAAAGTTTGAAAGACGGAGACATTCGCAGGGTCTGTCTTTCAAGAATTTATAGATTCACTGTTTGGGCGTAGCTCAGCCAAATCGGCTCGGATCAAGAAGCTTGAATGATGGAAATGATGGGCTGGAGCAGGAGAATCGTTCACATGCAGTGGATTTTGCAACAACGCTGATTGTGAGGAAATGGCTGATAGCGCGTAATTTATGGACTATTGTTGATAGCCATAAAGTATAATCCATCAATCCTTCCAGTCATGCAAGATAGCTGTGTTACACAAACACGTCCCTCTCCATCTTTTGCTCTGCCAGGGTCTAGCTACTCGACAATGAACAAAGACCACTCTTCATATAGCATCATGCTTACAAACATAAAGATGCCTGTATCTCCAAACTTTACAATGAAACGTGGGGTTTTGAATAGAGCAATGGGCTCGGCTTGGCCAACTGCACCTTGTGTGAAAGTTTCAAGTTCAATATCGCAACTAGCCCAAAAAATATTTTTTCGGTCGTCGTCGTCGTCGAAGAGGTCGACCCCTGGATCCAGTTTGGCTGGTGGCGACATTGCGAAATCTGGGATTAGCCACGATGAACTTGAAACTTTTACACAAGGTGCTGTTGGCCAAGCCGAGCCCATTGCTCTAATAAAACCCCACGTTTCATTGTAAAGTTTGGAGATACAGCCACCTTTATGTTTGTAAGCGTGATGCTATATGAGATATGGTCTTTGTTCATTGCCAAGTAGCTAGACCCTGGGGAGCCAAAGATGCAGAAGGACCTCTTTGGGTAACCCAGCTAAAAAGTCAGGACTTCAGGGACAATGCATGAAAGGTACGCAACCCTCACTTTTATGTCATACATTGGCAGCTAATAGCCACTTTTGTGCATTCCCAATATTTGTGCATTCTATTGTAGGTGGACGATGCTCCTGCTCTAGACATTCATTTCCATGATTAAAGTAGGTTGATCCGAGCTGATTTGGTTGAGTTACGCTCACACAAGATTACATCGGTTGAGCTACATCGAGCGTGCTTTATGTCCAGAGTGATGTAATCTCTCTTTGACTGCAGCTCAGTCAAATCAGCTCGGATCAACCTACTTTAATCATGGAAATGAATGTCTAGAGCAGACGCATCGTTCCCATGCAGTGGATCTCGCAACAATGATGATTGGATAAAAGTGGCCGTTAGCTAGCAATACATGCCTGTTCCTAGATAATCCATAAAGTAATTATACATTGACCTTTTCATTCATGCAAACGTAGCTGTGTTACACAACACGATCCTCTGCATCTTTTGCTCTGCCAGGGTCCACCTACTTGACAATGAACAAAGACCACTTCTCATATAGCATCACGCTTACAAACATAAAGGTGACTGTATCTCTAAACTTTACAATGAAACGTGGGGTCTTTAAGAGAACCAAACTACTCGGCTGGGTCAAAGCGATCTTGTGTCAAAGTATGAAGTTCATCGTGGCCAATCCCAGATTTGCCCAATGTCGATACCAGCCAAGTTGGATTGAGTTGACCTCTTGAAAAAGTTTTTGGCTGGTAGCGACATTGGGCAAATCTGGGATTGGCCACGATGAACTTTGACACAAGATCGCTTTGACCCCGCCGAGCAGCTTGTTCTATTAAAAACCCCACGCTTCATAGTAAAATCTTGAGATACGGGCACCTTTATGTTGCTACTATGCTGTAAGCGTGATGTTGTTACTTGCTGTTACATAATGGATGATGTTGAGAGCACAAAAAGCAAGGTCAAGAACTGAATGAAATGCCACATGGTGGTTACACACACATCCTTGATAAATTGCTGCACAAATGGATGCTGATGATGGTTGCCTTTTGTGAAGGCACGTAAGTAAACAGCATCCACTAATGAAGACCTACTTCATATCAGCCTATGTGTATGGTGATAATGGCTCAACGTGAAATAACGTCAATAGGTTATAAGGGTACTGGTTGTAGTGCTCATACACACATGCTTGACACAAAAGAGACTTACGATTACCTTGTAGAAATATGCGTGTATGTTTACGTATCCAAATACTGCAAGCAGCAATGATGATCCGATTACCTTGGTATCAGCAATCAAAAACCATCAGGAATAGGCTATATGATGCGTCATATGGATATGCATAAACATGGTGCAAGTCAAAAGTCCTCGGCTATCTTTACATTGAAGCATCACCACCAACATCATAATCCATCAGTGCTAAAGCAAGTTGGTGCCACGCCAAATGCAAAAGTAACAAAGACCATTTATTTCGGAAAGCAGGGGTGCCGCTTGTATCATGAATCTTCCATGATTGGCAATGTCAAACTCTTTAGGGACATGATGATGCATCACTTTTACAGTTATCTCTTTTGTTTTACTGCATTCGCATTCCTTCTTTCTTTTCTCACTCAACGCAACGTGGCAATGACTACTATACACGTAGACGTGAACCCCTTTCCACCGATTTATTCTGCTGGGCCCTTGACATGGGAGACACCCCTCTTCATAACACCTACGGCCTTGCTATCATTGATCGCATTTCTTGGTTTGGGTCGTTATTTGAGCACACGCTCTCATCCATTGTTTGTGGATGCAGCTCGTTTGAATCGACAACGGCGATTGACAGCTTTATCAAAGTTGGTGCTTGCCATGTCTATCACTATCCTGTTGACATTCATGGTGGATGCAGGCATCTTTACAGCACGTGCCATTCTCGACAAGCACTGGACATCAACCGTACTTGCGTATTACATCGGCATTTCATGGCTAGCATGGATATTAGGATTGATGGGCATGATCCATGAAGCTCACAATTTTGGTCGTTGGAGTTGGGTGCAGTATACCTTTTGGATGACGGCAACTTTGGGAGAGTCGTTAATAGCTTGGTTGTGGTTTGTTGCATTTCTCAGCCCTCGAACCGGTAAGCAACAAGATGCATTCACATTGTCGTATTCAAATCCAACACCAATGCATCTAGGCACTATCTTTGACAAGTACGATTTCATGTTCTTGGGAACGTTTGCAATGCGTTATGGATTGGAAGTGGGTACAATGGTGCTTTGTTTGATACAAATGTTTATCCGTGAACCACCATCCCGGGAATGGTCCCCACTGATATCAACACAAGCAGCAGCATCATCGTCATACGGTAGTACTGAAGCGTTTCAAAAAGGACAACAGCCGACAACAACAGCCCCTGTACCTACCCATTCATCATTTTCCAAATTGTGTGCTTTACTATCGTATACATGGCCACGAGGATCACTATGGTTGCAGCTGCTCATGTTTTTATGCTTTTTACTCATGTGGGTTGCTCTCGCTATTAACGCAATGACACCGTTGGCGATGGGGATGCTCGTCGATAGCTTGGGACACACCAAATGTAAGCAAAGCCATCAACCACATGGGTGCAGAATAATGTTGTTTATGCATAATCAAGCTCATACATCCCTTTTTGTTTAAGGGGCTTTTGTTTGTATACTCATTTTGGTGTATATGGGACTCAGGTTCTTGCGAGGAAAAGTAAGTACCTTCGATGACCCGGGTGCTTATTATCACTAACACATTCCCTAGTCTGGTTTCATTCAATGTACACAAAACTGGTTATGGATTCCTGTGGGGCAGCATATCTCAAAAACGATGTCGCTCAACATATTGGAACGGCTTTATGATCTATCACTCGCTTTTGATCCCATTCGCAAGTCCGAAGCTCTCAAGGTGTTTGATCATGCTATCCCCAGCATAGCACCCATGTTGCCACAGCTCCTTTTTCAAGTCGTACCTGCTGTTTTGGATGTTGTTGTGGCTGTCATTCTTTTGTGGTTCCTTTATTCACCATCAGCGGGGCTCATTGTACTCGTTACCATGTCTCTCTACATCCTCGTGACCATTTCCTTTTCTAGTGATGTTATTCCATCATCCTCATCCACCAACAAGCGCTATCGTGACATGCTAGACCGCAACAATGAAACAAGGATCAAAGCAATCAACTCGATTTTGAATTATGAAACAGTAAAGTACAACAATGCGGAGCGCATTGAATTGGAGCGATATCGTGCAGCCTTGATCAATTGGGAAAAGGCTGATTATCGCTACAGCTCGTCACGTGTCATCGCTCGGCTTGTGCAGCACACTATAATTGCGAGTGGATTTTTGGCTGGATGTCTTTTGTTTGCATGGGAAGTCTCACAAGCACGATGCACACCTGGTGATTTTGTGCTATTCAACTTTTACATGTTGGGATTGTGTGAGCCGGTAAGTATACGATCTCAATGCTACAAGTGGACAAGAGAAGATGTAGTGATGGTATTGCTTTGATGAAACACTAGCTTTCCGATTTCGATGCACATTACCGATCGATACAAACCAGCTGGCTGGAGCTCGATAAGGTTCTCGGGTTACTCAAAAAGAAACCGGCAAGTGGTGAAAAGAACGTTGTGATCAACAAGGGATCCATTGTGTTTGGTAAATAATTGTTTCATCCATGACGACGACGATCATTGTTGCTGATATCATCCCCCCTTTATGGTAGACAATGTACGTTTCAGCTATGACCAACGACATGCTGCTCTTAAGGGTGTCTCCTTTTCGGTCCAAGGAAGTACCAAGGTGGCTCTTGTGGGGCAACGAGAATCAGGGTAAGTGAAAGAATGAACGTTATTACCTGCTGGAAAGCGATGATAATGATTGCGAATGTTGTTATACGCATAGAAAATCCACCATTTCACGCCTCCTTTTCCGATTTTACGATCCAGATTCCGGTGCCATATACATTGATGGGCATGATGTCAAGACTGCTAGTCTAAGATCGATACGACAGCAGATTGGTGTGGTCCCGCAGGACATTGTATTGTTCAATGAATCGGTGTATTACAACATTGCATATGGCAATTGGCAAGCTTCCGAAGATGCTGTATTCCGAGCTGCCAAATTTGCACAAATTCACAACACCATTTTGAAATACCCTGATGGTAAGTTTTCGATCGTCGCTTTCAGAGAATGAGTGTGCTCATCAATGGCTTCAAACTTTGTTCTTTGTTGTCATGGCAACGCAGCATATGAAACCAAGCTAGGCAACGGCGGATTTCAGCTTACTCCTAGCGAGAAGGTAGCTTTTACAAAGGTTCTTCAATATTCAAATACCCAAGAGCTAATCCCGTATACATAGCTAAGGATTGCTATTGCGAGGGCTTTCCTAAAGGACCCAGCCATTGTCATACTCGAAGATGGAAACGATGCTGTGGATAGGTAACATGGGATGTTAAAGATAGCCATTAGTGATCATGCTGACAAAGGATGATCACACACATAGCTCATCGGATCACCAGCTGCAACAAGCTCTCTCGACATTAACAGAAGGTCGTACAACATTGGTGATTGCACGTCAACTCTCTAAAGGTGTTATGGATGCGGATATGATCTTTTTGTGAGTTGGGCGATTTCCTCGTTGGATGCATTATCTAATAATGGGGTGGGGTTTGTAGCATGCAAGATGGCCGAATTGTTGAATCTGGAACACACGAGAGCCTCACAATGCCTGAAAATAGATATCATTGTCAAGGTAGAATATCATACAAAGAAGCCTGCCCGCTGACTAACAAGTTTGTACATGCAGCAGGATTATACTACGACATGTGGAAAATGCAATGCATGGATGAGGAGCAAAAGTACAAGCCCAACAAGGAAAACCTAATGGCTGAAGCCATTATCTCAACGTGCCCCAACATGATACCAAATGACATTCCTCCACCATCCATTGACAACAACACCCATTCCCGCAAGCCAGAATCTTCTTTTGTGGATGAGCCTGCCACTACACAGTCATCCATGATGGACACAGAAAAGAAAAGTGAGGATCAAAAAGTGACACAAAGAGATGAAGGCACCGTTGCCAAGGTAGAAGAAAGCCCGAGAGAGACAAGTGAAGAATATCCAAAAGATGATGACAACACCATCAAAGAAAGCCAAAAAGAAACAAAGGCTGGAAACAATGGATCATCAAAGAAGAAAAAGAAACCCAAGACAAAGAAGCGTAAGAACTCCACAGTATTTTAGCAATAGCATGAATAGTTAGTAGTCCTTGAATATCAATATACAATATGTACAATGCATGATGCAAATCTATCAATCGGGCTTCACGTGATCTAAGTCTGCTTGAATCAGGCGAGATTTCTTTGCATCCTTTAATGCTCATACCTTGTTCTTTTCACCCGTACCATGGCCCCATACCCAACCGAATGCCATCAAACACTCAAAGGTCACAAAGGCCCTATTAGCGATGTATGCTACAACCAATCTGGACAATATTGTTTATCTGGAGGACGCGATCGGACCGTACGATTATGGAATCCACTGAGTGGTATGGAACTACATAGCTACATTGGCCATGGACGCGATGTCCTCGGTGTCTCAGTGTTCGTATTATACAACTAAACTCGCACGACGTCATGGTGATCGATCGCTTACACGATGGAATATAGAGCGTCGGATAATGCAAAGATCGCAAGTTGTGGTGCTGATCGTGCCGTGATACTTTGGGACGTGGGGACGGGCGAGGTTCTTCGAAGGTACACAGCCCACTGGGAGGTAAATGGCATGAAGCAAATTGATTGTATACGATGATCCACTCACAAAGACATGGTGTAGCGTGTAAATAGCGTGGATTTCAATGAGGAGGCTTCAGTGATTGTCAGCGGTAAGCATTCATCGAGGGATTTCAAAAGACCTGTTATCTCACATTCATGCAGGATCTTTTGATGCCACGATACGGATATGGGATACCAGGTATGTCTTGGTAGGAATAATTACCACAAACGCATGCTTATTGATTGCTGCTATCAGGTCATACAACATGCAACCTATTCAGGTGTTAGAAGATCCCAAAGACAGCGTAATGTCCGTGCAAGTAAGAGGCGTCGAAATAGTGGCAGGGTAAGGATGATCAAAGACTAAGGTATGGAATGTGACACTAACGTTTACCTATGCAGATCCACAGATGGACGCGTGCGAGTTTATGATATCCGAAATGGTCATCTTGCTGAGGATTACATTGGACGTATGTCAAGGGAGTGATGATGGGAGATGTTTTACGTACCTACTAATAATGGCCAATAGCTGCGATTACCTCTGCTTACATGTCCAATGATGGCAATTGTGTTCTTGTCAGCACGTTGGACAATACGATTCGATTGATGGATAAGGCAAACGGGACGCTTTTGAATGAGTTTACCGGCCACACACACAAGGATTACAAGCTGAACTCGGTGCTTTCAAACGATGACGCTTATGCTATCAGCGGGTCTGAGGAGGGAAATGTGTATATATGGGATGTGCTCGAAGGAAAGACTGTGGCAAAGCTTGAATCACACAACGGCGTTGTTTCGGCAGTGGATTATCACCCGCAAGATGTTGGCATGGTAACAGCAGGCGATGATGGATTGATACGCGTATGGAGCTAGCTAGCTTGGAGGATAATAGGAACTTGGTTATTATATTTGTTTTCAAAAGATGCTTTCCATAAAATGTGTTCCCTCGTTTCCGCTATTTCTCTCAGCATACGTTAAATTTGATCATGCAGTTTTCATGAGATCTCACAACGCGAACGCTGGTGCAACATGATTGTGGTACGAAGATGGTTGTGTCTATAATGCCTATTCCTACAGCCAACAATTTAAAAGTATATGATAAGGTTGACGAGGATGAATAAAATTCAACATGATGTTCCTGTTCCACGGAGCGAAATTATATTTGGATGCCTGCATGATTGTGTATCCTGTGCCCTTTGCTGCAGTCAAATTGATTTTGCCTTTGATTGTTACACAACTGGACACTGAGTTCGGCAATGGGATCAGTTCAAACAAGAGACAAAGACTCTAATTTGTATAGCTGTCAAAGGGAAAAGGGTATAAGGATTATGAGTGAATAGGAATAGGGTGGTATGTGGGGGTGGGGAGATAGACTTTAATTGAATGATGTATAAAGAGCGCTGCAAGGTGATGCAGTAATAAGGGTACAAGAAACATAAAGGGTCAATTGAGTTATCCATCCTTTTCTCTCCGCTTTCCTACATTTATTATATGGATTCAGTGCTTGCAAGTTTATCAAAGTGGTTGAGTGATAAAGACAACCGCGTGTTACTCTGGCAGGCGGCCGCTACAACCAGCGTCCTTTATTTGGCACTTGTACACTATCTACGCTATCGTAACATCAACAAGCTGCGACGCAAGTACCCAGACCCCACGATTGCTTTGAAGGATCCTGCTGTTGCCGAGGAAGTGTTCGATACCACTGTACGCCGAGAATTCCCCTGTATGTTGTGTTGACTAGGTTGCTATGTCATCCATCATGCTAATAATTTCGTTTGGTCGTACATATTAGTTTTGGCAAGACAGGCTTTGGAACTCGCGCTGTTCAAGACCTACTCTGTTCCATCGATTAGCAAAATCTTGCATGCTACTGGAGAATTCTCAAAGGACGCTAGGAAACGAGTCGAGGATACCGAGCTGCTACTGGTAACGTTCACTCCTTTTGTTGCATTGTCATCCTCTCCTCCTGAAAGCTTATTTACCCCATGGAGTAGCTCGAGATCAACGATGTCTATCCTCATGTGCAAGACGAGTTACGTGCGAATCCCAACGCGAGCCAAGAGACGATTGCCAAGCAGCGAGAACGACGTGACATTGCGCTCCAACGTATGAACGAGCTTCATAGCAAATATGCCATCCGCAATGGGGATTATCTCTACACCTTGTCGCTGTTCATTGTTATGCCGATCAAATGGATAAACAAATACGAGTGGCGTAAGCTTGATCCTCTTGAGGAATATGTAAGTTGTATAGTAACATGGGGCAATCACTTTTACTAATGGGAACGATGATGATAGGCGATTTTCCGGATGTGGTGCGATACTGGATTGGGCATGAAGATCAAGGATATTCCAGATACATTGGAAAAGATGATTGCATTCCATGAGGTAATGATTCTACATAGATGATCCAACGTGATATCTCATGCATCTATCTCTCTTAGGAATATGGAAAGGAGCATGTTCGATATGCTGAGAGTAATTGGAAAGTGGCCCATCCCACTGTGGAGCTGCTATTGACAAGACTTCCAAAGTTCATGGCACCTCTTATGGCACCTATCTTGTATAAGGCCCTCCCATCACTACTCGATCCCTTGGATGTTGTGGGCTTTGGTCTCCCAGAAGCTTCTCCATGGATGACATCTTTTATTGATACCAGCTTATACTTGCGTGCCCTCTTTGTTCGTCATTGCATGTTGCCGCGTTTTTCATCCCATACACGTACCGCCACCAAGGCTGATAAGAAGACGAATCTCTACAAGACCAATTATGATATCTATGAGCCCGTCTATCCCAATGGTTATTGCATCCATGAATTAGGCCCTGAGAAATCCAAACCCACAAAGTGCCCTATTCCTCATTAACCCCATTCAATATGATACCACCATGACGTGTTTGAATAATAGCAAAGGCAATTGCATTTAATTGATAAAGAGTAGTAGCATACTTTATTGGTGTGTATTGTGTGTGTGGACACTAATCGGATCAGCTGGGTGGTGATGTATGACAGGAGGAGAAAGAAAAGAGAGAGAGAAAGAGAAACATAAGTTGTCAGCTTGAGGAGAGAGGGGAGTGAGATGTAGGAGAGCAGCAGGACACTCACAATGTCTTGTATGTGTATAATGATACCTTTAGTCCTTTATCGCATGTAAACTAGAGACTATCAATCCGACGAAATGATCTGCCACCCGCTGGCCTATCGTGCAATTTGGGATTCTTTTTGGCAAGTTCAACTAGAAAAAGAGCCACCAGTAAATAACTTGTATCCATCATCCATATATCAATCAATGTACCTCGATCGAGTTTTGCATAGTCGATCACACAATCGTGTCGGTCAGGATAACGATGGGAGTCGCAAAAGATGTACTGACAGCGGCATTTGTTTGTGGTTTGTTTTACAAGCGGGACCTAAGATGATGATATTAGTCATGAGGCAGGGCGTGATTATGTGTTGTCTTTTTGTGTTACCTTCGCTCTGCATTGGTAACATCTGTTCTTGTTGCGTTGAGGAGCAGGTTGTTGTTGTTGTTGTTGTTGTTGGTCTTCTGAAGTAGAAACAGGTAAAGGAGATGGCATTGGTCTTTTATCTGCTACCGGTGATGGAGATCGGCTATGCTTCCTTGAAGATCGTTGTGGAGAAGATGTCGCCGTGATGGTAGTGGGAGTAGTAGTGGGAGTAGTGGCAGTGGTGGTGGTGTCTGATGCTGAAGGGCTACTACTACTATTGTTGATGGTGGTGGTGGTAGTGGATATCTTTTCTGGTGACATGGTGGAAGAGGTATTCGTAGTATTGTTGTTGGTGTTCGTCGTTGATGAGCTAGTGGACGACTCTTGTGTGAAATGAGCATCGCCAGATGGGGATAGATGAATCTAAGACCAAAACACTTTACCTAGCGATTTCTTGTCATTGTCTTTGTTGTTGGCCATCTGAGAGCTCTTGTAGCATTTCGAGCACATGTTGTTGTAGATTTCACTTCCATAAAAGCCGCATCCCGCACTGCAGAGAGGAGACAACTTTGACTTATCGTTATCCATGGGAATGGTGAAAAAAAAGAGAAAGAGAAAGAGAGAGAGAAAAGCAAGGCGGGGGAGGGAGAACGGCAATCCGAGTTAATCTGAATACATGAGCGGTCTCTCCCACTTTAAACACTGCATTTGGTAACACATCCCATAACATCCACACACCGATATACAATACAATCACATACATAGATATACATACAATGACACGCGCATTATATATTACAATCTTCTTCTTTGTCTAGTGGGTTTATTTGTTGGATCGAAAAACGAGGTTGGATGGTAGGGTGTCTGCATTGTCTTCAAAGAATTGTTGCACAGATGATTTCTTTGTAGCGTCGTCTTTCCGTAAAAAGTGATCCAAAACATCTGATACGGTTTGCATGTTGTTGAGCTGCAAGTTGGATACCTCCTTGCCGAGTTGTGCAATGCTTTCCTTGACAACCTAATCGATACATGTCAATAACATGTATGTAGCATCATCCCATCCTTCTATCCTTATGTTTACCTTGAATTTGACATCTGCTGCATCCAAACGTGTTGCCTTCCAGTTGTTCTCATCGCTACCATTGACACTTTCCAATACAATGGACTTCACAATGGATTGAACCTTATCTTGGTCTTGAATGATTTCCTTGTTTCTCCAACTGCATATACGATATACACACATGGGTTAGCTGCACATGTTACTAGTAGCATAAATAGGATACTTGCGAGAGAGTATCAGGCTCGTCGTCATAGTAAGAGACATCGAAGGCGGCTGCTGGTGCATCGGCATTGGCATTGTTGACAGGTGTAGTTGCGGGTTCCTGCGATTCTGATTTCTTTGCCCAAGGATTGAATCGGCTGAATCCACCGGCAGCGACGGGAGTGGAAGTGTGCAAGTTGCGTGATAAATGGACGATGCGACGACAAGCAAACATGGTTTGTTGAATAATAAAGATATAAATGTGTCAGTGAGAGAGAGGACTTGGGATGGAGAGTGAAAAAGCCAGGTCAAAGCAAAAGAGGACTGCGAATCGGAGGGAGGACCAACCGGGCTCTTGACGCATCGCCAATTCCCATTCTACTTGTAACGTGCGTCGTAGTGTAGTGTCAGCGTGTGTGTGTATATATATACGTTCGACTCTTTCTTTCTTTCACGAGTTATCAACATACACCTACCTCCAACAACCGATACAACAACCCTCTCTATATCGACATGTCCGTTGAAAAACGCAAAGATTCCCCATCATTGCCTGGAGGTGGCAGCGCCATGGTCAAACGGGCACGCTCAGACGAGCAAGACGACGCCAACAAGACTTTGATTCTTTCTTCTGAACGCTCGGGTACCAGCAATGCAGTCGTTGGCACAGTATGTTCACTCGCTTTCCCGCATCGATCAGCCCTTCAACAGCTAACCATCGTACTCATCTCTCACCCGATCTTGCCTTCAGATTAAACGTACATCCAGTCTACAAGCACCTGTCATGCAACTTATTGGTCACGAGGTGAGCGTTTGTCATTCATGGTCATATCCTTTTTATTCATGGGTGCTTTAGGGCGAGATCTTCAGCAGCAAATTTGATCCATCGGGCGATCACATTGCCAGCGTTTCGTATGACAGACAAATCTGTAAGCATTGTATATCATGTTGCGATTCGACATCATCATTCATTCAATATCTTGGATAGTGCTATGGAATACATATGGTGATTGCAATAACTATGGTGTGCTAAGAGGTCATGCCAATGCCATTCTTGAAGTACATTGGTCCCGTGATGGAAGGTAAGATATGCCTTGGCGATGTAGGTTGGCTTTGATTTAACATGTCATATTTCATTAGCCAATTATTCAGCTGCTCTGCTGATAAAACAGTCGCCATTTGGGATGCAACAACTGGAGAACGTATTCGTCGATGGAAAGGTCATACATTGGTGGTCAACAGCTGTCAAGTTGCTCGTCGAGGTCCTGAAACGGTGGTATCGGGAAGTGATGATGGCTGTATCAAACTCTGGGATAGCAGATCAAAGGACGCTGTTCAAAACTTTCAAGACAAATACCAAGTGACAAGCGTTTGCTTTAGCGATGCTGGTGACATGGTGTACACTGGCGGTTTGGATAATGAAATCAAGGTATGTTATTAGAACATGAAAAGGGGGTGTCACGATGATGGTATATATATTGATGAGGATCAATGAATGGTAGGTTTGGGATATTCGGAAGAAGGCTGTCGCATATACTCTTAGTGGTCATTTGGATACAATCACAGGCATTGCCCTGAGCCCCGATGGTTCTTCATTACTATCAAACAGCATGGATAATACGGGTACGTGTGATAGTAAGCGTCGTCAAGGATCCTATTCTAATTGAGATTGGATACACTTTTAGTACGCATCTGGGATGTCAAGCCGTTTGCACCAGCAGATCGATGCACCAAGGTTTTGGAAGGTGCACCACATGGATTCGAAAAGAACTTGATTACACCTTGCTGGTCTACTGATGGAAGCCAAGTCGCTTGTGGTTCGGCTGATCGAACGGTGGTCATTTGGGAAGCCAACTCTGGCAAGATTCTTTACAAGCTTCCTGGACATAAGGGATGTGTGAACGACGTCGACTGGCACCCTATGGAACCTATTATTATGAGCGCAAGCACAGACAAGACTATCATGCTGGGTGAAGTGAAGGACAATTAATAGCATAATTTGTGATTGGAGGAATAAAAAAAAGAAAGCAAGCAATCTTTGTCTTTGTGTTATTGTTCTAGAAAGGGGATGATTGGTATATATGGATTCATGATGTTAACTTAATCTAACGCCCACTCTGAGATGTATTCAAATCCATGGAATTGCTGTTGTTCTTCTCGAGATAATTGCGTTGGTACCGGTGTAAGCACAGGGAACTCGCCAGTAAATTCGGCATCGAAATTAGATGTATCGGCACGTCCACGCAATGTTGGTACAAATGGTGCTGTGACACGTTTGGCAAGTAGGTCATCCCATCGAACACCTTCATAAAACACGTGTGATCGTACTTCCATGCCATCGTCTCTTCCTGATCCTAGTCGATGTGATGGGTTCTTTTGCAGTAGCTATCAATGTCCATGTATCAGCATGATGTTGTACATATCCTTCAGCAGCCTAAATAAAAGTATCCTTACGGCATGCAACAAGTTCTTAGCCTCTCTTGACAAATAATGTGGACAAACAAGCTCATCCCTCATGATAGCATCAAACATTTCATCCTCGGTCTCAGCCCTAAATGGTGCCTGAAAAAGTGGGTCAATACAACATGTGACAATATGGATCTTGTCATGTAACAAACCTGTCCCGCCAACATTTCATAGAGCAAAACACCAAATGCCCACCAATCTACAGCCCGAGTGTATCTCTGATTCATCAATATTTCGGGTGCCATGAACTCAGGGGTGCCACAATAGGTCCCAGTGGTCGTTTCATAGTAGGTGTTCCCTTTGCATAGGCCATAGTCGGTCAATTTGATGTGGCCATCAGGTGCAAGCACCACGTTATCCAATTTCAGATCACGATAAATGATGCCGTTGTCATGTAGATGTTCAAGTGCCAGTAGAACTTCCGCTGAATAAAATCTACAATCATAGTAAGTAACGTGTCCCCAAGTAAAGTACCATCATGACCTCTACCTTGCTCGTGGCTCTGAAAAGTTTTGCCCTTGAATGTGCAACATCAAATCGCCGCCTGCAACATATTCCATCACAAAAAAGAGCCTTGATTCGGTCATAAATGTTGAATGCAAGTTGACGAGAAAAGGATGCTTGCTTTGATTTGCAACCATGAACACTTCTTTTTCAGCCAGGATGCTAATACAACAATAAATGAGTGTCTACCCCATGATGTATCACTTTGCTCCCCATTTTTACCATTTGAAATCATTCTGCATCAAGATGGATAACTTTTTGAGCGCTTTAACGGCATAGAGTTGCCTGGTATACTTGTTCTCGGCGAGTAGCACCTTGCCAAAGTTGCCACGTCCTAAGACAGCGAGGAAATTGAAGTCGTCAATGCTAGCTCCTCGATTCATATGTAAGGGCGTCATCTATGATTGATCATCATCTTTCATTTAGCGCTCCTTTATACTATTACTTGTCTCTTGCATTGTAATCCTTACCGAAGAATATCTTGTGGGGTTTTGTTGTAGCAATTCTGCTTGTGTCATTTGCACCGATTGACCAAGGGATAGATTATGGAACGAGTGTCGGACGTTTTCAGTTTGAAGTCGTTCAATCGCTGAGGATGGTAATGGCCAAGCCATGGAATGTCGATAGGATTGTGGATCATTTGGTGGTAGCGGTGAATACGGTTCGCCTGGTGCCTCTTCTCGAGGTAACAATGAGCGTCGATGTTCATTTGCTGATCGAAATTCGTTGCCCAACCGATATGCCGTTTCCATGTCGATCCCACAGTAATTAGGTACAAACTGGCAACATTTTGCATGATACATGGCCCCACATTCTTGTAAACAGCCCATGAGTTTCAGCATTGTTGGCTTCCTTTTCCATCATTTACCTGTACACTTTTTGATATTTTTCACTGCAAGTGGGAGAATCAATCCACAATGCGAACACCAATTCGTGCCAATAACCATGACCGTTTCAAACCGATGGGGGATATTGTACTTGAAGCCACCTTCATCCTACCCCCACATAGTTAGCATAAAGCATCTCTATGATGAAACAATATCCTACCACAGATGAAATGCCTTCACGTGCCAAACACCTTGATGGCACTCTACTGTAACAGTTTTTGTGGCAGCTGAGGTGGCAGTCTATATAAAGGTAAGTGGTAAGTGAAAAAGTCATAATCCATGCACACACGTATATACCTTCGCATTGATACGTAATGTTCACCATGAAATCACGGCACACTGAGCATCGTAGAATCTGATAAAACCGCTTCGAGACGAATTTGTGGCCATGAGACACATCCACCTTTCCTTCAAGCTCACGAATGGCACCACTTCTCTTGAGTTTATTGAAAGGGATAATCTTGGCACCCTTACGCACTATCGATCAGCAATAGAAAATGTTAGTTACTTTTATGAAGCCTCGAAAGAATCATTTGCATAGACTTACCAAAGCTTAGCTGTAGATAGATCCTGCCCGTAGGCTCAACATCAAACCAATCGGATATTACCACTGACGGCGACGGCTTTGTGCAATCCACATCTTCCTTTTGAAGCATCCTCTTTTTCTTTTGTCGCAAATCCTCAGCAATATCAATCATCTTCAACCACACCAAGCCTATGGGTAGAGTACGATCACCAGCGCGGTCATATATAACAAGCAGGATCTCGGAAGCCTTGTTAACGTCCATCTCAAAGGTATCTGACCAAGTATCATCACGTGATGAGCGTGTCTTGTTTTTGCGGCGACCATTCACTTGGATAGCAACGAACGTTTGTGACATAGGAAACGTATGGCTTGGTGCATGTGTCAGCTGATTCGCCTCTGCAATCTTGAGTCTGAGCATGCCAGCTGCGGGCAATGGCACCTTTTCGGAAGCAAATGATGGGGCTTCTACAAGGTAGTAGTGGTCATTTGAATAAGTTTTCATTCATAGTATCCTCTTCCTACCCCCAAAAGTTGATCCATACCACTTTCACTAGGTGACACGGGTGCTCCATCAATAATATCCAATGACTGATATTTGCGAACGGCACGTTTGAGTAACTTGATCTTCTCTTGTGAATCGGCAAGTCGTTGTTGAAGGTCGCCTTCACGTGGCTCGCTCTGCATCCTTTCCACGATCTCTTGTTTGACCCTCTCCTCTGATTGAAGCCTGTATTCCATCTCTCGCAGCATCTTGACAACCTTTTTCCTGTTGATAGGAATATCCGACTTTAACAAATCTGCATAATGAACCATGTTCAATGATCTTTATCCCCATGACAACGACGATATGCTCCTTTTTTCTATATCTTACCTAGGCTTGTACGCTTTGTCTTTCTCCTCTCCTTATCCGATGGTAGTGATGATGATTCCCCAATGGATGTGCCGTTACTGCTCAAGGACACCTTGGCTCCACTAGAATTGGAAGCTTGATCAACGATAGCACTTGCACTCGCATTCGCTTGTTCCTGAAGAAGTTGCAGCTCGCTGTTGAGATAGTCGACGTATTTCTCTGATTCCTTGATTTGCGTCTCACATTGGGCCTGGGCATTCTTGTCTTCCAACACATTGCGTAGCTCCTTTGCCTTGTCGCGAATCTTCTCGTTGCGTTCAATCTTGGTCTTGATGTCTTCGATCTGCGATTGCTGCCGTGGGTCCTGCCAAAGTGCATACGAACAAAAGTTGTGAGGCGAGAGAAGGACAACTGGATATTGAGTTGGGAGGAATATGGGGTGGTGGTCAAAAGATAAAAGAGGTGTGCTTGTACTTACTGCCATGGTTACGTTATTCAAATACAAATAAAGTACACGTAGCGAGTGATATGTAACGACCAAGGATAAAGAGAGGTGGATGGCAACGACACGGAGCTTTTTTATCCTTACAAATGGAATGTTTTATATACGCCAATAGTCAAAGGGGAATCGAGAAGAACGAAATCGAAGGAAGACTTGCACAAAGAAAATGATTGTAAACAAATACTTCTCGTGACAATGATGGACAAGGAGAAAGAGAAGGCGATTGTGTGTGCGTGTTTGTGTGTAAAATGTACGAAGAATTGGGACACTCTCGATTACTACCCACACAGAGCAAATGCTTGTTACTTTATAACCCCCATACTCATTGTAATCGTAAGCAGTTAAACTTTACTCATTCCCCTGCATATCTCAATCTCACCATTACCTTTTTCACTTTACATCCTTCTTCTTGTGAGCTCTGGGTGTCAAAAAACATAGGTGTCACAAAGTGGTTGTTGCTGCATTGTGTCCCACCGCCTTCTAAAAACCCCGGCCATTTACCATTGACATCCGAACATGCATATCTTTACGCTAGTATCGACCTTCAAAAAAGTATACATTCAATGTAATTGAAGCTAATGCTTTCCGTTTGAGGCTTTGCTGTTCCTTTTACCGATTACGTGGATGGTTTTGCCATAATTGAACATGGATAGGTGACACAAGCAATGGTCACTATGCTCCGAACATGAGGCGTGTGCATAATTTCATCTTTGATCGATCATCGGTGGTGATTACAACGATCATCCATCCACCTCGATTCAATTACCTAGATATCGTGGTTGCCTACGATACGGTTGCCTAGCAATGTATCTGAATAGTTACAAGCTTTTCACTTTTATCATTGTTGGATTACATCAATAGCCGTGAGCGAATACAAGCATGGTTGATCCCTTTTGAATCAGTTACCCATTCCCAGCAACATCTTGTTCAACTTAGACCAACAAGGCGTGGTATGCATCGGTGGTCAAGTAAACAGCAACAAGCAAAAAGGGGAAGAGGGATAAATGTTCTTTTATTGTCAAAGGGCCACAAAGCCAGCAGAAAAGGAGAATGATCGGATATAATAAAATTCCACTGTCATTGGCAATTCTTTCTGTTATGGAGAAGGTAGAACCGGACTAATTACAACACGTTGTATCTATATCTTTGGATAGACCAGGTTTAAATAGGTTCCCAGGAAGTTGTAACGCTACCACGTTAGGTGCATGTCTTCTGTGGCAGTCGTCATGGTAGCCATTAAGCAAGCAGATGACGCTCTCATCTGTTCGACTCTCCAAAAAGGCCATCCTGTGATCCTTAAAGGTACGATATTCGTGGATAGCCATTAGATGTTGGTACTTTTTATAGTCATATTGGTGGCAATGTACATAGAGTAATGATAGTCTTAGTTTGGCTTAGACGCAAACAGAGGTTTGTAACAAATACGAAGTGATCGGTGTTGTTGATAATGGCAGTGAAGAGGGATGAAGGATACCTCGATGTGCTGGTGATGACATTGTTCGTCCCTCCATTTGATCATTATCTTTTATATACTTTATGCATTGCTTATCATATTATTGCATGTGATGCATAAGGGATAATGGGTCGAAAGAGCCAAAGGTTCATCGGCTGCATGACTTGCTCATCGAAAACCGGGACACTGAAAACGTGGTGGTTATTGATTCTCATTCTAAGGATCATCATTTATATGATGAAGTACGTGTAAAAATAATCCCTCAATGTTTTCTGTAAGGCAGATCTTGGGATATCATGCAATCGTTTTATGTATATAGGAGAAGGGGGAGCACCCGGTATCATCAAACATCCCTTATGAAGTTGCTACCAAGGTACTATTTTTATACCACAATAGTGATTCATTCTTTACGTTTTCAGCATCACTGGATTAGGATGATGTCTAAAGAGGTTATCCCTGCATGATTTCTCACTATGGCGGTGTGTGTAGGCATGTCGACCAATGACGCAAGGGAATCGAACCAAGAGGCTTGTAGCCCCGGTTGGTTGGGATATTTTTCTTTGCTGACAACCTTTTCCGCAAGGCACGCTTCATCACACCCTCACTTCCACCCATCACCCTCCCATCGCAATGTCAACGCCATTCCGTCAAGGCCTTAGTAAGCGGTTTATATATGACAATATCGAACAATACACTAATGGGGGATTCTGATAATAGAAAAGGTCTATCTTCCCAACATTGTCTTCAAGATGGTACGGTCACCTAATCTTCAACCCAACCAAGTCGCATTCCGTGTACCTCCCAGCTGCAACAAATTCGACATTCACTCGTATCTCACCAACATTTACGGCGTCAATGTACAAGAAGTACGCACCATGAATTACGCCACTGTTCACAAAAAGACACGTACTGGCCAGACCGAAGTAAAGCAACCAGCATACAAGAAAGCCATTGTTACTATCGACGAGCCATTCACCTATCCTTCCGAGCCTGAATGGTGTGCATTGGAACGAGAACAATATAAGTTGGGATCTAAGAACGCAGGACGAAAGATGAAGGGATGGCGTTTCAGAGGCCCTGAGGAAGAGCGAACACGGATGAAGGAGATTCAGACTGAAATACACGAGCGTATGGAAGCCGAGCAGGGTCGTAAAAAGTAAAAAAAGCAATACATGTATCATAGAAAGAGAGGAAAAAAATGTATAATGGCATAGACGATGCGTCAATTACAAAAAAGCAAATAAACATCCTATACGTCTTCTAAGACACCAGGAACAACCTTGTAAGGATTCATAATACCACGCGGATCCAGCGCATGCTTGATAGCTCGCATCAAACGTAATTGTGGTTCGCTCTTGCATTCCTCCATATATCCAACCTTGGCCACACCAACACCATGCTCAGCTGTAATGGATCCTTTGTGTTTGACTGTGTACCCATTGCATTAGTTTACATGTATCACAAGACAGCGTATCAATACTCACTAGCCCAATCGTATACAAATCGATCCATATCCTTCTGCACCTTGTAATCAAATCCCTTGATGTTTGCCATAATATGAAGGTTCTATATAAAAGACAATGAATACAATGAATAAATTCACCCCATTGTTTACACTTACTCCGTCTCCAACATGACCAAATCCAAGGAAGTTGTAATACACGTTTCCATCACCCAATAGTCCACGATCATTGTAATGCTTCTTTGCATCTTCCACCATCTTGTATAGCAGTTTGACGTCCATAGATACATCGTATGTCATTGCAGTACCAGATTTTACGATAGCTTCAGGGATGGTTTCTCGCCATTGCCAGAGTGCTTGGATCTAATCAATGATTAATCCGTATCCTTGTCCACTATAGCTCTAAGTAATATACCTGCTTAGCATCCTGAGCAATGACACCATCATGGGCAACATCCGCCTCCATGACTCGTGAGAGGTAGGCATCCAATTTCTAGGTTACACACATACGTGAGTATCCTGGGAAGTGTACCCATTCCAAGATCAAGATCCAAAGCGTCAACTTACCTCCTGATCATGTTCCTGGCGACTTCCTTGTGTTTCCAGTAATGCGTAAAATTTAGATTTGGCTTCAATTGGATACGTGGCATCTGGCAATGTGACCTTCTTGACGAGATTCATGGATGCATCATCCCAAAATTCAAATGCTATATATAGCAAGGATATGCATTAGCTATCACAATGGCTTGGGAAATGATTGTCTCCATTACCTGACAAGATCTCGGATAAATCCTCCTTTGCCATCACAAACGCTTTCTGGATATCATCAAAAGAATCCAATGCAAGCATAGCCAAATTGACAGACTAAAAGGGGATGCATTGTCGTTATTGTCAATAAGAGTATACTCGTAATGAAAATGATTCCAATCACTTACTTTGGGCCGTCTAGGTGTTAAAAGAGACACGCCTGTGACCAAACCAAGTGTTCCTTCCGCACCGATAAAAAGCTGTTTTAAATCATAGCCGGTGTTGTCCTTTCGCAATGTCGATAGGTTATCCAAGATTGTGCCATCGGGCAAAACCTACAAGGAGAAAATCATTTAACCTAAAGTTCGCGCTGATCGATGGAACGGGAAAAAGATAACATACCACTTCCAGACCAAGCACGTTGCCATGCAAGTTACCAAATCGCATCAAGCGGAGACCTCCAGCATTCGTGCTCACGTTACCACCCAGCTGACAAGATCCCTTAGCCCCGAGATCCAGTGGTACTGTATAGCCATGCGGCTCCAAGAAATTGTCGAGGCTTTCGAGAATGACACCAGCATCCACCACTGCAACACCCGAGATATCATTGAAGGATCGAATTTGATTCATTTTGGACGTGTTGATGATGATCTCGTCAAAGACTGGATTGGCACCACCACTCACACCAGTGTTACCGCCTTGGGGTACAACGGCAAGCATTTCCTTGTTGCAATACTTTAGGATTTCAGATACTTGCTCCGTGGCCGTGGGGAAAAGACATAATCTATTATTAAACCCACGTCAGTACAACATTGCCCTATACACGCATACTTCATTATACATACGACGACGCTCCTCGGTGCAAGTTGAAAAAGTCGGCATTGTAGGGCGTCATGGTAGACTTTGCCGGATCGCTTTCAGCATCGTGAATGACATTGTTGGCAGGAAGCACCGATCGGAAAAAGTCAATGTCGCGTTGTTCAAGCTGTACAAAGTCAATGCATAAGCCGATGCCCATTGCATGTCGTGATGAAGGGGACCTACCTGCTTGAACTTGTTGCTGCGTCGTAAGCTCGATAGTTTTTCGCTCGTGAGTGGTGTCAATGGACCAGTTCTCCATACTGAACGGCTCGTATGAAATTGCCTTGAAAGGATGGATGCACGAAACATGTAAGGAAAATGAGTAAAAGTTGTGGAGGGTAAAGGTGAGAAGGAAGCCTAATCGGGCCTAATTCAAGCAGCCACCTCTGGTCTCGCAGGAAATTAGAGTTTGCCGCCCCTTTCCTTTTCCAGTATATCAGGCACAGACCGTTGCTCACACGCACATCAACGATTACAAGTAGTATACGTATACTATTCACCGTGCTCATTAAAACCTTCCACTGCATAAGATCATTTGATCCTGTTCTTGGGATACACTCAATAAACCTTTGCATAAGATTTACCAATACAATCAAGGGGGTCGTATACGGATCTCATTGCATGTATATGAAAGGGCGGAAAATATAGGGTGTAATAGATCTTGACAGCGCGTCTTTCTTGTATCACCCTGAGCTGATACCCCGATTGGCAAGCGGGCTGCAACTGCATATGTGCGTGCTCTTGACATTATCACACCTCCCATTAAAGCCCTTTATTAAGTCGTTTGCCCAGTTGCAAAGCCACCTGCACATTTACACCTATACCGATCCAAAAAATCTCGCTATTTAAGGTTTCCATATTCGACCCTGGTACTCACTCCGTATCATGCTACTCCCATCATCATCATCATCATCATCATGATGTCCACCATACAAAATAACGGATCCAGATACCCCTGCTGCTTCCTGTTTTCCTTAACCTCAATCCAGCTGACCATACTATTACAAATCACAATGATATCAATTATGCAATAATGGTAAACAAAGACTGGTTATTATAAATTGTGGCACAACAACATCTTAAAAGAAAGAGCAAACCGTTATCCACGCAAAAAAGGCCCGCCTTTATACCCCCACCAATCATCACAAGTGTAAACCTTGTTTCATTTTCTTTATCTTTTGTACTCCTTACCCTTTTTTTCTTCTTTCTTTCCAGCAGCCCTTTTTTTCTTTTTCGTTTCGATATTTTCATTTCATGTCAGACGCGACGACGGCACCTACTACTTCTATGAGCAGCGTAGAGTCGTTTTGGACACGCACTCGAAAATCGCCCATCAGTGCCGCTTGTGTGGTTGCTTATACGTTATTCACGTTGGTATCATTTAGCTGGTCCTACCATCACCTTGTAACTCAAATGATGTAAAAAAATTATAGAGATATGCTCACGTATGGTGCCGTCTTGCCTGTTCTTCCAACCCTTGTTCTCCAACGCCTCCATGGAAACTCGTCGATGGTGGGCATTCTCTTTGGCGTATACGGTATGGAGACAAGGGCATGAAGAGATGATGATGATGATGTGGCTCTTTATCCAATCTCCTCCCCATATCGTTTCGGGCTGACTTGACGTTTCCATGCAGCTTTCGGTCTTTTGCTAGCAACTCCTGTGTTTGCGATCTTGTCAGACAAATATCAGAATCGCCGGTACCCTATGATGACAGGTAAACCATGATGCCTTTAAAGTTTCATTACATCTATTATTTGTGTTTTTGGCGTATCCACCTTCTTTGTTGTCATCGCTCTTATGGTACTTTTGGTTAGGTTGTATTGGCTTGGTGGCATCCACATTGGCGTTTGCAGCTGCGGACAGCTATTTTCTTTTGATCTTGGCACGTATTGCGCAAGGAGTTGCTGGTGGAGCCTCCTGGTAATGTGCATCATGTTGTTTATGTGGGGGAGATATGGTGTGATATGATGGGGGAGCAAGGATGAGAAAAACATTTGATCATCGGAACCCAAGGTTATATGCTAACACGCTACACAAAACGTCCCATGTGTTGTATGTACATAGGACGATTGGTCTCGGGATGGTGGCCGACGTTTTTCCAACAAATCGTCTCGGCGTTGTTATGGGAACGGTATTGACGGCACATACAGTGTAAGTTTATTCTACACATGCGAGTTGAGTCATGGTATGTTTTTAATGCATATCACACCCCATAGAGGATTTGCGATTGGTCCAGCTATGGGAGGTTTCCTCTTTGAGTATGCAGGTTTCTCTGCTCCTTTCTTATGCTGTGCCATCTTTGCTGCCATTAATTTCCTTGCAGTCGCTTGGGTGGCAGAACCCAATCATGACAAACACATCAACAAAAAGGACACTGACAAATACACACAACCAACAGCTGACAACACAAGCGAGACATCCACTGCAGCTTCCACTTCAAGCCATGTCACAGATGACGAGGCGTTAGCTGCTGTCACACCAACAGAGGAAACACCATTGATCAAATCAACGTCAAGACCCCTGGGAGATCAAACGCAAGAAATTACCATGTGGGGATTGTGTAAGAATTGGAAGATCATGTGCTGTGTATTATGCACTACAATCAGTGCTTCTGTTTTCTCGGGTATTGAACCCGCGTTGCCCATTCACCTTGAAAAGGCATATGACTCGTCAGCTTCCACCGTGGGAGGTTTGTATTTTTACCATGAATGAGACGTAACTTCACCCATGCTTATACCTTTTGCTATACCAGTCATCTTCGTAGCTATGGTGGTTCCAGGTAGGTGAAACTATACAATGGAATATGGGATTTCGGTTTGAACTAATCAGTGCTCAATTAAGCTTTCCTTGCTCCCGCCATTGGATTCATGTCCGATAGAGTAAGAAAAGAAAGAAAATATGACCTTGAATACCCTTTTAAGGGTGCCATACATGTCGTGCTCACACACATACATTTATTCTTTACGTAGATCGGTCGTGATGTGATCAGCGCATCAGGAATGCTACTTATGGCAGTGGCTGCTCCTCTCGTATCCATCGATTACCCTATTGTATATATGATTGTGCCATCTCTTATGGTCTTTGGTTTCTCAAGTCCTTTAACATTGACTCCCATTTTGCCAGAAATGGGTGAGATTGTTGATAGTCTGGTAAGTTAAAATGATGCATCATTATGTATGTGTAACCATCGCACGAATATTAATGCTCTCTTTGTTGTCTAAAAAGGGTGGCGCTGCATATGCACAAGGTAAAATTAAAGCCAGAGAACATACCATGGATCGTTTTATTCTTACATTGATTGCATTCTTATTAGTATATGCTTTATACAACATGGCCTACTCGATGGGAATGTTTTTGGGTCCCGTATACGCTGGAGCTGTCATGGCAGTAGCTGGATTCAAAACGCTCATGTTTACCTTTGCCATTGCATTGGTTATCTGTAGCCCCGTGATGATGGATTGGAAGGCAGTGTGGCGCAGAGTAACAGCTTGTGTACGTAGCCACTGATACCATATTTCCTTTTCAGTCATAAACGCATGTTTCCCCACCCCTTGAAATTATGCAATGATGCATCTGATAATACAATGAATATCACTGTTTGAACAAGCCGTGCGTGTTTGAAGAAAATATATCAATGTGAAAGGGGCTTGAGTTGAAGGGGGGAAGAAAAAGAAAAAAAGGGAGACAACAATAAGATCATCTTTGTGGGCAAAAAGTAATGGGATGATATATGTAATGTGTGAGTTGAGATTGTGTGAGAGAGTGTTGTGAGTATTGTGTGAGTGTTTGACGAGAGCGAGTACTGCTTTTAATCTACAGGATGGAACACTTGCCCTTGCCGCCCCTTTTGTTTGGCTTGTGCGTCATCAATGCAGCACGAGTTGCATGTTCAAACACCTCACGAACACCATCACCATCCTTTGCCGAACATTCCAAGTATTTGTAGGCACCAATCTTCTGAGACACAGCCATACCCTATTACATAGTAATGCGTCAGCCCTTGGACGTGTTCCTTTTCCTTAAATAGAAATGCAAACTGTACCTCTTCATAAGTCACTGGTCGTTGAGAAGTCTTTCGCAACTCTTCAATGGTGTGGGGATCATTTCGCAAATCCTTCTTACAGGCAACCAAAAGGATAGGCAAGCCTTGGCAAAAGTGCAACACTTCCGAGATCCACTGTATCACACAAAAGTCAGCAACCATCGTCATTGATTGAACCAGCCAAGCCTCATCCAATAGATTCCCCTCTTGCTTTCGTTCACTCTCACTCTCATGCTCGAGGTTCTCCTTTTTCGCCTTCATGATACATTACCTTCTCTTGTACGTTATCAAGTGAGTCGGGGGAATCGACAGCAAAGCAAATCAAGATCACATGAGAATCAGGGTAGGACAACGGGCGAAGACGATCGTAGTCTTCTTGGCCTGTGATGGGTGGAATCAAACAAAAATGGATTAGACCGGAGTCAATGATTGCACGAGGCGCCCCCCAAAATAGTGATTGTGCGCGGAAAAATCGGTTGAATGGATAGACGTCTTCCTCCTCACAATGAATCAAAACGTACCAGCAGTATCCCACAAAGCCAACTCGACGTTCTTGCCGTCCACTTCGACATCAGCCACATAGTTTTCAAACACAGTGGGGACATAGAGCTATACAATCAATAAAAGAGGATGGTGGGTTAACTTGTGTGCCATGCAAAAATAGAACTCCGCCTTCTTTGCCTTCTGCTTTGTCTCCTCGCGCTTTCACTCTCATTCACACACAGGATAGAACAACTCTCCATCATCATTATCTGGATGATAATGAGCCGAGGAAAAGATGCCAACCAAGGAAACAAGAAAGAAAGCAACAACAAGAAACAAGCAAGAAAGCAACCCAAGATAATCAAGCAATTGGAGATAAGCCATGTAATTTCCCAATGGTATGGTCCAGCCAACGAGCTGCGGGAGAGAAAATCCAAGGGCTGCGTAGCATGATCATCATCCACCATTCCCCCCCACTCAACCACAAAATGAGAAAGAGATCATACCTCGGGGAAAGTACCTCGAGAAAAGACAATCAACAAGCAAGTCTTGCCGCATGCACCATCACCAACGATAACGAGTTTTCTTCTAAGTTCAGAAGCCATTGTTGTAAACCTAAAGAGAGGACATCCATCTTATTAATAAACATGTTTTCCCGTGCTTGAGACATCCCCCATATAGAATGAAATGAAATAAAGAACGTGTATGTGTGCAGGTGTGTTTGAAAAAGTGAATCAGAGAGATGATGAAGCGAGATGCGGTTGTGTGCGTGGAATAGAAATGGGCGACCCGTGGACGTCATCTGGAAACATTGGCAAGAGGACATGCGGTACAAACCTTTTGTAGAGAAGCGGGAATCAGGAGCGGATACGAGAAGCTCAGGTATAACCGGGAAAGTGTAAAAGAAAAAGAGATCAAGGAATGGCCGTACAATCGCAATTCCAAGAGCTGAAAAAGAAGCGCTGTGTGATATTTCCAGGGCGAGAGTCCCTGCCATGCCTGGAATCTAATACTCCGTCAAGTGCGCAATATATTCCTCAGCAAATCACAGCCGCTCATCACCATGTGGGTGGAAAAAGGGCTTGGAATACGACTTTACACAGCATCATCATGAACCAACAACATCATCATCATCCCTATCTTGATCCCATTCATCAACATTGGATCACTTTGATATAAAAGGTTTGATGTTGCTTGGTATCAAGGATGGCCTGGTTCCCATGGCAACAATAATCAAGCAACATGCGTTTGGGCTAAGCATAAGGGAAACCCCGTTACTGCTAATGCATTGCCTTTTTTTGACATCTTGCATGCCAACCGTGCACCGTGCTCATCTAACCTGGTTTTGACATTTGTGTTGCACACACACATACACTTGCTGCACATCCCTTCTTCACATGTTGATATCAATAATACAATTTAGTTTTCAATCAATCATTCTTTACTGGATCAAAATCAGGTCATCATTCAATGATACAACAACATTCAATAAAAATTCATGTTCACTACACTAAGCTACTAATTCAGCTACGAGAATAGCATCTTATTGAGGGCCGGCTGCTGCTGCTTGTTGACCTGGTTGACCTGGTTGACCTTGTTGGTTGCCTTGAGCTTGAGCACCCTTGTTTTGTTTGTTGTTGCCATGCTTGCCCTTGTTGTGGCGTTTTTCAACCTTCTCGTCGCCTTGACCATGACCAGTAGTTCCTTCAACGCTGTGACCATTAGGGACACCATCATTGTCACGGGCCTCGTGTTGGGTCTTGTTCTTAATTTCATTATCACTTCGCTTAGTGATGCCATCCAAAGCTCCATCTTGTTGATCACCAGCAGCAGGAGCAGTAGCAGCAGCACCCTCTTGTTCACCAGCATTGACAGGTGGTTGACCTTGTTCAGCACCAGCTACATCCTTGTTACATCGCTTGCCAATGGATTGCTTTCCACCTGAAGCATTGCCGCTATCGCTTTGGTGTGCACTAGCACTACGCTTCTCTTCTTGCCCCTTGACCTTGCTATTGGCATCTTCAGGTACATTCGTATTCTCGTCAACAGCAGGTCCATTGTCGGTAGTGGAACGCTTCCCAGTTTGCTGTTTGCCACTGGTTGATGTGCCAGCAGTAGCAGGTTGATTGGTGGTGATATCATTGCTACGCTTGTTGGCAGCATTTGGTGCAGCAATGCTAGTACCACCGTTGGGTGGTTGTTGTTGAGGAGCCTGTTCATTGCTACGCTTGCTTGCAGCATTTGGGGCAGCAATGCTAGTACCACCGTTGGGTGGTTGTTGTTGAGGAACTTGTTCATTGCTATGCTTGCTTGCAGCATTTGGGGCAACAATGCTAGTACCACCGTTGGGTTGTTGTTGTTGAGGAACTTGTTCATTGCTACGCTTGCTGGCAGCATTTGGGGCAGCAATGCTAGTACCACCGTTGGGTTGTTGTTGTTGAGGAACTTGTCCATTGACATCAGTGGAAGAAGCAGCACCAGTTGGAGCAGCTTGAGCAAAGACAGCCATGGAAAGAAGAGTAGCCAAAGTCAAAGAAATGAAACGAGCCATGTTGTTCTTGAGAGATTTGTTGGTTGTAGTAGTAGTATAAATCAATGGATGATGAGATATCGTCAAATCCTTCAAATTCTTTGGGGTTTATATATTTAATTCGCAAGCAGAGATCGACGCTTTCACCTAGCAACATGTTGATCCATTCCTTCATTTTATGACAGCAGGAGAAAATCATCTTTCCCGATAGAGCAGGTTTTTAGGTTAAGCGCTAATACATAAGACGCATGTGGTTTATGATATGAGAAGGAGGCATGTCAATGGTGCTCAAATCACCTCCACAAGCAGGATGATGCGTTTAACTAGCATTAAAAGAAAAAACCAGCACAAATAGACTCTATGCAATGACAATCCATACACCACGAGCCATGGTATATCTTGGCACCCCTTGTCATAAAAAGCGCTGTGCTGTGCATATGCTTGTGGCGGTCCTAGTGTATCCCAATTCCACACTAAAGCAGAGAGGAGTTGCATATAAGAAGAGAGGATCCTCTCTTTGACATGTGCCTTGATATGGCTGGTATTCTATTTTCTGCATCGTCTATCCAGTATTGGGAGTCTCCTTTGCGTGCATGTTATGCGGCTGAACGAGCTAGTACCTGTTAGTCTATTGACCCGACTAGATGATGCATACAGCATGAAGTGTAAATCCAACAACTCAAACCACCCCTTATTTTAGCGATCGCTCTATGGATGATTCTCCTTGATGATCCACTGAGTGCTTTTGGAGACAAGGAGATCATTATTTTGTAAAGATCACAATGCTGAGGATCATCGATTAGGAGACCGGTCAACCATTAACAGAAAGCGCTATACCTGAATAAACATCATTTCCATCTCTCCTCAAGTTGACCGCCTTGTTGAACTTGCAAAGGCAAGAATGACAAATGGTTATGCATAAGGCAAAGGAGTTTATTCAAGAAGCATCGTATACTATTAGCCCTCATCGAGTAATGGACCCACTAAAATAACTATGTTGTATGATACACCATCTCGTCTGTAGATACGATATGCAAAAAGGTGAGCGTCCAAATGTCAAAATTGGTAGTCAGCAGCGTCTCAAGAGGGTGTCCTGTTGGCATCGTTTCTTTTCCATATTGCCCAATGTCCTCCGAGGATCACCAAGCGTTGGCAGATTCGTTCGTCTTTCTTGAATCGACAGAGCGTCCTGCTGAGAGAAGGAGAAGCACGCGACGACGTAACAAATCGAGGCACGGGAATTCGTTGTCGCAACAGCTTCCACGATCTTCACTTGCCAGCCATCAAGACGACCTTCCTGAACCGATCTGCACAGCAGAAGTTGCCAACTTGCTTCAAGGAGTTGTTCTATTCATTGATAAGAATCTTGCATTGGATTCACGACTTGGTACTATTGCAACAAACCTTGGTGCTTCACGATCCGAGTCGTTAGACAGCAAAGTAACGCACGTCATTCATGGTCCTTCTCCTTACACCAATTCAACCCCCAACAACAACAAACAGCGTATTCCACGTCTCGTTAATCAAGCACTGGATCGAGGCATTCGCGTCGTTTCACCATCATGGATCTACGAATGTTATGAGAAAAGGAGACGATTACCAGAAATGTATTACCCTTTCGATATGGATAGCACTTGTCGTCTTGATTACAATGCCGCAGCAACATCACGATCACATGATGATGATAACATATTTGAATTACCGGAGGAGGAACTAGTATCTTCTTCGGATGAAGACAATGAGCGTCATGCACGAGTACCAGAAGAACAGCATCAACAACAACACACCATAAGCGATATTGAAGAGCGTGATGATATGTATGCCACACCACACGAGCCATCTATACCACAAGCAGTAGCATCCAATCAACTACAGGAAGAGGAAGAACAGCATGGTGGGCCTGAACTTGTATCATCATCTGAAGAAGAAGCACGTTTGGAGAGAAGGAGGAAACGTATGGCTGAAATTGCAAAGATCAAGGCTGCCAAGAAACGACAACGTGATCAAGCTGATGGTGATGAGGATGAAGAAGATGCTCCATTGATGTATGATGCTGCTGAAGGTGGCAATGCTCTATTGGCCGGTACAGATCGACTTGAGATTTGGTATGGAGAACAATCCTTCTATCATGATTACAATCCACAAGAATCAACAACGACTTCAACACGACGATCGAATCGAACGCTTTCTAAAAGTGCAAAGAGAAGCAAAGGAATCTAGTTGCGTAGTATCCCAGTATATAGCAAACCAAATGTACAATGTATATAGCTTTTATTCATATCTTAATATACATCACTTTTCTGCTTAAAAGCAATTGAGTCGTTGTATTCAGGTTCGTCTTGCACAACAATCCTAAAGTCCGCTGGATGTGGTCAACAACCGCGTGCTGGTACGCGATTGATCGCGACACGTTCAGCTCCTCTCCTCTTCTCCACTTTCAACATACCTCCTCTTCCCCTTCCCCCCCCCCAATCGGTCAGCTCGATCAACATGGCCAAAAGAGACCACGATTATGCGCTCGACGGCGACGACGATATTGACTTTCTATTATCATTGGAGCAAATGGACGACACAGCTGTTCCTGGACTCGACGACTTTTTAAACAGCAAAAACCAATCAAAGAGTAAGACTCAATGGGCAACCATTGTACTTCTTATTAAGTATTCTTTGTATAGAAAGCAACAATGGAAGCTCTTTATTTCCTTCTGCATCAGTCAACACTATTACCGAGGACGACAATGACGATCCCTTATTTTTACCGCCATCCACCAACAACCGAGACAAGGAGCCACAGCAGCAGCAGTCGTTGAACTATCCCGATTCACCCATAGCTATGAGCGTGCATGAAGGCGATATGGACGTGGATTATATGGATGCGACACTCGTAGACAACAACAACAACATTGACGTTGATGAATCACCTTTGGAGAAAGCCTTTCAACAAAATGTGGGTCGACGATTACAGCACAATTCCATCTTTTCACTCGACGATGAGGATTTTGTACCTGAATCATCTATCAAAGCACAAAAGAAGATCTTGGAGCATGATTATACAAAACGACCTGCTGAAGGCACATACATCATCAGTCAATGTCCATTCACTGGAAAGACATTTTACTTTCCAAAGACCAACAATCAATCCACCCACGCCCTCCAGTCGACTACCAACAACAAAGACACTCATCTTCTCGGTGTCCCGTTTTGGAAGATTGCCAAACAAGTTGAAGAGCTGAAAACGTGAGTTTTTTATACAATGAATTGAGAAGAGGGGATCATTGTCTCATGGATTGATCGGTAGAGAAACGGCAAAGAAGGCAAAGAAGGAATCAACGGCCCATGATGCTGCAGCACGAAAGAAAAGGAGGAAACAGGCACATCGTGAGAGCTCTGATAGCAACATGCTGTGGTCAGAAAAATACCGCCCGAAAAAGTTCATGGATCTACTAGGTGATCAGGTAAGGGTCGATGGATTACCACCAAGGAAGGCATGTATATATATTGATTCGACTATTTTTAGCGTGTCAATCGTGAAGTGCTTCGTTGGGTCAAGGAATGGGATTATTGCGTCTTTGGAAAGTTACCCTCAAGTGAAAATCAGCGTAAAGCCTTCCGCAATTACAAAAGCACGTTTGGATCCGGCCTTGCAGGAAAAGACACGGATAGTATGGATAAGGTATGTGATGGTATATCCCTTACTTGGTATATATTGATACGAGCTTCTACTGGTAGCCCAAAGATAAGCTTTTACGACCTGAGCGAAAGATCTTGCTTCTTTCTGGTCCCCCTGGATTTGGTAAAACGACTCTGGCTCATGTTGTGGCGAATCATTCTGGATATAATGTGGTGGAAATCAACGCGAGGTACGCTGGATTCTTTTTGGAAGGATACCCAAATCTAATGACTTACTTATTAGTGATGATCGGACCGGCAATATCGTCGAGACCAAGATCAAAGGAGCATTGGAAATGCAGGCTATTATAAAGAAGTCCGATGGTGAAAGCACAACGACGTTGGAGCAAAAGCCCAATTTGGTGATCATTGATGAAATTGATGGTGCGAGCTCAGCTGGCGGTGGAGAAGTAGGTGGCTTTACCCATGGGTTAGACAATGAATGTATTAACAGTGTGCAATAGAGTCTTATCAAACACCTGATACAACTTGCTACGTCGGATCCAGATGAAGAGAAGCAGAGAAATCCAAGAAGGAAACGTAAGCGTGGATAGTGTTATTTCCAATGAATGATCAATTGCTCATCATTGTCTTTAGGGAAAACAATGACACTCCAAAGACCAATCATTTGTATTTGCAATGACCTGTAAGCAATTCGATCCCCTATTTCTATGCGATGCACGTTTTCATTGTTTGTATATAGGTATTCATCCGTATTGAAGCCTTTGAGATCGATTGCACATTCCCTTCAATTCCGCAAAACTTCTGTCACCACGATCGCCAAACGACTCCTCTCTGTTTGTGAAAATGAAGGCCTTGAGACGGATGAACGAGCATTAAGTCTATTGGTTGAGATGACGGGAGGTGATATTCGAAGCTGCATGAACGTCCTTCAGGTATGTATTATCATCATGGTGTTGGTTGAAGCAAGTTACTTACTTGCAAAAATACGTAGCTTATTCGAAGCAGGAGCGACGTTTTTACACGAGACATGGTGAAAAATGAGGAATTCGGGAACAAGGATTTGGGCAAGCCATTGTTCACTGTATGGGAAGAGATTTTCAATGCCCCAAGCGGACGTCATCATGGGCCTTTGGCACGATACAAGACAATCGGTAAGGAAGTAACCCATATTTGAAATGCATGCATCTCACGAATCTAATCTAGATGTCAACGACAAATACGTCAGCAAGCTAACACGGTCCATCCTTGACAATGGAGAAATTGAGAGATTGATGCAAGGTATGTTCTTTTACATTTATTAGTAATGGGCAAATAGGCTCACATAGCGATGAATTAGGATGTTTCGAGTCATATCTCAAGATGCGTTTCAATGATGTTGGCTGTCAAAAGGTCATCCTGATGGGAGAATGGCTCAACTTTTACGACCTCTTGGACCATCGCACCAACGTTATGCATGATTACAGCTTTTTCGGTTATCTACCTTATCCTATTACCAATTTTCATCGATTCTTTTCTGGATCAACGACCCAAGAGCATCGTGTGGAATACCCAAAAGTGGACTACGAGGTAATTGGATTGCTACACCTTTGCATTGCACATGCTAATCGATCCGCCTTTTAGGTTTCCGTGGCCAAGAAATCATACCAGAATTTGGTGGATGCATTTCTCGCTGGTATCCATCCACTTCGGCGGCGAGCCTTGGATAGAGACATTGCGATCCTGGATCTTGTACCTCGCTTGCTTCGAATCATATCACCCGATCTAAGACCAGTAAGTTGATGATGTAGTAATGTTGGGTTTTGATTACTAAGTATGTTGTCGATATTTAGGTGAACAAGCAATTGATCAAACCTGCAGAAAGAGAAAAGCTGACAAGAGTTATCCAAACGATGGTCGAATATGGATTGACATTTGTGCAAGAAAAGAATTCGGATGGCCAGTTTGTCTATCGACTCGAACCGTGAGTAGCCATCAAAGTGCATCTTCGCTGATTTTCAATGCTGACGTTCATTCTTTTTCTCAAGACCCGTCGAGCAGCTTTTGTATTTTGAGGCAGCTGTCAACGCCAAAAATATCCTGTCCAACAAGTATGCGGTTCGACAAATGATTGCACAAGAGGTATTGCATGATCCAACACGGTAGAGTGTATCTGTTTGCTAAGTTGTCTTTTAGGTTGACCTTGAGTTACTAAGACGACGAGAACAAAAGTTCGAGAGCGAAGCAGCAAAATCATCGAGCTCAAAAGCCAAAACCACTCCACAGTAAGAATCACTCATTATCATGTCCATAATCAATTACTGATTTCATTGGTATAGACAACCTGCGAAGAAGGCATCAGAAGAGAATATCCCCAAGGTAAGCATCACCCTGAACCATACGAAATGTTATTTGTGATTCTTATGTCATATGCTTTTCGCTATAGCGCATGACCAACTTTTTTGGACAAGCTATTCAACCCACTGCCCACGACCAGAATCAAAGCTCAAAGACGGTCATTACACCAAAAGCGCCCGTCTCATATCATTACCACGAGGGAACGACCAATGCCGTGAGAAAACCAATGCCGGTGCATCTCTTTTTATAGTTGAGAACATTACATAGAGCCTTCAGGAGATATCATGACGTCCCGAGCTTTGAATGCATCCTGGTACCAAACAATGTCTATAGTCTGATACAGTACACGCGCTATTTTAGTGGTCGGTGGCTACAATCCATTCTAATAAACACCAATGTACATACACCATATACATATTCATGAATCTGGTTACAATAATTGATCCATTGACGGCGATGAACAAGGTTCAACCAATTACACAGTAGGACTTTTTGAGCTTGTTTTCACATAGGTGACAGAAAAGGTATCTAGTATACAATATCAGTGTATGTATGATCCATGTCCTATGCAGCAAAAGCTTTTCCTAATGCTAACATGCATATAAATAATACGATTGGTATCTCCAATAAGTCCATTGTTTAAAGTCATCACCTTGAATACGCTTGTACATACACGATCTAACACGATCAATAAACTTTATCGTGGCTGTGCCAATGTCGTACCCACGCACCTTGTTCGATCTCGTTTCTTTGGGGAGAGAAAAAGATGTACATAGCATCTCGTATACTGTTGGTGTTACCGCTATATTCTGCGTACATTTCTCACGGATAAGAAGCTTGTCGAGTAGCGGCGATCATTGCGTACAAAGAGCTTCTTGGATGTGACAAACTTCGGAATCAAAAAGAACATCGTGTCTGCCAATGAATTGAATGTTATGTAACTTGAAGGGCTTGACGAAAAACAGAAGGAGGAATGCCTTGATCTATCATTATGCCCAACAATACAAAGAAGCCGAAATATCGGAAAGAAGAATGATAGATCGAAGGGGTGGTTATTGTGTGGGAAAACCAATGCAATTCAATAGTGTTGTATTGTATCACAAACAAATGATGCAAGCGATGAGTACACACGTGTTCTCCCAACAAATTCAGGATTATGAGCAAAGCTTTGATGTCCGGTATAGTGTTACATGGTCAAAGAGAGTTCATAGTGGAACGTGCGTGACCTACAACGGAGTACAAATCCGACCCAACTGTTATCCGAAAACGGCAATCCAGTTTTCTGAAACCCGTCATAATGACAAGTAGGCCAAATGTTGGGTTGTGGGTGTATTCCCTAGTAGTAACACACAATATAGAAAAGCACTTAGATCATAGATGATATTGTTTATAGTGAATCAAGACGAAAGGAAAGAGATCAATGGGTATATTTAAAGTAGACATGGTCCATGCGTTTAAAAGTGAATCAAGGAATTCATGCTATATTGACGGGGCTCTTTGTTTTTCCTTCTTCCTGCGTGCGCGCGTTATCTTATCTGGAAGACCCGGCTTTGTGTATCATCAAACTCCTCTTTTTTTTTATTTTCTCTTTCCACTCTTTGTTTCATAAAGACCACCACCTGGCAATCGCTCCTTTTCCCTTTTCTTACGACATTTCACAATGGACGCTCGGCATCCGGGCGACATGGAGCAACAACAACAGCAACAGACATCACCCGTAGTGGAAACCACTTCACCCAAGGATGGTTACATGAGTCGTACTGCTGCACAAGATCTCCCTTCTCGATCCTATTTCTCCTCTCATGGCAACTACGATCCGCGTAAGCATCTAGGTTATTGCTGCTCATGGCACTTTGTCTTAACACGTGTGTATTTAGAAACGGGCACACGCTATTCAGCATCGATTGAATCTATCCGTGCTCACTCTGTAGCCTTGGGTGATTTACAAATGGCAGATGATACCACAGGCAGGCTCGATGAATCACGTCTTAGCATATCACGATCACCACCCATCACTATGGAGCCCACCGGCAGTAGCAATCTCTCCCTCTTGTTGGATCAACAAAATGCAAAGTTGCATAATCAACAACCGCAACAACCACCACAACACCGCATCCGAAAGACATCCACCTATGATGAAGAAGCAAGTCCATTACTCCAACAAGTTGAAACAGCACGTACCGCTTCAACAAGATACCATTCAATCGATTCATCCTATTCTACTGCTACTACACCCCATCACCATCATCATCAACAGCAGCATGACCATGATCATGTTCCACCCATCAAGGGCAAAATGCGTCATTCTTCTTCTTCTTGGCTGCATTGGATTCGTCAACCCATCTCGTATATACCTGCAGTCATTCTAGGTCTACTACTCAATTTGCTGGATGCTATTTCTTATGGTAAATGAGGGGATAGTGTTATGCGTGTGTGTCTTTGTTTCTCATGTGAAAATCATAGGAATGATTACATTTCCACTCAACAATCCAATCTTTGCTTCCTTTGGTCCTGATGGTATATCCATGTTCTTTGTCAGGTAAATGAATGGGTGTTGGATGATTGATAAATGGATGATATTGAATGACGGTCTTAGTTGTATCATTGCTCAGCTCGTGTATTCATGCGGCGGAAGTATCTTTGCTGGTGGCAATGGAAGGTACGTAATCTACAAAAACTACCAAAATGGATGCATGGCAAGTCCTAACCTTGGTTTTTCCTGTTTATTCCAGTATGATGATTGAAGGTAATTACTCGCTTGTTGAAAAGAGACCAGCAATACTCATCTATATCAATAGTTGTCCCATTTCTTCATATTATCGCCGAGCAAATTGTCGATTACATTGGTGATAATCACAAGCAAGAGATTATTGCATCCACCATGGTGGCCTTTGCATTGAGTAGCATCATGACAGGCTTGGCGTTTTTCCTCTTGGGTGCATTCAAACTGGGATCCCTCATTGGATTCTTTCCACGCCATATCTTGGTGGGCACCATTGGCGGTGTGGGATGGTTCTTGATTGCAACAGGTATCGAAGTATCAGGACGGCTGGAAGAGAACTTGACGTACACCATCCCAATGATGCAAAAGATCTTTCTCGATACGCACACATTGGTGCTATGGGCAACTGCATTTGGAGCTGCAGTCCTTTTACGTACGATGCAACAACGTATAAGCAACCCACTCTTGGTACCTGCATTCTTCATGGTGTTACCCATCGTATTTTATCTCGTGCTGGCCATAGCAGGATTGGATGTCAATGACGTACGTGATCAAGGATGGATCTTCCCTCTCGTGCAAAGTGATCTTCCATTTTGGCACTTTTACACCAACTTTGATTTTACCATGGTCAATTGGCGCGCTGTAGGCCATACCATGCCTGCCATGTTGGCTCTCACTTTCTTTGGTAAGTTACAAATGTGTGTGTGTGTGTGCGTTCATGAAGATGACATACTCATATTCGTTTATGTAAGGTCTTTTGCATGTTCCTATCAACGTGCCTGCCCTTGGTGTCTCAACCAACAATGATGATGTCAACGTCAATCGCGAATTGATTGCTCATGGCATGTCCAATGCTATATCAGGTCTTTTTGGATCCATTCAAAGTAAGGCATTAGTGATGTAATTCGCGTGTATAGGTTCACTTATCAATTACGTCATTGATAGATTATCTTGTTTATACCAACAGCTTATTGTTTATCCGAACGGGAGGTGATAGCCGAGTCGCTGGTATCATGTTGGCAGGTGCAACAGCAGCTTTGTGGATGGTGGGTCCCTGGATTGTGGGCTATATTCCAGGTAGGTTAATGCAAGCATGTAGATGTCAAACATATGAGGCTGACATGCTGCTAAATACCCTAGTGATGGTTGTGGGTGCATTGATTTTCCATCTTGGTTTGGATCTCTTGAAGGAAGCGCTCTATGATACATGGCATTGTGTTCATTACTTTGAATACCTTACCATCTGTGTCATCATATTCGTCATGGCCGTATGGGGTTTTGTCGAAGGTATCCTAGTGGGCATCGTTATGGCATGCATTTTCTTTGTCGTCCAGAATGCTCAGTTGAGTGATGCCATCCGATCAACGCATACCGGTGCCGAATTACGATCCACTGTGCGACGCTTGTATCGACAACAAAAGTTCCTAAAATATGTGGGCAGCCAGATCCAGGTTGTGAAGCTACAAGGCTATCTCTTTTTTGGTACCATCAACCAGGTCGAAAGTGCTATTCGAGACATGCTGGATCAACGTGCTTGGGATCGCAAGCCAATTCGTTTCTTGGTGCTTGATCTTCAACTTGTTCAAGGCATTGATTTCAGTGCTGCCGAGGCATTCGTACGCATTAGGCGATTACTCAAAGCACGTGATGTTTACATGGTGCTATGCAATATTGCAAGAGATTCGGATCAAGCGAAAGCGCTCATGAAAGCTGGTGTTTGGGTGGATGACGAGGATCATGAAGATGACACCAATAGCGACCTCAAATGTTTCGAGTCGCTCAATGATGGTTTGGAATGGTGCGAAAATATCTTGTTGGAAGCATGCACTACCTATCTCGCAGCAAAAGGCGGTCCATGTAAGTGTAAATATTTACTTGGATAACACGTGGTTTTGACATCATCGTAGTACCGATCAAAGATTCTGCGACCCAAAACAGCGATGATACCCATATTGATATGGTCTATGAAGCATCTCCTAGACGAAGAATGGTTAGCCATGCGATTCGAAAGATATTGCCAGGTAATGTTGTCATCCTTCGACTTGTCTTTGTATGTGTGTTCTGACACTGATAATGTTATCACATCATAGCTGATACGCCCACATCCCCTGCTCACACGCATGCAAATCTATCACAGCCGACGCTATTGATGATCCAAGCACTGAGTGAACTCACCCACCAAGACGTGCCGTTTGAATTCTATCACAAGCTTGGGACCTATTTCAAAAGGGAAACATTGGTAGGAGGTGAAGCTATTTGGCATGAAGGCGATCCATCCGATTGCTTGATTGTTGTGGAGAATGGCACACTACGTAGCTTGATGCATGTTGGCAATGGCGAAAACCGAGTTGTGGAAACGATCTTGGCGGGCACCGTAGTAGGGGAGCTTGGCCTTTTTACATCAGCTCAACACCGTACACGATCTGTATACGCTGAACAAAACTCTGTGATTTGGAAGCTTACGAGAGAATCATTTGAACATATGCTATCGAGTGATCCGGCACTTGCGAACCAATTTATTATGCTCTCCCTTCACTTTTCAAGCGAGAGATTGGATATCATGACACGTTTTGCTTTCCAGCTTCATTAGCACAAAAAAGTAGTAGTATTTCCTTTTCAGTTACCCCATTGGTGATTTATCCTCCAGCTCTTTTCATCCCCCTCAAGTAATAGCATTTTTACTTTACTTTCGACTCATTTTGTTTTCAATGCATTATCAACACTACATAGTCTGCATGATTCCATACATAAAAAAAGAGCTACGCTTCAAACATCTGCCCAAGTTTCTACATCCACCTTCTTCCACATAAACCAGGATCCCACACTCCTATAAGGCTATAAGCGTAGGTGTTAGCTTGAACAAGTTCATCTAATGCATCATTTGCAATACTCACTCTCCAATGCTCTGTTAACTCTTGCATTTGCTTTGGAGTTGGAAGCTTTTCTTTGAGTCCAAAATGCAACGCAACACCTTTTCGGACACCTGAGAAAGAAAGGTAGAGGTTAAAATGATATCAATAAAGAGCATTTTCTTACATACCAAGATCCGTCACAGGCAAGATATCAGGATGGCCCAAATTCAACATAAGGTACATGTCCACTGTCCACTAGATATGATACTTGGCGTCAATCGTTTTGCCACAGGATAATGTCGATTGATGATTTACCGGACCAATACCACGCACGGAGCAAAGCAACTTTGATAGTTCTTCATCGGAAAGAGTACTCAAGAGTTCCATTGTGATAGTCTTGTTGATGAACTTTTCGGCGAGACCACGGATATACTCTGCCTTTCGAGTGGATAAACCTGCTGTCTTGAGCGTCTCGACGGGTTTTTCCCATACCATTTCCGGCGTAGGAAACCATCTTGGATGATGATCTTTGGGTGGATCAAAGAGCTTGACAAAGCGTTCTCCCAAGATTTTTGCAACATTGCCACCGATCTGCTGATAGATAATGGAAGTAGCGAGTTCACTTTTTGATGATGATCCAAAAAAGTCAGACAACAACCCAAACGCATATACCACTTTTGGTAAGGAAAGGATTTACCGGAACGGATTCGATGAATCGGCATTCTGCACACGTTGTACAAAATTGGCAATCTCTTTGTCTGTCATGAACTTGCCAAGCTGCGGATCCACTTTTCTCAAATGGCCAACGGCTTCTTCCATTGAAAACGTACGTACAACAACTCCTTCCACCATTGCTGTGGGTCCTGTCTCAACCACTTCATTCGTTCGATGATGATCTTTTGGTTGCTATGGCAACAACGAGTGATAAGTTACAACATGTCTCCGCATAAAAGAAACGTACTTTGGTATCTTTGGGGGGTATCTTCTTGCGCTAATAGACGATGTAAAATGACTATACTATTAGTATTCTAAATCACGTGCCTGTCAGATCAAGACATACCTTGGCAGTTACTGTTGCTGCGTGTTTGGTGCTGCGGAAAACTCGCGATCGTCAATGAATTGTGAATAGTAGCCAAGGTGAGAGGGGAGACGTCATTTACCGCTTGACAACACGGTTGGTGGTTTTTTCATATGTATGCTTTGCATAATAGTCTATGGTTGGTAAGGTTGCAAGCCGAGTACTTCTGCGAGCTTGTTGCATGGTAAAGCGGTGGCAATAGAACTAAAGCGGAAAGAGCCAAGAAATTAGGGCGGCACTTTCTCTCTCTCTCTCTTTATCCCTTTCCAGACCTTGGCCTTCTCTTTATCTTCTCTCTCTCTCTCTTTGATGCCTGGCCCCATGAGCAACGGCAATGGAGCTATACCACGACGCAACATTCCTGCCCTGAGTTTGGCTGATCTTCATGAGAAAGCTAAAGTCGACCCATCCGAGACAACCAAGTACACCCCCAAGCAATGGCTCAACGTGATTGGCAAACTATATGACGAGGTGCGTGTCTCTGTTATACTATCACTATCATACAGCATATTCATATGATCATTCCAGGGTGATAGAGCATGGAATATTGGTGATTTGAATAATGCATATTATCACTATCTGAAAGGGTGCAAGTAAGGATGATCATCATGCGTATCCGCTATGCCCTATCTCACACCTACATGTAACAGTGTCATGGTCGAAATATTGAATCTACATCCATCAAGTAACGATGTCAAGAAAACGTCTATCTATATCGAGCTTAAGAAGGTGAGCAATGAAGTATGAAGGAAACGAACATGTTGCACTAACCATGGATCAATTAATGCAGCGTACAAGTGATGAGATTCTCTACAATCTGGAAAAGATCAAAATGCGATTGGAGCAACAGCAACAACAACAACAACCAGTTGAGAATGGTGATGATTTGGTTGGGAGAGCACTTGAAAAGTTTCCAGCAGTGAGTGAATTGGAGTTGTCAACTACCGGAGGAAGTTCAAAACACGAGGTGTCGTTGGATGACATGTTACCTTCAGTACCTACCCATGCGCCAACAAAAGCAGGCCCACAACGCCATATGAAGATGCCTGAACCAACCCCTACTGCGCCCAATACAACAATGAATTCAACCCCACAACCAAAACCACCACCACCTCCTATGCATATGCCAGTTCCTCAGCCATCCCAACAATCCAAACTCCCGCCAACATCTTCGTCGTCCTCCTCCCCATCATCATCAGGCCTTACTCTTCCTGGTCGTACCAACCACAACTTTCCTCAAATTATGGCTGTTGAGCCGCGTGATTTGGCCAAATGGATCAGAGTGCAAAAGAATCCACCAAGCGTACTTTTATTGGACGTCAGGCCTTTATCCATGTATCAAGAAGGTTGCATTCGTCATCCATACATTTGTCAGATAGAGCCAATGGTCTTGCGACGTGGGTAAGTTATTTCTTTGTTTATGGATACAATATGGGAATTGGTATCATGACACATTTGTGGGAATTCTAGTGTGACATCTGAAAAGATCCAAGCATCCCTTGTGTTGAGTGACGATTCGCATCAAGAAGTGTTTTCCAGAAGAAACGAATTTGATCTTGTTGTCTACTATGATCAAGATTCAAAGCAACCTGCCACAGCCAGTGAACCTTTGAGGAATCTTCGATCAGCCATCTATGAAAGCGAATTCAACAAGAGCCTTCCGCGCGTTCCCATGATGTTGGCAGGTGGCTTTATTGCATGGCAACAAGCAATAGGAGAACATGGCGTCTACAGGACCATCAAACCACGTTCAACATCCGCTGACAAAGAGAATGAGAATCCAAAAAAGGAACGATCCCATCGACATCATTGGTTGCATTCAGTGGTGGGAAGGAGTAGCGCTCGAAAGGAACCGGTTCAAGTGCATTACACTGCATTTGATTATGTAAGTATGACAACCATGATGGTAATGATGGGGACCATTCACTCACCTCAATCGTTTTGATAGTTCACCAATAAGCAACGTGATCGACCTTTACAATCCATGGATCAGCAACATAAACCTGCTGTACAAGGCATCTTTGGAAATTGGCTTGATTCATCATCCTCACGTCCTGACAACAATGCTTTGCCACTCACGATGCCAATCGCCCCACCCGATCTTAGACCTTCTGAAGAAGCACCACGTACCCCAACAGAAGAATCCATCTCAGCAAAATATCCTGACATTCGTCCTAATACCTCATCTGCAGCTGCAGCAGCTAACAACAACACCGGTCTCCAAAGACGCAACACATTTATTGATAACCCATTCCATGGATTCACTGAGACAAAGAACGATTTGTATGATGTGCCTCCCATTCCTCCAAAGCCAAGACGTCCTTTACCACCTCCACCTCCACCACCAGCATCACGAACACCACCCGCCCATGCATCACAGGAACCCAAAATTGTACGTCCATCTTCGGCGGGTGCTATTGCAACAGCTCCTACGCCACCTGCTATCCCATCAAAACCATCTGCTTTGGTGCCTATACAACATCCTGTTGCTGAAAGTCGATTTGCCCCTGTATCCGATAGCTCATTCTCCCAACTTGGCTCCGTGATGATTGGCACTACGGGTTTGAAGAATCTTGGCAACACCTGCTACATGAATTCAATTGTGCAGTGTCTTAGTGGAACCATCCCATTGGCACGTTATCTCATTTGTAAGTGTGTCTATTGATTCAACGTTGTCTCGTGCATGTCATTGATGTAAAATCACTTAGCTGGAACCTATAAGCGGGATCTCAACAAGAATAATCCTTTGGGCACAGGAGGTGTTTTAGTACAATGCTTTTCGGATCTGCTACGTGTCATGTGGAGTGGAAGTTACAGTTTTATTTCTCCTGTCACATTCAGGGTAAGTGAGAATACAATGAAGGGTAGTCGTTGTCATTTGCAAGATACTTAATGGCATGATCGAGTAGGAAGCGCTTGGTCCATTTGCACCTCAATTTTCAGGAACGGATCAGCAAGATTCTCAAGAATTCCTTGTCTTTTTATTGGATGGTTTGCATGAAGATGTCAACCTTGTACAACGTCGTCCTTCGCCTCGACCAGAAGATCCTGAAGAAGAAGCACGATTTGAGCGTTTACCTGATTGGCAGGCGAGTGCCATTGCTTGGGATAGATATTTGGAAAGGAACAAGAGCATCATTGTTAGTCTCTTCCAAGGGCAATACCGAAGTCGTCTCACATGTCTAACATGCAAACAAGTAAGCTTGTGTGGATGGATGAGAGGGCATCACGTATTCATTTTTGTTTATTAGACATCAACAACATACAACACATTCATGTCGTTATCCCTACCGATACCCAAGGGTAACTCGACCGTATCGCTTTATCATTGCTTGGATGCATTTGTGAAGGAGGAAATCTTAGAAAATGATGATGCATGGTATGGATCACCAATAGCAGCGGCAGCTGATGATGATGATGGATGGTTATAGTATCTAACGAATGGAATTTAGGCATTGCCCACGATGCAAGACTTTCCGACGATCCAGCAAACGTTTGACACTGTCAAGATTGCCAGTCGTATTACTTGTCCACCTTAAGCGATTTTCATTCGATGGACCTTTTAGAAACAAACTTGAGACTTTGGTGAATTACCCAACAAGGTAAATGACAATGGGTCATCATGGTAAGAGAGAAAATGGTTGATCTAACCTTTGATTTAAAGGGATTTGGATCTTTCTCCCTATGTTCCAAGCACCATGAATCCTCCCGATATGAAAGAGCGTCCGATCCATCGCTATGATCTATATGGTGTATCAGTAAGTTTTCTTTGTGCGGAGAGAGGTTCAAGCATACCTTTGCTTACATTGCTTTTTTTTTGTAAAGAATCATTACGGATCTTTGACTGGTGGCCACTGTAAGTAATTGTATGTGGAATAGGATGATGCAAATACTGATAATGCTGATTAGACACGGCATGTGTACGAAACGGATACCGGCAAGAGTGGCATTACTTTGATGATACCCGCTTCTCAGTGTGTGATGAAGGAAAAGCTGTTGTAAGTAACTTCGCTAAATTTATGTTGATCCCTTATTGACAACAACCTTTCTATTACAGAGTCGAGCAGCATACAATCTCTTTTATGTTCGATCCACTGTAAAATGATTCTATTTGTATTTGGTACAAGATGTTTACATCCTTTATAATTACCTATACTCTTCTCTTGGAAGATTGCTACATACTTGTAAAAAGGCTTTATTTCTTTTGGAGGGGGAAGAAAGTAGATATACATATGGTGTTGGGCAATGTAATTTCCTCTAATAATAACGTCCCTCTTTCCATCATGGCAGCTTGGAAGTTAAGATTCTGTTGGGCACATAGTCCCATTTCTGATGGATCGTGGATGATCATGGTGTAAGCATCTTTGTGAGCGTTATCTTCTCTCCAAATGATATCCAAGTTCATGCTGCTGTCATTGTTCATTTGATGAAAGGGGTTGATTGATTGGGTATGAGTTGAAAGTAATCTTAGGTGGAATGTGATTGGATCATTTCAAAGACATAAACTGGTGCCATGGACGAACACAGCATAATAATTTTCTCTCTCTTCTCCTTCTTTATTCACACACAATGTACAACGGCATTGGCTTGAGTACTCCTCGTGGTTCAGGTGAGTAACATTTATCTTCATTCATGTCCTAGTTTGCTCACTCATTTGTAAAGGCACCAACGGCTATGTCGTACGCAATCTGTCGTTTGTCAAGGCTCCTCGACCCGACCGTAATCTGGATCGTTCAGTCAATGACCTAAAGTCACCTGCACCTGCCATCAAGCAACCCAACAAAGATATTCTATTGCACGATCGCAAGCGTAAAGTGGAAGTCAAGTGTATGGAGCTAAGGATCAAGCTTGAAGATGATGGTGTCGATACGGATACTATTGAAAGCAAGGTGCAAGAGCTACGTGAGTCGCTTATGAACAACTTTGAAGATATCCAACCTCGGGATGCCAAGAGGTAAGAAGATTCAAAAAGTGGATCACCTTTCATTGTATATCTCACATGCTTCTTTTATAGTTTGCAAGAGCATGAGACACACCAACGATCCGCTGCCAAGGAACAAGAGAACAAAAAGATGATGCGAGCACTCAAGATCGATAGTGAAGAGTATGTTGAAGGTGCAGCTTTTGATCGTGAATTGCAAGAAAAGAAACGACTTGAACGTATCGCCAAACGACAAGCTCAAGAAGAAGCACGTGCCAAGAATCTCGAAAAACGCAGCCGTCGATATAGCAGAGATCGTAGTGTGGAACGTAGCAGTCGTCGTAGTGATCGCCGCCACCGTAGTCGTCATCGTCGTCGATCTTATTCTCGCTCCGTAAGCAGAAGCCGTAGTCCAAGCCGTGATCGTTATCGTAGTCGTCGTGGTAGAGAAGAATCTCCTCGTAGCTCAAGTCGTCGTCGTCATCGATCTCCCAGTTCTTCTTCAGCATCTAGTTATTCAAGTCGCAGCCGCAGTCGTAGCCGTAGTGTCAGCAGCAGTGCAGGAAGTGTCAGTAGCCGTAGCTCATCTTACAGCAGATAACCAATATCACCCTTGTTTTCATCATTCAATCAATATATGTATATGCTTTACATTGATCTGGTCTTGAGGGAGTGAAATCTTTGTATTTGACATTAAATAGTTTTAACTAGTGTACTGTGATGGGGGAAACGGTGGATGATGATGGAATACAAAAGGCGGATTGGGAGACATGTTATTGAAAGCTGAGGGAGAACTTGAAAGTCTTGTTTTCTTTGGAGCTGCTTTTCTTGCTTTCTTTGGCGAGTGCTTCTTTTTTGCTACGTTGGGATTTACTTGGTTGAGGAGACCATCCATTATTATCAGGCGCTGCTGATGAAAGACCACCGTGACGAGGTGCAAGGGGAGGACTCATTGCATTGCTTGGTCGACGAGGATCACTATACAATGGTGTATTGGGTGCAGTGGATGAACGCATAGGTGGTGGAGGCGACTGTGGAAGTGATGGTGTACGATTCCTTGATGATGGTGGTGGGAAACGATTATTGCCTGTATCAAACATGGCTGACATGGGTGATTCCATAGGTGGTTGCTGTTGTTGTGGATGATGATGATAAGCTGCTGAAGAAGAGACCGAAGGTGATCTGCTATAAAGAGAAGCTGGTAATCCACCACCGCCACCGCCACCGCTGCTGCCACTTGTTGATTCAGCGTACATTGAAAATGTACCATCTCTTGAAGATAATGGCGTGCTCACTGATTGCTGTTGCTGTTGTTGTTGCTGTTGTTGTTGGATCATCTTTTTAGCTGCAATCATCATCTTGAGAGCCCGTACCTGCAGGCTAGTTTGGTGTGACAATGCTGCTGTTTCAAAGATCAATGGTGCTGTAGACATGTTGAGCATTTGATGCAATGCATGTGTTGCTAGCTCCCGTAATCTCGTCAAATCATACATGTCAGCCAACAAGAGCAATTGGGATAGAATATGAGGCTGATATTGCTGAGCTGTAAGCAAGTTGTCAGTGTACAGATATTGCAATAAAGCGATCACCACGTGATATGGGTATGGGAATAACATGGCATGCGTCTTGAGAGTGGCTGATGTTGGTTGTTCTTCAATAATGCCATCCTGTTGGGTCTTTTCATCATCCACTGTCAACGATGGTGGTGGAGGTGGCATTAAATTCGAAGCACGATTATCTTCCATGAGACGAGCAAAATAAGGCCAACGATTCGCAAGAACGGCTGAATTGACTGGAATGCTGTTGTTTTCATTGGTGATGATTTTAAAGTCGCAAAGAGCTGGTTCATTGAGAAGGCTGAGACCCATTTCTTGTGCAAGTGGTGAACATGTGGGTTCAGGTAAATGATACACGCCAAATGCTTCCATGTCGACCATAGCCACGTGCTCGAAATTGACTTGGCGGTGATTGTAATCTTCAAGTAAATTGCGTCCTCGATGTCCAAACACCACAAATCGATTGGAGGGTGCATGAAGTACGCCACGATTCCATGATCCTGTATTGAATACGGAGCCTGTTTCAATACGTGACCATGTCAAAGTACCAAGATCGAGTGCCCAAATGGAGAATGATTGTGTTTGCGGTGAGAGATAGGTGCCTGCTAAGACCAAATGATGGCCCAAAGTATGACCCGTGGGAAATCGTAATCCTGGTGGCATTGCTGATCCTGTCATGTAATTGGAGCAATCCTCTACTGCAGATGATGCTTCTCCTGGTGACAAGATTAATTGCAACTCGCGTTTGACATCGGCAAAGTTGTAGTTGGTGTACAAGTAGATTGGATCATTCCATTCACCCTCCGCTGTAGTTGAATCTCCTGTTGGTGTCGTATCAGCAGTACCACCATTCTGGTTAGCAGAGGAAGGATCTTCATTGGATGACTTGGTCATGTTTTCCTTGAGGATGGCAGGCAATCGAGTACCAGGTGGACCAGTGATAGCAATCGAACGATAAGCTCCCACGTGCTTGTCAAACGATTTGGCGTGTACCCATTCCCATGCATTCAAGTCGAGAACATTGATTTCTCCCAAATAGCCGTTGTTCATATCTTGACCACCCATCACGACTAACTTGTCACCCGCCACGGTCGACAAATGAGCATACCTTGGCCTTGGTGCAAATAATGATGGCTCCACTGTAGGCTTCCTCCAGGACATCGTTTCAACATCAAAGACCGAGACATCATCCAATACACATAAGCCATCGGTGGAAGTACGTGAATAGCCCATGCCACCAAACACCACAATGGTCTTCTTGTGCACATCTGCCGAATGAAAGTAGCGAGGCTTGGGTGGTTTGGCCGAATCAGGTGGAGGGATATGTCGCGTCCATTGGAGTGTATTGAGGTCGAGGACATACATATAATTCGTCATCTTACGAGAGCTCACGAGTCGTCCTGCAAACACAAATACTCGATCATCCACTACTGTCACTGAAGCCCCAACGAGTGGTGGTGGTGCCTCGCCTGATGTAAGGTGTATTTGGGTAATGATGCCCGAGATGGACTGCATTTGCATAGTCGCTGATGGCATTCTCAACAGTCAATGTTGTTCTACAGCAAGTTGGTGAGCTGCTGTGCAAATAGCAAGCGAAGAAAAGAAAAAGAGAACAAGAGCCTACGAGTTTATTCGCTTTCCAAAAAGGACAGGTACAGACAAGAGCAAGTAACTTTAGTGGAAATGGGAAATGAAAACTGGCTCTTGTGCATGCTCTGTGTTACATCCAAAGCTGATTTACTTTGTAACAGAATCATCATTAAAGTTACACCACACCTTATCAAGTTATCCACATCATCGTCATCCTCATTATCCATTCTCGAGATGTTCTTGTTGTTCTATACCCCACTTTGATCCTTGCTATCAATGCATAGCACCTGTTAAGGAATAAGACCCTTGGCAACAGAATAAATGTATGCAGCCTTTTTATTGTCAGGGACTCCGATGCGAGATCTCCAAGGAGACGCCCTGTCACACAAAACTGGTACCTGGCAATTGAGATTGTATAATGGGATCACACATTTGGTATTGTGTGCATAGGACAAATTGATATGCGTTTCATATCCATTCTCATGGTCCATCTTAATCTGTGCATCCAATCAACATAAACCTTATGCCAGCTATGTCCCTACTTTGTATGAATCTCTGCTGCCACAATCAATATGCATCATCAAAAGAACGGAGATAGATGGCAAGTAATCAGTAATCTTAATCTCACCCGCTTGATTACCACACATGGACATCTAAAGTGAAACCCTTAAGAACTTTGAATAAAATTACACAATGAGCTCAAGATGCAACGTTAATCCAATGCCAAGAAAATGCAATAATGGATGTATGGGGCCTATAGCATCATCCTGTTCTCTGGTTTATACTATGCTACCAACAACAAAATCGAATGCTAGATTCTACCGGTGATCATCATCATCATGCTGAAACTGGATGTATCAAGCTTTCAAGTCACTAATTGCATCAAAAATAGCGCGATTGTAGCATGACGTTAGGAAAGCTCCGCTATATGTATGTACCATTGTTAAAGGAAACCTTTCATTTAATCGCTCACGTCATTGTTTCATGCATAGCCATTTGCAAACAATCAATATCAGCCATATGACCTTCGTAGTAAAGTAATCAGCATTGCCATCAACCTCTATTACCGCAGCTTTGGATCATCCCTATTGTAGAATGCCGCGGCTCGATGTTTAATAGATGATGTAACGGTTGAACTCTATGGCCTTTAACCTTGTGAGTGCATGGCACATCCATGGGAGTAATAGTGATCCTTGTGTATGCTTACATTGATGAGGTCATTTTTCGTGAATTTCAGCCAATCTGAAATGTAACCATGGCAACCACCTTCAAACAATGTCATCAATTGTCGTCACCAAAACCTTGAGAGCTATGTACAGGATATACCAAATTCCACATCACGTGCTTTCATGATGAAGAAAGGTGGTTTACAAGATGTAAACATGGCAGCTGCATAATTGGGTACTCCGCTGAATCAAAGAGAGGTCGTCGTACAAATGCATATTGAGTGATTGACTTTCATGATTGAACAATGAATCCCTACAGCTATGCTAAGATCTCATACCGGGTCTAATATGAATGATCATCTTCTCCACCAACAACCCGATTACGATGCATGTTGTCATCATTCATCTCGTTTACGCTATGCAATTGGTACCCACCCCCCTCTCCATCCATTTCCATTTTGCACCATCAGCTTGGATCGAATATTAAGAAAAAGAGTACAGTATTATTGCTGCAAACCGAGCATATCCACAATTGGACAACACAGGGAAAGAAACATGCTTTTCTACTGGAGATATCCCGCTTATTTCTTGCCAGAAGCAGCCTTGGCCTTCTTGGTACCACGGAACTTCTTGGCACGGTTCTTCTTTTCCTTGCGTTGCTTGCGGCCACCCTTGGGAGCTTCGGCCAAACCAATCTGTAGAATGATACATAGAACATTGAGTGCCTTGTATTGATATTGGATCTCTATTGACAATAAAACTTACGCGAACAAGACGGTACTTGGGCTCGAACTTCTTCAAAGCCTCAACGTTGTCGTAGATAAGAGCGAAGCCAGTGGTCTTTCCACCACCAAAGTGGGTCTTGAAACCGAAGACGGAAATGACTTCCTTGTTGGCCTTGTACATCTTTGCGAGCTTCTCACGGAGCTCATCCTTGGAGATGCTGGGACGGGCAGGGTGAATGACATCCACAACCATTTGCTTGCGTTGGAGCAAGCGGTTCGTAAGGAACTTGCGGGTGCGGATAGTAACGGTAGCGTCGGCCTGTTTGTAATGTCGTAAAAGAAAAAAGAGGAGTCAGTTGCTGTTATAGTGATGGTGGTTCGCCAAACTAGAATATAAAGTGAAGATCATCCAATCCCTTCCATCCTTCATCCATCCATCCATCCACTTATTCATCCATCCATCTATCGCATATCGACATTGTATCTCGTTTGACATCCACTCTATCACCCACAACCACCATAGTGACATGATACATACCATATTCGAAAAGAGGGAGTTCCACTGTCTCCGGCCATCAGCAGCCTTTCGAACCTGAACCGGTTATCAAACCCCGCCGCCGATTGGCACTTCCCAACAAAGAAAATCATGTGACTTTTGAAAAGTACGATCACCTCCTTTATGAATAATGCTTTATTACCATCATAACATTGTTGCCATCTCCAAAGTAGTCTTTTCATCATTGCTAATTGACCCATACCATGTTCAGTGATAAACAATCTATCCAAATCCACAATAGTAATTGAAGGTGTACCCTGCTTTATTGCTATCACTTGCTAATCCTATCTTCATGTATTTATAGCTACATGGTCCGAATGTTAGAACCAGCATCCACACATATCATGATGTCCCACTTACTATAGCATCCATCTTCGTAAGCACGTTAAGTACGGCAGCAACGACTTCCAGCGATAGCTCGCTGCCAGTGGGTATATCAAGTTTGGCGCCCACACCTTCAAATGGCCATGCTGAAAGATCATTCATGAGCTCATCGACCCTGTTGAATGCTTGTTCTCGTAAATCAGGTTGTAGATAAAGCAATGCGTTTTCCAATACGTTGGCGGCGTAAGCTGCGCAAATCATGCTGACGGAACGAAGGTATGTGTGGGGAACTGGAGTAGCGGCATCAACGGCAGATGGGGTAACACGGGTGACGAGCAAGGTGCATACACGCTTGATGATATCTTCTTTGCACGATGTATCAGCGACAGGATGGGTTGCCATATCGAATAATAAAAAGTTCCTCTTTTCGGTTCGTAATACACCCTTGTCCACCAATCCTTTTGCTAGTCGTTCTCGTACTTGTTTGAGCTGATATCCAATCTTCATCACATTCCATGTTTCTCCTATGTTGATCATCAGCGTCTGAATGTAATAAAAGCGATAGGATAAAACGTGTAACTCTTACCACTCATAAGATCAATCCAGCTTGCCACGCTCATTTTCTCACTAAGCTTCATCATCTTGAGCGCCTCGTCCAGCAAGACCTCGCCTGTCAGTTTGTCATTGATCACCTCAATATAGCGATCGCACAATGGGTATTTGCGCCTGTTGGAATCTTTCACCATAGCAATACGGCCACGAAAAGCAAGCTCCATCACAATACATCCACGCAATGCATAACTGATGCTGTCGTTCCAAAATGATAGATACCCCTATAATATCCATTATACATCAATTCCCCTTGAATAACAAGTCTAAGCCCAGGTTGCTATTACCTGTCGATCTTTAAGACCAAGTAGCAACACCTCTTCCATAAGCGTCAGCCGTGGTGTATTCGTCGTTTCGTCCACATCGTTGGGGTCGTATGCAATTTTCTTCTCGTTCGTCTCATCAAATGGCGATCGTACACCAGGGCTGGATTGGCCTGTTGAGCTATCGTTCTCTTGAGAAGTTGTAGACGATGACGCCCCTGCAACTCTTCGTCGAGTGATGGTGGACATGTTGCTGTGTAGTATGAATCGTTGTCGAAATGCTCGGGACTAAGGGATGGAATGCGTATAGATGCAGATGCTTTTAGGGTAATAAAGTCAATATCAGTTGTCCTTTTATCAGTGTAGCTTCCTTTGTCTTTTTGAAAGAAAGAGAAAATGATACATACCAGTAATAGTTTGGAAAGGTAAAAGAGTTATAGAAGACCTACATACACGCCTTGGCTTGATGATTCCCTTTTACCCTCCGCACAGCCATGTTGCTTTGTAGCAGGGATCATTCGGCTATTGTTTGGTGTCATAGACCAACCTAATCAATCAATCAATCAATTGACTACAGGGATCAATTGTTGTCTCGTGACAGTCATAGCACTTTTAAAAGAGCACCACACATCCCAGATCTATCATTACCACGTTGAAAATGATCGGCACTCTTACTCCAATCTCTATTTCTGGAATGTAGCTGCAGTGGACCTTGAATCGGCTAAAAATACCCGGTGATCTCATTTCAATATTCTTGACAGCATCCACGTACGTTGTAAAGGATCGCTTTGTTTATCCATTGCTTCATTTTACATCCTAAAGACCAATCATTACACCATTAACATTATGTCTTGTATTAGTTTTCGTATTGAGCAAGGTACGTGCATAGGTACATAGCATTCTCGATCGGAGGGCGGCATATTGACAGCCATCACCGCGCGTTTTGCTTTGGAACAAGAAGATCTTTCATACACGTATGATATCGATAATGATTGCCACTGCATTCAAAAATCATTCATGTATATTCCTACAAGGGCATAAAGAGAATTCAGCTATGTTTTGTTGCGTTGGATTGCTGTTCCACAGTGTTGTAATGGTGGTTCGGTGTACGATGCCGACAGCTGCTCCCTGTGTTCTATGTCTCAGTTCAGGTACACCGATCTCACTCCAGGTTATAAAAGGGCCCCGTAGTTTCGATAGCCAGCTCACAGATTTCTTCTTTCTTTTTTTCCCATCCCCCTTTCTCCCCATCTCCAGCGTTGCCATGACATCCACTGTTAAAAAGGCCAACCAGGAACAGCAAGGTTCATGCTGTGGTGTTGTATCTCGACTCAAAAAGTATCTTCCCATCTTGACAGTACTCCTCGCCTTGTTTGTTGGATTCGATCAAATAATGCACAAGTTTTACATGTTCGATGAAAACCTGCTGCAACAGGTGGCGCTTCGCAACATGGAGCAATATGGCAACGACACTCACGCTATGATCACCAATATTGCTGCTGATTTGGATAAGGAGTACCCTGGTCATATTCGTCTCAAGGAAGAATGGGTGTTCAACAATGCTGGTGGTGCTATGGGCTCGATGTGGATCTTGCATGGTTCTTTGACCGAGTATGTCATCATCTTTGGCACCCCCGTTGGCACTGAGGGTCACACTGGACGATTCCTTGCCGATGACTATTTCATTATCCTTGAAGGTGAACAATGGGCCTATGCTGCTGGTGAATTAACGCGTGAGGTAAGAATCGGTGATTGTCTGGAATATAAAAATCATGGATGGGATCATTAAAACAACTTGGTGTTGCTGCGGATAGGAATACAAGCCTGGTGAGATGCATCTTTTGCCTCGCTGGAAGATTCAGCAATACAAGATCCCAGAGCACGCATGGGCACTTGAATACGCACGTGGTTGGATCCCATTGATGCTTCCCTTTGGTTTCTTTGACACCTTCTTCTCCACTGTCGATTTTATCACCCTTTTCCACACCATTCGCCTCTATGCCACTGCCATCATTGGCGAGCTTTTGAAGGGCAAAATCTAATCATGTTATACATATACAGTGCTTTAGAAACCTAATCGTGTGTAGCTTAATCCTAATGACGTTGTGAAATAAATAGTATACGTTTATTGCTATTTACAGATACAAGAAGTCTATCTTAAAAACTAGGTATGTATGTAGCAATTAGCTTCTATGGGAAACCAGGTACTGACAAGGATAAACCTACCGTTCTTGCCAAAACCATTCTGCCACTCACCCTCGCTAAAAGAAGCAAAGCACCATTCCGTTCTATCCATAGCACATAAACATCCACCATATGAGTGGTTGCTGCCATCAAGCGACCTTGTTGGTTGGCGTCAGAGACAAAACATGCATCACGAATAAACCATGTCTTGCCCAAACATGTAGCACACGCGAGAATGTCGTTGTCGAGAAAACGTTCAAATAATTCGTACTGGTATTGGGAACGATGTCCACATGTTGGAGGCTTGAAAAGAATACCCACCATGAAAACGATCTTCTCTCCAAGGGAAACAGGAAGCCTTGCAATAGTGATGTAGTCCGCCGTACGAATAGTGGATCCAGTGATTACATCATGAGTCGCACCGATTCCCGCTAACACAACACGGTCGTCACCCCTAGCCCTTTCAGTACAATGACATCCTTGACGTCCTGTATGACAATGGCAATAGCCGAGCGAGAGGCTGTGACTCTATTTCTTTTCGTAAGCTCACTTTGAAAGTGACCAAGCAGGATAACACTTTACCTTGAGGTATTTCCCAATAGCCTCCTTCCCTCGAAAAAAAACCGTATCTCCATGCCATCCATATTGTGCTGCTGCTGTTCCATTGTAAAGCTTGTTAATCAACAAGTCTTGCGTTGTAGATCCAATATCATGCGTACCATTGAGCCAACGCACAGCATTCTTGCTTTGAGATCAGTGTCTTGTTGCTGCCAGAGGTACCATCATCCAACATGCCCAAGCTATAATAATACAACGTGAGATAACAATCACAGCATGTGCTTTTCATGTCAGCATACCCAAAGTAGTAATGTAAAGACGTGTTCCTTGTGTGACAACCATGGAAAAGCATACACACGACACACGACGCCCCTTTTAAATCTTGTATGAACCAGAGAACAGCAAACTACACTTCAACTTTAGTTTCTCAACGTCCAACTTGAATAATAAAGTAATGCAGCGATGGAACGTACATGTTGTATTGCAATGGGAGCTTGTGTCATGGGTAGATCGCGCGTGTACTTGTTGTTGAATGTCTGCAACTGGAAAGCGTTGTCATTGACCACCTGTTCACCCAATTGGCGCTGTACATTGAAAGGAATGCTAGCTGTTAATGTGTTGTAGTTTGTTTATAGAGTTACTCTTACCTCGCTTTGTGAAGTGAGAGTGAAGAAGAAAGGACTCTTTGTCGTTCCTACCACTTCCCAATTTGTGCACTCTACGGCAACCCCGCTTGCTACAGTTACTGTACTGCTATGGAGATAGATCCTCAATAATAGCCTATACACTTGGGTCAATACATAATAACGACCACTACTCGAGATTCGATTAAACACATTCCTTGTAATTAAGCTATACATCGTTTTACTGTGGCGGAATTGAAGAAGTCTACATACATAAGCTTGGTTCATTGTAAGCTTATTTCATTATGTCCAAGAAGGAGTGATACAATGTGACATGAGTACATGGACATGCCATGCTTACCTATGGCAAGTTTTAGCTAAAGCTATCGTATGCAACCTTATATAAGAACGAACCATCCTATCGGGCTATCATAGGCGGACCTTGCAATAGGGGATGGAGCCACTTCATGCATCTTTCCACCAATAGTATTGACGCTTTTATGTCTCGTTCCTCTCGGCTCCAGTTACACGAACAGGTCCCTCTGCAACTTTGGCACTATCATGGTCAGCCACTCGACAATGAATAAAGACGTCTTTTATATACCATCACGCTTACAGCATATGTAAGCATAAATGTGCCTGTATCTCTAAACTTTACAATGAAACGTGGGGTCTTTAATAGAACCATGTTGCTCGGCGGGGTGAAAGCGATCTTGTGTCAAACTATGAAGTCCATCGTGGCCAATCCCAGATTTCGCAATGTCGCCACCAGCCAAACTGAATCTCGGGGTCGATCTCTTCGACGACGACGACCAAAAAATATTTTTTGGGCTGTTTGCGACATTGAACGCGAAACTTTCACACAAGGTGCAGTTGGCCAAGCCGAGCACATTGCTCTAATAAAAACCCCACGTTTCATTGTAAAGTTTGGAGATACAGGCACCTTTATGTTTGTAAGCGTGATGCTATATGAAAGGTGGTCTTTGTTAATTGTGAAGTAGCTACACCATGACAGAGCAAAAGATGCAGAGGGTCGTGTTGTGTAACACACCTACGTTTGCATGAATGAAAGGGTCAATGTATAATTACTTTATGGATCATCTAGGAACAGGCATGTATTGCTAGCTAACGGCCACTTTTATCCAATCATCATTGTTGCGAGATCCACTGCATGGGAACGATGCTCCTGCTCTAGACATTCATTTCCATGATTAAAGTAGGTTGATCCGAGCTGATTTGACTGAGCTGCGGTCAAAGAGAGGTTACATCACTCTGGACATAAAGCGTGCTAGATGTAGCTCAACCGATGTAATCTTGTGTGAGCGTAACTCAACCAAATCAGCTCGGATCAACCTACTTTAATCATGGAAATGAATGTCTAGAGCAGGAGCATCGTCCACCTACAATAGAATGCACCAAAGTTGGGAATGCACAAAAGTGGCTATTAGCTGCCAGTGTATGACATCAAAGTGAGGGTTGCGTACCTATCATGCATTGTCCCTGAAGTCCTGACTTTTTAGCTGAGTTACCCAAAGAGGTCCTTCTGCAACTTTGGCTCTCCAAGGTCTAGCTACTTGACAATGAACAAAGACCACTTCACATATAGCATCACGCTTACAAACATAAAGGTGCCTGTATCTCCAAACTTTACAATGAAACGTGGGGTTTT